AAGGCTTGAAAGCCACCAGGCAACTTCAATAAAACTGAGTTTTGCAGGCAAGAGCAAACTAGCCAGTGTAGATTAATGCCAATAAAGCAAACAAGCACCCACAAAAGCTGAAGCCATAATCAATTTGCTAGTCGGGTGGTGCTGTAGGTTAATCACAGAGCCTAGGACTTGCCAATCAGAAGGTCGGCGGTTCAAATCCCCGCGACGGGGTGAGCTCCCGTTGCTTGGTCCCTGCTCCTGCCAACCTAGCAGTTCGAAAGCACGTCAAAGTGCAAGTAGATAAATAGGTACCGCTCCAGCGGGAAGGTAAACAGCGTTTCCATGCACTGCTCTGGTTCACCAGAAGCGGCTTAGTCATGCTGGCCACATGACCCAGAAGCTGTACGCCGGCTCCCTCGGCCAATAAAGCGAGATGAGCGCCGCAACCCCAGAGTCGGCCATGACTGGACCTAATGGTCAGGGGTCCCTTTACCTTTAAGATGGCACAAGACTCTGTGGTTTTTGCCACAGCAGATGAACACTGCAGGTCTTCTGTAATGCACATTAATGATGTCCTTTATTTTGATGCAGCCAGAATCACATGAATTCTGTACCAATTAGAGATGACGTCATTGGGAACTTGGTGCCCTCCAGATGTTGCTGGTCAATAACTCCTGCAACTGTCCGGCCACATGTGGGGGACCACAGGCTCTCCATCCCTGAGTAAGTTCAACTACATGGATATAACCACGAGCTGACACCAATAGCCAGCAAAAGCCACAGGTAACAAATAACTTTTTATCTGGTGCCCAGATGACTTCATAGCCAGCCCCTGTCTTATTCGAAAGGGTAGCCCATCCCATAGATTGGGTGCCACCACTGGGAAGTCTCTGCTCCTGGTCATCACAAGATGGGCTTTTGTAGGCTGCAGCACAGAAGATCTTACTGACTAAGCAGGCTGGCCTTTATGGGAGAAAGTGTCCCCCCAGATAACCCGACTCCAATCTACATTGTGTTTTTTAATATATTTTTTCTGATTTTTGGATTTAAATGCAAGTCATTAAATGAAAATGTGTTTCCAGTGCTTTGAACGCTGACCTAACTGTATATTTTTTTGAAATCAGGGTGTTAAACTGGTTGTAAATTTTAGTGGAAAGAAAGCTAGGTCAACAGGCAGCTCTTTGGAAAATCTCAGAGTTGCCCATTTCTCTCCCTGGAGGCCTGTTAATATCTGAAATACCCAAGAAATGCAAGAACTTGAGCTGCTATGACACCAGCCCTTTCTCAACCTGGTGCCCTCCAGATGTTTTGGATTATAACTCCCAGACATCCAGAGCACACCAAGTTGGCAAATATTGCCTTAAACAAATCAAGGAAGCTCTTTTTCAACCCAGTTGGGTTTCAAAAAATTCAGCTTTCTTGTCCTTAATTGCCACCATTCCTGATGTAGAGAAACATGAAGCACTTATTTTTAAAAATGAAGGTGGTGGGTGATAGGGAGTTCAACTCTGTATGCTTCTAGACCAGCGGTTCTCAACCTGGGGGTCCCCAGATGTTGTTGGACTACAACTCCCATCATCCCTGAGCTCTGGCCTTGCTAGCTAGGGGTGATGGGAGTTGTAGTTCAACAACTTCTGGGGACCCACAGCTTGAGAAAGGCTGTTCTAGACTGTTGCCATGGGGGGGGGGATAGGAGTCAATCACATGCCAGCAAATTCAGGTTGTGCAGTTGATAGGGGACTCTTAGGGAACAAGCCCACTTCCCCCCAAAACTGGATTTCTTGCAGGAAGGAAAGTGACAAGAAAATGCAGCAGAAAGTGTGGGATAACAATTGCTTTGACACACTGAAGCATCTGTAACATACATTTAAAACAACATCATGCCACTTTAAGTAGTCCTGGCTTCCCCCAAAGAATGTAGAGAACTGTACTTTGTTAAGGGTGCCGTCAGCTGTTAGGGGACCCCTGTTTCCCTCACAGAACAGCAATTCCCTGTGAAGAGGGATTGATTGTTAAGCCACTATGAGATTTGTAGCTCTGTGAGGGGAATTCGGGGGCTGCATAACAACCCTCAGCACTCACAGGGAAGGAGCTCAGGGGCTTTGTGGGCACCAGGAGCAGAACTCAAGGGCTTTATCGTGCCCATGGGCACCGTGTTGGTAACTCCTATGCTCTCTGATTTATAGGGGTTGTTTCTTAAAAAAAAGATCCCGGTTCATGGCCTAAAAACGTAACAGAGTCTATCCGTCAATACATCCAAAGGCTAGCAAAACCAGTGCCAAAAGATGATTGTAATACTTTTCCTGAATTACTTCCAAGATTTCCAACAAGAGAGGGAAAGATATCAATAGATAAGCTCTTTCGGAGTGTTCAGTTTTGTCTGTTGAGTGTGAATTTGCAAGAGAAAGAGGCTTTGGGGAAATGGTTCATTGTTTGCCAGTGAAAAGAGCTGGAAAAATAAAGCTTTAAAGTAAATCAATCTGTTTGCAGCTGCATTGGCTCAGCAGAATTCTCTGTTTTTAAAAAAAATAAAAATAAATCAAAGTATTAACAAGCAGCCCCCTTATGTACCAGAAATGCCAGCCCAACACGAGTAACTGCCTGGAGGCACATCTTCATGCATTGAATACAGATGCTTGCAAGGGGCACCTACACATGAACAACTGTTTCCACATAGGTGCTCTGTGCAGTTGGGACCACAGGTGTCCACTGGGTGGGGCTGGCACAGAACCTGACACTGGGGCAGGAGGTGGAGGTGCAGGCTTGCTCCAGCGGCCCCATGGATTTGCCCAGGCATGGAGAACATTTCTGAACAGAGCTACACCTGCACTCCAAAACAGTAGACCACAGCATCAGGTGTGCTTCTTTCCGCTCTGATCCTGAGCACTGAAAGGAGAGCATTGCAAGCTTATTCTGGGTTAGAAGAGTCCTTGCACTCAGCTGTGCTAACGCTTTGGAGACACCTGACTTTCAGTGGGTTGCATACAGAACAATACGCCTCCGAATACCAGTTGTTTGGAGAGAGCTGCTGCTGCACCCAAGTTCCACTTGCAGACTTCCCATGGGTATCTGGTTGGCCGTTGTGATAACAGGATGCTATAACTAGGGATGCGGGTGGCACTGTGGTCTAAACCACTGAGCCTCTTGGGCTTGCCAATTGGAAGGTGGTTCAAATCCCCGCCACGGGGTGAGCTCCCATTGCTCTGTCCCAGCTTCTGCCAACCTAGCAGTTCAAAAGCATACCAGTGCAAGTAGATAAATAGGTACCACTGCGGGGGGAAGGTAGATGGCATTTCCATGTGCTCTGGTTTCCGTCACGGTGTTCCGTTGCACTAGAAGCAGTTTAGTCCTGCTGGCCACATGACTCAGAAAGCTGTCTGTGGACGAACGCTGGCTCCCTCAGTCTGAAAGCGAGATGAGCGCCGCAACCCCATAGTCGCCTTTGACTGGACTTAACCGTCCAGAGGTCCTTTACCTAACAGGATGCTGGACTAGGTGGGCCATTCACCTCATCCAGCAGATCTCACCATATGTCGTTATATTCCAACTCAGTTCTGTTTTATGGTGCACCAGCAGAGATATAGTGATCTGGGTTGCAGGGAGTCAAAGGCCCATTACTATTTTTGCAGGAGGGTCCTTGTCTCCAGCATCCTAGAGCTGCCTGACAGCAGCATGAGAGGGGAACCTTTTAGCCACCGAGAAGACATCTTCTCACCCTCTGTGTTGATTGGAGCCACTCACCGCGAAAGGAGGCGAGACACCAACTGAGGATTGGCTCCAAGGGTCACTCTGGAGAAAGAGTGTGGGAAGATCTCTGAGGAGGCATTGCTCCATATATTCTAAGAGCTAAGCATTCAGGAACGCTGAAAACCCAAGGTGCTTCAGTTTCAAGGGAATGGTGCACAAGTTTCATTATGTACAAAGGAACTTGAAGGAAAACACAACAGAAGTCATTCTGGAAGAAGATCCTGCAGCACTGAAAATCATTTGCCCATGTAAAAATGCATTGCAACAATCAGTGCAAATCTCCAAATAAATGAAGCGAAAAGGCAACACATGGAGATTTGCACTGATTGTTGCAATGCATTGTTATTGTTATTAAATCTTAGAAGGGGGCATGACTGTGAGGGGGTCTAGAAGGGATCATGCATATCTAAATTTTCCAGCACACTACTAAGCTCCAGTCCTTACTAACCTGAGTTGTGGTGAACAAGGTGCACTGAAAACTCAAACCCCCATTTTAAAGGTGTGCGAGCTTATCCATTTGTAAAACACGGGCTTGGAGCTTTCTCATTTGTACTCAGGTTTCTTGCCTTGAGACAAGTTGCCCACGTTTTCTCGCTGGATTCCCAGCAGTGAAATGTGTCTTTATGAGGAGGGCAGGCTTTCGCTGTCGAAAAAACAGATTTCCAATAGGCAAAATAGTTTGCTCGGATTTATGATTTCCTGGCTGGCACAACTCAGCTCCATCCCCCTTCCTCGCTAAGCCACCTGTTTGAAGCCTGGCTTTAACTGCAGAGAGCTGGGAATCTGCACTTGACGTCTGAGTGATTCACCCAACATTTAAAAAAAATCAACTGGGATTGAGCAGGCATGAGATTCTACAAAAAGACTGGTGCAAGGAAGGAAATAAGAGAAATCACAGCAGGCTCTGAAAAGGAAGTTACACCACCCTGAGCTCCTTGCCAGAAAAACATTTCAGATAACAAATGAATGAAGCTGAGTTACTTAGAAGATTGAATCAAGTACTTTGTAAGGTATCCTTGACCCAGTCTGCTAGTGTATCAATTTGCTGCCCCTGTTTCATTACATTTGGGCTGTTGGAAAGTTATTAAAGTCATTATTTATTTTGTATAACTTATATACTACTTAATATTATAAAATTTGTATGTTTTTTTAAAATAATAATTTCTGTTTTATCCTGTTTTTATTAGCGTTTGTTTGCTGCCTTGAGTCTCCTTGTAGAAATTATAGAATTTTCAAAATTAAATAAAATATCCTGTGTTCCAGAAATCAACTCGATGGCGGTGGTCATGAAGCCTGTCTTTCAGACATTCACCTTGAATGAAAACAACCCTGGGGTATCTTACACAACCTTAGGGCACGTCCAGGCTGTCACACTTCTGCAGAAAGAACAGCGAATGGAAAACTATGGTGAGAAATACAGGAAAACAACTATTTGATGGTGATATCATATAACCTCTGTGCACATTTCGCAAAGAGAAATTTATTTACGTTTTAAAAATGACCACACCACCATTTAATATAATAAATTTCTCTTAAGTGGTTTGCGTAAATGAAATAAAAGCACAATGATATCATTTCATGCAGCTTCCTAAAAGCTAGATAAAAATACAGCAAAACAGTATAGCACAGATAAAACTGAGGTGTCCAAAAGGAAGTGTTAACTATTAAGAGTCAAAATCCAGGAAAGATGAACAAACACATAGGGTCCTTTCCAAGGCAGTGGTAAGTTAAAGTCACTTAGTGTGATCAAGTTACTCCAGTGGAATATTGTTGTGCGAGAGGATGCACAAGCAGGTTGCGTTTGTTTCACAATGGCGTTGTGCAACACAGCGGAAGCTGTGTTGGATTCCTGTGTTGTGCAACATGAAAACTAACCCGGCTTTTAGCACAAAAGCCCTGGTGGTAGCAAGCAGAGAACTCTGAATAAGCTCCATACATTTTAAAGAGGTGAGACTCTTGAGAGTCCCATGGACTGCAAGAAGATCAAACCTATCCATTCTTAAGGAAATCAGCCCTGAGTGCTCACTGGAAGGACAGATCCTGAAGCTGAGGATCCAATACTTTGGCCACCTCATGAGAAGAAAAGACTCCCTGGAAAAGACCCTGCTGTTGGGAAAGATTGAGGGCACAAGGAGAAGGGGATGACAGAGGATGAGATGGTTGGACAGTGTTCTCGAAGCTACGAATGTGAGTTTGACCAAACTGTGGGAGGCAGTGGAAGACAGGAGGGCCTGGCGTGCTCTGGTCCATGGGGTCATGAAGAGTCGGACAAGACTAAACAACAACAACAATTTTAAAGAGGTGTTTCCAGGTCATTACTCCACCACTGAGATGGTTCCCTTCTGCATTGTCCCCAAGTGACAATCTGCTGGTTTTGGAATGGCCATCTCTGCAGGAGATCTTTAAATCTGGCTTGGTTTCTGTACTGGGGAGGTGGTCTGCCAATCAGGACGTTTGCTCAAGATAAACCTCATCTGGAAGGGACCCCAGTTTCCCAAGGAAGAACTTGCTGCACTTGACAACAACAGAAGCAGAAAGAACTGGATGAATGTAAATAAAGAGAGTCAGACCAAAAGAGAGGGATTCTCCTGGGAGCTTAACATAGGCAGCATCTTTTGTATGTAAAAGATGTTTCAAAACAAGCAGGACCAAGTAAGCAAGTGAAACTGGCATTAATATTTGTTGACATTATTATTTTTCAGCGGGGTCAGTGCTGAGCAAATGGAACATCTTACTAGGAAGTCTCAGTGGCTGTCAAAGAGGGCTTTCCCAACAGCCAAAGTTAACAACCTGTTTAAGGGGGTCACTAAATTATGGGTGGTTAGCTGTCCAAACAGACATCCATAATCCCTAATGACTGGCTATGTTGGCTAGGGCTGATGGGAGTTAGAATCCAAAACATCCGTAGAACATCTGATTGGTTTCTCTTGCAAATAAGCTGTCATTAGCGGACATGGTGATATGTTGTCGGTTTTGCATTCGGAATAAAAAGTTTAAGATAAGAGAGAATCCCATGCCTCCCTTTGAAGAGAGAAAAGAGGATACAGCGTTCTGGTTTCCATCCCCTGCCTCCACCAAGCCTCACATCCATTGATACGTTTCCCAGCTGGGCTATATGCATCGGGCAGATGTCAGCTCCCAGACACACATCAATCTGAAAACACAGTTCCCACCCCCGTGCCTCCAGGATTTCAAGATGATAAAGGGTCTGGAAGCCAAGCGTGATGAGGAGCAGTTGAGCAAGTTGGGTATGTTCAGGCTGGATAAGATGAGAGGAGATAGGATAGTCATCTTCAAATATCTAATGGGCCGTTCCATGGAAGATGCAGCAAACTTGTTTTCTCCTGCTCCAGAGGGTAGGACCTGAACCAATGGATTTAAATGTCAAGAAAAGAGATTCTGACTGAACCTTAGGAAGAACTTTCTGATGGTAAGAGACAGTGGAACAGATTCCCTCGGAAGGTGGTGGACTCTCCTTCCTTGGAGGTTTTTAAGCAGAGGTTGGATAGTCATCTACCATGAATGCTTTAGGTGAGATTTTTGCATTTCAGAGGGTTGGACTAGATGACCCTATGGGTCCCTTCCAACTCTACAGATTCTATCTGGGAGTATTATCTGGGTGACAATACCAAACGGCAGTCTCATCCTGCCTGCCTGATTCCAGATCTCTTTAGCTATACCTCCGTGACTATGAGCCAAAGGGGGCTTAGATATGAAACATTTTGAAAACTCTGAAATCAGGAATGCAAAGAGGTCTCTGCAAAAAAAAAAAAAAGCAAAAGCAAAAAGGGCTTTGATCTGACACTGAGCACAATTAATTTCCCTCTTCCATCTTCCCCCAAGTTCAGAGCAATTTAAAAGGCATTATTTTTTCCCAGTGTCTGTAAAATGGGCCCCATTTGTCTGAGCTTTGGGGAACTTGACAGGTTTGAAGTGCTGTGAGAAAAATGCATGCAAATTTCATGCCATTCAGACTGAAAATACTGAAGTGTGCCTTCCATTAAATCTAATGGAAAGTTCATTAGAGGTTACCCCTTATATAAATGCCTCTCAAAATGGACACCCTTTGTCCAATCTCTCTGACGTTTGGCAGATATGATGCCCCGAGGGAGTAGTGCAATCTCTGCAAGTATCATGCCAATCAGTTTTTAAACTCTGAAGTTTTAGGTAGGAGAAAATAGACCCAGCTATAGGTCTATTTGCATCTTTCTTTGACTAGATCCTGTGTTCTCATGAACATCAAACAACTCTTCATACAGGTACCTGTAAGTGCTATGCAGGACTTTATACACCTGCAGGATAACAGCTCCAGAATTAACTCTGGGGCTAGTTTTCCTTTCATTCACTGCATGGGAGGAGATAGGCCAAGAGGCGGGTATGAATCAGGCTGATGAAGAGTCACAGGTGTCTCTCCCTCCTGCTGTGAAAAGTTCCCCTCCCCAATTGTGTCTCAGAACCAGAAAAGGCATGAAAAGAGTGGAGGAGAGGTTGGCTTCATGCAGGTGTAGTCTCCGATTGCTTGGGGAAAACCCTGGAGAGGCAGGAACTGTGGGGAGGTGGGGACTTTCAGACTCAGCAACTGATCCATGGGGCAAGACTTACTGAGGATGAGCTGTTGTGCTCATTAGGCTAAACACTCCATCAAGTCTGTGCAAATTGTGTTTTTGCTAACGGTTAACTCCAGCTTGAAAGGTGTGGTTGCTGCTGGCTTGCTCCTGTCAGCGGCAGTGGTTCTAGGATGTGCCTGTAGCTCAGTGGCAGAGCGCCTGTTTCGTATGCTGAAGGTCACAGGTTCGATCCCCAATGGCATCTCCAGAAATGGCTGGGAAAGAGACTGAGTCAGTATAGACAATATTGAGATATACGGGCCAATTGTCTGATTCAGTGTAAGGCAGCTTCCTATTTTCCTACAGTGACTGACAGTGGCTCTCCATGATTTCAGGCAGGGGGCCTTCCCAGCCCTACTTGCGGATGCCATTGGGGATTGAACCCGAGACCTTCTGCACACACAGCAGATGCTCTGCCGCTGAGCTACAACCCTTCCCCGAACACAGCAGGACATGGCTCTCCATGATGCTTAGGCGCCCACAGCCCCATCTCTGTATCCCGGCCAGAGAAGGAGGAGCCATCCTTTCTGACCATGGTGTGACTCACGCTGCCACCTCTTCCAAAGCAGAAAATTAGCCACAGGCTGGTTTTGGATCGGGTGTGTCAAAACCTGGGACCTTCTGGCACACGGCACTCCTCAAGTAATCAGATTTCATTTCGCTAATAATCTTTGCGCCCCTCACATGCAACAACAGCCTGGGCGCCTTCCATAGCCGAGCAAAGCAGCCTTAATTCAATTTTGCTCGGGAAGAAATGTTCTCTTTGCAGGGCCAAGAGCTCGTCATGCGCACTTCCGCATGACAGAACTGTTTATGTTCAGGTTGCAGCCCCATTGGCGCAACCTATTATTTCATGTGGAGCAAGAGAGAGAGAGAAGAAGAAGCAAGATGAATATACCAGCCAAATGGGTAGGAAACAAGCCTGCCACAGCTGGCTTCTGTGGCTCTGGCCTTAACATGGATTTAAAATACAGGAAGCTGCAGGTGGGGCATTTCAGGATCTGGAGATGAGAAGCATCCAGGACAGTTGCAGAACCTTTTCCAGTTTGAGGGCCACATTCCTTTCTTGACAGCCTTCTGAGGGCCACCAACTGGTGATGGGTGGGACCAGAGGCAAAAGATGGACAGTGTAACAAACACTGCCTTTTTGTCGAAAGGTAACATTTTACCAAAACACAGCCATCCTTTTTGAAATCCACACTTCTTGACTTTTGCAATACACTCCTCCAGCCAAATAATGTGTACAGTGGTACCTCGGGTTACATATGCTTCAGGTTACGTATGCTTCAGGTTACAGACTCCGCTAACCCAGAAATGGTGCTTCAGGTTAAGAACTTTGCTTCAGGATGGGAACAGAAATTGTGCTCCGGCGGCGCAGCAGCAGCAGAAGGCCCCATTAGCTAAAGTGGTGCTTCAGGTTAAGAACAGTTTCAGGTTAAGAACGGATCTCCAGAACGAATTAAGTACTTAACCCGAGGTACCACTGTATAAAAATGCAAATGCCAGAGTGATGTGTGCCTAAAAGGTAAAGGTAAAGGTACCCCTGCCCGTACGGGCCAGTCGTGTCTGACTCTGGGGTTGCGCGCCCATCTCGCTTAAGAGGCCGGGGGCCAGCGCTGTCCGAAGACACTTCTGGGTCACGTGCCCAGTGTGACAAGCTGCATCTGGCGAGCCAGCGCAGCACACGGAAACGCCGTTTACCTTCCCGCTAGTAAGCGGTCCCTATTTATCTACTTGCACCCGGGGGTGCTTTCGAACTGCTAGGTTGGCAGGCGCTGGGACCAAGCAACAGGAGCTCACCCCGTTGCAGGGGTTCGAACCGCCGACCTGACGATCGGCAAGTCCTAGGCGCTGAGGTTTTACCCACAAGCGCCACCCGCGTCCCGACGTGTGCCTAATAATGAAAAAAATAATAAGCATACAAACATATTAGGGGAAAGTGCTTTGCAAAAATGTGTTTATCAGTAAAAATTGCATACCAATATATGGGTATTAAAGGAAAAAATCACAGTTCTGAAAAACTTTCACAAAGACTTAAAAAGAAAACAACTCCAAACGTATCTGGAAATGTGGAGAACTGAACTTAAGAAGAGAATTGTGGGCCACATTCACACCAAACAGTGAATGCACATTCATCCCCAAAGAATCCTGGAAGCTATAGTTTGTAAGTGCTCTCTGATGGTGTTCCCCATGTGCCTTAAATGTGCTTTAAATGTCTGGTGTGGGTGTGACCTGAGACAGAAACTGAAATTGACAGATCCGCCCATTCTTTAGTGGAATTCAAAATGTTTGAGACGCAGAGCCTGAGCAGAACACATCTGCCTTTGCTATTGCTTAGAGGCACTTTTTAGTTAGACAGTTGTATAAAATACATTTGTCTTCTTGTAATTTCCTGTGCATGGGCCAGTAAACAAACTGCTCTCCGGCAACAAGAGTCCACTGTAATGCAAAGAAGGCAAAAACAATCTCCCCCCGCCACCTTTTATGTTATTGCAGTAACCTTTAGTGATCTCATCTGTTTTTGTTCTTTTACTGTGCAAACATAAATCGAACCCGGTGCAATCAGAGGCCGGTTATTTATTTCAATGACAACTTTGCAAACATTTCTCTCTCTTTCCCTTGGCCCCATCGCACAGCAGAGCTGGGAAGGCCCTAGACAGGGGTAGCCCTGAATCCTACAAGCCTTCCCAACTCCTGTTTTTCCAAACTCCTGGAAAATCTGGGGGTGTTAGGGGAGGGGTAGTACCTCTGGTGGGGGACACGTCATGCTCTTTCTGGGGTAGTTTGTCTACCTTTGGTCTTCACCCAGCACTCAGCTCTCACCTGTGGCTCCTAGAAGCTGGTAAAACAACAGCAAACAAACCTGTGGTCACGTAAAGCATCCTCAATAAACACACGAGACCTAACAAGCTGTGTTCTTAAATAAATAAGGTATACTATCATTGTATCAAATGGAATGGACACCATTACATGGATGGACCTTATGCATGAACTGACTAGAGAATGATCTGATCCACTGGATTTTCTGCTTTGTTCGTTTGTTGAACTTTATGAGCTACTTCTGTTGAAATTTGATACAATGAATAGTACAGTGGTACCTCGGGTTACATACGCTTCAGCTTCAGGTTACATATGCTTCAGGTTACAGACTCCGCTAACCCAGAAATAGTACTGTAATGAGTATGGGTTGCTCGTGCGTAAGTTGCCGCCTCTCCTGGCTTTGTTGCCTTGTTAAACCTTTCAGTCTGGGCAGCCCTTCACTTCGTGGCTGCCTCAGTCGCTAGCAGAATCCGTCAGTGGGCGTTTCTTAAATCTTTTCCAACATAAAAGTTGTTTGACACCCAGTCTCCTCCTACTCTCTCTGCGCGGAAGTCTTCTGCGCAGGGAGGGCGTGGGTAGCGGAGGACCCATGCTCTCCCCGCTGGTGTCCGGTGAAGAGTCCTGGAGCCCTCTCACCGATTCCCCCATCTGCCCCCCTTTATCCCTGGTGTTGCGCTGATTTGCTTCCCCATCTGCGGAGCTGCCTCTCTCCCTGCTGGGCCCTTCTCCAGCATCATTTGAGAGCCTTCCCTCCGCCTCTAGCTCCGATGTCAGTTCCCTGACAAGTACCTTGGGTTAAGAACTTTGCTTCAGGATGAGAACAGAAATCGAGCAGCAGTGGCGCGGCAGCAGCAGGAGGCCCCATTAGCTAAAGTAGTGCTTCAGGTTAAGAACAGTTTCAGGTTAAAAATGGACCTCTGGAATGAATTAAGTACGTAACTAGTGGTACCACTGTATACCTTATTTATCTAAGAACACAGCTGGTTATGTCTCGTGTGTTTATCCTAGAAGCTGGCAGCATGCAACAGCGACCACGCCCTGGGAATGGCTTCAACTGGCCAGCTAAATTAGGTGAGGGTAGCCGATGGGTCTCAAATCCTCAGTGAGTTGGGGACTTCCCATGCATGTGAAGACAGGCTCTGGCAGATTGAGCAGATGAGACCAATAATGGGTCCAACGTTCAAGAAGGCAGTTTCTGCACTTGCTGTAGATCAGGGGTTGTCAACCTGGTCCCTACCACCCACTAGTGGGTGTTTCAGGATTCTAGGTGAGCGGTAGGGGGTTCTATGGCACAAGCTGAATCCTCCATCCATCGAGCACTGATGGGCGGTAAGGAAATTTACCATCAAGAAAGATGCATTAGTGGGTGGTTAGGTATAAAAAGGTTGACTACCCCTGCTGTAGATGGAAGTGAGGGGCAGATGGGGCTTGTCAACCTGGGAAGGTAGCCCATCTAGGAGAAGGAGAACTCTGGTTCTAAATCTCCACCGCCTTGTGGGTTATCTTCAGGAGAAGAAAAGTCAAAGGAGTAAACCCAACACAAATCTGGAGTAGAGTCCCTAAGACGTTTGGCTGGTGCCTTGTATGCCTCCTTCTGGCAACTCCTGCAGCCAAGCTGGTGCCGAACATATTGCTCTGCTTTCCTTTGGACCACACCAGCAAGGCCGAGAGGGGGGTCGTGTCATCTGGGCAGCCCAGGGCCTCCATACACACGGCTCAGGCTTTGGTGCTGCTAATACAGTGGTACCTCAGGTTACAGACGCTTCAGGTTACAGACTCCATTAACCTAGAAATAGTACCTCGGGTTAAGAACTTTGCTTCAGGATGAGAACAGAAATCGTGCTCCGGCGGCGCGGGGGCAGCAGGAGGCCCCATTAGCTAAAGTGGTGCTCAGGTTAAGAACAGTTTCAGGTTAAGAACGGACCTCTGGAACAAGTTAAGTTCTTAACCCAAGGTACCACTGTACAGTCGTTTGGCTTCACCCCCAGTAGCACACTCCATTGTCTCTCAAGACAGACGGATGCCAGCAACCTGGGGAAAAACAATGGCTAGTGGAAAGCCCATATTTGAATAGTATGCACTTTGTGTTCTCTTTTCCACAAAATACATGCTCAAAATGTAGAAGAGAAATGTTTTGATGTTTCCCAGTGCATTTATTCATAAAATATGCATTTTCTGTGCACAGAAAAGGTTGTACCCAAAGCTAATCCTACTCAAAATAGACCCATTAAAATGAATGAACACAACTAACTTAGATCCACTAATTTCAATGGATTTACTCTTAGTAAAACAGAGTTGGATTACAACCCAAACTCTATTGCAGATCTTGTAGTATCTGACTGTGAGTTGTGTTCTGATCTGCAGGCAGTTTTGGGAGCACTGGATTGCTGTGAAAAGTTGCCTGAATAAATTCCTTCCCCATTCCTAGGAGCGATCCTGATCAAAATAATTTTTGCAAACATGTACAGGTGATAGAATATGCAGGAAAAAAGAAACAGAAGTCCTGGATGCTTAACTCTGAGCTGTGGACAATAATAGAATAGAACAGAAACAAACAAACAAACAAACAGAAAAGCTTTGCAGTTGAACAGAGAGATTTCTAATTTTTATAAAACATTTGACTGCAGCCTAAGTGCTAAATCTCTGCCACGAATGCAAAATGTGGTGCAGACTTTTGGAGTGCATTTTCCATCTGTGGGTGGGGGGGAAATAACCTGAAAGAAGCGGGGTGTGCAAACCCAACTGTCTCATGTTGACTGTCTCATGCTGACATTTTGGGGTGCTCCATAAGACATGAGGACAGCACCATTGGGCCGATGGGCTGGGGGCCCCCAGCAAATGCCCAAACGTACCACCCTTTGCAGCTGGCCCCACTGATCCCAGTGGTTCAGAACTAGGACCTCAGAATAAGGTGATTTTACAAGTTATTCAACACGTGTGTGTGTTCCAGAGCACTGCCACTTAGCCTGCTGGCCGTTACATTTTTTTCTGATCGTCAAAAAAAAGTTTGCATTTGCATCTCCTCCTTTAAAGGGATTTTAAAAGTCTCTGGTTTCCTTGCTGTCAGAGCAGGTTTTCCATCTGTGTGGCTCAATGCCACCCCCTAAGCTCTACACAAGGCTATATAAGAGACCCCAGCAGTTGGAAAACACTCAGAGCGGATGTATTTAGACAGGAGTCCAGAAGACGCAAAGAACTGGGAGCCTGGGGTAAGCTGCAACACTTATTTCTCTTAGCACCTCAAACTTCTTAGAGCTTGACTAGGCAGAACAAAATCTGAGCTTCTCCATCATTAAGTCCATTTTTTAAAATGGTGTGAGGTTGACTTTATATGCTGTTATATGCAAAAACCACTCACATACAACATGATGAAACAGAGGCAGGGGTAGGAACCCGAAATTCTATTGCTGCTCGCTTGATTTAGACTGTGCTTTAATTTATCTTGATAAGTGGGAAGTTTCTTTAAGAACGGGTTATATATATCCTAAACACATAAAATGTGTTGTTGTTTTTAACCATGGAACTGTTGAATGCTTGGTTAAGTAGCAAGTTAGAAGCTTGTAAGAGGCAGTTGTGTCAGAGGAGCAGAGGACAAATTGTTCTGCAGTGTGAAAACAGTGGATTTGCAAGGCAGGTTCATCATGATGCAATGACTGGGAAAGTTGAAGGGACCACACCAGCCAGGACAGAACCTCTGATTTAGGACAGGTTGTCCCTAATTTATTCACACCATTAGGTCAGAGAATTCAGGACTTGGATAAATTCCTCCCGATTTTTCTCCAGCTATCACTCAACATTCAGAATTTGAAAAAGGAGGGGAGCGTTAATTTTCAAAGATGTTCAATAAAGAGCCACCGCCGTGATCCAGGCAGCATGAAGAGCTTCTCATCTGGCGGAGAAATGGATGGATGCGCCTAAGTCTCTGATATGAAGTCCTTTTGCTTTGCTTGGAATGGATGATTCCCACCCCCCCTGCAAAAAACACCAAAACCAAAAAAAGTTCAGGCTTTATTTAATTGCATTAAAATGAAATGTATTGGCAAATGTGAACAAGAGTTTTAGAAAGAAAGAAAGAAAGAAAGAAAGAAAGAAAGAAAGAAAGAAAGAATTTTTTCATTCAACCGTCTAAACTCTGTTTTGTTTTCATCTTGGACAGACCTTCTTTAGACTTCAGATGGATTCCCCCACAAACATATTTACTTCAGAGGGATCTGAAGGAGATGTGTGGGAGGCAATTGCAATAGCATATTCTCCTCCATTTCATCTGTTTGCAACAAAACAAAACCGTGGGCCCTTCCAGGCTGTCACTATTTTCGGGTGAGATTTAATCACATACCAGCAAATTTGGGTGGTTGCAGTTAAAGCTGATCCAGAGCTCTTGCGTAACGAAACCTGCTGTGCCCCTAAAGTGATGGTGAAATGCACTGGAATGTATGGGGTGACAATTGCTTGACACACAGTTGTATAACCCACCCACAAACTTAGTGCAAACAAATCAAGATGAATGCTTAGGTTGTCTGGAAGTGTTCCCAATTATATATGATGTTCAATTTCAAGATTTCTAAAAAAACACAGGGTGACGCATGTAGGGATTTGGGGGAGAAATTCAAATTTATGCCTGTTTAAAGTCAAACATACCTGATTCACTCTTTCCGAAACAATACGAGAATGGAAACATGGGCATCCTTCAAAATTTGCACTTCTCTGAAATTTGCAATGTTGTCCTCTAGCCAAGTAATGTGTACAAAAATACGTAGACTGAGGTAAAGTGTGCAAATAACTGCGCTAGTGAAAATAACATACAACAATGCATTGTTTCAGAGAAAATTGCTTTGCAAAAACACTGGTGAATTTCATGAGGACTTTTTTTTTTAATTAATCACAAACTAAAGTGGAAATGTGCAGAACTGTACTTAAAATCAAGAAAATGAGAAACTGAGAAAAAGGTGAAATTGATAAATTCACCCAGCCCTAATCACATGGCGATGCTGGAAAGTTAAGCATATTTACAAGAGTTAAGAACATCAAGAAGTTTGCAATGTTCCATTTCCTTTGGGGCAGTTTTATGGCTGAGGTCTTTTGTGACTTGCGTTGTTGGTGAGGATGCTTTAACTCAGCTGTCTCAAACCTTGACTCCTCCAAATGCTTTGCCTTATAATGTCAGTTGGGGCACCAGGTCTGGAAACAATTTTTAAATGTTTCGCTGCTTTATATACTTTTGAGTATATTGCACACTGCTCTGGGATTATTTTAATGAAGAGTGAGATAAGAGATCTTTTAAACAGATAAATAAACAAATGTCAAGCAGCATTTTCCAAAGTGCCCCTAAAATGTATTTCTAACTTTGGATTTGAATTTTTGAAAACCTAACCAAAAGCTGGATTTGAGCAAGGTTTTATTACAACCCTAATCTTAATGTGTTGCCTGCTGCAAGGATTCTACCAGGACGGTTTGCATTCTGCATAGGGATTGCCTGCAAATGCACACAACTCCTGACATGGCATTAGACACAGTATTAAAACTCCTTATAACATCAGTTTTAAAATATCAAAGTTTCTAGACCTTGTGAACATCATGATAGGCTTGAAGACATGAGGGCAGTGCCTAGTGAAACTCTCCACAGTGGAGTTTCAGTAGGAATCTCAATGGCTGGGGGTTAGGAATTCAGTTCCTGCTAGACTCCTTCCTTGCGTAGCTGCTTGGACAATCTCATATTCTATTTTGTTCGGGTGGAAGAGGATTCAGTACTTAGTAACAGACATTTTAGGGACATGGGTGGCACTATGGATTAAACCACAGAGCCTAGGGCTTGCTGATCAGAAGGTCAGCAGTTCAAATCCCTGCGACGGGGTGAGCTCCCGTTGCTGGGTCCCTGCTCCTGCCAACTTAGCAGTTCGAAAGCACATCAAAGTGCAAATAGATAAATAGGTACCGCTCCAGCAGGAAGGTAAATGGCGTTTCCATGTGCTGCTCTGGTTCGCCAGAAGCGGCTTAGTCATGCTGGCCACATGACCCGGAAGTTGTACGCCAGCTCCCTCGGCCAATAAAGCGAGATGAGCGCCACAACCCCAGAGTCGGCCATGACTGGACCTAATGGTCAGGGGTCCCTTTACCGTTTAACAGACATTTTATTTTTGTAAAAAAATCCTAAGACCAACAGGACTAGAAACTTGTAAAATAATTTGTATATTCTCTCAGTGCAAATCAAAACATGTAGCATGTGCATGTACACATCTGTGTCTGAGGGCCCTGGGGAAAGGGTTTACACTTCCTCATCATTTCTGGCTACATTCCTATCTGATTTGCGAGCGAAACTGGCTATAACAAGGATATTTATTTTCCTTAGCATATGTCTCGGAGGATGTTCCAATCTCAGGAGGGAGGATTGTGTTACAGGATGGATATGCCGTGGCCAAGCTCCGTTATTTCAGCATTCTTGAATCATTTCGGTTCTGGGGGCGTTTAATCCTTTTAAAAGGGGGCCTCCAATGAGATTGCAAGAAGCCATCATCTGCAGAACAGATTTAGTGTGGAAGCTTAAGTGGATAGACAGATATGAATACTGTCTCTGCTACACGCTTCCCTCTTGTTATACTTGAGAAGTTATGCCAGGAGTTTCAGGGCGGGGGGGGGGGGCGGAGAGGGGAAACATCCACTCGATTTTCCAATAAGTTAGAGCAGGGAGAGCCAACTTCCTAAAAGTGCAGTCTGCTACGTCCTCCCCGGCCAAGATACTCGGGGAACAGACCCTCTCTGGTGATGACGTCACTGTCCCGAGAAAACAGCCTAAGAGGGTATGGGTGGTTTTTTTCCGGGTGCTCCATTAGAAGCCCTATTTATTGAGCATTCATCCAGATTTGCTTACACAAAGCTTACATGGAGGTTAGACTTTGGTCTTTATTGAGCTTTCACTCTAATTTGTTTTTTTGGGGGTGCGGTTATACGACGTGTGGCAATCACCCTCCATTCATCCTTATTTGTGGGTGGAGTGTTTATACGTCTTCCCGTTAATCCTTCCATTCATCCCACGCTTTCCGGGGCGGTTACCCATCACAGCTGTATCCAACTAAATTCTAATCAGAGTAGACCCACTGAGATGAATTTACCCATATTAATCACATCTATTAACTTTGTCAGAATGTAAGAAGGGCTTGTTGGATTGGGCCAATGGCCCATCTAGTCCAGCCTCCTGTTTTTTCAGTGGCCAAGCAGATCCCTGCAAAGTCTCAAGAGTCTCAAGGTCAGGCTCCTGTTGATAGACATGTCCTCCTTTTCCACCAGTTGTTCCATGCAGGAAGATTAAACATTCACTCAGACCAGAGGGGCACCACCTGAATGCATCCAATCTGACTGGGACTCAGATCCCCACGAGGAACCAGTTCTGTCCCTGGAGGATGGATGCAACACAGCGATGCCTCCTGGCTTCCTTCATCCTTCTCGGAGTGGCAGGCATTTTCGGTGAGCATCAAAGATGAAATTTTTATTATTTTGTTTTGTTTTAGCTATCCAGGTCTAAGAATGGTCTTCTTCATGCAGCATTTGCATGCCCTGGAAGGACCATCAGAAAAAAGCTCTGTTGGGTCAGACTAAAGGTCCACCAAGAATTGTGCTGGGCCAAAACTTGCTCTCAAATTTCCTGAATGAATGATGCTTCTGGTTTTTTTTGCATCTCATTAGCAGGGCATTTGAGAAGTCCTTTATAACTTTGGTGGCTGTGAAGTATAGAGCTTACCTTAATGTTGCCAGGCGACCAGGCTGACCTGCCCATGAGGCAGTAGCAGGCTGGGGACGGCTGGGAGTAGCAGGCTGGGGACGGCTGGGAGTTGTGGCAGATCCAGCCCCCAAAGAGCATGCCGCTCTCTGCCTCCTTTGCTGCTACCCCGCTTGCTCCTTCCTGTATCAGCCCCACCTCCTTCAACATGCCAGGGCTTCCCCTGGCTGTCTCCACTTGCCTAAGGCAGCAATGGAAGTGCGGCAGGGGGTGGAGGGAGGAAGCAGCGGCAGAGGTGCAATTTTCTGTTTTGCCTCAAGTGGCAAAGTGGCCTGGCCCTGCAGGTGGCCAAGGATGGCATGTGTTTTTCTTCCCAGTAAACATTTCCCTCACACTTTGCAGCCTCCCTGGCTGCCTCTTGATCTGAAAAAGCCCCAATGGAGGAGTTGCCTCAGGGGGCAAACTGTTGCACAGGAGTCCAGGGAGACTTGTTTGCCAAGGCCAGAGATCGGTGTGCTTGCAGACCTTGCTTTTAAGGAAAGTCATTCCTTGTACCTTAAAATAAAATTCTGCAGGGATTTCTTCAAAAGTGAAAAAGTAAATGTGTTACTTGAGAACAAAAAGAGGTGCCCAGCAGGGAGTAGGAATTCCCAGCCCAGGATGCCATGGGATTTTCAGGAAACACCTGGGAAGGCTGTGGCGTGCAGACCAATAAAAGGTACTCCTTGGTCACCTCAACATATATTTAAAGGCCCCCCCCCAATGAATCCTGGGAATTGTAGTTTGCCACTCATGGATCTATAATTCCCAGTACCCTTAGCAAATTACAGTTCCTGGGGTTCTTTGGGGGGGGGCTTTAAATGTACTGTGTATGCACAGCCTAAATGTAAGGGGGACACACACTATTAAATTATTTTCACATTCAGTTTCTTTATATTTTATTTACATACTTACTTACTTGTCACATTTATATGCCACCTAAGGAGCTCGAAAATACATGGTTCTCGCCTCCATTTTTATCTCACAGCAACTCTGTGAGGTAGGTTAGGCTGAGAGATCATAGGAGCCAAGGTCCCTTCACCCACCCCATATAATATTTGTGGGGGCCGGGGGCATTTGCCATTCAAATGGTGTTTGTGTGCTGCGTCTCATGATAGATTATTCAGGGCGGGGCTTACCTGCCTCCCCCCCCCCAAATTTTATTCAAGTTGACATCCCTGTGACTTACCCATGAGGACTTAAATCCCCCCAACCAAAAAACTGATGTGGAGAGAATGGAACTCAAGACTGGGGGGAAAAATGAGAATGTGAGAAACCCAAACGGACAGATTTGCTTGTCTTTTGCTTACACACACCTGCCTTCCCCTTGGGAATGGCTGTGGTGGGTGGGTTAGGAAAGCTGCCCCCACCCTCAGATCTATGGCCTAAGGCAGTTGCCTCACTTTGCCTAACAGTAGGACCGGCCTTGATGGAGTTGTGCTGGGAATAGGATGGGCCGATTGCTTCTCTGTGGGCTGAATTTCTGGCCTCCCCTGCGTGCCCCAACAACCTTGCTTGCCTTCCTCAGCGGAGGATGTGTCTGAGGGGGCGGGAGGCGGGTTTGTCGTGGTTTCAACTCTGCAAGAGCTTCTGCTCAACAGCCCGCGCAGACAGCTGCCGCTTGGCACACTCAAGTGGAAACCGAATTTGACAGGGAACAGACACAAAACCTTTTGTTTCCAATCCCCAAACCAGCTGCTCTCTTGCCCCACAGGCTGGGTCGGCTGCCATAAAACGAACCACTACACCAACGGCAGGCACCGTGAACATTTGTTCTTTTGAAAACGCATCTCGCACAGAGGCGCTGCCCCCCGCATAGCAATGAACCAGAGGTCCCATCTACATTGTGTGTTGACAGCACTTTAAACCTCCGTGGCTTTCCCAAAAGAATCCTGGGAGTTGCAGTTTGTACAGGGTGCTGGCGGCTACAATTCCCAGAGTGGTTTTTAGCACTCCCTCTTCCCAGCGAACTCTGGGAATTGTGGCTCTGTGAGAGGAATAGGGGGTGTCTCTTAACAACTCCCAGCACCCTTAACAAACTACAGCTCCCAGAACACTTTGGGACAAGACATGACTGTTAAACATGCAGGTGGGACTTCAGGTTCATTGCTATGCAAGGACATATTATTCATCTGGTGCCTTCATTATACAGTGGTACCTCGGGTTACATACGCTTCAGGTTACATACGCTTCAGGTTGCAGACTCCGCTAACCCAGAAATAGTGCTTCAGGTTAAGAACTTTGCTTCAGGATGAGAACAGAAATTGTGCTCCGGCGGCGTGGCAGCAGCAGGAGGCCCCATTAGCTAAAGTGGTGCTTCAGCTTAAGAACAGTTTCAGGTTAAATACAGACCTCTGGAACGAATTAAGTACTTAACCCGAGGTACCACTGTATATCTGTTCAACCAGGCCTTTGGCTGATTAACATCAGCCTTTTAAACGTGTTCGTGGGAGGGGAGTATTATTTTGTTGTCTTTGTTTTAACTATTAATTGTGCTTTTACCATGTACTTTTAATCTTGTGAACCACCCTAAGATCTTGTGATGAAGGATGGTATCTAAATCTAATAAATGATGATAATAATAATTGTGTGAGATGCATTTCACGCTATTGTGTAACCCTCTGAGTAATCAAGAAAACCTAATGTGTAATCAAATCAGGGTGAACACTCAGTAAATAGGTCATCTATGATATTATTTTCAAATCACATTTTTACCTCACCTTTCCTCTAAGGAGCTCAAGGTGGTTCTCCTCCTTCTCCATTTTATCCACCCAAGAACCCTGTGAGGTAGGCGAGGCAAAGAGAAGAGAAAGTGGCTGGCCTAAGGTCACTCAGCAAGCTTTGAGGCTGATGGAGGGTTTGGCCTCTGGTCTCACAAGTCCCATGACCCTAACCACTATACCACACTGCTCCGAAGTCCTTTCTTCAGTGCTGGCAACGGGATCACATCCTTCCTTGCAGTTAAGGGCAAGCAGTGCCAGGGACTCTACCTCCACAGGAAGGAATTAGAAGAGGAGTTTAGCTTCAGCCAAGTCTGTGCAGCGACAAGCAAGCCGAGCCTACAGAACCACAAAGGGAGGTTGTATCAGCCAGTCATTTCCTCTCTTAACTTTCTGGATTTTTCATTTTCATTCGAATCGTCATCTGGCTTCCTTTTAGAGTCTGGGAGTTGTTTCCCTTCCTCCCCTTAATGCCTAATGTCTTGTATAGCACAAAAAAAAATGGGAAAAGGTCTGCAGCAGACTATACAATTTTGCTCTTGCACCACGTTGCCAAATGCTCACAAGCACCCCCTCGCCTCTCCTTTGCACGCACATCTATTGTGTGTGTGTGTGTGTGTGTATGCAGAGAGCTCCACTTGGCAGCTGTTGTTACAGCTGTGAGGCTGCCCAACACTGTGGCCAATAAGGCTTCTAGCAACAGAGATGGCAGCAGAATTGGGGCAGGGGATGGGGCAATCTTTCCACCCTGACACCTGCAGAGTGTCACCTTTGCAGGCCAGGCAGGGCCCAGAAGGGTCAGGAGAACACCACAAATGTGAAGTCTTGGTGCCTGGGGGGTGGGGCAGGCACTGCCTCTGGGTGGAGGTCATGGGAGGACAGCACTTTGGGGTGCTCCTTTGAAGAATCTGGGTTGGCATCTCAGAGACTCTGCTGTGTGGAGGACAGGAAGAGGAGCAGCAGCTGGAATATATTATCGATATGGCTATATTGAACATGTCATTTTAATACCTTAGATCGTACAGTGGTACCTTGGTTCTCAAACGTAATCCTTTCCAGGAGTCCGTTCGACTCCTGGAATGGTTCGAAAACCAAGGCGTGGCTTCCAATTGACCACAGGAGCTTCCTGCAGTCAATCGGAAGCCACATCGGACGTTCGGCTTCTGAAAAACGTTCGCAAACAGGAACACTCACTTCCAGGTTTGTGGCATTCAGGAGCCAATTTGCCCGGGAGCCAAGCCATTCGACTACCAAGGTACCACTGTACTTCTGCTGTTTTGTGTCATAAGCCACTTTTGGTTAGAACAGAATAGAAAAACGTTTAAATGTTAAATTGAATCTAAATGGCTAGTTGAATCTAGAGCAGGGGTCAGCAACCTAAGGCCCATGGGCCAGAAGTGGCCCGCGGAGATCGTTTGACCAGCCCATAAGCTGTCCCCAAACTAAGCTGCGCGCTTGCGCGCTGCGCTAAACCTATGCAGTGCAGCGCGGGGACCCACTTCCACGGCGCTGAAAATTGTGTCTGCTCACGCGCAGATGCCAAAAATCACTCGCACACATGCACAATCCGGCCCACAGAGGGATCTCCGTGGGACTGATCCGGCCCAGGCAAGATAAACCCTGCTGACCCCTGGTCTAGCGGGTCAAATATGTCTCTCCATTTCCCCCATATCCTGTTTTTTCCCCTTCTGTTTAGAGAGTAACATGGGCAACTAAAAATTGAGATCCGAGACAGTGAGCACTTTCAGGCAGGGATCCCCCCCCCAAAAAAAACCCCTTTCCATGTTCTCTATAAAGAAGCCTGTGCACTGATGCCATTATATTAAGGGAGTCGATTTCTGGCTCTTTTTGGCTCTAACTAAGGCTCTGTTTGAGGCAGGGCTGAGTCCCAGAACCTATTTAGGATGCTTTGGAATATGTGAACCTATGGACATGTACAAGGGATCCTTAGTAGGGCTGGAAAGAAATTTTATTCAGGTTGCATTTCAAGGGAAACCTGTATGAACTTTCTGAAACAATCCGTGAACCAAAATTTGCGCTTCTCCCAGTTTTGCAGTGTAATTCTCCAGCCGCAGAATGTGTACAAATGTGCACATGCTAGGGCAGGGTGTGCACATAATGTTTATATTATAGTGAGCAGAAAAATCATACTAAAATTGTAGCATTGTAGAGTTGGAAGGGACCCCGTGGATCATCTAGTCCACCTGCAATGCAGGAATATAAAGCTCTCCAATACGGGAATCAAACCTGCAACCATGGCAGCACCACCCTCTAACCAACTGAGCTATCCAGGCTGAGCCCTAGGTATTATACTAGGGAACACTGCTTTGCAAAAATGTGTATATAAGGAGAGATTGCACCTACAAATATGTACATTAGGAGAGACTGGTATTAAAATGCTGGTGAATTTTCATCAGGACATGAAACAAAACATTGCAAACTAATGTGGAAACGTAGAGACCTGAACTTAAGGCTGGAAAAAAATGAGAAACTTTGAGAAACAAAAATTTGAAAGGTTCACCCATTCCTACACTGAGTAACCACAGTGTCTCTACACATCAGGAATTGAAGCGGACATGCACATACAAAATTCCAGCATCACAAGGAGCATTGAGGACTCCCAGTATGTATTCTCTAGAAACTAATAGCTGGGTATAATAGAATTTATGCTACTGTTATCACTTCAATATGTTATTTTCTCCAGCTGGTTTGATTATGTTTTTCTCCTGACTTTTCTCTCCCTGAGGCGAGCGAGTTCTAAAGCAATCAGTCAGCAGGATCAAGCCAGGACAGAAACTGTACAACCCTCTGATCAAACGCGGTCCAGACAGTAAGTCATTTCCCATCTCTAGTAGTTTTGTTTTAGGAAAGAGGGAGGATGTCTCGGACTTTGCCATTCCTTTAAAAAAAGAGAATGATTTAATTTACAACAGATCCAACCAGTTTGTCTCCACGACTTTCTTCAGTAATGGAAAACATACTAAGTAAGTCCTGCCACTGCTGAACAACTTTTGGCGAGCAGCAAAAGAGAATCGGCCTGGCTGCGTTTGCTGGACAGCGAAAGTCAAACATAGAACCGCAGCCCATTTCAAGGCCGGTCCTGCCAATAGGCAGAGAAGGCAGCCTCCTCAGGCAGTATATGCTGGACTGGCGTAAGGAGCGGTGGCAGCACCTGGTCCATTTATTCCTCGTGAGAACAGAAAGGGAGCCTTTCTAGATCATGCCCAAAGCCCACCTTAGTCAAGCATTCAGTAGCTACAAAAAGGTTTGGTGGGGGGTGAGCATAGGTCAAAGCTTAGCCATGGTAATTGCTATCATTTCCCAGCACCCAGAAAGTTGGAACTCCCTGTCTATTGACATCTGGTGGGTACCTTCACTGTGCTCTTTTGGAATGCCTGCTAAAACGTTTTTGATTAGGCAAGCCTTTCCAGATATGTGTACGGTGGAACCTCGTGTTACATACCGTCCTCCTTACGAATGCTTCAGTTAACGAGCTCCGCTAACCTGGAAGTACATGCCCCTAGTTGCGAACTTTGCCCCAGGATGCGAGCGGAAGTCGCGCGCCGGCGGTGCGGCAGCAGCAGGAGGCCCCATTAGCTAAAACGCTCCTCATGTTAAGAACGGTTTCGGCTTAAGAATGGACCTCTGGAACGAACTAAGTTCGTAACCAGAGGTACCACTGTAATGTTGATATGCTTTAATCTGGTTTTTAGCTTATCGTTGATGTTACTTATTTTTAGAGCAGTGTTTCCCAAACGTGGCTCTCCAGCTGCTTTTAGACTACGGGTCCGATCACTCCTGACCACTGCTCTTGCTAGCCAGGGATAATGGGGATTGTAGTCCGAAAGCAGCTGGAGATCCAAGTTTGGGAAACACTGTTTTCAGAGATTTTAAATTGTTGTTTTTAACTGTGTTTTACGGGTAATTTAGTTGTTTTATTCTTTTTTGTAAACTGCTGTGAGGTTGTGGGTTGCTTTTTTTAAGTAATCAAATGCTATATACCGTATTTTTTGCTCTATAAGACTCACTTTTTCCCTCCTAAAAAGTAAGGGGAAATGTGTGTGCGTCTTATGGAGCGAATGCAGGCTGCACAGCTATCCCAGAAGCCAGAACAGCAAGAGGGATTGCTGCTTTCACTGCGCAGCAATCCCTCTTGCTGTTCTGGCTTCTGAGATTCAGAATATTTTTTTCTTGTTTTCCTCCTCCAAAAACTAGGTGCGTCTTGTGGTCTGGTGCGTCTTATAGAGTGAAAAATACGTAAATAAAATAAAAATTGAGGATTGTGGGGCAGAGAGTGAAAGAGAGTGGCTTACCAAAAGGGTCTATGGCACAAGCGAGGTTCAAACCAAGGACTTTCTGATCCATAGATCAGTCTCTTCGTCAGTATACAATACCACTTTCACTATGTAAAGTGATTCTGAATATGTCTAAGAGCAAGTGGAGGAACCGGGGAAGCTGGCTTATGAAGCCTGACCATCGGTCCATCTAGCTGATTATTGTCTGCACTGATTAGCAGTGGTTCTCCAGGATTTCAGGCAGAGGACATTCCCAGCCCTATCTGTAGAGGTCAGAAATGGAACCTGGGACCTTCTGCATGCAAAGCAGATGCTCTAACACTGAGCCCTTCCCTGCAAACTTTCCAGTTTACATTGGATTAAGAAAATAGAAAATGAAAGCTGAGTAGACAGTTAACCAATCAAAGGGGTGAAGAGAAGGAGGGGACAAATTAAAACAGAGCTGAATTATATACATACTAGCTAAAAACAGCTTTTTGGAGTTAGATGAGATCCTGCAAGGCTGTGTCATATGAAACCTCATTTAAGAGACTATAGGTCCATCTGGCTCCACATTATCTACACTGACTGGCAGTGACCAGGGCCTCAGGCAGAAGACATTCCCAGGTGACATACCTGGAGATGCAAGGATCTCAACCAAGGATGAGGAGCTTCTGTCTGCAAAGCAGATGTCTCAGCACTTAGCTATGGTCCTCCCATCAGTGTCTTTTCCAAATCATGTTTTCCATCTTGCTAAGCTAGGGGGTTTGTTAATTCTAAACAATAAAACTGATGGAAGACAAGAAGGTTTCCAGGTACGTGAGAGGCACCCTGCATCCTTCTCTGTTATCCAGGCAATGTGAGATGGACCACTTGGTTTAACATTGACCACCCTGGAGGCAATGGGGATTACGAGCGCACAGATGCCATCCGCTTCTACTATCGGGACAGGTTGTGTCCCAGGCCCATCCGCATCGAAGCCCGAACGACAGACTGGATCCCTGCCGCCAACACAGGCCAGGTGGTTCACTCCAATGCTCAGGAGGGATTCTGGTGCCTGAACAAGGAGCAGCCTGCAGGGCAAACATGCTTGAATTATGCTGTGCGTTTCCTGTGCCCCAGAGGTAAGTGCTCACCTGATGAAGAGAGCACAGCAGAGGTTATATTTTCTGAGAATCCTCCAGAAAAACAATCTCTCAAAGGACCTGTTGATGGCATTTTACCATTGTACTGTTGAGAGTGTATTAACTTATGGTCTGTGTGTGTGGTTTGGGAGCTGCACCGTCAGGGAAAAAACAATGCTGTCCAGGGTTGTAAAGACTGCAGAGAGAATAATTGGGTGCACTCTTCCTACTTTGGATCAAATCTATGCTTCCAGGTGTCATAAGAAAGCTGCAGAGATAGTGCAGTGTGCACCCCGGAAATGATCTCTTTCAGCTTCTGCCTTCTGGAAGAAGGAACAGGGTTATAAAGACTAGGACTAGCCGCCTGAGAAACAATTTCTACCCAAATGTGGTTTTGGTTTTAAACGCAGTATAAGGTTGTCTCCATGGGAGTATATTGTATTTAATTATGGGGTATCAGAGTTTTTAGGGGGTTAACCAGGCTGGGATAGCTAGGCTAGCAGGCTTGTTGGTTTTTGAATGTCTGTAGATTTTTTTCAGTTTCATTGTTCTGTATGGGTCAATGACAATAACGATTATCGTATTGTATCATATAAGAAGGGCCTGGTCACTGGATCAGGCTAGATGTAGTCCAACATCCTGTTCTCACAGTGACCAACCAGAGGCCCAGTGGCAGGAACTGGCTGCAACATCATTCTCCCCGCTTGTGATTCTCAACAACTGGTATTCAACAGTAGAGGCAGGCAGAGCATAGCCACCATTAGCGTTACCCTCCAGGAATTTGTCTAATCCTCTTTTATGTTGGGGTGTGAATAGATGCTAGGAGAGGCTACATTTATTAGATATTATCCTTCCTTCCTCATGTTTGTGAGTTCAGCAGAGTGCCATCCCTTTGCAACTTAAAAGGGAAGCATAGATAGGCTAGTTTTTTACTTTTAGTTTAAGCAATCCAGGATGCTTTAAGGCAGACTGGATTCTCCTAGTATTTCCCCCTTAAAACAATAATTGCACAAAGTCTTGTAAAAAGGTAAAAATGACATTTACTCACTCAGAATGCTTGTTGGAGAGTAACAGATACAGCAGCTTTGTTCGGACTTTGTTCAGGCTTAAAATGGTAATTCTGTTAGAAAGACATACTTTAGCCTAGCTTAAGATGGTGTCTGAACATTGGAGCTCAAATGCAGCAAATGTTCTCAAATTTCTGGCTTGGTAGAAAGTGACAAAGAAGATGATATGCCTAGGCTGGTAGGAAAATATGTATAGCTCAGGGCACAGAGTTCTCTCTAGCAAACTTACAGGAAAACTCTGTGAGATTCAGCTCCTAACATGTGCCTGTCTAGCAAAACATGAATTGATGGTTTGACTGCACTTTAAATACCCCCATTTTAAAGCCACCCAAGTGGATGGGCATGACTGGGAGATTTCCTAGTGAGGGTCTTTGCACAAGCAGGTTTTGCCCAAGGAGAAAGTAGTCTTCCTTGGAAAGATTTATGGCCAAGATATGCTCGAGAAGATGAGGTAGAGAAGGCTAATTCTATTATTCACTAAAAGCACTCTTTTTAAAAAAGAAAGAAATCACTGTAAGAGAAAGGCCCCAATTGTTTTATTTTGGACGCATGAGGCCAGACCTCAGTAACACAGCGACAATCTTGTTGCCAGACACTTTACCTCAAGATTCCAAAATGTTATGGTCTTCGTGGTCAACATGGAGTGAATGTTCTGCAAAATGTGAACAAGATGGTGTCCAGACTCGGACCAGGACCTGCCTTGCAGAAAGCCTTCAGGAGCCACACTGCAAAGAAGTGAGCGAGGAAGGGCGACGCTGTGCTGGACCTCCTTGCTCAGGTGCCCCCATAAAATTCTAAGACTGTGTTATGGGTCAACTGTACTTGCATATTACCCCCCCACACACACACCTCAAACTCTTACCCCCACAATGCCTTGTCTAGCATCTTGCTTGATGAAGAGAACTCAAAAGCTTGTCACAATTTTGTGAGAGTTTGGTTGGTCCTTAACCAACAAGAGGTGTTGTGGTCTGGGGTTGAAGACCCATTGCTGTTTCGGCAACTGGGTCCCAGAAGGGTCCCTCCCTCCAGCATACTGGGGTCACCCAACTGGCACGAAAGGGGAGCTTCTTGGCCACTGAGATGAAGTCTTCCCACCCTTTCTGCTGATTGGAACCAATCAGAGTTAAAGGAGGTGAGCCAGCCACTGAGGATTGGCTCCAAGGGTCACTCTAGAGAAAGAGAGTGGGAAGATCACCGAGGAGCCATTGTTTTTATGTTCCAAAGCTAAGCATTTATGAACACTGAAAACACAAGGTGCTTCCGTTTCAAGGGAATGGTATGCAAGTTCTGTTATATACAATGGAACTTCAAGGAAACATAAATTAAGTCAGGCAGAAAGAATATATTGGAGGACTCCAAATCATTTGCCCGCATTATGTCAACAGAAAATAGATCTTGATGAAATGCAACCAATGGAGATCTGCATTGATTGTTGTAATGCAACAAATATTATTGTTGTAGAATTATAGCCATATTGTATATTCTCAGAATTTTGTATAGTCTTAGAAGGGGGCATGGCTGTGAGGAGGTATGGCTGTGTTTGTCATGGAAGGACCCTGCACGTCTGAATTTGCCACTACACTACTGCTAACAAAGGCATTGCCTAACTGTGGATTTTGGAGGAAAGACTGATGACGACTGTGGTCCTTTCAGCTCTGTCTAGGGATGGGAGGGAAATTCAATTCAGTTCACTTTTAAAGGGGAATCTATCAAATTCTCACTTTCTCAAACAATATGAGAACCGAAATACAGCCACCCAAAATTCACACTTGTCAGAATTTTACAGTGTGGTTCTCCAGTGACTGTTTACTATTAATATTAATAATAATAATAATAATAATAATAATAATTTTGTTATTATTGTTGTTGTTATTAAATTTATATCCCACCCATCTGGCTGGGTTTCCCCAGCCACTCTGGGTGACTTACAACATATATAAAAATACAACAAAACACCAAACATTAAAAAACAAAATATCCTATACCAGCAACCAACAAACCAATAAATCAATAGAAACCAATATAACAATAATAACAAACAGTTTACAGTTATACCCAAATTAAAATAACCACAACCTTAACTAAACATTTAACTAACACCAATCTGACAAAAACAAAAGAGGAACCAAAATTAGAACCATTTAAAACATTTTAGCCAGTTGCCCCAACCCTAGAGTTGTTCCAGCATTGTCCCAGGAGCCTCTTTTAGCTGTTCAAGGTGAGTCTGGGCTCCACCCCCTAGGCCAGGTGGAAATGAGCCCTGTAGCAAGAAGCAGTCTTCCTTCCAGCACTCATTGCATCAAATACAAATATTAGTGGAAAGTGTGTGTAAAAATGAACACATTAGTAAAACACATTTTTACAATCCTTGCAAAAATGTGTACATTAGTCAGTAAACTGCAAGTAAAAATGTGTTTATTAGGATAATTCTTTTCTTCCTTCTTTTGGGGTTGTCTCCAACACCAGTCATACTTAGAGTAGACTTACTGAAATTAATGGACACACCTAACTTAGATCCATAATTTAAGTAGGTCTGTAACTTCATTGGATACAACCCTTAATTGTGCTGGTTTCAGAGAAGACCGTGTACACACCATACATTTAAAGCATATGTGGTCCCCCAAAGAATCTTGGGAGCTGTAGTTCACCCCTCACAGAGCTGCAATGCCAAGCAGCCTTAACAAACTACAGTTCCCAGCGTTCTTTGGGGAGTACTGTGTTCTGTGTGCAAGCTGTGTACGTAGTCAAATAAAAAAATGATGTGATGTGTCATAACTGGCTGTTTTCTCCATCCCTCAGTTTGCAACATGACCTGCTCCATGGGCCATGTGAATGCTGAATGTGACACCTGCATGTGCGAGGAACACCTGCTTCGTGGCAAAGTCTCCTTGCAAGGTGGTGGCCCTGCAGTCGGTGCGGCCGTCTCCTTGCAAACCAAGCCGACAAAACTATTGACAGTGACTGACAGCAATGGGGAGTTTCAGGTTCCTGGCGTGTGCCTTGATGGCAAAACCGCCTTGCAGATCAAAAAGCCCAATTACAAAACAGCTTTGGTCATCGTCCCCGAGAGTTCCGGACGTTCCTCATCAGTCCACATCCACTTGGAAAGAGCAGGTAAACAAAGTCTGTTAACAAGCAACTTTGGTGCAAACTGTTCAAAGGGATGGGAGCCACACTCTTGTTACCTGCCACACACCTGAGCTCACATATGACATCGAGGGTGGAGCAGGTGGCTGTAGTTTGGGGGGAAATGGCCTTGTGGGTTTAATTAGGTTGGCAGGCCTGAGGTTCTCCAGGTCTGGATCAAACACAGGAAATGGTAAATCCAGCTATGTAAGCCAACTCAGTGAGGAATATTTTCTGCCCCTAGAAAAACCGTACATGGTGACGCATCCCGAGAGCAAAGCCAGGAGAGAGGGACAAAGTGTTTCTTTCTGTTGTCAGGCTGTTGGAGACCCGGTACCTGACCGATACTTTTGGTAAGTCCTTAAAGTTCACACAGGCAAAGTGTGTTCCTTAATAGGTTATAAAAACTGCATAAAGCTATAATTAAGTCATTACACTAATGCCACAGTCTTTATTTCATTAAGCTCCCACTGACATTAGTTTTGTTCTAAAGCAGCAAATGTAACCACGTGAAGCGGCACCTTTTACATTACATGGAATTGAATGTTGTGACTCCCCAACATGGTTTTGGGGCTGTTAAAGGAACACAAAGCAACCTGCAAAAGGAGGGATGTTTTCTGTCCCAAAATCAACATTAGCTGCTACCCGCCTTGGTGCTTCTGACGTGTGTAGTTATAAAAGTAATTGCCCATGTGGAAAATTGCAGATGGGAAAGCTTTTGGAGGGGGGAAATTGTGAGCCCAGAACATATGGAGCCTCCTAATAGCACTAGAATAAACAATTCTTTAAATAGGGTGGTGTTCAGCCAAGATCTAATCAGCGTAAACCACTAAAATTGGTTGAAACGAAGATCATGGCCACTGGGCCCATCGCCTCCTGGCAAATAGAAGGGGAAGAAATGGAGGCAGTGAGATATTTTACTTTCTTGGTCTTCATGATCACTGCAGATTGTGACAGCAGTCACGAAATTAAAAGATGCCTGTTCCTTGGGAGAAAGGCGATGGCAAACCTAGACAGCATCTTAAAAAGCAGAGACATCACCTTGCCAACAAAGGTCCGTATAGTTAAAGCCATGGTTTTCCCAGTAGTGATGTATGGAAGTGAGAGCTGGACCATCAAGAAGGCTGATTGCCAAAGAATTTATGCTTTTGAATTATGATGCTGTAGGAGAGAGTCCCATGGACTGCAAGAAGATCAAACCTCTCCATTCTGAAGGAAATCAGCCCTGAGTGCTCACTGGAAGGACAGATCATGAAGCTGAGGCTTCAATACTTTGGCCAAGAAGACTCCCTGGAAAAGACCCTGATGTTGGGAAAGATGGAGGGCACAAGGAGAAGGGGACAACAGAGGATGAGATGGTTGGATAGTTTTCTCGAAGCTACCAGCATGAGTTTGACCAAACTGCGGGAGGCAGTGGAAGGCAGGAGTGCCTGGCATGCTCTGGTCCATGGGGTTACGAAGAGTCAGACACGACTAAACGACTAAACAACAAACTCAGTTCCGTTCATTTCAATGGGTTTAGTCTGAGTAAAGCCTAGCTGAATACCAACCACAATATTTATTGACAATGACAATTTTTAATCCCGCTTTTTAGCAAAAGAGAGAGAGACTTGCAGAGTGGCTTGCAAGTCAGTTAAAAGGCTTACAAAAAAACAAAAACACAGTGCAAAAGGAAAATGGATTGGGAGGGAGGAAGAGATAGGCAAACTCATCTACAAGTTGAAAGGTTACAAATTGTTCTGATGTCCAGCTGGGATGAAAAAGTTCAGGAAGAGGAGGCAACAGAAGTTGATGTGCTGATGGAGCAGTCCTGCTTCTTTCTCTTCACGCATCTGCTGCTGCCTGGTGGAATGACTGCTGCCAGGTGGCAACTGATGGAGGGAGGAGTCTGGGTGATGAACCCATCACCTGTCTTGTTTGTCCCAAACACTTGGTTCTTAGAGGTATACTGCTAATTTCTTCACATTATTTATCTACTATATATTTTGGAATGTTGTTTGTTTGTTCGCTATTCATAGCGATACTGCTTAAGACACCCTAACCAAATTTTGCACAATGGTTCTTCCGATCAGGAAGCAGCTTTTTATGTTTGGATGCAATTGGACGCCATTTTGAATCACAATGGCAGACCCGACCTTTCAAAACTGCACTGATCTTTTGGGTTTCTTAGAATTCCTGAGCAACGCCGAGTACGAGGCTGCTATTGATTCGATAAACTTTTATCACAGATCTCCCATTAGCTTTCCATTGCCAGGGTGGGGAAAGGGAAATCATCAAGACAGCAGACCTGGAAAATCCACAAAAGCAAAGAGAGGTAGAAAAATGTTATGTACTGAAGTTCTCACCATGGGCCAGCAGGGGGATACTGTAGATAGTTCAGGTCCACATATGCAAATAAGGGATCGAAAGTGACGTTCAGTGATTGGATAATTACAGAAAATGGTTACTGTTGCGTTCTAGTGGAGCTCTATATAAGCAGGCTGGCTGAACCCTTCAGTTCAGTTCTGTTCTGGCCTGTGAATAAACAAGAGCTGTTTGAAGAATCGCTGTGTTGTCTGATATGTTCACCCACAACTTAACAAAAAAATATATCTCTTTGATTCTAAGCCTTGAGTCTTCCCTTTCTGAAAATACTACAGGTACCATAACGAAACCTTGCTAGACCCTTCGCTCTATAAGTACAAAAGCAACCTGGTGATAAAGAACTTGAAAATGGACCAAGCTGGAGAGTATTTTTGCAAGACCAGCAATGATGCAGGATCTGTGAAGTCCCGAGCAGCCACACTTTCTCTAACAGGTAAGAAGCCATTTTTGGAGGGGCAGGGAGGCAGAAGTGGTGGTGGACTTCAAATCTTCCCTATTCCTTACTTATAGTGTATGGAAGCAAGTGGGGCAGTCCCAGTGCACACCCACACCACAGAGTGGAAGTGGGACTGGACCGCTTGGAGGGTCCCCCCCCCCACTCCAATTAAGCAGTACAGTTGTACCTTGGTTCTCAAATTTAAACCGCTCCGGGAGTCCGTTCGACTCTCGAAATGGTTTGAAAACCAAGGCGCAGCTTCCGATTGGCTACAGGAGCTTCGAATGTTTGACTACCATGGTACCACTGTATATACATTTTATAAGATAAATTAATTAATTAATTCAAGCAATGGAAATTGCCTTCATGAGGCAAGAAAGGATGCGTGGATTTCTATAGTTTGTGTTGATTTCACAGATGTCCATTCAGAAGTCTGTTCAATTCCCCCTTTCACACGTTGTTGCCATTTTTAAAAAAACCTACACAACATTATTTTATCTTAGTGTATGCATTTCTAAATGCATATCCTAAACAATATTTTTTTAAAAATTATTTTGGCATCTATTTATTTTTTAGGAGGCAACTGTTTTGCAAAAAAACAAAGTAGTGCCATCTCAGCTTTTTTTAAAAATGAAAAAAGGTATCTGAAAAGCAGCTGCAAATATTCTGCCTCTATTTTATACCTGACATCTATAGGGTAAAAACTGTTGCTCAGCTGAACTTGGAACAAATGAAACATTTAGAAACAGGAGAGAAGGATGGAGGGAAGCAAATTGGAGTTCTATGGCGCCATAGCAGCTAGGCCCCATGGCAAACAGACCTGAAGTAGGTGCCCCTTTTGTAATCTGGCTGCCAAGCTGCACTCATGATGGGACAGCTGTTCTCTCCATCTATAATGTCCAGGACTCAGTCTATGTCTCTCAGTCTCTCCTATGCTGGCAATTTGTAAAAACTGTTGTCCCCACCACCACCTCTCGTGCCATTTGGCTACTTGCAAGGATTGGTGAAGCTGTCAAATTTCAGTTTCTCATTTTCCCAACCTTAAGTTCAATTCTCCAACATTTCCACATTAGTTTGCTTGAAAACAACGACAGCAAGTTCATGAAAATCCATCATTTTTATGCGGCTTTTTCCTAATGCACACATTTTTTTATGCAATTTGCCTAATATATAGTGTGTTACGATGTGCTGTTTTGACAAATGTGTGCATTGTTATGTACACTTTTCCCTAGCTGGTGCATTTTTTTGGTACACATTACGTGGCCAGAGAACTGCAAATTTCAGAAAAGCGTGAATTTTGAAGGAGTGCTGTGTTTGGGTTTGCTTATCATTTGGAGAGTGCGAATTACGCAGGTTTGCCTTTAAATGCAAACTGAGTTGAATTTCACCAGCTTAGCTCTGTTGGTAAGAATGCGGTGCTGATAACGCCAAGGTTCGATCCCCAAATGGATTGCAGCTGCACATTCCTGCATTGCAGGGGTTGGATTAAATGACCTTTGGGGTCCCTTCCAACGTTACAATTTGATGACTCTCCCCCATTGCTAGCTACTTTCCAGAGAAAAGTTCTTCACTCAATGGACACCCATGTCATTAGTATCCTGTGTTATTCGGCCCTTAGTTACATGGGTTCAGAACTCTCACTTTTTGGCTTGAACAACATTCCTGCATAAGGGAAGACCCTGAACTCTCACAGAAATGGCTGCACAAGAAACTAACATATGAAATCTATTTCAACAGCAAAGAATGAAGCTCCTTGCAACCCAAGGCCTGAGAGCTATCTCATCCGGCTGCCACACGACTGCTTCCAAAACTCAACAGGCTCCTTCTACTATGACGTTGGCAGATGCCCATCCAGTGCCTGCTTTGGGATGTTGGATAACGGCCTCCGCTGCAAAGATGTTGCCGCTTACTGCTGTGGGGTCTCCAGAATGGAGACACGAGAATTAACCTGTTCCGGGTACACACTTCCCATCAAAGTGAATGTGAGGTGCGGCTGTCAGAAGTGCATTGAAGCCAAGGTGACGGTGCGAGGAAGAGCCGTGGCTTCCGACACGCAAGAGCCCATGAGGTTCGGCCATATATACATGGGGAATAACAGGGTGAGCATGACCGGCTATAAGGGAACCTTCTCCATTCAAGTGGCACCCAACACAGAGAGGCTGGTCCTCACGTTCGTCGATCGCCTTCAGAAGTTTGTGAACACAACCAAGGTGCTGCCTTTCAACAAAAACGGCGGGACCGTCTTCCACGAGATCAAGATGTTAAGGAAGAATCCACCCGTCACGCTGGAGTCGACAGAGACCAGTGTGATACCTCTGGGAGTTATGGAGGGAGACGACCCGATAGCCGAACTGGAAATTCCCCCCAATACGTTCTATAGACAGAACGGAGAACTCTATGCTGGGAAGGTGAAAGCCAGTGTGACCTTCTTGGACCCAAGGAATGTCTCTAGTGCAGCCATAGCACAAAGCGACTTGAACTTTGTAGACGACGAAGGCGACATGCTCCCTCTGCGGACGTATGGCATGTTTTCCATGGATTTCACGGATGAAACCTCCGCCGAAACCCTCAACGCAGGGAAAGTGAAAGTCCACCTAGACTCCGCTCAGGTGAGGATGCCAGAACATCTGAAGGGAATGAAGCTCTGGTCTCTGAACCCCCAGACAGGCTTATGGGAAGAAGAAGGAGACTTCCAGCTCGACCAGAGAAGGCGCAGCAAGCGAGAAGAACGGACATTTCTGGTAGGCAACATGGAGATAAGGGAAAGGAGGCTTTTCAACCTTGACGTCCCAGAGAGCAGGCGGTGCTATATCAAGGTGCGCACTTACAGAAGCGAAAGGTACATGCCCAGTGAACAAGTTACGGGGGTGGTGGTTTCCGTTATCAACATGGAGCCCACACCAGGCTACTCAACCAATCCTAGAGCATGGGGCCGCTTTGACAGCGCTGTCACTGGCTCCAATGGCGTTTGTGTGCCCGCTTTCTGCGATGACCAAAACCCAGATGCCTACAGCGCTTACATCATGGCGAGCCTCGGAGGGGAGGAGCTTGAAGCTGTCCCCTCATCTCCAAGGCTTAGTCCTACTGCTGTTGGAGTCCCGCAGCCGTATCTCAATAAGCTGAAGTACCGGCGGACGGACCACGTGGATCGTAACGTGAAGAAGACCGCTTTCAGCATCAGCGTGGCAAAGCCCACTCCGAACGCCGCCGAAGAGAGCAATGGCCCCATATACCCTTACGAGAAACTTCGAGAATGCGAAGTGGCTCCACATAGTGCCGCTCACTTCAGGTTTTACAGGGTAGAAGGAGACAGGTATGACTACAACACAGTTCCTTTCAACGAGGATGACCCCATGAACTGGACAGAAGACTACTTGGCCTGGTGGCCTAAGCCGATGGAATTTAGGGCTTGCTACGTCAAGGTGAGGATCAACGGACCCCTGGAGGTGAATGTGAGGTCTCGCAACATGGGGGGCACGCACCCACGGACAGTTGGCCAGCTGTACGGCATCAGAGATGTCCGTAGCATCCGTGACCAAGAGCGACCCAACATTTCAGCAGCGTGCCTGGAATTCAAGTGCAGCGGCATGTTGTATGACCAGGAACGTGTTGATCGGACACTGGTGAAAATCATCCCACAAGGGAACTGCTACCGGGAGAGTGTCAGCAGCACACTTCATGAGTATCTGGTGAACCACCTTCCCGTCGCGGTCAACAACGACTCCAGTCAGTACACCATGTTGGCACCTCTTGACCCTCTTGGTCACAACTATGGGATCTACACAGTTACAGACCAGGATCCCAGGACAGCCAAGGAGATAGCTCTGGGAAGGTGCTTCGACGGAACATCTGACGGTTCCTCGAGAATTATGAAGACCAACGTGGGCATAGCGCTCACTTTCAATTGTCAAGAGAGAGATGCGCAACAGCAAAGCTTGTTCCAATCCCTGCGCAATGTGCCGAACAGGTACCCGGTGAGCCCTCTCAGAGGGAGGGTAGGGGTAAGAAGGTCAAGCGAAAGCCGTGTTGGTCAGATCAGGGGGAAGGGCAACCCCTTTGACAGAGTTCCTCAAAGAACCCAATAAGATCTTATAATCCAACGCGATCCAGCGCGCACACACATCAATTTTGGGGACAGCATCACATGGACGATAGTACAGCATTTTTTTAAAACACTGATTTATGTGGGGAAGCCTCTACCCATATGAAGTTCCTTGAGTCCTTCAACACCTTTTACTAACATTCAGATCTCATCCTAGGAATGCAGTGAAATCCTTAACAAGATAAATAGCAAGCACTTGATTAGAACATCTGATAAAACCACATTGGCTGCCTCTGGCTTAAGCAGTAGCACCTCTCAGTGAAGTACTGTCTGAAGAGACCTCCGGGTATAAGACGGTATATAAATTCAATAAATAAATAATAAAAAAAGAAGAGTGTATGCAGGACAGACCAGGATGCACCAACAAGAAGGCCCTTCTCTCACTGATGTGCTCCAATCCCCCCACCACTTCCTTCCACCTGGATTAAATTTTGCATACCTCTTAAAAAGGGAATGAATATTTGCAGGTAAGCTAGCCTCAGCCCATATGCTTCAGCCCAAATTCTGCATCACTGGCAAATCCTTTCTTTGAAATTTTAGAACTTACAACATTTAATCAATACCAGTACTGAAGATTCCCTCTTTGAGGAAGGTTGCATTTTAAGAGTCTCTGACCAAATGCAGCTGAAGAGTTAACACCTAATCTATGTAATTATGATCTTGTTTTTCAGAAGAATGTTTAAAACTGTAAAAAAATGTTCTCTGCAAGGGTGGAAGAAGCTATATCGAATATTTTTTAAAAATGTACATAAATTCTTTTTCTGATAAGTGGCTTTGGCAGCCCCATTAACAAATGATAAATAAAAAGGAAGCTATTCCTTCATATTGAATCTACAGTAACTGTAAGACTCTGTAAATGTGAACAATGATATTTATTTCTGTATTTGCTCTGCAACTGTGTGTGCGTTTTCATTCCTGCCATACTGCTCTTGCGAACTTCTTCCCTTGTTTGCAGAACACAGAAATGCCAATTAAATGTGTTCACTCCATTTCCACCCCACACATCCTCCAAGGAAATCAAGGCAGCATCTATGGGCTCTTCCTTGACCCCCCTCCCCGTCAGTACTTATAACTATCTTATGAGGGAGGCCAAGAGACAGCAAATGGCTCAAGGTCACTCAGTGAGCTCTGTGGCTTAGTTTGTGATTTCAGCCTAGAATTTCCCCAGCTCTAGTCGAAGAAGCCTGTGCCAGTTAAACACAGATTGTGCTTAACTAAATAGAACACAGGGGACAAGTCTGTAGGGATGAGTTTGGCCCACAAGTCTTACATTACTTGCCTAAAATAGAAACAGGAAATATTATGGATCAAGAGTTAACATGTGCCCCATCACTCTTGTTTTGAGGCCTGAAGCAGAATTGTTGAGCCCATGCTATACCTAGCCAGCCTAGGGAACTTGTAGGTCAGCTGACTGACTCTTCCTGTAAGTCAGTAGCCCTTCATAGGAAAAAAGGTTCCTCTACAACAGGAAGTGGGGGAACCTTCAGTTGTTGAACTACAATGCCAATCCATGCCAGCCAGCACAGCAAATGGCCAGAGATTATGGGAGTTGTAGTTTAGCAAACAACTAGAGGACCACAGATGCCCCAAACCTGTTATATGAAATCAGTAGTCAACATTATGCCCATTTGTGAGGAAAAATAAGTGGGTTTAAATAGAAACAGCAATCACTTCTGTAGTTGGGAGGAGTTTCTGGTCACTTCCATGCAGGGGTGCCAACTTGAATAAAATGTTGAGGGCCCCCAGGTAAGCCCTGCCCCACATAATTGATCACAAAACATGGCATGCACACACCATTTGAATGACAATGCCTGTGAACTTGGTGGAGCCTGACTTCCTCAAATATTTTATTGGGAGCCCTGAAGGAACCTCGGCCCCTATGAGTTGGCTCCAATGCTTCCAAACAATCTGTTTATCCATCGCACTATTCTGATGTGTTTGCTGGGAGGTTAGATGATGTTTTGTTAAGCAAGTGTTACCTCTCCGGTGCATTTTACTATCACTTTCTTTATCACAAAAGTCTATTTTGGGGGGCAGTTTTGTCATGCATGAGTGCCAGATAAACTTTTATTGCACCACCTGAATTTGAAGTATATGGCCGACTCCCAGCCCAAAAATAGCAACTTCATTAGCAAAGGCAGCCTGCTGGCTGCTGCTATTATTCTGAATTTCTGCTGTGGATTGCTTGAGTTTAATCTAACAGCATCCTTTAGATACTGTTTTTACTCCAACTGAAGGAGTAATGTTGGCTGACCATGTATGTTAGGCTAAGAAGCACAGAGTGCCACCTGTTGGCTTACTGGTGATACAGCACCGCCAAGAACGTTAGAAACAACAGTAAAAACCCCCACCATCATGACAAGTGGACTGTGTGTGGAGAGAGAACTTATGTACTGCAAGGGGTTATAGCACTGCACAGTGCATGGAATGCAGGCAAGGGGTTATAGCACTGCACAGTGCATAGAATGTGTCCAAAACTGAGTCAACTTCCACTCATGCAGTTGGGCTCCCTCTAGCTCTGCATCCGCCCACCCCTTCAAGATGCCCCCACATGTGCTGCCAACAGTCCCCCGCCTTTTGCAACAGGTTTTGAGGGTTGCAGGTAAGAGAAAGATTTCTCTTAGCCCAAGACCCTGAGGAGCAACTGTCCCCAAAGCAACACTTTACTCCTCACTCTTACAGGGAAAAGTAAATGGATATACTCTCAAATACCACCCTTGTCAATACAAAGCTTGTTCCCCGTTGTTGGTGAGGAAGCCAGTGTTTGAAGAAAAACAAAACAAAACAAAACAAAACAAAACAAAACACAAAGCTGACTTGTTTCTTCTTGATTATCCTAGCATGTGAAAAATGCAGGGGACTTGTTTTTACACAGGCATCCTTAGGCTAATCAGAGTGTAGGCCACAGACACTGTAAGAGTCACAGAAGACCACATCATTCAGATAAACTTATGTAAAAAATAATTTATCATTCAATATTGCAGTAAGTGTACCATTGTTATCTAAGGTAACTTTACAAACCTGCACTTTTGAGTACAAGGATTAATGTACTGTTAACCTAGAAAGCCAGAAAAAGGATGCCCATATAAATCCCTCTCGCAGAGCTGAAAAGATTATTTCAAGGCTACAGATACTGTGGATGAACACACTGTTCAGGGTAGCCGGAATGAAAACCGTTTGGGAGACCCATAGAGGAGCAATAGTCAAACTCCACCGCCTCTTGACATCTTCCTGTTCCTTCCATCCCTGTTTCAATTGATGGCTACGCAGGGAGACACCAAGACTCAATTTCTGATGCAGAGATGATATGGCGTGGAGATGTCTCCAACCCTGCCAGCATAAACAAACACCTGGTTGATTCAGACAGCGTACCAGGCCTTCATTGCTATGTGTTGCGAACATGCAACAGTGTTCCTTGCCGACTCCTTTTCGCTGGGGCTAGCTTGAGTGTTTGGAACCTGCACGTCCCGGGAGTCATTTTGGAATTCTGCTGGAACCAAGGATGTAAGTAGCCATTGTAGAAGTCAGCAGCTGTCAGCTTCTTCTTAAGCACCACAGCTTTAACTCCAACCCAGCCTTCCTGGGGGAGGAAAGAACAAGGTGAAGCTGAGTCTTGGAGAGGTCTCAGCACATCCCACAAGTCATGAAGTCACACAGCAAAAACATGGGGTTGTATCCCACTGACTTACACACTCAAGAAAAGACACATTGAAATCAGTGGAACTAAGTAAAGTTATGCCCATTAACTACAAGATGTTTACTCTGAGGACAAACACTGGATACAATCCATGAAATTCAGTATCCTGTCAGTTCTCAATCATGTTTAAAAACCCAAGTTACTGTAATGCAATGGGAAGGAGGGATGGATTTAGGAAATGCTTGCGAACTATGCATAGTTTGATTCTCCAAGCCATTGAGTGGTAAAAGCAAGCAACTTCAACATAAATTTGATTTGCAAAGTGTTCCCCTTACTGCAGCTGCCTGTGAACAGTCTAGTTATAGCCATCGGAGGAAAGAAAAGTGAAACACCACATATATACAAACATACCTTGCAACGAATCACCAGTGTCTGCAACTGCTTATGATAGAACACTGATCCTGGGACGGTTCCGTTTTCAGCTGCTAACCTATCTGAACACAAAACACATGTTCTAGACTTAGTTTTCCCACAACAGGCTGTTGTGGAGTTGTGCATGCCCGATGTATCATCAGCCACACAGAACCAGCCCAAATGAAAATATATTGCGATGCTTCCAAGTGTTGCTTAAGCTCAGGTTTTAGTAAACATCCAAGGGAAGGTTGCATAACTTGCAGGAAGCCACTCAAAAGGATTTACACCCCCCAGGTCATCCATATTTGTTATGGAGGCCAACCCAAACAAGGTTCTCTTGGCTGATCTTAGTTGTCATGGTAAGAAATCACTGCCTCTACTGAACCCTGCCTCTGCAGGCTGGTGTCTGTTGGTCATAAAAGTTTTTAGAGATCAAAGGCAGGGTCTTCATTTATGGCCAGAAGGTAAGATGACACCAAGCTAAAAGGCCACACAGCAATTTGAAACACTTGCAGCAAAGACAAGCAATGATATATAACTTCAGTTTCACAGAAGTGCCTCCAGTGTTATGTTTAACTACTTTTTGTGCCATAGCTAACAACCAAAATTGCTGAGATGTATGTACATACCATTATGATCGTGTAATGTCTCCACTTCCACAAAATCCAAGAGTTTTACAGTAGTACCCATCCAGAGTGTTTGCAGGGGCATCTGAAAAAGGTACAGTAAGGTATCTTAGCCACAGATGTTCATAAATATAATTTTTATTATCAGGCCAATCAAATCACATTAAATCCAAATTATACAGCCGGATTTAAAAAATTTTTGTTGGGGGTACCCATACTTCAAGTTCCGAAAGGGGTCAAAACATCACTCTTGCTGCTGCCTTGATCAAACAGTTCTATCCAGTTCTGTCCAGATAGTCTTTCTGTTATTTTCTTCATCTTCTTGTTGTTATCATATATTCCTTTCTTTGTGATCTCTGATAATCTTCACAAGCAGGTGAAAGACAAACATCTCCTGTGTGGGTTTTACACTCTCCAAAAATCGTATCACATAAAGGACAGACGCCATTTCCACACCTCCGTTAAAAACATCAGTCTGTCCGTTGATTCACAGGCTTGCGAATCTATATCTCAGAGGGCCCTGCCAGGTCAAGATAACGTTCCGATAACCATACATTCACATTCCAAGGACCCTGGTCCTCCTCCCTCTCGTCTTCCTTAGGCAAGCCTGTCTTCACGAAACTCCATTTTTAACTGCGTCATAAAACTTTCCTTTCATTCCCCAGTATTTCCACCAGTCCTCTCCTCAATCAATAATTCACTCCCACACAGTTCTTAGCCTCCTGCTTATGATTAATAATAGCAACGATTCTTCTCTCTGTCTGGAGGGGAGGGTTAATGGTACTCACATAAGGCAAAAAAAGAAAAGCTTTTTCCTCCCCTCCCTTTCCATTTCACTCCAACATACCAATCTCTTGATGTTGATTCTTCACTTGATTTATTTTCACGCCCATCGCTCCGCTCACAGAGATCCCATTAATCAGCAGTCTTTACTCCCGATCTTCACCTGATGTATGTGCATTAGCTTCTTTCCAATTATATATTTCCAATTAAATATTTCGAGCTAATGCGAACCAGTGCGCTAATTGGAGACAGCGTCAGGAAGAGCCGACTTCACCCGAGGGCTTCGTGCTAAGTGTCCACACCCCCTTCTTTCGAATCCGGGGGTGAATTATGGACACTGCTGGCAAGGCAGTCCCCCCCATCCCCTTGGGGGGGCAAGGAAGGCTGCATACTTCCCATAGCAGCCTCTTAATTACCTCGTGTGGGTCGGAGAGATGTTATTGTCGGCCATCTTCCAATGCGCCCCCTGGTGGCCCCCTTAGCCACAGATGTTCACACTCATTTCAGCTAAATGAATCCAGAGTTGTCAAACTGTTTTCATGTTCAGTCAGCAATACAAACACAAATTTAGGGCTAGTTTCTGCTTTTTTCTGATGTGTATTAGCAGAAGCATTTCAAATACAAGAAGACTAGGTCAGATGCAAACTAGTTTCCCCAAGGTGTATGAAATTTGAGTGCATTTTAGATTTAAAACAACTTTTAAAAATCAAGGTCAGCCTTTACCAGCCAGCCCTGTAGCTTTGTTGGAAATAAGGCATGCAGTTTAAATCTTTGCTAAATCAAAGGAATCTGAGCAACAAAAAGCTAGTATGTAACTGTGGGTGAACGAGTTGCTCATTTGAAGCTACAGCAAAGTAAAAAATCGACTAGCATCCCTCCCCCCCTTGGATTTTTTTAATTTTAATTTTGCAATCCCAGAACAGCTGGTAAGTGGTGGGGTTAACCCATTTCCTCCAAAGCTGAATACTAAGGGGTGGGAGAAATTCTCTCCCAAATCAGCATTTAATTATATATAATTGATAGGCTATTGAAATTCTTTTGTAGCCTAGGATTTTAGTGAACTTCTTTGCAACACTGCATTACCATTGCTCCCAAGGCACGATGCATCCTCATTATCTGCTCAGAAGTTTGTTCTTCCCACTGGATGCAGCTCATTGCAATGCTGGCTTTAGGAGCTTTAAGATAACAAAACGAAAGTTAATGAGTGAACTCTGAGTCAAGTTCCTAGAGCTAAAAGGCTACCAACAGCTTCTAGCTGTGATGGCTATGCTCTCCCTCCACAGTTGGAGGCAGGAAGCTTCTGAATGCCAGTTGCTGGAAACTGCAAAAGGGGAGAAGGCTCTTGTGCTCAAGAGAGAACAGTGGCCTGATCCAACTGGCTTGTCTTACATTCTTAACCCTACAGTTCAAATGATTGCACCACCAGTATTCTTTCACTGCAATGCATTGTGGTTCCCCCTGCTTCTTTCCTTGCAAACTGAGGGGCTTTTACCACAGACTGGTCTCTCAGCACCCTCCCTCTCTCAATGCTGTTGTGCCAAGGTGGAATGGCAATGGGAAAAATTCTGGCCTGTGGGTCTAATGAGACCTGGCAGGGATCCTACTGTGGCCAGGCCATTTTACCTACACCATGCTCACTTGCCCCACATCTGACATGTGTGGCAGGTAAACATGCAGCTGCACACCAAATTGCTCTTGCTGACAGCTGCCCCCTTTGAAGGTGTGTTGTCAGTGCCAGTCAGCTGATCAGCACTGACTGTGTGCCTCTTTAAGGTTGTCAACTGATGTCAAAGTGGCCTGCGGGGGAGGTCATGATCCATTTTTTCTGGGCTATCAGAAAGACCAGCTGCTATTCCTGAACTGTGAAAAACTGTAGGCTTGATTGCAATGTGCTCACAAGAACAAACATGAAACATCGGGTACATACCAAAAGTTGCTCCTTCCTTTGGTTGCTCTGTCTTGTTCCTTAAACTGTCAGGTAGGTTTTTCAGAACAGAAATGAGCTGAAAGGAAGAAAAAACCCCGAAACATACATCACACAGCATGAAAACCATGTTTTGACTACAATAATAGTGTTACAGTGCTACCTCAGGTTACATACGCTTCAGGTTACACACTCCGCTAACCCAGAAATAGTGCTTCAGGTTAAGAACTTTGCTTCAGGATGAGAACAGAAATTGGGCTCCGGCGGCGCAGCAGCAGCAGGAGGCCCCATTAGCTAAAGTGGTGCTTCAGGTCAAGAACAGTTTCAGGTTAAGAACGGACCTCCGGAACGAATTAAGTATTTAACCCGAGGTACCACTGTATTTATATTCTGAACTTAGGAAAGTGAGTTTCTCAATGTTCAACTTGTTGTCTCTTAGAAACTGGATGCTTCAACTGACCTGGTTCCCATAACTTGGAATTTCTAAGCATCTCGTAAGTTTTCAACTGTTTTAGAGATGCAACTTGGGGAGGGGGGAGCAGTGTTAACTTACCATACTTGCCCCAAGTTTGGATAACATGGATTCCAACTCTTTTGCTGAACAACAGGGTGGCACTGTGAATGTTTCCTGCTTGATAATTGGACCTACATCAAACCTAGGAACACAACACAAAACTTTAAGGAACACAGGAAGCTGTCACTGGTCCACCTAGCTGAATGCTGTCTATAGCAGTGTTTCTCAAACTTGAGCCTCCATCTATTGTTGGACTACAACTCCTGCTCATAGCTAACAGGACCAGTGATTATGGGATTATGGGAGTTGTAGTCCAACAGCAGCTGGAGACCCAAGTTTGAGAAACACTAGTCTGCACTGATCATCAGAGGCTCTCCAGGATTTCAGGCAGGAGTCTCTCTCAACCAAACCTGAGGAGGTCAGAGCTCAAACCTGGGACCTTCTGCATGCAAAGCAGATGCTCTACCACTTAACTAAAGTCCTTCCCTCTAAGCTTCCCCATTTAAGTGTTTTGCCAACACCCTCAGCAATTTTCAAGTGATCTGTGGGGGATGAAGATTTGGGAACCACTGCCTTAATAGTAACACAAAGCAATTTAAGACACTGAGAAGATTACCCAGCATCAAGGATGGACTGAACAACTAATTCCATCCCATTTTATGCATTTTCTACACACTTCTTACATAAAATTCATTTACCAGTTAACTGCACATTGTATACACATCTTTTGCATAGAAAATACATTCTTGGGTGCATTTTTAGTGCACTGAAAATGCATTGCAAAATCTGGAGAAGTGACTGGGAACTGTGTTTGGGTCCACAAGCAAAGCTGGGAGCACTTGATCACGTCAGCCTGCTTAGAGATGCTGACCAAACAGATTCTTCCCCCATCTCTATTTGGCACCCATGAAATTATGAGTTCTTAAAAAGGACATGTTTGCACCAAAGTTCTGTTGAATTAAATAGCTATTGTACCTCTTAGGCCTGATCTGCATAATTGTCACCCCAGTAACTGTATCTCCATGGAGCACTGTGTGGATTATCGGTGCTGGGCCTCGCCACCTTGGAAGACAGCTGGGATGGACATTCAGCACACCACTGAATCAGAACATTTGGAAGTTAGAATAGGACCAGTAATTCTGTAACATATATAAGCGAATAGTAACCATTTTGAGAACTCACTTTAAAAAATGCAACTTAGCATTCACTGTAACTGCCCAAAGATATGAAAATATAATGTGAAAACTTAGTATTACATAACTATGCATACAGTAAAAAGGTATTCTCCTATTTTTGTATTTTGCTATAACCAGTAAACTGTCCCACTGATAAACAGTGGAAAACGTGATCAAGAAAAGTGAAGGGTAAGAAAAAGTAAATGAGGGAGTACATGACAACATGCCTTTAAGTAACATCAAAACTGGCTAATTGAAATTAGCAGGTTGAGATGTAAACACTTTTGATAGATTGACAGAGTAAGGAACATCCACACACTCACGACCTATCAGCTTACTTGTCTCTCTCTCCTTGTTGTTTAGAACTTGTCTTGTGAACTGCCCTGAGATCTTTGATGAAGGGTGGTATATAAATCTAGTAAATATTATTATTATTAATAGACTGATACGTCTTAGATTGCATTCTGTTTACAAATTCCTCCTCCTCAAGATGAGAGGTCATCTTTAACTAGCCTCTGAGAGAACAAAGGAGTAAGCATGGCTACATTTTTCTTCTTTAGACTAGTTAGTTGAACTAGAATGAGAAACCTTTTCTATCAAAGTTATGCATTTCCTACAATAAACAACTTTATTATTTTCTTACATACAAGCATACCTGTGTGCTTGCAACAGGTAAAAGTCTACTCTCTAACCAAGATTCACTAGCCAAATGCTGCTGACACTGCACAGTAAAGGGTTTCAATAGGAAATCAACACAGTTATTCCAATAGGTTCCCCATTGCATGTACAAAGAATTGTACACTCTGCATCAATTTATGGTGAAAGCCCTACATATTTTGCATTGAAAGTTAGAGTACTAAATCAATTCAATTTTAGACTGACAGTGCCTGTAAAGCAACCCTTATTGTACCCCCTTAGACAATAATGCATTTGAGAGGGCATTTGTTATTAATGTCTTCAGGCACTAAAATCCTGCACAAAGTTACATGAAAATGCTAGTCTGATTAAGAATTACAGCCTTTCCCATATTATCCTGCTCCAACCACTTTCCTTTAACACACATCCCAGATTGCAATACAAACAAACTACTCAACACATTTTGTGTTCACAGCCTTACTATGGAAACTTCAGGATGAGGTCCTCACTGAGAAGGCGTCCAAATGATGCCACCACACCGACATCAAAGTGATCACACAGACCTACATCTGGCCAGAGGTGGATGGGGAGCTTAAGTTGCTCTGCACAGCTCTTGACAGGGAGACCCTTGGGCAGCTGGGAATGGAGCGTTACCACCTCTAGACGGTCCACAAGACGACCTGACTTGGCCTCTCTGCCACAGGACATAAAAGAGAATTATGGAGGACACTGTTTGAGAACAGTGCCAAGCTGCTACCACCCCAGTAAATGCCCTCCCACAAGAAGCTCCTTTATACCAGGTCAGGTGCTTTGTCTATCTAGCCCAGTATTGTCTCCTTTGACTGCCTGCAGCTCTCCAAGGTCTATGGTCTTTCTCATCACCATCTGCCAAATCTACTTAACAGGAATTGCCAACAACTGAACCTTGGCCCTTCCCCATACAAAGCATTCACTCTGCCAATTGAGCTAGTCCCTCTTTTCCCACATATGCTATCATTCTTATCTCTCCAATGCCTTCTGCACAATACAAACACCTTGGGGCACTGAGGGAACCCCCCTCCATCTCCATCCTCAAGTCACTCCTATTTACACTGGCTTTTTGACACCTGATATACGCGGGTGGCGCTGTGGGTTAAACCACAGAGCCTAGGACTTGCTGATCAGAAGGTTGGCGGTTCGAATCCCCACGACAGGGTGAGCTCCTGTTGCTTGGTCCCTGCTCCTGCCAACCTAGCTGTTTGAAAGCATGTCAAAGTGCAAGTAGATAAATAGTACCGCTCCGGTGGGAAGGTAAACGGCGTTTCCATGTGCTGCTCTGGTTCACCAGAAGCGGCTTAGTCATGCTGGCCACATGACCCAGAAGCTCCCTCGGCCAATAAAGCGAGATGAGCGCTGCAACCCCAGAGTCGGCCACGACTGGACCTAATGGTCAGGGGTCCCCTTTACCTTTTATATACATACCCACACAGTACTGTGATTAACCAACAGAACAGTATTTTATAATTTATGCTGCAAAACATTTTGTCTGTCGCCTTAATCGGCTTGCTTTGATAAAATGAAATGATGCTGTTTCCAAGGTGGCACTTAGGGATCTTTGAGGATGGAATGCTTGGAAAGCCTATATGGACACTCTCCATTCTTTTGATTGCATCCGTTTTAAATTGGTCTTAATATTGTATGTATCTTTAAAATGCTGCAACCCACGGTGGGAAATTGTGCTGAAGGGCAGTTAACGAAAAATAATGATAATGATACCGGTAATAACAGCGAGGTAGCTAGTTGATGAGGAATACCATTCTCAAAATACAGCTGCTGCTGCTGCTGCTACTGTCAGTCAGAGCAGCCACTACTGGGTTAATAGCCACAGTGAGCTAGAAATGGGCAGCTCCTGTTCTTGGAGCTTCTCTTCTCCCTTTCACTCGATGCCCTTTCACCCTCTCCCTGTCCCACAAACCAAAACCTTTGACCCGGCTGCCGAAGGCCTTTTCCCCCTTCCCTCCTCCGCCCTAGAGACCCACCGGGCAGCCTGGAGCGCTAGGAGGGTCTCCGCCGCGAAGCCGTCAGTCCCAAAAAACAGGACCCGCCAGGGCGGCTTTTCCCGCCTCGGAGCCTCCGCGGCTCCCGAAGCGTAGCCCCGCCCCAGGCTCCACCGGCCCCGCCACGCCCGCAAAATCCGGCCCCTCATGGACCCTCCGCCGGCAGCCCCCACAAGCCGCCACCGCCGCCCACCCCGCCTACGCGCTCCAGCGTCGCGGCGCGAATGACGTATAACCCCGCGCGACACTCCACTTGCGCATCTGTGGGCGGGGCAACAACTGCTCGTGTCCAAGCTTGGTCCGTCGCGGTGGCTTGTGGGATTGCTGGGCGGTGTTAATCAAGTAACCGCAGCAACCAGGGGCAAGCCGTATCCATGGCAACTGTTCGGGGCCTACCTCGAGCCCGTACACTTGTTGTCACAGTCCATGCTATTCGCAGGAGGAGCGTTGCCTTGTTCTCCCTGTTCTTGCATTCTTTCTTTCTTTCTTTCTATTAAAGATTTTGTTGATTTACAAAAGTGTGCAATATCTCTCGCTCATGTTTTTTCCCCCATGTACAAATCAATTTCATTTGTTGAGACATTAGGAAGAAAAGGGGGGAAGAGGTAGAGCTGCGTTGCAAGCAGGAGTTCAGGCAGAAACTATAGGGGAAAACCTAAACAAGAAAATAATCATAACAGGTTGAAAAAACTACACTCAGCAGCCCCTATGTCGCAACAATATGTCGAAACTATAGAAATAGTAGAAGAGAAGTAAAAGTAAAAGACACATAGGATCTAAATAGCTTGAAGGAATATAGATATTATTATTCGTCAGTTGCATGAAGCATATCTTACTGTATTGTGGGCTGTACGAGCAAGCAAGGGATCAACTGATCAAACCCCTACTGGCAAATCGGCCGGGAAAATCTGAAGCCTCCCATATTAAATATCTCTTGGATGACAGATCTAATGATATTACACTGGCTGTGGCAAAGTTTCTCTCGGAAGTTAAAAGTAACAAGGATCAGCTTGCTTGAGACAAAACAAAATGACCGCCTCGGTTTCTCTCTCTTTTGTGGTCGGCTGTCTTAACTGTATTTTGTTCTGAAATTGTCTGATGGGTCTTTGGACCGCAATAAAGATTTTATTTATTTTATTATTACCTGTTCATGTTTGATATTTTTTGCAATCATTTCTCTTACCATTTTATGCATGGCTGTAACAAAGTGTGTGTTCTTGGAGAAATAGAAAAGCAAATAATTTTATTTTTTTAAAAAAACACACAGCAGGAACAGGTGTGTCCCCCCCACCCCGGCGTGGAGATGCCAGTGGTGGTAGGCAGGTGTCACCTGCTGCATCCCTGCCTTCCCTTACTATTGAAATAGGAATATGAATACCACATTTTCCCACCAACACTATTGTGCTCAAAAGCAGTTTGCGGAATAAGTGTCTATGGCCATTTAAACTCTCTCTCTCTCTCTTTGTGGGTGTTATTCTTTTGTTTGTTACCATGTTACATATTTTTATGCTTTTACAATGTGAACCGCTTAGTCATCCTCGGATGAAGGGTGGTATGCAAATTTAATACATATCTTTCTAATGTCAGAAAGACATTCAAGCTAACGATTTAGGAGTGTTAATAAGTTAAAATATGCAGCATTAAAGGATAAACATAGAACATCATGGAGGGAGGGATGGGAAGTCAAATGATTAATTAAACGTATTGTTGATGGTTATGTAAACTTTTGAAAACAAAATAAATACAATGCTTCAAAAATAAATAAATAAATAAATAAATACAGCAGCCACAATTATAACATGTTGCTATATAACATTGTCAGTTCAAACCTATAGTTTTAAAGAATTATTTCTGAGAGAATGCTTTTGTTTTACACTGAAGTGTTCAAAAGGGGTTTGGGGTTTTTTTGGGTTTTGCTAATCTTAACAAAAAAAGATTAAGGAAATCCATCTTTAGGGACAACTTTACCACCACCGTCAGACACTGCAGGGCAAGCGGGGCAACTGCAGGGGTCCCACTTCAGGGGCTTCTGTCACCTAAGGCCTCACCCTGCATGGGCATACTTTACAAATAAAGTAAATAAATAAAAATACTTAACTAACTGATCAATTGTGCCCCCCGCCCAAAATAATGTCTGCCCCCCCCCCCCCTAAATCCTGGCTACACACATATCATCCTCTCTTAATGGTTTAGGCTGGCCATCCATTTTGGCTTGCAGGCAGCACTAGTTATTCTCTAACCAGGCAGGGATCTGAGGTCAAAGACACTGAAGACACAAGGTAATATCTACAAGAACTGATAAACAACCTGAAATATACTACATCCCAGATTGCAGTTTCTTCCTAGATATATCAAGGGCGAAACTCACCTTTGCAACTATGTTCCTAGTGAGTAATCTTTCAGGCAAGAATACGGCAGGCCTTTGCTTGCAGTAAACTTTGCCTAGGCTGGTATTTAGAAAAGGCACTAGGGAGTGTGCCAAGCAAGGCCAGTGAAGGGTGTATGAAGAGGGTGTGTGGGCTGAGTGAGGGTCCCAGGGACCAGACAGAGGCCCAGACCTGAGGTTTCCCACCCCTGATTTAGAACAGTATAACACTTTCCCACAAAAAGTTCTCGAAGTGGTTTAGAGTGTGAAACAGGGCAACAATTGAAATAGGTAGTCAACTCAGTGCCCTCCATATGTGTTGGGCTATAACTCCCATATTTCTTTAACATTGCCAATTCTAGCTGCGGCTGATGGGAGTTGTAGTCCATATCTGGAGAATACTACATTTACTACATCTGGTTTAAAACCTCTGAATTCTAATGGTTCCATTACAGCAGCTCTTCTGAACTTTGTATCCTTTTAGAATTCAAAGCATTCAGATAGTTTGAACTTCAGCTCCAATAAGCCCCCACTCAGGATTGGGATACCAGCGGTCCAACTAGCCTTGTCTTTCCTCTGCCAACAATAAGGGTTTACCCACACTTACCTTTCGCCGTGCTTAAAAGCTCAATGTCCAAGGCATGGGTGTAGCCAGGATTTTTGTTAGGGGGTGAAAGGAGCTTTCTTTAGGAAATCAAAGTTGCCCCCCTGTCCCCTCCCCCGGCTACATCCATGGGTACAGGGGATGGGGAGGAAAGGGGGAAGAAATGAAGCGACAAGCAGCTTTTCATGTGAACAACTCCAAATCCTTACCTAGTTTGGAGTGAGGCATCACTTATTTTTATTTTGGGACTGCTCTTTTGTGCAAGCATGGTAGATCAGAAAAGGTGTATGTGCACATGCAAACGAATACCCAAGTATCTCAGCTTTCCTGGCTTGGAGCAACACCCACCCACCCACCCACCCACACACGGCTGCTGTTTTGTGCAAATCTGGTAGATTGAGAAAGCTGTATTAAAAAAAAAAGTAAAGGTGTGTGCTTACAGGTAAACAGATACCAGTGTGCAAAGCCAGCCCACCTCTGCTAGAGAAGCAGCCCCAGTATAGGTGCTGATTTCCTACTGATTTCTTGCAAGATCTCATCAAAGTCTTGCAAGAGCAAAAGGAGAGCACAGGATCTCATGAGATTTGGGTGAGATCTTGCAAGCTCCTTCAGGGAATCTGTGCCAATGCCAGGACCGCTTCTCCACAAGTGGCAGAGGTGGCACAGCTTGGTGGTACAGCTGCAGTGCCACTGGCAGTTTGGTGCCATGGTGGTGAGTGTCTCACTGGTGGTGGTGCAGCAGAGCAGGGAAGAATTTCCTGTTTTGCCTCAAGTGGCAAAATGGGACTTACTACCTCAGGATTCCAGAACTTACAGCTGTCAGTTCTAAGGGAAGGCAGGCAAGGACCCACAGCCCAGGTGGGGCTTGCTAGCACAGGAAGGAGGTGGGTGATTCCTCAGCTGGAATAGGCTCAGGACAGGTGAGGGTCACATGCCTCATCAAGCCCAGAATATACAAAAGGAAAGCTGTCCTGGCCAGGCCGGCGTCCATAGACTCCAGTGTCCATTTAGTCCACGGGTAGGCAAACTAAGGCCTGGGGTCGGATCCGGCCCAATCGCCTTCTAAATCTGGCCTGCGGACGGTCCGGGAATCAGTGTGTTTTTACATGAGTAGAATGTGCCCTTTTATTTAAAGTGCATCTCTGGGTTATTTGTAGGACATAGGAATTTGTTCATTATTTTTTTCCAAAATATAGTCTGCCCCCCCGCCCAAGGTCTGAGGGACAGTGGACTGGCCCTCTGCTGAAAAAGTTTGCTGACCCCTGATTTAGTCCATTGACTAAAAGGTATGCATTGTTCATTACTGCTAGCTGAAGGACTTTGTGCTGTATAGATAAGTTCTACTATTATCCACAGTGAGAGAAAGATAATGCACCAGTCCGCTTCCCTCCAAATTTGTGCCATGGTTTCATTTCACGATGGCAGAAAAATAATTTCTTTTTCCCAGAGGAAAAAAAATCCACTGTGGACTCTTTTAGTCTTTTGGCTTGGGGATGAGTTTATTCACCTTTGGTTTGGAGCTGTGGGTGTGGACAGCTCATGGACTTTACAAATTCCTCTCTTCTGTGCTTAGCTCCAGCGGTCCTTGGCTATAGCACAGGAGTGTGTGTGAGTAACAACAGCCTTTGCAACCAAAGAGTCAGTGCTGAGATTCTCACAACCGACCCCAGGCACTGAACAGCTTAGAGGGGCAGCATCTTCAGAAAGCTGATTCAACATAACACTATCTTCCCATTGATTCCTGAGCACAAAGGGCATACTTTCTGGTAAGATCATTCTTAAATGTTTGCAAAGGGGAATGGGATGAAACCAAGAAGGTGTGTTAGGGAGGGGAAGAAGGTTGGTTTCTAAGAGGAGAACACTATTATTTCTGTATGTTATGGTTATTTCTAATTGCTTAATATACTTTTGAATTGTTATTCATTTCATATGTTGTGAGCCACTTAGGGGAATAATTTTCGGGGAAAGTGGCATACAAATGAACAGCTGGTGATGATGACAACTAGAGTTCAGATTTGCAGTTTGGGCCCCCAATTCCCAGATGTCAAAGAGATCACTCTGACTCCTCAGTGGGTAACGCATTTTGCCTAAGCTTAGAGATGTTTCTGTCCAGAGATCCTTGAAATGTTCTTAAGCTTTATAATGGGGATGGGGGGGGTGGACAAGGTAGTGCCCTCCAGATGTTGGTGGACTCCAACTCCCATCATCCCTGACCACTGGTTGTGCTGGCTAGGGTTGATGGGAGTTGTAGTCCAGCAACATCTGGAGGGCACATCCCTCTTTGGCCCGGCTTTGCATCCTCCGTGAGTGTCTTTGCCCAGTTGGACTGTGTCTTTGTACTGGAGAATCCCTCTTGCTTGCCTAAATGGAGGACAGAGAGGGGTGTGGTGAGTGAATGTAAAAACTAGCCCCCTCAAATGTAAAATTTACATTTGTTGCCCCACCCACCTTTGCTTCTGCCCCCACCCACCATAGGCATGTGGACCCCAAAAGACTGGCCAGAAGGGAATGTGGCCTCAGGCTGAGGACAGCTCCCTTTCCTGATCTAACTTTTTGGTGTGCTCCTCTTCTTTTGCACTTAAGTCTCCCTGATTGAGAAAGGCATTCTGAAAACCCACACCATATCTTTTAAGTACATTGTTTCCGCCTATGAATCCTGGGACTGGTAGCTGCAGTTCCTTAAGGGTGCTGAGAACCGTGGCTCTGTGAGGAGTAAGCTACAGTTCCCAGGATTCTTGTGGGGGGCGGGGTAAGCCCTGACTGTTAAAGTGGTATGTATGCTGTGGTTGTCACTACACAGACATATAGAGCCATGCGCAGCTTATAACACTCTTTTCTGTCTCTATAACTGCAATAACCTCTTTTGGCCATGAAATGTGAACTTTGACCTGCTATGAGATTAAATCCGGGGGAATGTAGCAAGAGGGAAAGTGATAAAGGAGGTCACTAACCGTAAGGATGCGTGTTCTTTGCCCTGGGTAGAAACTCCTTGATAGTGATGACTCAGAGCCAGCGGGTAGCAGCCAATTGCAGTTTCTATGTTTGTGGCTCAGCTTGAGAGGCAATGATGCTTCTGAATACCAGTTGCTGGAAACCACAGAGTGGGAGAGGGCTCTCCTGCTCAGGTCCTGCTTGCTGGTTTCCCACAGGCATCTGGTTGGCCACTGTGAGAACAAGATGCTGAACTGAATGGGCCATTGGCCTGATCCAGCAGGCTATTCTTATACTAAACATCTTTAAAATGAACCTATGTCAGAAATGTTGCTGTGGATGGGAGGAATGCACATTTTAAAACTTAGTGGCTGGAGTGCTTTGTGAAAATTTGATTGTGTACCCAGAGGTGTAGTATAAGGTTACCAGATTTTTTTCAATGAATCCGGGGACACTTGTCAACTCCCTACTAAATACAGTGGTACCTCTGGTTGCAAACGGGATCCGTTCCGGAGGCCCGTTCACAACATGAAAAGTGTGCAACCCGCAGTCTGCGCATGTGTGGGTTGCGATTCACCCCTTCTGTGCATGCGTGTGACGTCATTTTGCGCTTCTGCGCATGCGTAAGCGGCGAAACCCAGAAGTTACCCTTTCCAGTACTTCCGGGTCACCGTGGGACGTAACCTGAAAGAACATAACATGAAGCGGACGTAACATAAGGTATGACTGTAGATGGATTTTGTCAGGGGACTGATCTGTAAATCCGGGGACTGTCCCTTGGAAATGGGCACATCTGGTAACCTTAGTGTAGCAGCCTCCGCCAGCGCCTAGGGTAGACCCAAGTTGTTGAACACTACAAACCTCCATGCCACCCAAAAGACCCCCATGGTGCCCTACGGCCCCCCAGTGTGGACCGCCCCCTCCCCCCGGCTACTGTGTGTACCTGTGTGTAGTGCAATGGAATGGAAACATGTTTTCCTCTTCAAATCTCATGGGCTTTGCTGCAATTGGACCCTGTCTCTTGTGATGCTGTCCATTTTCAGAATATCAATAATTTGTACGCAAATAAGCATCTTGGTTCCCCTCCCCCATCTAGGTTCTATTTGAAGATCCTTTGAAAGAAGACTGGAAGAGTTCCTGCGCCATCATGAACACTTTCTGGGCAATCCTCTGTTTTGTGGTGTATGGTAAGTATAGGGGTGTGTATAGAAACTAGGAGAGGATATATTTCTTAGGTATCATCCTTCCTTACTCACATTTGTGAGTTCAGCAGAGTACACCCCTTTGCCAGCAAAAATAAGGAAGCTGTTGATAAGCTAGCTTTCGCTTTTTTATTTAAGTACCGTATTTTTCGCCCCATAGGGCGCACTGCCCCATAGGATGCACCTAGTGTTTTTTTTGGGGGGGGGGAATAAAGAAAAAAAAATTTTCCCTCCCAGGCACGGGGCTGGCGCGGGCGAAGCCCGAGCTTCCCCCGACCCCAGCCCCCAGAACAGCCTGCTATCCGCAAGCCTAGGGAGCCGCGCCGGTCTCCCCAGGCTTGTGGAGAGCTGCGCAAAGCCCGGGCGCGCTCTTCAGCGCGCCCCAGGCTTCGGAATGCAGGCAGCTCTGCGCAACCCTAGGGAGCCCGGCGCGAAGTCGTGCCAGTCTCCCAAGGATTGCGCAGAGCTTCCTGAAGGCTGGAGAGTGAGAGGGGTCGGTGCACACTGACCCCTCTCACTCTCCAGGCTTCAGCGAAAGCCTGCATTCGCCCCATAGGACGCACACACATTTCCCCTTCATTTTTGGAGGGGAAAAAGTGCGTCCTATAGGGTGAAAAATACAGTATCTAAAGCCATTTGCACATAACAAAGTATGTATTTTATCAAAGTAATTGTTGAACTGAAATACAATTAAGAAGAAGTATATTAATAGTGATTTGGGGGGGGAGCCAAGAGAGTGGGGACCTAAGCTATAGCTTGTTTAGCTTATATGTAAATCTGGCACTGGTCTTAGAGCAAATAATCTGTTATCTGTTTGTGATAAAATAGATGCCTTACACAGCACTTGAAGGTACGTAAATCTTTACTCATATTTGTGTGTGTGTGTGTGTGTGTGTGTGTGTGTGTGTTTGCAATGCTTTTCTCCCTTGAGTCCAAGAGAGGGTTTAGTCATTTTGCTTTCAAAACTCCTCCACAGCAGTGCATAAGTTATTAATCCAAACCTTGCCTGTTCTCAGAAACTCCTCCAGACAGTGTCTGCTTGAAGTCACCCCACTCAACATTCTCAGTCAAAAAAATCAACTAACGGAATAATCAACCAACTGCCAACTGCCACTTCCTCCTTCTTTCTTTAACACCATTCATTATATGTGTACAATGCAATAGAGTACAAATACTAGCATGATCTGTCTCTGTCGCATCCCAGCCTGGTCCAATATCTTGTACTGGGATTAAAGAATGTCAAGTGAGACAGCTAGGAAAGGCACTTCCATTTCCGGATCTGAAGAGCCGCTCCCAAGCTGAAACAAACAGTCCAGGCCAGTGAATGAAACAATTGTCAGAGAGCTCCATAGACCCGCAGGCACTCACAACCTGGGGAATTATGAACTGTCCAATGCATTAACCAGATTTAAAACCCAGCCATGGGTTGTGTGTCCAATGTAGCACCAGATTTATGTCACTTAGTGGTATACAGTGGTACCTCGGGTTACATACGCTTCAGGTTACATACGCTTCAGGTTACAGACTCTGCTAACCCAGAAATAGTACCTCGGGTTAAGAACTTTGCTTCAGGATGAGAACAGAAATTGAGCTGTGGCAGCGCAGCGGCAGCAGGAGGCCCCATTAGCTAAAGTGGTGCTTCAGGTTAAGAACAGTTTCAGGTTAAGAACGGACCTACGGAACGAATTAAGTACTTAACCCAAGGTACCACTGAACAGTAAACCCGCAACTTACGCAGGGGTTACGTTCCAGAGATTGCACCCGAAGGTAAAACTGTGTATAGTCAAAACACATCTGGCTCAGTGGTGGGTGGGATTGTCCAAATCATTCCCCCCCCCCCCCGGAACTCCGCTCCCATTCTGTTTTTTAAATTTTGTGCCACACATGTAAAGTTGAATGAGCACAAATTAAATCTGCATAAGTTCTGGGCTTACTGTAGTTGCTCTGTTGATGTACAGTGGTACCTCGGGTTACATACGCTTCAGGTTACATATGCTTCAGGTTACAGACTCCGCTAAGCCAGAAATAGTACCTCAGGTTAAGAACTTTGCTTCAGGATAAGAACAGAAATTGTGCTCCAGCGGCGCGGCAGCAGCAGGAGGCCCCATTAGCTAAAGTGCTGCTTCAGGTTAAGAACAGTTTCAGGTTAAGAACGGACCTCCGGAACGAATTAAGTACTTACCCCGAGGTATCACTGTACTGTTTTGCACCAGTGGAACACTGTTGCACAAGACGTTGCACCAGCTGATTGCTGGTCACCTTGTTGCACAGTAGAACACACAATTTGTTGTGCAGCAAGTTTCCATTAGCACAGCTGCTGTGTTGGAGTCCTCTGCTGCGTGACATTAAAACTCATCTGTCCAGCAGCACAAAAGCCCTGGCACTAGCAGACAGCAAATGTTGGGCACAACTTCATGTCATGATGGGCTGGTACTGGTTACATTCCCATAACCTGGTGCCTTCCAGAGGCTTTGGATTCCAGCTCCCGTCAGCCCCAGCCAGCAGGGCCAATGGTCAGAGGTAAAAGGAGTCGCAGTCCAAATAATGTGGAGGACACTGGGTTGGGAGGTGGCTGAGTTACAGTGTTGTTTTAAAGGTTAAATACAGAACCAAGGGACAGTATTTGATAGTCATTACAGCCCAGGGTTAAAGCTATGACTGGAAACTCATTTTGTGCTGTTCTCTCACCCAGCAGTGAACACAGACCTGAGTGGACACTCTGCCCTGGCCATGTCTAGCCCACACGCTCAAGATCCCCCAGAGATCAGCGGTAAGGCTGAAACAGAAGAGATGCCTTCAGCGATGCTTCAGGAGCTGCTGTGGTTTTTCAGGAGAGAAGAATGTGAGTTCTCAGAAGGATAGGCTTGTTTGCAGAATTGTCACTGATGAGTGTTGTGGGCCCTAGGGCAGTTCCCACATTACACATTCTGTGTAATAGCTGAGCAGTACACTTACAGAGCTTTTCACATGTAACCTTCGACGTGTGCACAGCCTGTGCATGCAACAGTTGAGCTGTACAAGTTACCAAATGTATGCTCCTCCACACATGCACCCGTCGATGTGTAAGAGAGCGCTTGTACCTGTTTTCAGTGCAATGTGTGGACAGTCTTTCTAAGACTCAGAGCGTGGAGACTGAGAGCCCAGGGTGGAGTTTAGAGAGTGAATTAACAGTCAATCTCTCTTCCCAGGGAACTCTGGGAATGGTAATTCTTGAGGGGAACAGGTGCTCCTAGCAACTCTCAACACCCTTAAGAAAACACAGTTCCCAGAATTCCTTGGTGGAAGCTGTGACTGTTTAAAGTGGTACAAAGGTGGTTTAAATGTATAATGCAGATGGAGCCCATGTTGGAAAGGCAGAAAGGGTGGGACAGGCTGTGAGAGAGACAGCCGGACAGCAATTCCCAGGAGCTATTGACCCATATTATCATGGCTCCCTGTTTTCTCTTGCAGCAACTACATGGAATTACTGCATTCTCGGCCTTTCAGTGCTGGTTCTGCTTGTAGGCATAGTCCTCTTGTGGAAACGTATTGCAGCAAACAGGTAAGGATAATGCCAGAATGGAGGGTTCTTATGTAATGTCTCCTCAGCTGGGCTCGTTGGCTTGCAGAGTCGGAGCTGGAGATGAGGAAGAAATTTGGTTCGGCTTACCTTTCAAAGCAAACTTACCTCATTTGCACTTCCTGAAAACAATACTTGAAAGGAAATGCAGCTAGCCTTCAAAATTGGCATGTCTCTGAACTTTTTCATATGGTTCTCAGGATTCTTTGGGAGAAGCCATAATTTTTCAATGTGGTGTGATAGTGCAGAGGGGCAGCAAGTTGGAGCTGTGCAGAGCACTAGCCATGTAGTGCGAATGCTGTGGATGTGTCTCTGCTACAGACTTAAATAGGTTTGAGCCATTTTCTATCCCCAGGAAACCTCGAGAAATATAGTTTTCAGTCTCTTCCTGTCTCAAAATTAATCTGAGCCTGATTAATTTATTTTATTTATTTCTTCTCCTCCCATCCTGCTAGAGCCCAGAAGATTGCCCTCATGCACCAAGAAGGGTATGTAGCTGGCCAGCCTGATGAGACGGAAATGAAGCAAGCTTTTGTGCCTTTGAAGGAAGATAACAACTCTGGTTCCCCCCCAGAGAACTTCCTTCCAAAAGGAGAAAATGCAGGGCAGGTGACGATCCATTGGAAGGATGGGAACGTTACAACCATGTTTGCAGATGTGCCTGAGGAGGATGCATAGGGTTACACAAGATTGTCATTAGTTTTTTGGAAATTGGGTTTCTAAGCCAAGCAAAATTCATCAACTGGACCCAAAGTAGCTGCAAAGGGGTGAGGTATTAATGTTACATGTGGTGCAAGGTACCAAATTGACCATTTCTATTCATGCAGTGGGTGTAATTATAATTTAAAAGTGTTCCTTTAGAATTTCTTTACAGGGGGTTTGAGATGAAAAGAGAAAGTAACTCAAATGTTCCATGGTCTGGAGTACATCAAGGAATGGAGGGCAGGTATTATTCTGTACACCTGTATGATCAATAAATGCTTTCCATATTTTCTTAATTTACCATTTGTCCCCTGGTTACATTTTGTGTGTGTTCATTTCTCTAAAAAGGCACATTGCCAAACTTTTTGGTACCACAGGTCAATATTGTTTACATTCCAAAGGGTCTTCCAGTTCTGAGCTACATCTGCTTGTGCGGGAGGAAGGAAGCGTTAAGATGATCAGCATGTATAAAGACTGAGCTATCTTAAGCCTGTTATGTTCGTACCCCTTGCATCTGTTTTGTTTTTCTTTATCTTTAATTTGCATTTTCGAAAAAGCTCAGTAAAGGGAAAAAAGAGGGAGAAATAACAATTTAAAAGTGCAGTTTAAAACGGTGAATTGTGAAACTGAACTGGAGTGAGTGACCAGAATGTCCAAGAACATGGAATGAATGAATAAACGAACACATTTACATTACAAAGTTACATATATAGCTTTTATATACACAAATGGAACCAGGAGTGGTAATTAATCCCCATGAATGAATGCACAAGGCTGTGGTATTACAGGATCGTAGGGCTGAATAAATCAAACCCTAAACAGAGAAGGGGAGGGGGAGGGGAAATTGCTATTGTGCCAACAAGCAAAATGAAACAAAAGATTCCACACTTGGCTTTCCCAAAGTTTCCTTCATCAAAATATTTTCCGCACCAGTTGGGTGAAATAGCAATGCTGAATTTAAAGGTCGCCGCTCCCCAAGAAGCATCAAGATAGAAGTTAAAGTTGGTTCTGCACACACATCCCACTTCCTTCCTACTCCCCTTGTGGAAAAAGAGAACAGATGGGGAAATAAATCAATGGTCTTTATTATGAAAGTGCCGCGCTGGTTTTCTTCACTCTTAGTTTCTTGGTTACCTTTAGAGCAGCATTGCTGCATGTTGTCATTCGATTGCAAAATAATTTGGGGCAAGTGGGAAACAGATCAGACTTAGAAGGGAAAAAGAAGAAAAGAAAGGCATTCTAAGTTAAGGCACCATTTAACTCATTACTTCAGCTGAGCAGGCAAAATGATACTGGGTGTTTACCGAGGTCAGATCTAACTGATGCTGGTTTTGTACTAGTTTAATTGCTACCTCTTTCTCCACACACCCTTCCACTGCCTGATACTGAGAACTGTAGTTTCAGCGCCTCCACCAGACTTCTGTACATAAGGCTAAAATGGAGGAAAGGACTATCAATGGCTGTGCTGTTCCTTCAAGTCAGAGCCAGTGGCTTGGAATCATAGGCGTGAAGAGTGCTGCTGTTCCTCTAAGGCAGCGGTTCTCAATCTGTGGGTCCCCAGATGTTCTTGGACTACAACTCCCATCATCCCTGAGCTCTGGCCTTGCTAGCTAGGGGTGACAGGAGTTGTAGTTCAAGAACATCTGGGGACCCACAGGTTGAGAAAGGCTGCTCTAAGGTCTTGTGGATATCTTCTAGGTCGGCCACTGTGAGAACAGCGTGTTGGACTAGAGGGGCTTTGGCCAGCCAGATCCAGTAGGGAAATTCTTACGTCCTTATTTTGAGAGTGCTGTTGCACTCAGGTCCTGCTTGGGGGCAGCTGGTTAGCCAGTGTGAGAACCAGATGATGGGCTAGATGGGCTTTTACCTTATATTCCCCTATTAGAAACCTCCCAGCCTCACTCACAGATGCTTCTCTGGGCCCCAAGACTAATTTAAGGACAGAAATTGATGGGACCTCAATGGCACGGATGCAGCTGGCATCTTTGTTCTTGTGAGGTGTAAACAGCAGCCACAGCGGAGCCTGACCAGCTCTGGTCTGTTACAGGGTGGGCTGGGGGCATGCGAAGATTGCGAAGATTGGTTCTCTCTCTCCCTTCCACAGTCCACAACCACGACAACTGCCCCTTAGAAGCTGCTATTTACATTTCAAGGGAAGCTCTCTTTCTCAGTAGGAAAAGAGCGGAACTTGCCTGCCCCACCACTGTAGTTTTGAGGCTATTCAGGTGTCTTTGGGGCTGTTTTGTTTACATGACAAAAAACAACAACAACTTTTTGGGGGTGGGGAGTAGCAATGTGGTCCAATGATGCTTGTTGTCATGTCACACCTCACCCACTGTTGATTTAGAGCGGCATGCAGGGGTGCCAACTTGAATAAAATATTTCAAGGGGCCCCAGGTAAGCCCTGCCCTGCATAATCAATCACAAGATGTGGCACACACAAACACCATTTGAATGCCAATGCCCATTAACTTGGCCCCTCAAATATTTTATTGGGGCGTTGGCACCTGTGGTGGCAGGCCTGTATCTTAGCCATAAAGCCAGAGTTCTGTGACACTGCAGTGTGAAAGGAACATTAGAAATCAGTTCAGAAGTGCTAGCAGAAAAATGAACACAATACTCTCTGCTTCTGAATGCACCCTACGTTTGCAGTGTGTACTTGAATGTGCTGTGCGTGCGTGGTGCCCAGGACAGATTCTCCAGTTTGCAAATGTGCCCACAGGCCCAAAAAAGCTGGTGACCCCTGCGCCAGGAGCGCTGATGGAAAATGTACGCAAGGAACGATATGCCATTCTTTCACCAGGGGGCTCTGTGTCCCTTTAGCCTGTTCTTTGGCAGTGCGTTGGAAAGCTGGACGTGGAGGCATCCTCAATACCCAAACAACAGGCACTTTTTGTTTCAACGGCACACGCGTCATGTGCTCCTGCCCACACACCCCTGTGCGTTTGTGCCTGTCCTCCTGCTATCTCCATCTGCTATCTCCATTTCCTAGCCTATCACACACACACAGATTGGCAGTTACAAAATGCCAATCATAATGCAGACAAACTTTGCAAGAGCGACAAAACTATGCAAGTATGCGATGCAATTTCTGCCGGTTGTAAGGTATCCATGCATTGGGTGCAGAATTTGAAAAAGGTCTTGGAGCAGCGTCGATATCAATCCTGGTCAAACTGCATGCGGCACAGTCGCTTAATGCCGTTAGCCCTGCAGTTTTGGCATTGGCATAGCAGGCTCTGATGGAGGAGGGAGAAATGGGGTGCTGACCCGGGTTGGACTTCAGTCACTTTGGAAGGGGGAGCAGGGATGTCAGCTCTTCCCGTTTGACCTTCCCGAGGAGTAGAGAGCCCCAGTGGAAGCTGGGGAGGATTTTGATCAGCCGGGTTGAGGGAGAGCAGAAAGCAGCACAGCAGTGACTGAACTGGAGCCTGAACAGGAGGGTGCAGCCTTGTCGCTGAAAACCACTATTGTTGGAGGTGTTAGGTCCCAAAACAGCAGCCGCTGGGAATCACAAATAGGGAGAGTTGCTGTTCCGCTCATGTGCTACTTGTGTTTTCCCCATAAGACTAGATGAATCTTTGGCAAGGCTCTTCTTATGTTCCCAGCATGCTTTGCTCTAGTACGAGAGACCACGCGGAAAGCAAGGAAGGCCAGTACACCAGCCTTTAAGATGGCTGCTGAGGGTTAATGCAGTCAGGCAAAGGGCCCCAACTTGCTCTCCCATCCTGAAGCAGCCCTTTACAGGCTCCCTTCAAAAGATCTTAAATCCCTTCAGTAATGTCAACGTTGGAGCCTTCCTCTTGCTCTGGGCCCTGGAGGATTTTACCGTGACCAGCTTGGCCTGGGCCACCGAAGGGATTTCCTTGAAGTTCACGGTGGAGAGAGTGTTGTAGGTGCAGCTGGCCAGGCTGTGCTTGGAGGCCATGGCGGCTGGAGGGACAAGGTGAAGGGACGGCTTCTCCTCGATGATGAACAAGGGGCGGACCGCCATGTGCCTCTCCATCTCCCGCCTCACCTCACGCACCGCCTCGTGGAACATGTGCTGCACAGATTCAAAATCCAGGCAGGCCGAGACTTCGTAGAAGGAGGAGCCGTACTTAGAGGCCAGCGAAATCCCCTCAGCTTTGGTCACCTGCCTGAGAAAAGAAATCAGAAATGGTCACTCTCCAACAGACCATTTGACCTACAAACAACCCCTGCTCAAATGGTGATCTGGGGGTCTAGGCATTGCAAGGCCTGGGCTAGGGACTCTGATGGTGGGTGAATCTGGCCATTTTGGTTTTTCTGTTTCTCATTTCTCATTAAGTTCAGTTCTCCACACTTCAGTTTCTGAATTTGTTTTTTTGTTTTAAAGTCCTCAAGAAAATTCATAAGATTTTTGTGTGAACTGCTACTAATAACAACATTTTTGCAAAGCATGCTTTCGCTAATATATTCCCTTCTTTAATGAATTTTTGTATGTTATTTTGCATGCATTTTTATGCACACTTCATGCTAGCATAAGGAATTTTGCACACTTTTCTTGGCTGGGGAACTGCATGGCAAATTCAGAGAAGTGAGAATTTTGAAAGATGTCTGAGTTTCAGTTTGCATATTTCAGAAAATGCAAATTAAGTATGCCACTGCATAGGTCTGGCTGATAAATCGTGGGGTTCTGGTTTTCTTAAACTTGATTCAGAAAACCTGAAGTCCCACAGTCCCAATATAGGGTGCTCAATTTTACATCATCATTTGAACTAAGCAGCCTGTTTGGGGAGCGTCAGGCTTCTTCATCATTCTCATTTACTGTATGGGGAAGGGCCATAAGTCCATGGTACAGTGTCTTGCCTTGTATCCAGAAGGTCCTAAGTTCAATCCCTGGCATCTCCAGGTAGGGCTGGGAGTGACTACTGCCTGAAACCCTGGAGAGCTGCTGCCAGTCAGTGTAAACATTAATGATCTCAGTAGCTGCCTGCTTCAAGCATTACCTGTATTGTTCCATATCCAGCTTGTTCCCCACCAGGAAAACCGGAGATTCATGCTGGGCATTTTTCAGGTGCAGTGCTATGATGTCCAAGTATTGCTGGCTTCCCTCAAAGCTCTTCCGGTTGTCGATGCTGTAGACCACCATGAATGCGCTGGCCCAATTCAAGTATCGCTCGCAGCTCACTGGCACATCCTAGCAGGGAACCAACCACATGGGGATTATTAGTGACTATCTGGGTGGTCACTGAGGACAGCATGTTGGACTAGATGGGCCATTGGCATGATCTAGGAGGCTCGTCTTATGTTCTTAAATTGCATTTGAAAATTCATTTACCAATCCCATGCATATCCTGCTCTTCCTTCTCAAAAAGGAGACAAAATTTAAATGACATTCTCATGGGTGGCTGAAGGTTGTTTGTGATTTCATTCTACAAATCATCTTTCCAGTGGTCCACACTCTGCAGCCTTCCTGGGTATCCATGATGAGAAGACAACATGAGGCAACTCCCCTCATCGGGCTGTTTCAGAACAGGAAATGCAGGCACCTGGGAAGGCTGCGGTATAACTCCTCAGTACAATAAAAAGGATGCTTTTAAGGACCTGGTAACTCCCACCTTCATTTTAACCTCACAACAAACCTGCAAGGTTGGGTAGGCTGGAAAATGGTGACTGGTCCAAGGTCATCCTGTGAACTTAACTGCTGTGTGAGATTTGAACCCAGGTCTCCCCAAACCTAGTCCCATACTGCACCAAGGACGCTGAATGGCTCTTGGTGTAGTGGTTAGAGTGTTAGGCTAGGGCCTGAGAGATCAGGGTTCAAATCCCCACTTGGCTATGAAGCAACTGCACGGTACCCATAAGAATTTCACTGCCTCTTAGCCCAACCAACCTGACAAGGTTTTTGTTGGGATTCAAGAAGGAGGGTAATCCATGTAGGCCACCTTTGGTTCTTTGCAGAAGAAGGTGGGGGGTATAAATGCAACAAATAAATTAAACTTCATAGCTGTTTCCTCCAGGAATTTGTTTATCCCCGCCTCCCACCCCTTTAAAAGCAACTAAGGACAGCAGCACAACTTATAACAGCAGTGAGTTCTGCAAGTTGGTCACAGGAGTTGTTAGAAGGGCTTCCCTTTCTCTGTTCCGCCTCTACAGCCAACCAATGAATGCCACTGGGTGACCCTGCATTCTAGTGCTACGAGGGAGAAAGAATTCTCTCCATCCCCAGACACCATGTATAATGTCAAAAATCTGCATCGTGCCTTGTTATTTCTAAACTGAAAAACTTTCAAAATGCTTTGGCTGTTACTCACAAGAAAGGTGCTGCAGGCCAGCTGCTAGCAGCTCCCCTCCTCTTCCTCCCACTTTTGTCCATTGTTTGCAGCATTAGAAACAAGAGCCATTATGCAATTTGACTCCTGATGTGCCTGGGGCAAACTAATCCTCAGAGCCTTATAAGAATGGGGCATTTTGTTCCTGTGCTAAGATAGGCTTGCAGGCTGGCTTTGGCATTCATCCATTTATTCTGTCATTCTGCCTTTCAAAAGAAGGCAATTAAAAGAAGCTTGGTTTTAAAATAAACCCTATTCTATTTACCTGACACTGTCCCTAATAAACTTTAAAAATATTCCAGGGCAATGAAGAGGAGAAAGAGGCAACTTGACTCCAGTGTCCAAAGCAGAGTGTGCCTCTGGTGAACAGAAATGCTCAAGTTCACAGTAAGATAGTGCATGAATGGTGCAGTTGCAAAGGAGCCTTTGTGCCAGGACTCAGTTCTCCATTACCTGGTCGGCTGTATCCATGACCTTCAGTAGAACTGGTTGTTGGTCCACCACCTCTTCTGAAGCATATGTGTCCTCTGCAAGACAATGTTTTTTAAAATGGCATTAATCTAGAAGCAGACCAGCTTCTAAACCCAAACCCAAGCCATTACTAGGGTGGTCAACAGGACTGCAATACCTCAATGACTTCCTCTCTCCATATAAACCTACCCAGACTCTGAGATCATAATCTGAGGCCTTTCTTCATGTGCCTCCTCTATTAGAGGTCCAGAGGGTGACATCGCAACAATGGGCCTTTTCTGCAGTGGTCCCCCATTTGTGGAATGCTCTCCCTAGGGAGGTTCGCCTGGTGCCTTCATTATACACCTTGAGGCGCAAGGCAGAACATTCCTCTTTAACCAGGCCTTTGGCTGATTGACATCCAATGCCCTTTAAAAGTGTGTTGGGGGGATTATTAGGTTGTTCTTGTTCTTATTTTTATTATGCATTTTGTGTTTTTATCTTATGATTTTATCTTGTGAACCACCCTGAGACCTGTGAGTATAGGGCAGTATATAAATGCAGCAGCAGCAGCAGCAGCAGTAGTAGTAGTAGTAGTAATACTAATAATGAGGAGGAGGAGGAGGACTGGGCTCCTGCACCTTTGATAGTTGCATGACCAGCTGAAATCTTCTCTTCTACACACTATTAAAGGTTCAGGAGTCCCATCCACTTTTCCACCCGGCTACCCTCAAGCAACAGGCTATGTCAGAATGGAGCCTTTCTGTCCAGGATTCATCCAATACTTTTTTCCGCTTGAGGCTAAGTGAGATTCCATCCCATTCCATGGGCAGAAGCCAATTAGGCAAGCAGTTGATCTTATGTCAACACTGGTGATGGGACAGAACTGTGGGTTCCACACAGCTCTGTTTTCCAAAATGTTGCTACTGCCTGTTTCCCCCAGCCTCTGCCTCCTGAGTGGACCCTTCCCTCTGCTTCCCATGGTAGGGATAGCCCTGCTTCCATCCCACCATAATCAAAGCTAGATGAGCAATTGGCTGCAAGGAGAAGCCCTCAATATGTCTTTTGTCTCCTGCCACCTGGAAGGCACCAGCGATGTTTCCTGGGCTTACAGGCTGGAGTGGCTGCCTTCTGCTGTGTCTTCTGTGCTTCAAACCTAAACTGGCTCTGTCACGTTAAAAATGCAAAACTAGAAAGTGTCAAGTGCTTGACAGTCATCTGGTCCCCTTTGGACTGATTGGCCAAAACACTGGGATCTGGGATCTGTTTCTTGCTGAGAAAGCAGGTAGAAATATTGCCTGAATGTTTCCTCTTGAATCAAGAAAAGAGATGAGTGGATAGACAGACAGTTATAGTTAGATAGATAGATAGATAGATGGATAGATAGATAGATAGATAGATAGATAGATAGATAGATAGATGGGCAGGCAGGCAAACTGGCAAACATAATCTCTAGCCCCCTTTCCTGGAATCTCTACATTCAGGAAAGAGATTTGATAGATCCAGAGCTTTGTCACTTCTGTCTCACACACACCCGGGCTCTCTGGCTTTCTCCTAAATTTTCCTCTCCCCATCCCAGGCCTCTGGGCTTGACTCAGAATAGCCACCTGCCAAGAATTTCTGCAAGATTACATCTCGACTGTCTTGTCACTGACACACGGATGAAGCCGTTGGCAGCCTGAGCTCTTGTTCTCTGCAGATGCATCAATTAGCAGGAAAAAAATGGGAAAGATGCTTTATTCCAGGTCTGATTCTTGGTCCATCTCGTTCAGTATTGTCTGCTCGGACTGGCTGCAGGGTTTCCGACAGAGAGTCTTTCCCTGCCCTACCTGGAGACGCCAGGGAATGAATCTGGAAGCTTCCGCATGCAAAGTGTGTGCTCTTCCACTAAGCCTTCCCTCCAGAATCAAGCGAGATCTCCCTGCTTGCATACATACATACAGTCAGACCCTTGGTCTATCTAGCTCAGTATTGTTCACACTGACCAGCAGCAGCTCTCCTAAGTTCCAGCTCAGAGTCCTTCCCAACCACTGGACCTCCTTCATGCAAAGCAGATGCCCCATGACCAAGCTAAGGGCTATCCTTTGCCCCTCTACAGTTTCCCTGGTTAACTAAGCAGTGCATGGGGTTGCAAAGTTTATTCTGCAAGGACAAAAGAACCCCTTGCTCCATCTTCTGAAGAGTTTTCCCTGCAGTCACCAGGGACTATTTTCATCTCAGAGGATGGGCATCCCAGAGGACAAGAAACTCCACACTGGAAATTCCACCCCACCTCTTTTCTGGATTGCCCCAGAATCTGGACAATAATGACCTTCAAAGCAAAGGGGAAATTCTCTCGGTCCAATTAAAAAACATTTCCATGCCCTTTTCATTGCTCTGCTAAATGAATGCCCAGTGATTCATCTAGCAAGATATTTCCGCAGAGTAATATTTTCACAGAGACTTCAAAACTGGTGGAGCGGCATCCTCCACTCCTTTTCCTTTTGTTGAAAACAAGGTTATAATTGCCGACATTTGAAGAATGAATATTTGGGAACACAGAACCCATTAAAGTGAGGAGGCCTTCAGATGAGTTCCTGGGTTTTGCCTGCATGCATAACTTGCCATAAATCATTTGCGGCTCATTGCCGTCCCCTTTGAGGTTGGCCTATTAAAAAAAGCAGCCCCGTTTGCTTGAATGCAATCAGTGGGAAAGTATGCTGGAAATGTTTAACATTGGCAGCGCAAGGTAATCGTGAGCGCTGAATTCTGGCCCAGCCAGACCCATTTGTTTTTAGAAAGAAGACCCCTGCCAAAGTTAACACATTGCAGGTTTGTGCATTCAGATAGAGCTGTTTCTGCACCATTTAGACTATGTTTAAAAATAAAAAAAGGAAGAGAGGGAATCAGGTATCTATATTAGTGTTTAGGCTGCTTTCAGAAGCAAACCCATGGAAATGCATGGCAATCGTGTCCTTAAAAGTTGCATAGAAAAGGGACTCTGTATAGCTTATCACACTGCAGAATGTCAGATGCTGCACTTAACTTACCCTCAACCCTTAAAAACACATTTTCAATGCAATAGTTTGGAAGTAGCAACCAAACCACAGATTGGTCATTCGATCTGAGACCCCATCTGGACTATTGATTTAAAGCAGTATTGTCCCACTTTAAGCAGACTTGGCTTCCCTGCCCCAAGGAATTCTGGGATCTGTGGTTTGTAAAGGGTGCTAGGAAGAGGGAATTGATCGTTAAACCATTTTGGGAATAGCTCTGTGAGGGGGAACAGGGGTCTCCAAACAACTCTCAGCACGCTTAATGAACTACAGCTCCCAGGTTTCTTCAGGAGAAGACATGGCTTTTTAAAGTGGGATGATACTGTTTTAAATGTGTAGTGCAGATATGGCCTGCGTCCCATCTTCTGGTACCCTTATTCTTCCTGTGTCTTCTATGCACTGGCGGAGGAAGAGGAGTGTGGGGGGAGTGCTGGGCGCCACGCCCCTGCAGGTGGCACACCCCGCCCCCAGGACACACGCCAGCCCTGCCCCCACCTGCTCTTCGCCCCCCCCCCCCCCGGTGCTGGAGCATGAAGCTCCGCCACCGCTTCTATGTACACCCCTGATTTACTGGTTCTTGGCAAAACATGAGAGGATCTGTGTCTGTGGTAGAGCAGCAGAAGATGGCAATTTCAATTCCCTGCCATTTCCAGAAATTGCTGGGAAATCGAAACCTCGGAGAGCCCATATCAGTCAGTGTAGCCACTATCTGGACAACCCTGTAGCACAGGAGTGACAGAGATGTGGCCTCCCAACTGGGCCGCAGTTCCCATCATCCCCATACAGGGATGGTCAGGGGTAATGGGAACTGTAGTCCGACAACCTCTTCAGGTTACCAGGCAGGGGAAAGCTGACTATCACTGCTTCAATGAAATGTGCATGCCATCCTCAAACCTCCCAGCTCACAAAAAGTAAAAGAGAGCAACACAGAGATATTTGGAGGGTTTCGTTTTATATCCTGGCTGCCTTGCCTTTGCTTGCTACACAATCAGTGTTTTCCATCTCTGCTTCGTCCCTTGGTATGTGCTCTAAATTTGGCAGTTTGTTTTGAAACAATGGCGGAAAAAAACATCGCAACTTAAAATACCTTGGAATATTTCCGGACAAGCTCTCTCTCTCTCTCCCCCCCCCATCCCGCCATTTCTCCAAGAAGGCAGATGGAACGGTGGCTGATGTCCCCCAGAGACCCAACAATCAGGTCTCTTTTCTGCTTAATTATTACTGGACACTTCTAGGACAAACAACCCACCCCCTTTTGTGTGTCTCTGATGAGTCCTTGTGGGTGAGAGTTGTAGGTCTGACCCAAGTGATCTCAAAGTACTATTGCTCTGTTCATCTGGGAGGCAGATAAATTGTCTTTGCATAAATACTGTTATGGGTTCAGGGGTGCCCTACCCTTTCCAATTCCTGGCAAGTGTTAAAATAGAAGACAGGCCAGTTTCCTGAAGAGGTAATCACCTGAGAGATGAGCCATTAAGAGAACAAGGGAAAGGGGACTCTGTGCCAGATGCCAAAAGGGTGGGGCCCCTCCCACAACTTAGGGATTGTTAGAGGGACAAAGCCTGAATTTAGGGTTGACTAAGAAGCAAAGCAGCAAGCTGCAAAGCCAGAGAAGCAGAGCAATAGTTGATCCAATAGTTAATGCTGTGAACCCCTCCATTGTAGGCTCAGGTTATATATATGTGTGTGTGTGTGTAAATAAACCATTTATCATAAAGACACCATAGTCTCCGCTGTGCCTCATTTCCAAAAGGAAATACGAACCCTGGGTGGTAAGCCCCTGGAATCTCACACCGATCAGAGATTGGGGTGGCATGCAGCGATACTTATTCTCAGAGCCACATTTAGAAATACAGTGGGGTGGAAGATAAGCTCCTCTGAGGGTAGGGAGGCACTTCCACCACTGCCCTCTGTTACCCAATTGAAAAGCAAACTTTCCTTCCAAAGAGTAGAGAGAGCCAGTGTGGTGTAGTGATTAGAGTGTCAGTCTAGGATCTGGGACAACAGGGTTCAAATCACCACTGGGTGACCTTGGGCCAGTCATTGCCTCTCAGCCTAATCTACCTCACAGGGATGTTGTTGAGATTCAGTGAAGAAGGGGAGAACCACCTTGAGCTCCTCGGATGAGAAGGTGGGATATTTTTGCAATAAATAAATAAATTGGCACAAGCAGATCTTTGGATTTTGAGCATCTGGAGGTAGATGAGCCCCATGCCTGACTCCAGATAAGGCAGCTTCTATTGTTTCTAGGAGTTCTAAGGTTTCAGCCAGGGAACTCTCCCAGTCCTACCTAGAGATGCTGGGGATTGAACCTTAGGCCTTCTGCATGCAAAGCATGTACTATATCACTCATCTATTAGCTTTCCCCTAATGATAAAGCAAGATTCTAGTCCTCATGGTTCTGAATAAAGGACTGATTTAAAAATGAACATTGGAAGAAGGGGAGGAGGAGGAGGAAGGAGGAAGAAGGGGTGCAAGGGGAATCCATGAGATCAGAGCAAGGTCTTCTTACCTAGGTTAGGATCATATTCACTTATAAACCTCTTGGTTAGAAACTTCACTGTCAACGCTGAAAGAAACCAGAGAAAGAGAGAGATACTTAGTTCCAGCAGTGAGTCCTCACAGAAGAGCAAGATTATTATTTTATTTTATTGCTGAAATGGATGAGAAAACCTCAGTTTTGCACACAAGGAAGGACCCTTCTGCTTGGGACCCTATCCTGCAAAGACCTACCTTCTAGCCTGCAAGCAGTAGACATGGAGAGAGAGACCAGTTCCGCTTTTGAGCAGGTGCATGGGCAGTACCACAGCTGGGACTACTGCGGCAGATGGCCCCATGATGTGAGTGCCCATGGGACCATCACTTTGCCGAAGCTAAAGCAGATCGGGGTGTATTTGAGGAGTGGCCAGCCTGTGGCCTTCCAGGTGTTGTTGAACTACAATTCCCATCATCCTTGACAGCTGGGTGCACTGGTTGGGGCTGGTGGAAGTTGATGGAATCCAACAACATCTGGAGGGCCAAAAGTTAGACAATCATAGTCTTATCAGTGCCTGGATAGGTGAGCACCTGGGAACCACATGAACATCACTTTGGGTTCCAGGATGGAAGAAAGCTGTGATATAATGGGGGTGGGGGTGGGGGTTTTGTCCCATTTCACTACCTGAGGAGAAATGGGAATGTGCTGCTCCCTGTGCGAATTAAACAGGTTCAACTTTACAAGTGAGCTGAATTACAGTTTCTTCCCCCTCTCTACTCCCAGGTCCCCCAACATCTCCTAACCTGATTTTCCAGATCCTTGACACCCCAATATGGCCACGTTGCATTCCTGGGGAAAGGTGTGGAGATGGCGCTCATTCGCACAGTGGGCCGTCCGAGTCTTGCTGAACATGGAAGACATCCTCTGGCTGTGGGAAAAGAATCAAATTTGGGGACATCTGCCGGTAGTAATCAGTTCGTTTCGTTTCTTTCCAGCCTCAAGTAACAGTCACACTACATATTAAAGCACCATGATACCATTTTAAACAGTCATGGCTTCCCCCAAAGGATTCTGGGAGCTGTCATGTGTTAAGGGTGCTGAGAGTTGGTAGGAGACACCTGGTCCCCTGCTAGAGCTTCAATTCCCAGAATTTCCTGGGGAGAGGGATTGATTGTTAAACTACTCTTGGAGTTGTAGCTCTGGGAGGGGAATAAGGAGACTAAGGTCTCCAACTCTCAGCATCCTTAACAAATTACAGCCCCCAAGATATAGGGCTGCCATATGTACGGGAATCAGGCTTCAAAAATGGCGTCCGTGCGGATTTTTTCTGAATCGGCAAAATGTCTGGGAAAACCTGGACATATGGGCAAGTGGGGTGATTTAAAAAGAGAGATGTTCCCAATAACGGCCAACAACTTTGACCAGATTTTCACTTTGGAGAATATGGCAACCCTAGGACACAATTCTAATAATTTTAATAATTTGGTTTTTCTTAATTGCACAATAAGCAGGCATGCTGCCAGAAGCACAAGCATGTTCACTAATTCCTTGGTGGATATGAAGTTCAAGGTAGAAGTAAACTGGGGACAGGATGCTTAGTGGACTGCCACCCCCCCCCCGTAGTACATACCAAGCTGGTTTTTAATATATTCTGAGAAGTCCCTGCAGATCATTCCACAACCAGCCAGTGGTCACAGAAGCCAGCCTTCTCAATGACATCATGCACCCTCTGGAATGTTCTCCCTCAGGTGATTAAGGAGGCAGATATGGTAATGACCTTTGAACACCTCATGAAAACTTATATGTTGTTTACTCCAGATTACCTGGACTTGGACTCTAAGTTTTTTAATTATCTGTTTTGTAAGCTGCTCAGTTTAATCTGTGATTTGTAGTTCGGGTCTGTTTTTCCTTAGCTTTTAGGAAAGCTTGTACCTTTCTACGAATTGATACCAATGTTTTGTTTGATTGCCTCGGAGATAATTTTTTTTATTAAGTGATATTTTCAAATTAAATAAATAAATGGTGTGATTTACTGTTTTCTAGGACAATTTCTTTCTTCTGAAATTGTGAAAACCAAGCTGTTACAGCATCCCCACACGGCCCTGCTATGCACTGTCAATGAAGACTAGAGTTTGTCCACGGAGCTGACATGACATTTTCAAAGTCTGTGATGTCAGGGTAGCCAACGTGGCAAACCTGTAAATCTTGTTGAGCTACAATTCCCATCAGCCCTGTACCCTTGGCCATGCTGACCAGGGCTGATGGGACCTGTAGTCCAACAACATATGGAGAGCACCACGTTGGCTGCCCCTGCTGTGGGGTGTTCACAAAATCCCATTTGTGCTTCTGCTCAGCAGGCATGATAGGTTTCTTGATAGCTTCCAAAGCCTGCTTAGAAACGTAGAAACTGCTCTCTACCACACCAGACCATGGGTCCATCTTGCTCAGTGTTGATTCGCTTCAGGGTTTGGGGCAGGAGTCCTTCCCAGCCCTACTTGAAGATGTCATGGATTGAACTGGTGATCCCCTACATGCAGAGAAATGTTCTAGCGTTGAGTTATGGTCACTCCCCAGTATGAAGCTGACTTTTATCATTTTGTCCATCTAGCTCAGGATAGTCTACATCAGGGGAAGTGAACCTGGTACCCTCCAGGTTTCACTGGGCTCCCATCATCCCTGTTGGACACGTTGGCTGAGGCTGATGGGAGTTGTAGTCTAACAATATTCAAAGGGCACCATGTTAGTTGTCAATGGTCTACAGTGATTGGCAGTGGCTCTCCATGATTTCAAAAACGGCTGTCTCCCTGCCCTACCTGGAGATGCTGAGGACTGAACCTTCTGCAAGCTAAGCATGTGCACTGCCACTGTGCTACAGATCTTGAGACTGACCAACGATGATGACGGCGGGACAAAGAACATTATTTGAAGCCCTTGTTCCATTAGCAAAAGGATTTCAGCTTGTGCAACAGAACTTGCCCCTCTCATCTCAGGTGCTGTCCACCCTCCCCTAATCTGTTCTGAAGGGTTGGGGGGGAAACCCCAGAACAGGTTTAGGGGGTGCATGGGGACTGCAACGAATCTGGCTGGTGGTTTAAGCCCACTCAGGAACAGCTGTGGGCAGGATTCCTGCATTGCAGGGGGTTGGACTAGATGGCATTCAGAGTTCCTTCCAAATCTGTAATTCTATGGGGGGAAGTAGAGAAAATTCTGTTGCACAAGCAGAAATCCTTGCACTAATAGAATGAGCGGCTTAGCATAGCTTTGGGTACAAGTCAAAATGAAGATGTGTGTTCATCATAGGAAACGATGCCTCCTTCATGCCACTCTTAACTCCTTTTAGGAACTCTTGACTATCTCCTGTCTAACAAAATAAGAGGCTTTGAGGATCAAGTCTGGTCATCATAAAAAACAAGGAACATCTGACTCATTCAAGGACTTCAGTTCTCATGAGATGAGTTAATTTTCTGTCCTTGGCATAAAATTACACTCATCCCTGGCAAACTGGGGATCATTAAGGGATCTCTGCTTCCCACGATGGTCTCCAGGAAACCACTTGAGCAACATGTGAAACCAACAGCCTTTCCTGCTCTTACAACTGTTAGCCAGAAGCACAAATGTTCTCAAACCTGGGCATTTCCCATCCCCATCACCACCTCTCTGAACTGGGTTTCACACGCCCTTTCCTAGGTGGGAAGGGAACTCTTCAGGGCTTGCTTTGTGGGCAGGGAGCAGAACTTTCTGCACAAGCCCAGAGGCACTGTCTGGTTTGTCATTCCTTTCCATAAGCTGACGCAGAACCCTGGATCTGGAAACAGGGTCCAAGGCTAAGTCCAGGCGATGATGACTGGCTGAAGTAAAGCTCCTGTTTGCATCTCAGCTCCCAGGTTGCAGCCTTACAACTTTCAAGCTGACAAGGTCCCTGATTTTAAATCATTAGCGATGCACTTAAATGGTGTTTCATGGAGGGAGGAGGTCACTGCCCCAAGGACCTTACAATCTAAACAGCTAGCAACAGTTATGAGGGGAGGGGAGAAAAATGTAGAGGCTAGGTGAGCAAAGGGTGACTGGCATTCTGTAAACAGGTTTCACACCAACACAGTAAGGGACATCTGTCAAAACCCTCCTGGGTGAGACTGACACTGACCTGGTCAAGCATTCTGTTTCCAAGCAGATACCTCTAGAAAGCTCACAAGCCAAGGCTATAGCTCTTCTGAGATGTCTGACTACAATATCTGACATCCAGAGTTAGCCCTGAATATGAAAGTCTGGGAGCTGCAAATAGGTAGGCCAACAATTCATCCCCTCGTCCAGTCAATAATTCTCTAAAAGTCTGGTGGTGACCGGCAATATTTTCTTCCATAGAGTATTGAGGTTGATAGGAGAGATGCACCAAGGCCCAGAGTATGCACCCTTGTTTCCTGTGCTCTACTCTTCCTCCTCCCTCCTGATCTGTTTTCCTTTAGTGTTGTGTCTTTTTAGATTGCAAACCTTGTCTTTTTCTTTTTCCCCCCCAAAGAAAAAGTCAGCCGTAAGCTGCTCTGAGAACTTTCTTCTTCTTCTTTTTGGCTGTAGAGTGGGAGATTTAATTTATTTTGATAGATAACTTTAAAAAGTAACTAGAACAAGCAGAATGCTGTAGAAGCCTATACAACCTGTTCAAGCAGAGAAGACAGTGCAGCAAAAATATATTTAAAAAAACAAAAAAAAAGCCCTGCAAGGACATCTATGCCTCAATCATGCCTTCAACTCTCTTTTCCTCCTATTTTTGGAAGATGGGCCATGTCTCAGAGGTAAGGGCATCTGTGCAGCATGCAGAACTGCATCTCCAGGTAAGGCCAGAATGCCCTCTGCCTGAAATCCTGGAGAGCTGCTGCCAGCCAGTATAGACAGTACTGAGCTAGATCAATGGTTTGACTCTGTGTAAGGCAGATTCCTATGCTCCTATGTCTTAAATCCATTGGCTGACTCTTCCCACCTCCCCCATTCAACCCCACATGACACAGGTGCCATGCATTCCCTCCTTCCTTTTGGCCTCAGGGTCACAGGGATTTGGGAAGCTGCCTTATTCTGAGTCAGACCACCAGGTCCATCTAGATCAGCATTGCCTGCTCTGACTGGCAGCCGCTCTCAAGGATTTCAGAGGGAGGATGCTCCCAGACCTACCTGGAGAGATGCTGTTGGGGATTGAACCTGGGGTCTCCTGCATGCAAGGCAGATGCTCTACCACGGAGCTACCAAGAAGTAGCAAAAATGGACCACCACCACCACCAGCAGCAGCAGCAGCAGCAGCAGCAGCTCACCTTCAGATTAGAGCTGGATCGCCATGGGACCTCTTGGCAAGATACAGTCACTTGACAGCCACACATCCACAACTGTTTCCACCTTCGGGCTGCCGAGAGTCCCTCTCCAAGGCCTCCCTCCCCAAATCGAAGCAGGGAGTGAGCAACGAGGAGGGCCCCCCCCTTCTCTCTCACCGCTGGGAACAAAGAGGCGTCTGCTTGCTCCCCACAGCTGCAGGTCACTCCGATTTGACTTGAATGAATGAGGCAGAGGAAGAGGAACTCCCGTTCCCTGAGACTTTCGCCAGCTGAGCCCTTGCCAAACTCCTTGTAAGGAAAGCTGCTGCCTCTCCTGGCCTCTGATGGACAGAGTTTCCCATCAGCAAAGGGCAGGCTTAAGAGGAGGAGGCCTTTTCTTCTGGGCGAATAATCAACATCATATAAAAGATGCCCAGAAAGGGGGAGGGGAATCTTTCTGGCTTCATTCTTAAAGTAGAACCACCTACATGCCCCCACCGCAGCAGAGCCATCTTTTTGAGCCTACCCTGTGTCACAGGTTGATAATAAATCTTTCCTGAGATTTTCACAATACAATAAAAGACAACACCCACCCACAACCCACACAAAGAATAATAAAGAAAATAAGACAGAAGCAGACACGATTTTCTTTCACAAATGCATCCCATTCTTTGTCCCATACAGGAAAATATGTGCCCCCCCCCGCTCTCACCTAGGAACATCTTTTTCTTCCTACAGCCTCTCATCCCGGGAGATCTCCCCTTCCCTCTCTCACACAGGGTCCTTCAAACTGTCCACCAACTCCGTCTGTATGCAATTCTTACTCAAATACAGGTTGATTAATTTAGGCAATTAAGAGATGAAATGATAATACATTTATATAATCATGCATGGCAAGGAGAAAGTGAGTAGAGACAAGGGCAATGGAGTAGGAAGTGGGGGCGGAGGGGGCGGGTGGCCCTGGGTGCCATTCTGGGAGGGGTGACAAGATGGCCCTTGCCTCCCCCCAGCTATAGAGTGGCCAGGGTGCCCACAGTCTATATGGGTGGCACCTTGCCTTGCAAGTGAGCTTTAAGTAAGGGCCATGCACATATTAGAGCAGGGCTTCCCAACTTTTTGGGATGCATTTGGGAATCTAACAGTATGTTTTGGGCACTATAAAATGCCCATTTCGCAGAAGGAAAAGTGGTGAGGCTCAGACTCCTCTCCTCCAAACAGGCATGCGCCCCCAAACAAATAAAACGCAGAACATAAAGTGGAAGCAAGCAACCCCCCAAGCAGGCACCGCCAACCAAATAGCCCCATCAAGGGCCAATCTAGCTCAGTATTGCCTACACTGGCTGGCAGCAGCTCACCATTCACACTTGGAGGTGTCACTGATTGAACTTCGAACCTTCTGCATGCAAAGCAGATTTTCTGCCATGGAGCCACAGTCCTTCTACACAACTATTAAAAATTGTGGTAGGCATATTAGTCCTAGCGGTGGACTGCGCATGTGCAGCATCCCATATGGACTGCGCCGCCCTGGGTGGCAGAGAGGGTTCCTCTGCCACTGGACAAGGGTTGTTGTTGTTTTCTTTCTTTCTCATGACGCTAGAATTTATGGGCATCCATAAGTTGGATGATTGAGGACAGAGAAAAGTAAGGACTTCTCCATGCAGTTGCACAGTTAAACTTTGGAACTCACCCCCACAGGAGGCAGTGATGACCACCAACTTGGATGGCTTTAAAGGAGGACTGGTGAAATTGAGGGAGGAGAAGTCTATCAATGGCTACAAGCCTGGAAGGCTATGCTTTGCCTCCATAGTCAGAGGCAGGAATGCTTCTGAATGCCAGTGGCTGTGAATCGCAGGTGGGGACTGTGCTCTTGCACAGAGGTCCATCTTGTGGGTTTCCTACAGGCCACTGTGAGACCAGGATGCTGAGCTGGATGGGCCTCTGGTCTGATCCGGCAGGCTCTACTTACATCCTTATTTTTTCAAAGTTTGAAGTGAGCACTTGCCAGCTCTTTATTTGGACAGCTCAATCAAGGCGGCAGCAGCATCGAGAGACGGCTTGGCTCAGGGAAGTGACCGCGACGGCATCTGTCGCCAGGGGAGGGTGGTCTTTGCAAAGCAACGGAGCATAAATATTTAGGAAGGTAAAAGCATTGCCATCCCTTTCGCCATGCCAACATGCGCCTTTGGGTTGGCGTCTCTGTTTTGTTTTCTATTCCTGGACTCAGAGCAGGGCTCCTCTTGGCTTGGATCGGGGCATGTGTTTTGCATGGAGAAGGTCCCAGGTTCAGTCCCCAAGAGCTCCAGTTAGAAGGACCAGAACTTGTCAGGCTAGTAGAGAGCTCAGTCTTTCAGAGAGACGCTTCTTGTCTGCATAGGCAGAAGCAGCTCAAGGCTTGGCGAACTAACAGAGGATGGGGACTCCCATTGCTGGACTCCCATCAGCCCCAACCAGCATAGGAGTCAGGGAAGATGGGAATTGCAGAATCAGAGAATTGTAGAGTTGGAAGGGACCCTGAGGGTCATCTAGTCCAACCCCCTGCAATGCAAGAATCTTTTGCCCAACGTGGGGCTCAAACCCATAACGCTGAGATTAAGAGTCTCATGCTCTACAGACTGAGCTATCCCAGGTATCCTTCCTATTCCAGCAATATTTGGAAGGAGCTACGTACGCTGGCTATGCCTGGACTAATGGTCTTTTTTGCTGGCAGTTCTGCTGACAAGAGTGTCCCCTGAGGACAGTTGCAAGTCATGGGAGAGGTCAAGGCTTGCTTGCAAGTGGAAACTGTGGATGTTCAGTGTGCAGCAACACCACATCGCAGGGAGCGTGCTCAGTGGATTGCTCGACACAGATGGAAAAGCCCTTGCCTTGTACGTGAGCTTTAAGTTAGGGCCGTGCACCTGTTAGAGCAGGGCTTCCCAACTTTTTTGCATGCATTTGGAAATCTAACAGTATGTTTTGGGCACTACAAAATGCCCATTTTGCAGAAGGAAAAGTGGTGAGGCTCAGACTCCTCTCCTCCAAACAGGCATACTCCCCCAAACAAATAAAACGCAGAACATAAAGTGGAAGCAGGCAACCCCCAAGCAGGCACCCCCAACCAAATAGCCCCACCAAGGGCCAATCTAGCTCAGTTTTGCCTACACTGGCTGGCAGCAGCTCACCATTCACACTTGGAGGTTTCACGGATTGAACTTCGAACCTTCCGCATGCAAAGCAGATTTTCTACCATGGAGCCACAGTCCTTCTACACAACTATTAAAAATTGTGGTAGGCATATTAGTCCTTGCGGTGGGCAGAGCAGTGAATCCAACAGCATAATATTTTCATTGGGACCAACTAAGAAGTCACAACAACTTGGCTGAGTCCTTGTATCGTGCTTGCTGTTTGTATAATGCTGCTGTTGCTTTTGGATGTCATCTACCAAAAGTGGAAGGATCCTGCAGTCCTCCTTAGCATCTCCTCACTCTATTGCCTAGCTTTAACACAGCCTTCCCCAACCTGGTGCCCTCCGGCTGTTTTGGACTAGACCTCCCATCAGCCGTGGCCAAGATGGCCGTGCTGGTTGGGGCTGAAGGGAGTTGTAGTGCAAAGCAGCTGGAGGGCACCAGGCTGGGGAAGGCGGCTTTAATATCTGGCTGGTTGATGTCCAAGAAGGGAAACTGGGGCACCTCCCACTTTCCCAAACATTTATACAGGGATACAAAGGCGCCAATCAGATGGGCGGGGTATAAATAGTAAAACAGTAGTAAAATAGTAGTTGTAGTAAAGCAGTAGTAAAGTAGTAAAGGTGTAGTAACATTATAGTACAGTACTAAAGTTATGGTAAAGTGATAGTAAAGTTGTAGTGACATTGGAAAGCCGACCCAAGTGACTGGGGCTACCCAGTCAGATGGGCAGGATATATACAGTAAAGCTGTAGTGAAGCAGCAGCAGTAAAACAGTAGTAGTAGTAGTAGTAGTAGTAGTAAGGTAGTAGTAGGAATACTAAAGTAGTAGTATTAAATCAGTGGAAAAATAGTAGCAGTAAAGCAGTAGTAAAGTTATAGTAAAGTTAAAGTTGTATTAGAGTAGTAAGTAAAATGGTATTAAAGTAGTACTAGTAAAGTAGTAGAAAAGTATTGTGGTAGTAGTTGTATAGTATGCCCCTATTTTCATCAGAGAAATGTTGTAGGGTATGCACTCCTATCAGAGGTCTCAGTCGTGCTTTGACAGGATGCAATTATGGGGGGAAACACAGCAAACAAGGGCAACACAGATAAGAGTGGAGTGCTTTGCAGTGACATCACATGGATTCTCCATAAGGAATGACCAAGCAAATGATGTCCTAAATGACCAGTGTGGAATCAGACAAAGAAGAGGAGAGGAGGGAAAGGGGCGCTCTATCACACTTTGCTGCTCACGAATTCTGGCAGACACCCTCCTCCTTCTGACACGGCAGGCTAAACACTGGAAGATTTACTTGAGTGCGTGTGCGATCTAATTGCAGCCATAAAACCTCCTGGAATGAAAAAGAGGAAACTGGGACACTTAATCTTCTTCCCTGCAAGGAGAAGGGAGATTCACTCTCAGGGAAGGCAGCAGCGGAAAGAAGAAAACCCAGCGGCCGGTAGCAGAGCTGAGCCAAAATTTCTCAAAGGACGTTTTTCCTGAGAATTGCTTCCTCCCACCCTCAACATTATTATTTACTAAATTTATATAACACCCCTCAGCTGTAGATCACAGTTTACAACACAGAAACACAAAAGGCATATAATAATATTAATAATAATAATAATATTACCAATGCCCACCACAGTTTAAAAGGCTGTAGAATTTTTAAAAGCCAAAGTCCTTGTTGAAGAGGAATGTTTTTGCTTGGTGGCTAAAGATATGTACCGATGGGACCAGCTGAGTCTCCCTGGAGAGAACATTCCACAAATGCATAAACGGGAGGCCACAGGACAAGAATAGGGGGCCACAGAGGAAAGTGAGAAGTGAAGAAAAAATAATTGTTTAAAATCCTGATTGGCTGGCTATCCACTTGGCCAATCACAAGCGGGTAAGGGGGAAGCCACCAGGGCCTAGCGCTCCTTTTTGCCATGTGTATTTTATTAGAGCAGTCCTGGTTTCTTTCCGGCGGGAGAGGGCAATCGCTGAGGCTCCCATTTTGACCAGCAGAGCCCGCGATCCAGAACCCCCAGGTCCGGTAAGTGCGATGGTGGGATGGCAATGGATAGGGCTGGGCGAGCCGGAGCTGCCTGTTGCTGCCACCAGTTCTGGGCCCGGTGGCAGCCTGGGCCTGACTCTGCAAGGTGCAGGGTGCGATCCACCCCAATGCCTAGAGGATCAGGGCCTTTGGATGTTGCCGAGAGGCGCAGGGCCTGTCAGTGGCATCGGCCCGGTTCTGCAAGGTATGGGGTGAAATCTGCCCCAGCGCCTAGCCAAGCAAGGTCATTTGGTGCTGCTGACTTGCATCTAGAAAATCACTAAGTATCTACTACTTAGAAGAAAGCCACACTGATTTCAGTGGGCCTTACTCCCAGGTAAGGGTGTGGTGGGCTATAGTGGTTTAGCCAGGGCTCCTCCGGATGACAATATCTTTTTGCACCAGGTCAGTGAGGACCACTTGCTTTTTAAAAATTCTCCCATATATACAGAACTCCCTGTGTGGCTTTTTGGACTGTAGCTGTAGGTTTTCCCCTCTGTGTCAAATAACTGCGGTCTAATAAGTGTTGTTTACTTTTCATAATACATGGAAGATGGATCTCCCTCAGGAGGTTCTCTCCTTCCTTGGATATTTCTAAGCAGAGGTTGGATGGACGTCTGCCATGGATGCTTTAGCTGAGTTACCTACATTGCAGGGGTTGTACTTGAAAGATGACCTTTGGGGTCCCTTCCTGCTCCACGATTCTAGGTTTTTTTCTGCTTCAACAACATTTCATTATGTTGCCATAACTGTATTCTGTATAAATTTTAAAAATTATAAACAAAACACGTTCTATTTACATGCAAAACATTTAAATACAGTGGTACCTTGGGCTAAGAACTTAATTTGTTCCAGAGGTCTGTTCTTAACCTGAAACTGTTCTTAACCGGAGGTACCACTTTAGCTAATGGGGCCTCCTGCTGCTGCTGTGGCGCCGCCACGCGATTTCTGTTCTCATCCTGAAGCAAAGTTCTTAACCCGAGGTACTGTTTCTGGGTTAGCGGAGTCTGTAACCTGAAGCGTCTGTAACCTGAAGCATCTGTAACCCGAGGTACCACTATAGCTACCTTTCTGCCGGTAGGATGTGGGGGCATGGACGTAGCCAAGAAAGCCAAGTTAGGGGGCAGGCTTTCATTAGGGGGGGTAGAACCTCCAATTTGTATTGATTTTTACTTATGGGGGGGGCAGCTGCCCCCCTGCCCCCTCTTGGCTATGCCCATGGTGGCACCACAGGAAGGAATCAAGGTCGGAAGGGGCCCACAGTTGGAAAAAGGTTGGGAAACACTGGTCTTGGAATTTCAGTGACAGTGGCTATCCAGAGTTTCAGGCAGAAGCCTTCCCAGTCCAGGTCAACTTGGAGGTTTTCTCCCACTGTGCCCTGGAACAGTGTTAGCTTTGGGGCTTCTTGCACTGAGTGATGGATTGCTTCTACCTGCCCATGGTGCAATGGGTATCTGCATACTCAGTCCTAGCTGGAGAAGCTAGGGATTGGAACTGCGACCTTCTGCATGCAAAGAGGTTGTTCTGCCATGGCGCTCTGGCCGTTTCCAAAGAGCTGCATGTCCATCCTTCCTCGCTGAGCCAATATTTTGCACTCGGCCCTCGATGTTGAACTCTGAAGTGAGGGATGAATGAATTGGTTTCATTTTTTCCAATATTAAATTCAGTTCTGCTCATTCCTGCAGTGATTTGCATTTTTAAAAAATGCTCATGAAAATTAATTGGCCTTGAATTTTTACTAATTAAGCACATTTTTGCATGCAATTCTGCCTAGATCAATGCAGTTTTTTGTATGTTATCTTTCGCTGATATGTGCATTTTATGCATACTTTCCCTTAGTTTTTTTTTGCACACATTGCTTCGCTGGAGAGCAGCATTGCAAAATTCGGAGAAACAAGATGTTTGAAGGATGGCTTGAAGCCAATGCATTGTTTCAGAAAATGTGAATTAGGCTGGTTTGCCTTTTAATGCGAATGTAATTGAACTTCTCCCCACAACCCTACTTAGCGTCCTCATTAACCCCCCGCTTTCTATCCAGGGCTTTCTAAAAGCCTAATGTCTGCCTTCTCTAGACCCTGTGAATGCCACCTCCCTTCAGACTGCATTCACCTTGAATTGGAAGTGACCTCCAGTGATCTGTGTAGTCTCAACACCTCTCCCTCCCCCCCAAAAGCCACTCCTTTGCATTGGAGTGGAGCAAATGTTGTAGACCTTACTTTGGAAAGACCTGGGGGGGTCCTCATGTTGCTGGCAGCCTCGGTCACATGAACCACAGCTATCTTTAGAAGAGGGTATTTATATGACAGAGTTTGCAGCTTCTTAGCTACTCAGACAGATACAGGAAGATAGAAATCACACCCACCGTGACATATATGAAGAGCCCTCTGATCTCTGCAGAGCACTTGCCGACAATGGACTAGGCAGTGCAAGAGCTCCCGTGACGACACGGGGGTAAGCCTTGGCTGGCCATGCAGCCCTCGCTGGATGAAAGGGTGCGGATCCAGGTGGAAGAGGAGTTTTTCTCGGTGGACAAGGCTCTCCTGGTGGAGAACAGCGAATACTTCCGGGCGCTCTTCCAATCCGGCATGAGAGAGAGCACCCAGAAGGAGATCCAGATCAGAGATCTGAGCGCCACAGGCTTCGCCGTCATGCTGAAGGTCCTGGAAGGGGAGCACCCGATCCTGAGCTGCGAGGAGAACCTCAGGGCAGTGGAGTGTGCCTCGTTCCTGCAGGTCAAGACCCTGGCCAAGTACTTGATGTCATCCATCAATACAGACAATTGCATTCTTCTCTACCAGGCAGCTGCCATCTTTGGCCTCTTGGATCTCTTCCATTGTGCCGCACTGTACATACGAGACAGTTACTCGGACCTGGAGGAGTACCTCGACTGCCTCTCTCCAGACCTTCTGGATTATGTGGAGTCCATCATCCCCAGCACGTTTGTGGCAGTAGGGGCTCACACGCCCACCTTTGAGTTCTTGGAAGACCTGTCAAGAACTGTTTGCTACCTGGATGAGGAAGGTAACACCTGGAGGACACTTTCCTGCTTACCGCTGACGGCCAGCACATTCCTAGCTGGCATAGCCACCTTGGATAACAAGATTTACATTGTGGGCGGGGTCTACGGTTACAACAAGGACATTGTGAACCGGAGTTTTTGCTACGACCCGATGGCCAACGTCTGGAGTGAGTTTCCCGGGCCCCAGCAGCTGCGCTATGACTTCACACTGACAGCCCAAGAGAACAGCCTCTACGCCATAGGTGGGGAGTTTGGGAAGGCCGCCCTGAAGTCGGTGGAGAAGTTTGACATCTCCACCAACACCTGGAGATTTGTCTCTGACCTCCCCCAGCCAACCACAGCGGTGCCCTGCGCCCAAGCGATGGGGCGCATCTTCGTCTGCTTGTGGAAGCCTCTCGACACCACCATGATCTACGAGTACAAGCCTCAGAAGGACGAGTGGCATCCCATCTCCACCCTCAACAGGCCTCAGAGCTATGGCCACTGCATGGTGGCTCACCGGGACAACCTCTACATTGTGCGGAACGGGCCTTTCGATGACTTCCTGCGTTGCATGATGGATTGCTTCAACCTGACCACGATGCAGTGGACATCTCTACCAGGGCAGTATGTGAACAGCAAAGGGGCTCTCTTCACGGCTGTCATCAAAGGGGACACAGTCTACACGGTCAACAAGATGCTCACTCTGATGTATACCATAGAGGGGAACACATGGAAATCCAAAAAGCAGAAAGCTGGTTTTCCAAGGGCTGGTTCTTTGCAAACCTTCCTCCTCAGGCTTCCAAAGAAAGACCACAGCATCGCAACTTAGAGAGCCGGTCTCTGCTAGATGAATTTCTCAGGGACCCACGTTGCCTTCCTTCTATGCCAGACGTCCTGCAACGCCGCCAAATTAAAATCCAAAGGTTGTGAAATCACCCCAGCTTTCAGTCGACACTCTCTGCACCTTCTGGGCCAGCAACATTTCAAGGCAGGAAGCTCAGGGCTAGCTTGCACCAGAAGCAACTGTAACGCAGCTCTCTGCTCTTCCAACTGCAGCTGGGCTTGTGGCTTCATGGGCCTCAAGCAATATGGTTTCCACAGACTTATTTGTCATACCAAACTGGGCCAAGTAGAAAGGAGGCAGCAAGTGGCAACCAGCAAGCAGGAGGAGCCAGTCACTGGCAGGAAGCCAGCGGCACTAGGAGGAGATTTATGCACTGAGGGGGTCATGTTCATTTTGGCCTACGCCCAGCTGAGTGGCGGAATCTACCTCTCACAGAACAAGTTGGCAGTACATCACACCATTCAAAGTTGGAATTAGCAATTTATTAGCACAAAGCCGACTGAGTGTCAGGCCTAATAAGCAGAGCAGCTTATCTCCGGTAGGTCTTTACCCCATGAATCAGTTCCTGAGACTGAAAGTTCCCCGCCTCCCCAGAGCCATCTAAGTCGCTTTCTATCCAGGGCTTTCCCCAAGCAATCAGAGACCGCACCTGCGTGCAGCCAATCTCTCATTTGCCCTTTTCATGCCTCTCCTGGTTCTGGGAGCAGCAGGAAGGGGAGACACCCATGACACTTCACTAGCTTGACTTATCTCTGCCTCCTGGCCTCCCTCCTCCCACCCTCCTGCTTCATCTTCTGCCTCTGATTCTGGACTCTCCCAGTTCACTAAACCCTGTTACCTCTTCAGCTTCTGACACTTCCTCCTCCTAGGCTTCTCCCTCTTCTCCCTCTGACTACTCATCATTGTCCCACCAATACTCCCCAGTCTCTGAGCCTTCTTGCCTTGATGTGTGTGTATTTTTCCTGTTGGTTCCTCCATTCGTCTGCGCCAACCAGTCCATGACTCTACCATTGTTTTAGTCCATCTTGATGAGTCTCATAAAAAGTCAGGCCATTGCCTATGTGATTCACCATTGTCTACACTGCTTGGGAGCCGCTCTCCAGGATTCTAGAATGGAGGTTTTTCCAAGCCCTACCTGAAGATACCAGGGATTGAACCGAGGACCTCCTGCATGCAAAGCAGGTGGTTGACCACTGAACTGTAGCCTCACCGTCCCCCCTGGACATAGGAAGCTGCCTTATGCAGACCACTGGACCATCTACCTCAGTATTGCTGGCACCTCTCCAGGGTTCCAGAATGCTCTTCAGTCTTTCCCAGCCCTGCCTGGAGATACTGCTGGAGAATGAACCTGGGACTTCCTGCATGGAAAGCAGGTGCTCTGTCACGGAGCCACAGGCCTTCCCCTTCTCTTCTGCTGAAGGTGAAAAAGGATTAGGTGGTGCTCTCTAATTCTCAGAGTGAAAAGCTGCTGACATTAACACGCACAGCTTTTAGAAGAAGGGTGTTTCAGGCATCCCAAACTGGAGCACTGGAAATGTAGACGTTAAAGGTCAGTAACTGAACTACATTTTGAGAATGTCTTTTTTTAATTGACCACAATCAGAGACAGTTAAACATGCTTAAGTCCCATTGGTACTTAAGACAAGACCCATCTCTGATAACTTTCAAGAATACAGAGCATTGATTTGGTTTGACTTTTAACCTGAGATGGAAGCCATTGATCCCAATTGTCTTTCTTTCTTTTTCTTTGAAAGAGCTCTGGTTTTAAATTTGTTAATTGGTCAGATTTGCTTGGTGTTTTTATTTTGCATACCACTTTGAAGGCACTTTGTCAAGGCCCAAAGTATGGTTTCTAAGCCTCTTTTTATAAAGAAATACAGAAATAGTTCAACCGCGAATGAAGTATTGCCCTGTGCAGAGTGTTGTGGGTTTCTCCAGGGTTATGCCAGTAATATCTATACCCTGCGATGAAGTTGTGTTTCTAAGTTTTATATGCCCCACAATTCAGTCTGTGGCAGGCTTTAAGTGGTTAGGAAATTAATAGCTTCATAATAAAGCACAGCCTGACTCAGATTCAGGGTTGAGCATACGGATAAAACCTTTTCCGTTTGCATCCAAAAGTTTTGGACTCAATCCAGAGAGTGCCGTTTTAACAAGCATCATTAATTATGCCCAGCCCCCAAAGACGCAGTTAAGCCCAGACCATCAAGCCTTTGCAAACATCTCCCTGCTGATATGCATCTCTTCAAATAAGAGGAGGAAGGACAGTTTGAGCTGAGCCACAGCTATGGAGCACCAGGCATTTTCCTTGATGGACTGTGATTGAAGCCAGACTTGCTGTAAAAAAGAAAAGAAAAAAAAGCCCCACATTCAACTCATGACTGTTTTTGGTAACGGCTGCTGATCTGACTCCAGCTTGCCAGTGTTGTTCATGTTCTGTTCTGTATGTTTATAGAAGCCTTCAGGCCCTTGACTAGGCTAACTTTAAGGTCATATTATTTATGCCACAAAAATGAACAGGCTTGATTGACAGCAGAAGTGGCTCACCAGGTGGGGCGGAGCCGCTAAGCTAGCCTGGCGGCAGGTGGATCGCTCTTGCTGACGGTTAGGAAAAGCAGAAGGCAGCAGGGAGGTCAGGGAGGTGCAAACTCAGTGGCTGGATAAACTCTGCTGGTGTGTTTCCACCCCACCCACCTTCCCACCGTCTCCCCTACTCTCTCGCCATAGAAACAGTGACCCACCAGCAGGGAGGCTAGTGGAGCAGCTCCACCCCACCCAACGAGCTGCTTCTGATCATCACTGTACTGTAGTGATTAGAGTGTTGGGCGAAGGCCTAGGGTGCACCCAGGTTCAAATCCCCGCTCAGCCACAAGCTCCTTGGAAGAAAGGTGGGATAGAAATGTAGCAAACAAATAATGATTCCATGTCTGCCTGGCCACCCTGGGAATTTGTAGTTCTGCAGCAGGGAGACAGAAATGAAGAGAGCATTCTCTACACTCTCATGGGAAGCTGCTTTAGACTGCCCTTGTTTTAACTACTAAATACTGAAGGTGTGTCTCTACCTCCTTTGTTCAGCCCGGACACTGAGGTCCAGCTCCAAGGGCTTTCTGGCAGTTCCCTCACTGCCAGAAGTAAAGTTACAGGGAACCAGGCACAGAGCCTTCTCGGTCGTGGCACCTGCCCTGTGGAATGCCCTCCCATCAGGGTGTCAAGGAGATAAACAACTACTTGACTTTCCGAAGACATCTCAAGGCAGCCTTGTACAGGGAAGTTTTTTTAATGTTTGATTATGTTTTTATATGTATTGGGACAACCCAGTCAGGTGGGTGGGAGTACAAATAATAAAATTATTTCTCCTCCTCCTCCTCCTCCTCCTCCTCCTCCTCCTCCTCCTTCTTCTTCTTCTTCTTCTTCTTCTGTGCTGCAGTTTGAAAACCTGGCAAAAACTCTAGCTCTGAAACAGAGATTGGTAGCTCAGAAGGCAGGGAGGCCAACAGTAGGTGGAGCCAGAGTCAATGAAAGGCAGAGCCAGAACCAATGAGAGGCAAGGCCAACTTATTCCCATCCTCTCTCGCTGCTGAGTTCTACAAGGGCAAAACTGGGGCAACAGAGGAAGCTGACAGGCAGGTGGGATTGGCTGAGGACAGACTGCGCATAGTGGGGCAGGGCCCCCATTTGCCACAGAGGAGCAATCTCCGCTGCTCTGAACATTGTCAGCCTTGTAATACAGCTTGTAAGCAAGGGGACGGCAACGTGTCAGGAAGGAGGTTGGTAAATATTAAGTATTGCCCTGGGCTTTCATCCGTCTCTCCCTGAAATAAGAGCACAAACACACCAGCTATTGGGAACGTGCCATTTTATTTGAGAGAAATATGCTGTACCTATGAACCTCAAAGGATGTTTGTTTTCTTCTGTTACATTCAGCTGAATATCATATTTGTTTCCCCTTTCTCCTTTAATAAGAGACACAAATACTTTTTTATTATTTGGCTGAAAGACAAACAGGTATCACTTCACTGTATCTCAAGGAAAGACAATTGGGCATTCACGGTGACAGGAAAAAATAAAGAATTACTTGATTGGAAACAGTCTTGGTTTCTTATTTCAAATAAGGAGTTGACGCTCAGCCATAATAAGCTGAAGCTCTGAGCCCCGCAGTAAATTAAGAAGTTGCATTCCCTATCCTGGAAATCCAGGTATTGTGGTTTGGGATGCGTGTGTGTGTTGGAGGATTGTACAGTGGGAAGCTCTCAGCTTCGCTCAGCCCAATTTGCAGAGAACTCTTAGGTCTGTACAGTCTTTGATGGAGTCCATTAAAAATCCAGTGCATCGTTGAAATAAGTCAGGGCATTGGCCAGGAAATGGGAGCATGGGTATGCCCAAAAGACTTGTTTATTGAACATTTACCCTGATTTGCTGGCACAAAGCTTACACAGGCTACACTGGGCCTTTATTAAGCATTTGTTCTTACTTGTTTCCAGGTTGGCTTTGTGGCAATGAACATTCATCCTGAATCCATGCTGAATTGCTTGCAGGGTATTTATGCACCTTCCCATTTATCATTCACCCATCTTGCACTTTTCAATGCATCTCTCTCACCACCACCCCAGCCCCATTTTCCTAACTGCAGTTTTTTTCTTTCTTTTTAAGTGGGTTTGTTGTTCCGGGTTAACACATGCAAATCCATTTTCATTGCACAAATCTAAACCTCCCCAAAGTGCACTGCAAAATATTGGCAACCTGGAGGCACCCTTAGGCTACAGAAACATCTTAAGTTGCGCTGTGGACCTGTTTGCAGACAGGTGCAGGTTATGCAGAAGAAGTTTGTGTTAAAATGTTGGTCTTTCACGAGCCCGAGCAGAGCGTGCGATGCAACTAGAAGCGATTCCCTTGCAGTGACTTTTAGACACTCTGCCTCTTGACTAGCATTTGCTACCACAACATGGAGCGGGGTGGTCACTAACTTAAATGCCTTTTGAAAAGAGAGGGTTAGAAGAATTCAGAGGTGGCTATTAAAGATGATGGCATATAGAGCCTCACTATCCAGAGCCAGTATACTTCACAGTGCCAGCTGCCAGTAAAAAGCAATGGGTGAGCCCTGCTTGTGCACTTCCCAGAGGCAGGTGGCTTGATCCAATGGGATTTTGGCTGTTCCAGCTGGGTTCTGACATTCAAAGCTTGTTCTGAATCACATGCCGTGGGGCTGTGGCATGTTCTGCCCTTTCTCAGTATGGAAAAATGCCCTCTTGCTGCTCACTGGGTCCTTGTCATGAGCTCCTCAAGCGCCTTGTCTCTGTGGTTCTCGCACAGCAAGAGGACTTCTTTGATGTCTGCTTGCTGGAAGCCCATGTCGTTGAACTGGACCAGGAGGTGAAGGAATTCTGCTGCCTGCAAAGAGAAGCAGAGTGAAAAGTCAGGGATCGGGGGTGGGGGTGGGAGGAAGGGACACACAGTGCACGTCCCACAACTGAAGCAACTGAAGATAAACAGGCCTGGTGAAGGGGCTTCAATGTTCAGAGGGATACTTGAACAAGGCAAGCAACTCCCCTTTGCCCCTGCAATTGAGGGGGCTGGGACCGTGCAATGTCAGCACACCCTGCGGTGTGTGACGTCAGCATTCCGTGGGGCGTGCTTGCACACCCATTGTGGAATTTTGAGGGGGCTCTGCCTCCTTGTAAATGTGGGGGGCCCTTGCCCCTCCAGACACCTCCCCCAGGTGTATATGCCTGCAGAGGTCCAGCCCCATACATTTTGGAACCTGAGGGGAACCAAAAAACAGCATATCCCCTTCTGTGGAAGAAGGGGTGAGTAAAGATCTACATCGGGGAAAATGTTGAGGGGATAAAGATCTACATTGGGAACAATGGGGTTTCTTCTTCTTCTTGATTTCACTGTTTTACCTTTCTTAAACAGCTTTGAGGGTTTTTTTGGGGGGGGTGTTGCTATCAAGCGGTGTATAAAGAAATAAAATAGATTTTTGCTTATTTTTAGCTTATACAGCCCCAAGCAGCTCAATGCCAGGGCTATGAGAGGAAACTGCCAAGCCATTTATACCCCCTACTCAGTCCCTGCACCCAGCAGGAGACCCTGCGGCTGAAGTGCAAAAAAAGGCTGGGTGTTCTGACCTTTTCTGAGTTCTGGAACATCTCCATAGCTTCTTCGACCTGAGCCTCCTCGTAACCCTGCTTCAGAAGTTTGTCGCAGGCACTGAGGTAACTGAGGAACTGTTGGGGGAAGGCAAAGGGGAAGTTAGCTAGCTAGCACACCATTCGGAATCAGGGCTATTACTTACTTATTGTATTTGTATCCCACCTAAGTTGCTCGAGGTGGCATACATAGTTCTCCCCCTCCTAATTTAATCCACCCTGTGAGGTAGGGTAGACTGAGAGGCAGCGACTGGCCCAAGGTCACCTAGTGAGTTGCATGGCCGAGTGGAGGATTTGAACTCTGACCTCCCAGGTCCTTGTCTGACACTCTAACCCAGGCTTCCTCAAACTAGGCCCTCCAGATGTTTTTGAGACTACAATTCCCATCGTCCCTGACTATTGGTCCTGCTAGCTAGGGATCATGGGAGTTGTAGGCCAAAAACATCTTGAGGGCCGAGTTTGAGGAAGCCTGCTCTAAGCACTACACCACATGGTCTCCCTGTCTACCCACTCACCCTTCCTTGTAGATAGGGATGGGTGAACCTGTCAGTTTTGTTTTCTCTCTGTTTCTCATTTTCCCAGTCTTAAGTTCCGTTCTCTCCAAGGAAGGAGAGTGCCACCACATCCTATTCTCTCGCTTTTTAAAAAACAAGCCTCTGGCTTCTGCTCTTCTCTCCCACTCACTCCAATCCTGGTTACAATCGGTTGTATCCAATGCTAGCACTACTCGAGGTAGACCCACTGAAATTAATAAACAAGACCAACTTAGGTCTATCAATTTCATTGGGTCTGCAATGAGTAGAAATAAGCTGCATGCAACCCTGTGTTTTCCCCGCTCCCTATCTTCTAAAATGGGTTATTAGTCTGATTCAAAAATAACTCTGGCAAGAAAAATAATGCAGCTGCCCATGTGTTAAGTTCATAACTTTAAGATTAACTAAAGATGGAAGACGAAAGTATTACAGTGGTACCTCGGGTTACATACGCTTCAGGTTACATGCGCTTCAGGTTCTGCTAACCCAGAAATAGTACCTCGGGTTAAGAACTTTGCTTCAGGATGAGAACAGAAATTGTGCTCCGGTGGTGTGGCGGCAGCAGGAGGCCCCATTAGCTAAAGTGGTCTTCAGGTTAAGAACAGTTTCAGGTTAAGAACGGACCTCCGGAACGAATTAAGTACTTAACCTGAGGTACCACTGTATTATTATTATTATTATTATTAATAATAATAATAATAATATACCGCCTTATACCCAGGGGCAGTGCTTTTTTCCTTAAAAAATGTTTAGGGGTACTCTTATTTCGCCTGAGACTCAGGAAACACCATGACAGGAAATGAGGCTACCTTTGGGGGTAGCAACGGAACTGACGATTCACCACGCTAGAGAAGAAACTTTTTTAGTTTCTTCTCCTGTTAGATTCACAAAATGTTTAGGGGTATGCATCCCCCCCCCCAGAAAAAAGCACTGCCCAGGGGGTCTCAGGGTGGTTCACAGAATAAAATCAAGATATAAAACTACAAAACACCTAATAAAAACAAAAACAACAAACGTACAAAAGAAAGAGGAAACCATTCCAAGGTAGAAGAAACCTGGAGAAATCTACATCATCAACCTTGCAAGAATTCTCTCATCCTATCATGAAATGCACAAAGACCACATTGAATCAGACCCTCTGATCTTTTCATTTCAAGGATCCCGTCAAGGTGATCTAGATCCACTGATGGACATCAGGTGATGCCATTCCTGACCCATTCAGATCTGGGGCAGCCTCAAACATCCTGCATGCTAGGAGGTTGTGCAAGGATGGGGCCAGAGATCTGCCTGGGACACTCTGAGAAGGGCACTCCGACACTCCAAAGGGACGATCTATTTTTGGCTTCCCCCATTGTTCTTGGAGTGCTGACAGGACAATTCCCAGTGGCACCCCTCCTAAATGCCTCACATGCTATTCATTCCCAGTGCACAAACACACACAGGGTGGAATCAGCAATCCCTGGAAAAAAGGCTAATACCAAGCATTAGCTTGCAACAACAACCACCACAACAGCCCCCCCACCCCAATTCATTGCAGGCAAACAGCATCCTTCTGTAGGCCTGAAGATGGCACAGATGGCTAGAGGACTGAGTGATAGGCATGAAAGGCCGGGATTCAAAATCCGTCCTTAGCCACAGACTCACTGAGAGGGCCTTGGCAACACCACAGAACTTCACTGTGGCAAAATGGAAAGAACCACCACCTCTTTCTCAGGAGATTAGGCAAGGACTAATATGGATTGGAGGGCCTTGTGCAAATTAAAATGACTGATGTGTTAATAATTCATTGCAGACTTCAATGAACTTCAGGCAGGGGCTAATATAGCCCTCCAAGTCTCTCTCAGATCCTCCAAGTGTCCCGAATTTCTGGGGAGAGTCCCGGATTACAGAAGCTGTCCCGCAGTTTCTGATTTGATCCCAGAATGTTCTGGTTTTCCTTAGGATGTCCCTATTACCATTGGAGAAATGTTGGAGGGTATGGAGTTATGTGACCCCTCCCCTACCCCAGCCAAGGAGCTAAGTAACTATACAGTGGTACCTCAGGTTAAGAACTTAATTCGTTCCGGAGGTCCGTTCTTAACTTGAAACTGTTCTTAACCTGAGGTACCACTTTAGCTAATGGGGTCTCCCACTGCCGCCGCCGTGCGATTTCTGTTCTCATCCTGAAGCAAAGTTCTTAACCCGAGGTACTATTTCTGGGTTAGCGGAGTCTGTAATCTGAAGCGTCTGTAACCTGAAGCATCTGTAGCCCGAGGTACCACTGTACAACCTTTAGAAGACACCTGAAGACAGCCCTGAATAAGGAAGGTGTTTTTTTCTCCAATGTTTAATCTTTCATTATGTTTTTATATATGTTGGAAGCTGCCCAGAGTGGCTGGGAAAACCCAGTCAAATGGGTGGGGTATGTATGTATGTATGTATGTATGTATAAATAAATAAATAGGATGTCCCTATTTTCATCAGAAAAATGTTGGAGGGTATGCTCTCTGTCTGGCCCCCATGGACTCTCCACGCGTGTTTTTGCCTGGCTGTAATGTGTCCATAAACTCTGATCATGTCTCTTGCTTGCCTGCATGGAGGATGGAGAGGGTCGTGTTTGTATGTAGAAACTAGCCAACTGTACAAATGTAAAGTTCACAGTCATTGCTCCACCCACTTTTCTCTCCCCTTATGCCCTCCAACATTCCTGGCCTGGAAATAGGGACATCCTATTCTACATCAGTATCACTGCTTGAGCATTTCTTCCTGGTCGAGTACAAAGTTATTAGAAGAAAACACACAAAGCTGCAGCATTTTAAGCCCAAAAATCTTTGAATTTATGTATTGCGTTTAGAGAAACCTGGGGGAAAGGAATACCCCAAATCAATACATACTAGCAATGATACTGATGTAACAACAACAACAATTTTACTATTTATATGCTGCCCATTTAACTGGGCTGCCCCAGCCACTCTGGGTGGCTCCCAACAAAATATTAAATAGAATGCCCCTCTTTTCATCTCAGGGATGTTGGAGGGTGTGCACCTCTGACACGCAGCTTCTGGAAGGCTTCCTGGAAGTAAATGTGCCCCTGCCTGGAAAAGATCCACCCACTCTGGTCTACAATGACTGACAGCAGCACCCTCAGACAGGGGTCTTTCTCACCCCTTTCTGGAGTTGCTTGACATTGAACTGGGATTTTTAGCTGCTGCTGCTGCTGCTGTTGTTGTTGTTGTTGTTGTTGTTGTTGGCCCTTCACAGCAGGACACGGTGTGTGTGTGTGTGTGTGTGTGTGTGTGTGTGTGTTAGGGTTAGGGTTAGGGTTCATAATTAAAAACAGATAAAAAATATTTCAGTCACAGGAATAGGGTGGGCTTTGAAAACATCTGAGGTCCTCCTTTGAGGGTCTTCTGCTGGCCCCCTCACTGCAAGAAGCAAAGTTGCAGGGGACCAGGCAGAGGGCCTTCTCATTAGTGGCGCCCTCCCTGTGGAACGTCCTCCCATCACATGCCATGGAAATTAAGAACTACACAACTTTTAGAAGACATATGAAGGCAGCCCTGTATCAGGAAGTTTTTAACGCTGTATGTTTTACTATGTTTTTATATATGCCCTGGGTTATGCATTTCCTGTAGGAAGGCAATGTGTGGTTTCATGGCGTTTATGTACGAGGTGATGCCTTTTCTTTTGATAGGCTTTCCCAATCCCCTCACATTTAGTGCAATGGCTTTTAAGCTAGCCATTTTGCATGTCTATTTTATAAGATGATTCCCTTCCAACCCGTCTGTGTTGCCCTGTGTCCCTCCCCTTATATTGTCTATCCAACCTAGTGCATTGTATTTCTGCTGACCTTAACACTCAAGTGAGTCTGTAGGGAAGAAGGTGGTATTTGGGGCCTAAGTCATGTCCATGAGCTGTGCTTCTGAGCTGTGGCCTCATGATTTGCACTCACTGCATTCACAAACAATGTGTTCCCTGGTGTTCAAGAGAAAGGAACCAGCTTCCACTGACCTGACCCAAGCTTTGTCTCCCAGTCTTCTGCAGAGCAAGGATCGCCCGGCGGATCGGATAACCCAAAGCTAAAACGGGCTCAATGAGGTCGCGCTCCTCTTGGCTGAGCGCCGAGAGCAGGTCAGCTGTTGAGTCAGGATGAGTTCTGTGGGAACCACAAAGCTGCTGCACTCCAGGAGGGGGTGGAAGGCAGGAATAAGGGCTCAGGGACTGGGTGGGGGGAGAGAGAGAATAAAAATAAACATAGATCATAATGCTGGTTAATTTACAGACATCATTATGAGAAATTCTGTACTATTCAAGGCTTTAAAAAGGGTTTTTTCCCTGCCCCCTGGAAGATGTACAGGGTTTGTGGGTGCTCAAAAGCATGGCCTGGAGTCATTAAATTAAATTTAGTCAGACCACAGAAGATGCCCGGAAAATTCCCCTACTTGGAACAACCCCCCTTTTGGTTTTCTGACTTTAGACATCCTGTTTTAATCATCTGAAGTTTATTTCAAAATGTGAGTGACCCTTCCTTGGATGGGAACTATTATTATGTTTCCAGGGAGATGACAAAGCTTGATTTGACAACAATGGAGACTGGATATGTGTTTACATTCGAAAGCAAAAAATTAAACCTGCATCTGAAATGGATGTGCTCAGTGCTTTGTCGAGACACTTCTGCCCAGTTTTTAAACTGGAGTCAAAACACTGATGAGGTTGTTTCATGCTGGGACCAGTTCAAAGATTGGTGTTTCTTTCCAACACTTCTCCAGACATGGTAGCCTGAGCGGTGCTGAAGCTGAGCAGCTCTACCACCAGGGCTGAGAAACCATTTTGGGCCTGAGGGAGCAGCCTTCTGAGGACCCCGTATGAAAGGTGGGTGGGGCCAGAGGCAAAAGTGGGCGGAGCAATGGATGAGATTCTTAGCTCCCTACAGTCGGCTGTATTCCAGCCACACAAAAGCCAGAGGTTTCTATACCATCTTCTCATCTTCCAACCAAGTAAGTTGGAAAGTGCATTGCAGTTAAATGCAACGGTTCAGTTCTGCGAAGTTCCTCTACATCCGAGATGACTGATTCAGACCAGTTTAACTCTCAAAGCTATCTCCCGAAGGGATGTGAAAAGTCATGCCAATGCCAATTAAAATTGGGAACACCCAAAAAAAAAGAAAAGAAAAGAAAAGAAAAAAAGAGCTCATCCTATAGACAAGAGTGTAGTTCTCAGGGTCCCAAAGCTATGGCAGTTCTACTGATGGTTAATGCAGATGGGAGTCCAAATTAAAACCTGGCTAAGAAAAGCCGTGCTGGATCAGACCAAGTACCCACCTAGTCCAGCGTCCTGTTCTCACAGTGGCCACCCAGTTGCCTCTGGGAAACCAGAAAGCAGGATCCGAGTGCCGCAGCAATTCCCCCCACTTGTGACTCACAGCAACAGGCATTCAGAGGCCTTACTTGCCATATGTCTGGGTTTCCCTGGACATTTTGCCGATTCAGCAAAAACCTGCCCAGACAGCCCAATTCCCGGATGTGTCCGGGAAAACCGGATGTATGGCAGCCCTATCCTTTACAGCAGCTGGTCACTAAGCAGGGAGCCACTCTCAAGGGTTGGACCCCAGAGCTGCCTGCCACCGCTGCTGCTTCCTTCTAAGAAGTATTTTCTGAGAAACAATCCCTTACGCGTAGGCTGAATTGGGCCAGGCACGCAAGGACAGCAAGGTCAATGGGGAAAGGAGGCGGGTGGCTGCTCACAGCCTGATCTTCTTTCCAAGAGGCAGTCGCTGAAAGACGTCAGCAAGGCTGGAGCCTCCTTGCAGCCTCGGGGCTTATCTCCTTTGATGGATTTAGGGACAACTAGGTGACACGCTGAGAGAGAAGGACAAGGGCTCAGCAAGAGAGACTCAACAGGTGTTCTGGTGAAGAAATGCACGTCCTCACATAGGATGTCAACTGGCCCCTTGCTAGTGACATTAAGAACCAGGCAGCTGCATGAAAGACCACTGCCTTCTCTACAGTGCTCAGATTGGCAGAGGGGGCCCTCTTTGTAATTCCACTGCCCCCAGAAGCTTGGGGGGGTGACCTGGAAGAGGGCATTGTCTATGGCAGGTCCTGACTTGGGGATCTCCCCCCCCCCAGAAGTGCAACTGGAACCTTCATTATACAGCTTCCAATGAATGCTGAAGACACTTCTTTTTATCCTGGCTTCTGACACTTGAGATGTATATTTTTAGGACCACCTTGAGGCCAGTTGAGGAAGGTGCCATCCCCTCGCCTCGCTGAAGCCTCCCTTATCTTTCAGGGGCTTTCAGTGGCACCCACAAATCAGCACCGATGGCGGGTCCCAGTGATATCTTTCTAGATCTCGTGGAGCTCTTGCAAGATCTCGTGGAGTGCAAAAGATCTGGCAAGGTCTCACCAGAAGATGATGCTGAGTCCATGCTTGTGCTTTGGGCAGACAAGGTCTGGAGAATCTTTTTCATCCCAGGGGCCTTGTTCCATTTTAGGCAACCTTTTGAGGGCCACATGCATGTGGTGGTCGGGGCTAGAGGCAAAAATTAGCAGAGCAACAAATTAAACTTTACTTTTTGTACAATAGGTTGGCTGCTACACACGCTCTTGAGGTTCCCTACTCCTGCTCTAAACTTTTTTCAAATATGGAATCTGCCTCTAGCCCAAGCATGCATTTTGGGTCCTACCTTCAGTCAAGCTGCAACTCAGCAGTGAGTCCTGACTCAGGGAAGCCATATCTGGGGGCCAGATCCTTTATGCATGACCATCACTTAATGATTGCAAACCTGAGTGGCAACTGGGTGTCAAGTAAACCACAACAAATAACAATTCCAGAGAGGCTTTCCTTCGGTTTTTGCACCACCTCAGAAGCAAAGCTTTGCAATGGGGTTACTCTGCTGCCAGGAAAATCAATATCCGTGCATTTTAGGCTTCACTCTGGCCAATTTGCAAATATTTTCTTTTTTGTGTGCATAATTTAATTGTCACAGAAAAGGGGAGATGCCGGTGACCTGTACAAGAGCTTCCCACTTTGCCATCACTTACTTGTGCCCAGAATTTGCCACCTGCAGCAAGACCTTTTTAGCCCAGCTGGGTAAGCAAGCAGGCTGATTTTCAACACGTTTCCATTTTCCATTTTTTTAAAACTCAAAAAGTATAAAATCCAGAATTAGGGATTGGAGAGAAATATGTTTTGGCTGATATTTAAACATGAATGTATCAAATGCATACTTCCTGTCAAAATCTGAGAACCAAAACACAGTCATCTATGAAAATTTGCATTTATCTGAATTTTGCAAAGTAGTTATCCAATCATCAGTGTTTACAAAAATGCATATTTTGTGGGGAGGGGGATAAAAATGAACATGCTAGTGAAAAGGAAGGACAGAAATATTACCAAAAAGTGCTTGCAAAAATGTGTATATCAGTCAAAACTGCAAACAAAAATGTGTTTGTTAAGAGAAATTCACACTAAAATTATGAAGAATTTTTAGGATGATTTTTCTTTAAATTTAGGATATTACTGCAGAAATGTGGGCAACTGAATTTAGGACTGGAAAAGTGAGAAATTGACAGAACTGAAATTATCTGATCCTTCTGTCCCTACCTGAAATTTTAGATTGTGAAATGGAGAGGGAGAAGGAAAAGAAGCAGAGAAAAGTGATTTCTTACTGCAGTTGTGGGCTTGTGCTTTTGGTTAGGAGGGACAAGCGCCGCAACAGTCAGTGGCTTTGGGTTGCAGCAAGGCTGAGAAACTAAGAGAACCAAACTGACAGATCCTTCCATCCTTACCTGCAATTTTAAGACTGTAAAATGGAGAGGGGGCGGAGAGAAAAGAAGAAGAAGAGGAAGAGGAAGAGGAAGAAGAAGAAGAAGAAGAAGAAGAAGAAGAAGAAGAAGAAGAATGATATCTTACTGCAACTGTGGGCTTGTGCTTTTGGATAGGAGGGACAAGCCCCGCTACAGTCAGTGGCCTTGGGCTACAGCAAGGAGTCGTTGGTGGTGTTGGGGCAAGAGTTCCCACCAGAGACACATCAGAGGTAGGTCCATATCTCAGGTTCCGGCTGCTCCGGGAGCGCTGATGGAGGGAGAAAGCTCTGGACGCCAAGGTGGGTTCCGCTGCCGTCTGGTTCCTCGGGAGCATGAAAGCTGTGAGCTTCTTCCTGGCTCCTTCAAACTCATGCTTCACGTTGTTAAATAAAAACATAGATTGCCTCTGCTTGACTAGAGGAGGCTTTTGGCTGATGTTCTCCGAAGGGGTGGCCAACAGCACCGGGGAGGTCTTTGGTCTACATTGGGGAAGACTCAGGAAACGAGGCAAAGTGCCAGGAACACGCTTGGAGTCAGAGAAGGGCTTTTCTTCACCGTCGCTTTCGACAGAGGAAGACAAGGGAGACTCCTCACCTTCGGAGCACCCTTGCCCTTCCAAGCACCCATCCTTGCTCACCTTCTTAGCCAACCTGCTCTTGTTCACAGTGCAGCTGAACTTCTCCGCCGCAGCACACAGGTTGGCACACCGTCGAATGGGTACCGCAGCCGTCAGTTTGCGGCCTGCTGCCTCTGGGAAGCTCTCTTTCGAGTCCAGCAGCAGCAGCCAGCAAGGCGGAGCCGTTGGGACGACGTCAGTGGTCACTTCGTACCAGGGGGTGTTTTGCCGAGAGGCGGAGTCTACCCAATACAGCACCTTCTTCTCCAGCGAGAAATCGTGCTGTGGGAACAAAAGAAGGAGAGTCAGCATCTTCTTGGCCTTGGGCTGTAGCTGGAGTAACCAAATGAGCGAAGGTTGTGAGCCGGGACTTGAGAGCTAAATCACAAACCAGATGAGGTCACCTGAACCCAACCGGACCACCCACTCCCAAGATCTGACTTTGCTAAGAACTTCAGAAAGAACTCTGCTGGGTCAAATCAAAGCCCTTCTAGTCCAGGGATGCAGAACTTGTGGCCCAGAAAATGTTCCTGGACTCCACCTCACATCACCCCAGTCATCATGGCCCAATGGCCAAGGATGATGGGAGCGGTGGTCCAGCAATATTTGAAAGGCCACAGGCTCCCCATCCCTGACCCAGTCCAACATTTTATTTTCGACAATGGCTAGCCGGAGGTTTAAGAGCCTTACAGGAAGGCCATGGAGGAACTATAGTCAAATGAAATCGTAAGCAGGGTCTAAATAACAGGCAAGGGAAGGAGAATAAATAAATGATTCTAATCTAAGTTATAATACAATAGAAAATAAATGTAGATACTGTAAAGGAATACAACAGGAACGTCACAAACGTAAGGGTGCGAAGTCAAAGTGTAAGAAATTATTATACTGAAAGTGAACAGAATAATGTCAAATTTTGTGTAAAAAACTAATAAAAATTCATATATATTAAAAAAGGAAGGCCAAGGAAGCAACATCTGTACTTTTTTCAGCACCTTCTAAGGAAAACATCTTTCTTTGGGCAACTGTCCAGATATGTAGAATGCTGACATGTATTTTAATCTGTTTTTTAAGTTCCTCCTTGATTTTAATGATTTTTTCAATGTTTTAGAGAATTGTTTTTAGCTGTTTCTTACTGATTAGTTCATTGTTTTGTTTTTTTTGTAAACTGCTTTGAGGTGTTTTGTTTTGTTTTGTTTTTTACAGTCAAGTGGCACATAAATTTTGTGAACTAAATAAATAAAACAAGAATGCATGCAGCCTTAGGAAGAAAGTTGTTTCTCAACACAATTATGTGTTTCAAAATACAACTTGTGTGGAGTGAAAGCAGACATGTGTCAAGGTGGTTTCTTAGAACTCTTTCATCCTCTCCTCAAAACCCTGAATATAATAGCAGAAGATCCACTAAGACGACTCCTAAAAACACCAATCTTCCAGAGCACAATGATGCTCCCTAGTGGCAGGATAAACTGGACACAGGGCTTGATAGGCGGCAGAGGAAGATTGCTTTAGCTTTTCAAACCCAAGTTTCCAGGCGACTAAAAAGTCATCTCCATACAATGTTTAAAACCCCCTGGCAATATTTGTAACCTAGGAGATATTGTAAACATTGCACTCTGGGTCTATGCTACAAAGATGGTTATGAAAATACACTTCAAAAAAGCCTGTGGAAAGTTAATTTGTCACGGATTTGATTTGCATATATTGCAAGGGAGCAGGAGAGATGTGCTTCACTGACACTCATTAGGCAATTTCTTTTTTTCCAGCTAGCTAATGTACTGCAAGGACTAATTCAGATGCAGCAGTGAACCATGACTTGGTGTTACAAGAACAAACCTTTAATGGCATTGCCAGGGCTGGATTTAGGTTTGATGAGGCCCTAAGCTGAAGGGAAGTTTTCTTTCTGCAGTTTCTCTTACTGCACATAACTGTGGCATTGTGGGAAGTCTTACTATGAAATCTTTCTATGCTTACTATGAGAACTCTTGCTTCTTTCCTCTTGGATTCTGGGAAGCCTCGCTTCTGCTCTGCACATACTGTTCCTTGTGTGCCCAATCAGCAACAAGATGCTTTGTGTTTGTATCAACCAATCAGCCACAAGCACACCTGTGGCAATGTTTGTAATATTCAATAAAAGAGAGTTCCCGGGGCTTGCCCCGGCAGACGCCTCTCCTTTGACACTCACCACTCGTCTGTCGTGATTTCAACCCAACACTAAGCCTTGTTGTTTTTTGTGTTGAATATGTGCTATATAGTAATTTATGGATGTAACAGGTATCTAAAGCCATTTGCCCATGTTGCCATGCAACCAGTCCATGCAGAATGCAGGCACCCTATATATAGGAAAGAGCAAACTAGTGATATTTTAGGGAGCAGGCTAGCAGGCAGGGCCCATTACTAACATTGTAGGAGCCTACACAACACAAAACACTGTTGCTGTGTGTAGGTTTTATTTTATTTGTTTTTTATCTATATTTTGGAAATGTACATCCAGGTTTGTTTGTTTGTTTGTTTGTTTTTGAGCCCCCCAAGAGAGTGGAGCCCTAAGCTATAGCTTGTTTAGCTTATACGTAAATCTGGCACTGGGCATTGCTGTTCCTCCACTGCTAGAGTTAGGGTGCCCTGCATACCAGCTGCTGGAAATCACAAGTGGAGAGGCATTGCTGTGAGAACAGAGTGCTGGACTCGATGGGTCCCCCTGGGCCTGATTCAGCAGCCAGCCTCTTCTTATAATGTTAAAGGGAGTCCCTGGACACTCCTTCCTCCACCTCCTCCCCCCGCCTTGATTTGAGGCAGCCCATCATTTGTGGCTTTGTCCAAACCATGGCTTGTGTTTGCCCTGCAAATGACAAATTGGAAACCAGCCCCAAACTGTGGGTCCTAATCCTGGTTGGATTAGGGCAGGGGTAAGCCCTGTCTTCGCCAGGTTTGGGCAAAAAGGTGAATCACACCTTGCTTCAAAGCAGCAAAAAATGAGGAAACAGTAGTAAGAGAAGGAGGAACGTGCTGCTCAGAAGGTCCTTGAATGCTTATTATTGTAGTGTGATTCTGGCATTGTAAGAGCCTAGAAAGCTGCCTTTTACCAGCTTGGACTATCAATCCATTGAGCTGCGTATTATGAACATTTTCTGGCAGCAACTCTCCAGGAGTCCTCAAGCAGGAGTCCCTTCCAGACATACCTGGAAATGTTGGGGACTGAACAGGACTTCCCTGAACTATGGTGTCAGGTTAAAGGCTTTCAACATCAGCAAAATGTTCCTCCCAGGGGTAGGAATGTACATATAAAAAGCCTGTGGAGCCTAGGTGTTATTCTAATTAATAAATTTCTAGACCTTAAGAATACTAAACTAGAAAATGGAAATGGCTAAAGAGTCAGTAATATGAAAGAATCAACTTTGTTCCAAAAAACAAACAAACAAACAAAGATCCCCTTTAATATCCACATTTGGAAGAGATTTATTTACCATTGCACACATCAGGATCTCTGTGCAATTGGGCATCTCAAACTCAGGCGCTGACACAAAGTTTGTCTCTTCTGTGGAGTCGTCTGCAACGCTTACGGTCACTCTGAAAGGTACATCTTGCAGGCAATTCATGGCTCCCCTTGTCACATTACACTCTAGTAAAAAAATAAGAAGATTGATTGGACTTAGTTACTCCTTCTGCTTCAGTTTACAGACCTAAGCCCAACATGTGTCCATTTGGCTAGTGAGACCATTGCTTCCAAGCCACACATATAGGATGCCAGGTCAGGTGTGAGGCAGGCAAAGACATGGCTCCAAAGAAAGAATCAGAAGCTTAAAATAAGCTCCCAATTGGTTCTTTGCAAGTGAGGCTTGCAGACACTGATTGGCACAGCGAGCCTCAATGGAATCACTGGGGAGTCCTGCATCAGGAACGTCCTCCTGCAGCCAATGAGAAACGGTGCTTTGCAAGGTCGGCTATGCAAGCACCAATGGTCAGCTGATCACAGGTGCTTACAAAGCCCTGGGCTTTTGATTTCAAACCATGGGGGCAAAGGAAAATAGGTCATTGTGACGTCAGGGGGTTGGCAGGTGTCTGAACTGTCGCACTTCAGATTGCAGGTCACGGTTTACATGATGGAAGGCTCCTCCACAGCAAATAAAATAAAATGAGATCCCTGCAATAAGAAAACTAGGATGTCAGGGGGAAACAACTTCTTACTTTAATAAATGGTGGTTTGTGCAAGTGGCCCCAAGGTAAAAGGAAGTAGAGTGGGCAGTATTATTGCTTTTTTATATCAAAGGCCTTTATGGCAGAAGTTGGGAACTTTTTCCCATTGAGTGCTGTGTTATGTCAGATAAGATATACCGGTACTCTGCAGGGCGGGCCAGGGAGACACAAGCTGGAAGCAGTGAGGCAAGAGCAGCCAGCCTCCCACTCCCAAGATCGTCACCATCTCAACACACTTTAAAAGGACTGATGCCTTTTGAAAGCCAGATCTGCACCTTCAAAAGCTCCTTCTTGCTCTCTGGGACATTTTGAAAACTGCACTATAGCCACCTCTCATGAAGAACAGCTCAAGATTGAATGGCAGCATAAAATGGACAAACTCTTCTCCTGCTTGATAGGATTGGCTTTGCATAGGCAGCAGGAAGCTTGGATTTTGCAGAACTCCTCATCAGCCAGTGTCGGCAACTTCTGATCAACAACCTATGAAATTCAGAAGCCTGTGTACACCCAATAAACAATGTTATTTTACCCACTTTGCACCTTCCATTTCTTAACTGATCCTGGCGAAGATTTGTTAGCAATCCCCTTTGCCTCCTCCTAATTTCTATGTGCTCCTTCAAAAGAGTGAAGCTCCTCTATGGACTTTTTTTTTTAAATGCCACTCAGCTATAAATTGGTGTTTCTAATCTCAACAGGATTTATTGCTGGGTGGCTAATGCAAAGTCTGTGTCTCCTGGTGCTGGAGTGGAGAAGCCAGATGGGTGCTTCCTAGCTCTGCCATGCTGCACATGTCTTTTTGCTAATACATTCCACATGCAGCATATCTGGAAGGCGACCCAGGGCTCAGACCATCTGCTGAGATAATGCAAATGACGCTTTCCACATAAGCCACAACGTACACAAATGTCACAGAGGGAGGTGGGCGGGGGGAAGAAGCAAGGAGTAAACGCAATCAATGACGAGAATGATTTATCGTTCCGATTTCGTCTGCTGGCTCTGCGACTTATTCCTAGTTTTAGCTACATGTTTTATATCATTTAGGTAGCTTAATTATATTATTATTATTATTTCACATGTGCTGGCACTGTAGATTATGGCTCTGGATCAGACAGTTGGGATGGTAATTAGAAGAAATGATGGCAAATTAGAGACTTGGGCCACCCATTTTCTATGCTTTCACAAGATACACAAACAGGCTAGCAGTGCATCACTGCTCCTGTGCATTAAGAACAGCCATTGTGAAGGGGGAAGTTTTGTAGCTGCAATTTCACCTGACCTTGTCTTTCATCCTGGATATAGGAGCAGGTGGTCCTGGTCTAATCACAGGGCCTCAGAATAACTTACTGTTATGGTTTGAAGGGGGTCAGTCTGGGTAAGACCCTGAGTTCCTTCCAAACTTCGGATTTTGTGTATGTGGGGTACATACTATAAGATGAAACCTGACAAACCAGTTCTTCTGGCTTTGGCTAGCCAGTTAAGTTCCACTAGTTACACGTCAAAAGAAGTTGCTATAAAGACAACCCGGTGGGGGTCTATCCCTACCCCACCTGGCTGGATGCCACCTCATCCAAGGTGAACTATAGGCCAAGGGGAGGCTGCGTATGAGAGCTGTGTGAGTTTCTTGGCTGATGCTGGAAGCTGGAGACACAAAGATATGTCTGACTCTGTGCTGGACTTGGGGTTCCCCTGGAAACCTAATGGGGAAGCAAATCTGTTGGGGCATTCATATTGCAAGCCACTCTGTCCTGTGCTCAGGCTGTATATATCTTAAATAAAGCCAGATATCCTAAAGACACCAGTCCCTGAATAAGCAGAGAAAGCTTGGAGTCTCCCACTGCTTGGAGACTGTAGTACGCAACAATACTATTCTGTTTCCAATTATTTCAACTGCCACATAATTGTTGATCTTAAGGGGAAAGATACTTTACAACTGTACCTGTAGCAATTCAAGGAACAAAGGCATATAGCCCAAACCAGGTTCCCAGATGCCTAGAGGCACTTCACATCATATACATGCAAGTGATTGAGGGGGAGAATATACTTAGGGTTGTATCCAATGTTGTGCATATGGAGTTCTGCTCACACAACAGGATTTTCCCTTATCCTTCTCTCCTGATTAGAGGGTCATAAGGGAGAAGAGGGAGGAGTTCCATTGTGCAAGTGGAAGTTTGTTATGCAAGCAGAATGATAGCGCTGGATACAACTCTTAGGCACGGTGCCCCTTTTAGAAACAAACAAGTGGCATTTCGCTTAATCCGGAAACTAGCAACCACCCTGTAAGATACCTAGAGAGGCAGTGCTTTTTTTCTGGAGGGACACATACCCCCAAACATTTTGTGAATCTTTGTACTTTTGTCCATTTACTGTATTTTTCTCGATTTGAACTAAAAAATGGTGATTTTCTTGAGTCAAAATGAGAGTACCCCTAAATATTTTTTAAAAGAAAAAAAAGCACTGCCTAGAGGGTACTAGAATAGCGCAATATGGTATTAAACAAGTGGAAACTATTAGATAGGGACTCAACAAGGCATCTTCTTTTCTTTTCTAATTTAAGAACTAAACATTATGTCAGCGTTATAAAAACACCACCATGATCTGGGGGTAGGGGGAGAGGACTGAGAAACTTGCAACTAGGGATCACTAGTTTTCGTCAAAATCCACCAGGCAAGAGAAGTTAACATGCGCTCCAACACTATCTAGCAAGACTGTAACAGATAACAAAATGGTAGAAAAATAGCAAAGAATTTATAGGGAGACTACTAGGCCACTGAAATTTATCAAGCAGGTGTAGCAAAAAGCTTTTCACCAAGTAAAACATGTTGTATCTCATAGTGAGGTATGAGCAAGCAGTTGTGGAGAAACAAATCATACCTACAAGAAAGTAAGGCCATAGCTTTACATATAGAGGCTTGAGTATTTACTTCATTGCACAGCAGGACTTTGACATTTTATAATGAAAGCAATAACTAATTCAAATTCATTTTTCTACATCTTGAGGGATATCTTTCCATTTCATACCATTCAGTGCCTGCATTTCCTTTGCAAATTTAAGCTTACCTTAAGAAGAAACCAACTAGCTGCTTGTGATGCAGGATAGAGGCACCTTGTCAGCTCTCTGTCCCATACTTGGAAACTTAAGTGCCTACAAAGGAGGTCAGGTGAATGCCTGGCTCCCTTTTCTAAAGCTACTGATTAGAGCAGCTTAAGGGGTTAGCTTGCATCATCAAGTCTTCCAAAAGAGTAAGAAGCCTAGCCACACGTGTGAAAGCAGCGCCAATTTTTATGAATTGGTTTGAGGTCTTACTAGTCTCAAGATACTAATTCAATGGAGTTGCTTTAGAACACACATGCATGTTACTCTGTCTGGTAAATAAAATAAAAAATAAGGCAGAGATAATGTTAATAAAAGGGCAAGTTTTTATCTTTAGCAAAATGGTATTTCCTAGTAGTTATTGCACTGTGTTCAAGGTGCTGGAACTGGTGTAAAAACCACTATTGCTTGGGACCAGGATACATGAAAGACCATCTCAGTCCCTACATAGCCAACCAGTCAGTGTTCTGCAAGACAGGAGGTCCATTCTGCATGATGTTGGAATTAAGACCTTAAGCGTGGTGGCACCTATCCTTTGGAATTCCCTACCACTGCGTATCAAGACAGGCACCTTGTTTCTTGGCTTTTTGGCACTTGCTAAAGACGTTCTCTTTCAACAAGCCTTCTAAATTCTTTATCCTGGTTGGCATCTGTTCTGAATCTGAACTGATTTTAGGCATGTTCTTGTTTCAAACCCCCCCCTTAAAAATTCCCTATATATGCAATTCTTGTAACTGTGTGTGTGTGTGTGTGTGTGTGTGTGTGTGTGTGGCATTATACTGCAAGTTGCTTTGCGAAGGAATTCATAAATGAAAATAGTAATAGCTGACACTGTCCATTACCAAAGGACAGTGTCAAACTCCAATAGCTTGCATTGACCTTTTCAGTTGGGAAGAAAACCATTTATTTAAAAATGACAGCTACAAAGAGTGTGAAATGTTCTTTATTTTTTTTTTAAGTACAAATAAAATTCATCTTTATTACTTTGTACTACAAACAATTCTTGACAATGTTTCACATTGCATTCTCTACCCTCATCACAGGCACTTATGTAACTTTGTTTCAAGAACAAAAGAATAAAGAAAAAATTCCCTCAAATTTGATGTAACATTTTGGTAGATATTTTTGTAACAAGCTGCTAAATTTAGTATCAGAGGTCAAGTTACACTGAAATGTTTGGGAAAGGCTGTTTTCTTTCCCCTGAACTAAAGATTCAATTGATACAGAATATGATAGCCTATCAACATATCATCAGTTATATTGTGTCAACAGCATTTTTTTTTTTTTTTGTCAATGACAGTCCCACAATGTTCTGCAACCTTCAAATAACAGGGGCCATGGAGAATATGTTACCATGCTAATGAAGTTTATTTTACAAGGTTTGTAAACATTAGATGTTCAGGTTTTTTGGTTCACATGCACAGGAACTGTTTATGCAACACCAAACCAGTATTTGACATTCTATTAAATTAACACAAATACCCTAACTTGTATCGCTTCTCTAGTGTTCTTACTTTAAGAGATGATAGAAAAAATGCTTTCCTGAGTATGTACATCTTATATGCACACTTAAAAAAAAATTAAGGTGCAAGTTGCACAAAAAAACAGCAACGATGCTATTAATTCTCTCCACGTTGTTTCATCTTAGTGTTTTAGCTTTTAAAACCACTACACCAAACTTGCAAGGAGGGGATAATTGACCACATCTGTCAATTCACTTAAGTAACAGCACATAAGACCAAGATAAACACGGAGGCAATTTTTAAAATGAGAGTTCAAAAAAGAGCTGAAACTTGAGAACCAGGATATGGCTCTAAAGAGTTCAGTGACAGTCTTTGATGTTGCTTCAGGATTATTACCTGATTTCCCATGAAATATCAGAACATTAAAAACACATGCAACAATATTTAGCAGCTGCATTAAGTTATATGGCCCTGGGATTGTATTTCGCCTCAGCAGGATGCAGTTAATGACACAGGTTCTCAAGTTAGGTTTTGCTGCTACACATGCCCATGACAAATTAATTTCCCTGCTATAGATGCCGTTGTCCAGAAATAATACATTTAAAAATTCTAAGGAAAAATGTCCTGCTTTTAAAGTTCGCAGGAGCAGATAATGTGCAATGCTGTTGTAATTAAAATCCTCCAAACAGTGTTTTAAAAAACAAGATCTGAAGCAAATCTCTGCCAGGGTAACTAAGCAGAGATTCACATTTCCGGAATACATTTTTTGGGGGGCAGTATTTGTCTTCTGAATCAGCTGTTGCATATTCATCTTATGTATTCTGTGCCCCTGCTTTATAAGAAAAAGATTCAGAGTTTTTCAAGTCCAAAGGAATTAATGAAGTACGCTTTATCACTTGTGTTGCTATTGTTTTAGACTCTGAACACATCATCCAACAGCTGTAGCCCAGATGTCACTAGAAGGTTGACAGGGAATGACCCATCCTGGTGGGATAAAGTTTCCTTCAGGATGATCTGTAGGCACCAAGTATCGATCCCATTCATGCCTTAAACATAATAAAGTTAGTTATGCAGCATATTGAGTACTGTGTTCAATCCTCCTGAAATCTTAATTTCCCACCATTAATTTTACAACTTAAGTGTTGATGTGAGTTGGGGAGATGAGTGCAAAGCATTGTGGCCACCCAACAGATCCTTGTCAGTGGACAGCATTAGAGACATGTTTTGCACTGTCCACTACTACAGTATCTCCAAGTACCTCATAGGGGTACATGGCATCCCATAACTTGTAGGGAAGTAAAGGCATGGCTCTTGGGAGACCCAGTAAAGCAGTCTCTTATTCTTGGTAATGCCACTATCTGGGTCCAGAGGGAAGTTTTAGCAGCAACAACAGTTTTGCTGACTGCAACTTGAACAGTAACTGCTACAACAAATATCCGATAGGAATTAATACTACACCACAACGTAAAAAAGCAGGTAAGTTTCAAGATTTGACAAAATTGTTACAGCTTTATTTTTACTACAACACTGATTAAACTTACCTGATCTGGATAAGAGATGGCGCAGAATACTCAGCCTGCAAATAATACTGTGTGAAGGGCTCCAAAAGGCGGGCAAGGGGAAATTCCTCTGTAAAACAGGATAATAATTAAGAAAAACAAGTGCCATGAAAAACTACCAGACACAGAAGCATATCCCAAGAATGTAAGCCATACATTATTTGCTACAGAGAATACTAAAACTGACTGTTATAATACCGTTACATAAAATCCTAACTGGACATGTTGATAGAAACATAGGGATTGCATAAATATATTAAAAATCAGGAAGTAGCTCCCATCATTTTATTCTATGACTCTCTGCAATCAAATATTGCCTATTGAGATTAAGAAGGTGCCTTCAATGTACTATTTTTGGTGCCTGCTAAAAACATTCTTGTTTAGATAAATCTACCCAGCTGCTTGAAGTAATCTTAATCTGTTCTAGTATTTTAACTTTTGTATGTTTTAAAATACGGTTGTGAATTTTTCTCGATTTTATCATTGTGCCTTCTTGTAAACCACTTTTGAGAATTTCTACAATCAAGAAGTGTATAAACTTTATGAAATAAAATAATTAAGATTTAAACATAAACTATCTCTGGTGTGGGTTGATAGCTGGAGAATACGCCTGCATTGTAAAACAAGCACTTGGGACTGTATCCAACATTTTCTGTCAGCTACTGTGAGCGGATGGGTGAGTTTTAATGTTACGCAACAGAGGAATCCAACACAAGTGTTTCACTAGCAGAAACACACTGTGCAACAGACTGCACAATTTGCTGTGCACCATTTGCTAGCAAACTGCTTATGTATTCTCTTGCACAACAATGATCTGTTGGTGCAAAACATTTCACCAGTGGGACAAGTATAACTTAGCACTACACTGAATACAACCCCTGAGAAACAATACGCTGAATGTTACCTGGATCCCCAAACAGTTTTGAATCCATTTCCCGCTTCTGCTGCAGAAGTTTCTCCTTTTCCCGCTTCAGCTTCTTTTCCATTTCTCTTTTCCTTTCCTCTTCCTGTTCTCCTTCCAGCATAACCCGCAGAGCTCGTTCTTCAGCTTCATAGAGTTCAGTGCGTGTTTTTATCAATGCTCTTAAGCTCTGGACTTCATTCTCAAAGGCTTCATCTGCAGCTGGGGGTGGACAAACACCTGCAGCAAAAAAAAACAGAACAGAAACCACAACCCACATCAGATTACTTGACTTTTCCTCCACATACTGATCCAGAATAATGAAATGCATGTGAACAAGAGAATCAAAGCATCCCCACTGGTGAGTAATCTTGCTCTGAGGTGGCATCCTCATGCACCCTATCTCACTTGCTTTTAACAGGGTGGTCAGTTGCTTGGGTGCGTATTATTTCCCTCTCCCTCCTCTCCCTAATTGCATGTTTTTTCACTGTTCAAGGACAGAGGAGGAACCGGGTGCAGTAGCTTACTTCACTGAAATATGGTATTTATGAATTTTACATTTTATTATATAGCCCTGAAGAAAAATGAACACTTAACATAACAACATGGAACATAAAAAACAAACCTGTAGAAGCACCTGTGTTTGATTAAAACAAAAACCAGATAAGCAAATGTGTATATTGTGCAGTAAAATACAAATTACATTGAATAAAAACTGGAAACTTGTGTTTATTAACTGATTTCTTCACTGCCACCAAAGAAGACCGTCTGTGAATTCCACAAGTGGACATATTGGTGTGTCGGCTTCTTGTGTGTCAGCTTCTTCATTGTCAATGAAGGAAATAGTCTTGCAAAGTTGTCTTAAATGAGTCTATAGCCTTGGGTCTCTTGACGTTCTCAAATAGCTTGTTAACCTTTCCATTATTGCCATATTCTACAGCTCTTCATACCAGAATTGAAGAATTAGTCCAGCTGCATCTTTTCAATGCTGGGTAATAACAAGGTGTGTTGACACTAGCATACAGCATAATAGGTCACTGGAAGAGGCATCCCTTATGCTGGGTATTTATAACAAATATTTGCAAAAAACATAAATGCTTCAGAAGTTCTAATGGTTTCAGTGCCTTACAGATGCTTTGAGTGGACTTCGTCCAGGGCAGGATGCTATGCTTTTAACCAAATATTTGTTTTAACAATACAAGTCTTCCAGGACCTAATTTATATATATTGAACAATATTTTATAAACAATACATAAGCAATACAAGCCTGACTGAAATGTTGGAGCCATTACACAAACAGCTTTTCAGCTATGTTTCAGCTTATATGTAAGTAAGGAGTATAAAAAGCACATGCAATTCTGAGTCACGTTTACCTTTCCTCGCTGCTGCTTCTTTTCTTAGTTTCCTAAGCTTTTCTAAGCCACGCAGGATTTCTGCCATACGTTTTGTGTCTGCTTGTTTTTTCCTTACTTCAGATAACACACTGTCTGCAGCAGCTTTAAGTTCTTGTTCCTATATGGGCAAAAATATGAATAAAGGAATTAAGAACACATGTAAGAGAGTTGTGACACATGCACACCGGTGTAGAGAATAACAATATTCTCTCTAGAGAGTACAGATTCAGCAGGTGCCTTGTTTCACCCTTTAAACACCAGCTGAAAATTTTCAGGCTTATTTAGTTAGTGAAGAATACATCTTTCCAAAATAGCTGATTTGAAACCTTTTTTTTATGACTTTTATTGAATGGTTTTATGTATAATTGCTATTAACCATGCTGCTATTCTTAATTAGCAGTATATATTTTATAAATAATTATTTAGCACTATTAATGCAGCTAATAAAACACATTTAGTGTTCAAAACAATTCAGTTTACTATTCCCTGCAACAACCCAGTAATGTAGGGTACTACCTCAACACTGCAGGTGGATGTGAACAACAGAGGTTTGCCTAAAGCAGAGATCCTGGTGCCCTCCGCTGGACTACAACTCCCATCAGCCCCTGCCAGCAGGGCAAACACAGCCAATAAACCCCAAAGCACCGACTACCCTGCGGGGAATTCGTGGGCATCCCTCAAAGAGCAACCCACCCGGTGCCTCTCCTCGACTTCCAGGGCGCGCCTGGCCCGCCAGCTCTCGATCCGCGCCTCCCTCTCGGCCTCGCGGGCCGCCTCCTCCTCGCGAGCGGCCCGCGCCTCCTGCCTCCGCGCTTGGCGCCGCAGCCTCTTCTTGCGGCTCTTCTCCGCGTGGCGGCGCAGCTGGGCCAGGGGATCCTCCGCCGCTGCCTCGACCCGCAGGGGCCGCACCACCTCCCGCAGCTCCGCCAGCCGGGCCTCGGCCTCGGCCACCTCCTCGGCCTCGGCGTGGTCGTCCCGCAGCCGCCAGGCTCCGCACAGCGCTGTCACCTGCGCCACCAGCCGCAGCGCCTCCGCCGCCAAAGGGCCCGCCTGGCTGGGCTTCAAGCCGCGCGGCTTCGGGGGAGACGCGGCGGCGGCGGTTCCTTCGGTGCGGCGGCAAGCCAAGAAACGGCTTAGCCATTGCTCGCTCTCGTCGCCGCCGTCGCCTCGCCTCAGGCCGCCGGCTGAGGCAGCAGCGTCAGGCCCGAGCGGGAGCCTTGGGTTCTCCCCGGCCACGAACGGCAGCGCCTCGGGCCTCCATTGAGGCGAGGGCCGCTCCGGAGGCGGGAACCTTGGCTTCTCCCCGGCTATGTAAGGCGGCGCCGCGGGCCTCCATTGAGGCGAGGGCAGTTCCGGAGGTTTCTGCTGCTGCTGCTGCTGCCACGGAGGAGGGGGCAGCGGCGGCCGGAATGGCGGCGGGTAAGCGGGAGTAGGAAGGCCTCGGCCATCCGCCGAAAAAGGCGGGAACGGGGAAAGAGGAAACTGAGGGTGGTGAGGCGGCGGCGGCGGCCCGCCATAAACACCCTGCGGAGGAGCCCCCGTCGGCGGGAAGTAGTGGGGCTGAGGGGGCCTCGCGAAGGATGAGGGGAACGGCGGCGGCTGTTGCGACATCTCGCCCCCCTCACGCATCAAGAGGCCTAGTTAACTGAATGAGAAGCTGTCTCTCTCGCCCTCGGACACCGCTTCCGGTTTGAAGCGGAAGTGACGGCGAGAAGAGCAGCGCCCCCTGTAGCTTCGGAGGAATCCGACATTTGTCGGCTACTGATTTTAGACTGCAGCTCCCATCAGCCGCACCGGTACCGGAATGTACTAGCAGCTTTTAAGGTGCATGGCAAGTTATGCTGCTTTGCCCCCAAGCACCACACACACCCCGTCACCTTAGTGCACTCTTTACCCCCCAAACCTTAAAGCATTTTACCTACGCTGTATTCCTAGCCTAGAATGGTATGCTCAGTTGCAATTACTTCAATAATGGACAACCTAAAGCCCCTCATTTCTGTGAGATTTAACATTCTGTGAAACGCACAGGAGAAGCACTACTAGAAATCTGGGAGGAACAGGGAAGTAATAATAATAATAATAATAGTAATAATAATAATAATAATAATAATAATAATAGTAATTTATTATTTATAATAATTTCCCCAGCTGCTCTGGGCAGCTTCCAACAGAACACTAAAATACAGTAATAGATATGGGACGCTGCAATTATTATTATTTTTAAACCATGGGACACCTAGTTTGCTTCTCTTGCTTCAAACCACATGGGTTTTAAGAAACCATTAATGTCTGTGAGCTCTTGGAGGCATTACACCAGTTTCTAGTCTCATTGCCTTAGCAGCCTGCAACTTCAGAATTAAGAAGAATCATTCATAACAAGCTTGGAAAGGATAAAGAATCAAGCAGCAAGTTGCTACACCCACCCAATGCACTTGGTGGCCAGTGTCAAGTTTAAAAAATATTCTATCAGTGTCTAAATGGAACCTAGTTCAGCAAAACTTTTATAAGGACACCTCAACATGAAGGAAGGACATCAAGCTTTTAGGTACAGATTTTAATTTCAGAAATGAATCAAAAACATACACGCCCTTTTGTGTTTTTACAAATACTTTACTAAAGGATCAAGTTAACTTTTAAAACAAAGCAATCTTTGCTTTGCTAAAAGATTTAAAATAACAAGATGCAGACCGGCGTTTTAAGCTTATAACTTAAATAAGAATTTTGTGCAAACAGTGACTACTGATTACATGAAAAATATTATACAATTATATGCTACTTTCTTGTGCCTCTTAATGTTATAAGAAGGTAGGCTGGGAAAAATACCTGGCACCAAAAAACTGATGCATGATGGTTCCAGTACGTTCAATAAAAAGTACTATATTAAAATATTGGCATAGAATTTTCTATATTCTATGGTCTATTTCTTCCTGTAAACCTTTGTTCTGTCAAAAAAAGGTATAGCAAGTTTCTGGTTCATCTGTTCTCGTAATATCCATTTTTTTCTCCAAAACCTACATGTGATATTTAATCAAGGTAAGTAAAAATGAATGAACCCTTTGGTATTATATCCAATTATTTTTAACACATTACATTAAGTTTTTAGTAAAGTGGTGCAGTTTGCTCTAAAATAAGGTCAACCCACAACCTGTTTATTCTAGAGCAGTCCCGCTGGTTTGACCAATATGGAGTTTGGGGACCAGAAAGTACTGTCCTAAATCTTTCATATCCAGTTTTTAAGGGCAGTTTTCATTATAAATGAAACAAGTACCTCTAGCACCCACTGCATTTAAAGCAGAAAAGATATTTAGTGCATACTGAATGGTCTTTCAAACAAAAGTAGATTCAAAATATTTGTGTGTTATGTTTCCCTGCTCAAATTGTGTAGTATAATTATTGTAAAATTCCTCAACTATTGGCAATACCTGCATTGCACTCTAGAACTGAAAAAGCTAGGGCGGAGCTGAAAGTTATTCAGGAAATGCATTCAGTAGAAAAAAGGAGCTTTTGAGGGGGCCTGATGTTAACTCAGAATCTTTCTTTTTTTTGTACCGGTTCACAGTTTGAAAAATAACCTTCCCATTGATCCTAGTAACAATGATGCTGCCATGCAGCCAGATTTTTGTCGTATGATGGGAAAAAGCTATTTCAATGTATTAGCATTGTTTGACCACAGTGACTGTTGTCACACAGGCTTGTAGTTGATCAGATCTGGCTATGTCATTGCTACTAAGATGAAATCTAAATTGGAACAAAAAATGGCACCAGCTGCAGCTGACTGAAGTTGAGAAAAGAGGGTTGCAATGGTGCACTGCTGCCTTCATCAAACTGTAGGATACAGTGCAGGTTTTGTGTGTGTGTGTATGTTTTGGAGGGGGTGCATTAACCCAGTGGTAATAAATGGCCAAAAAAGTGCCCCAAAGGAGAAAGGGATGAATTTTACAAGGGGAGTCCACCTTTTCAGCTCAGCACTAAAAAAGAGAGCATTTTTTTTAACTGAACAAAATATAATATACATTTCATTTCTGAACATTATGTCACTGAAGTCCAAGTGTCCACCAAAAAAAATAAATCAGTGTGATGTTACGCAAAATACTTGATCTGATTTCCATTAGCGCTGCCAACATTTTCTGAACATGTATCATATTCAGGAGAGATCCAATGTTATCAAATAGGCTAAAAAGCCGGATGTGGTCTTAAAAACAAAATCCCCATTAAGTGCATTTTCTGCAGAGCATTCTGACAGCATTTAATTGTTTGCAGCATCTGCTTGGCGAGCCCAGTTTTCTTCTTCTACTCCTGAATCGTATTCTTCTTCAGAAGCATCTTTAGCTGGAGCCCTAAAATTAAACACAAGTAGGATCAAATACAGTGGTACCTCTGGTTGCGAACGGGATCCGTTACGGAGGCCCGTTCGCAACATGAAAAGCCCGCAACCTGAAGCGCCGTATCTGTGCAGGTGCACAGCATGATTTGGCGTTTGTGCACCTGCGTTAAGCGCGATGTAGCGCTGCTGCACATGCGCAAGCAGCGAAACCCGAAAGTAACCCTTTCCGGTACTTCCGAGTCGCTGCGGGGAGCAACCTGAAAAAGCGTAACATGAAGCAAATGTAACATGAGGTATGACTCTACTTCCATGTAATGTCTAGAACAGGGAGCCATTTCAGCCCAGTTGAACTTTTGATACTGATCCCCAGGACCACAATGCATCTTTACCTCCCAACTTATATTCTATAGTAGGGACGTTGTAAACTGTCATGTACTGAATCAGATTGTTGGTTCACTGACTGGCAGCAAAGGAAAAAGGGGGTCTGCGTGCAGAAACAATGGCTCTTTCTCCGAGTACTTTTAGCAGAACGGCAGCAAATAAATAACTATTAAAAGAAAATTGCTACAAAGTAGGTGGAATTGCTGTTCAAGATGAATCGATCTACTGGTCCCTTGGATCAAGGAGAGAATCAGTTCTGTGGACTGTTGCCTTGAAAGTCCATTAGAAAATGAAAAATGAAATGGCAACTTAAGTCTGCACTTCTTGTAATCTTTTTATCCTAGCAACGCACACCAGAAATAACGGACTCAAAACTGAAGCAGGAGGCCTGACTGGATGGTCACCTATGGTTACTTCCTACTCTAAATATAAAGTATGTCCACCACTGGAGGTAAAGTATGCTGCTCTTTGAAAGTTAATTGCTTTTTTTAAAAAAAACAACCCACATTATTATTAAAATTAGTGTCCTTTCAAAAAGACAGCTTTCAGTAAGATTCCTGCTTCCAATTGGCCTAATGAAGCCTCTTTCAAATGCATAAATCTGGCCTTTGAGTTGAAAATACAAAAATGTGAATGTTTATTAGCCATTTTGTTCAGCCTGTTTGTGTTAAATGCTAAGCAGCCATCTACTGTAAAAGGTAGCTTAAAAATAAAAAAATATTAAAATAACTGTGAAAAAAAGTAATTGCGAAAAAGTGTTTTTGTTTATTTTTGCATCAAACCCAATCTAGTGTTGGAAACCTGACATTACCTGACGTATCCTGGGTCCTTCTTTCCTTCCACGACATCTTTGTCAACCTCCACACATACAATGTCAGAATTGGGGACTTCAAACATGGGTTCCAGCAGTAACTTTTCCTAAGGGGTAGAAGGATAAGCATCAAGGTTTTGCTCACACAATCTCTCTTCCAATGAACACCTAGCATCAAGGTTTTGCTCACACAATCCCTCTTCCAATGAACACCTAGCAATAGACAGTTTGCTACAAGCACTTCTCTGCCTGAAAGAGGCATAGGGCAGTAGCCAACCAAGCTACTATAGTAAACCTATTGAAATTAATGGACTTTAGTATAATGTTCATTCATGTCAACATCTCTAGTAGCTAAATAAGGTGAGAGCTTAGTTGACAGACATTTGTCAGGAATCCTATCACAATGCTACTTTGCTAAGGCTGCCATCAGCATAGCTACTTTCTTCTAACTCCACCTTAAAAACAAGGTGGAAGGGCTGTAGCTCAGTGGCAGAGCACATGGTTTGTATGCAGGTCTCATGCAGGTTCCCTAGCATCTTCAGATAGGCATGAAAAAAGACACCAGAGACCTGATGCCAGTCTGTATTAGCAGTGCTGATCTGGATGGACTAATGGTCTGACTTGGTTTGGGCAGCTTCTTAAATGGCCCTACCACAAGGCAAGGTGAAACAAGTGCTTGAAAGTGGTAGATTATGAAATCAGCATGGGTGACGGAATAGAAGACAGACATAAATGACCTATGGGCAGGATCTACTGGTAATGTTCTGTGCAAAACCCACTCAAGAGCTGCACAGGACCGTAGAGCTGTTGTGCAACTCATTTAAATGATGCATGTGCGGGAAGTTGTCTAAGATGCAATTACGCTTCCAGATTCCACTCTAGCCATTCCAGGCCAGCCCTGCTTCAAAGCCACTTCTTATGCAACCTTCAGTTCTCTGCTTTCGGCCAAGCATTAATTCCCTGCCAGTCTTGCTCTTCCTCCAAATCAATCTTTGTTTTTTCTTTTTCTGCCTCTTTGACTTGATTACACATTTATACCTTTCCCACTTTTATTTAAAATAAGAAGTACTTAGTCAAAAAAATAAAGATCCAGAATACAGTAAATGAGAAAAGCAACTTCCACCACGATGGGAATAAAATTAGCACCACCATTAATATACTTTTGATTTCACTACTGCAAAGGAAGATTCTATTTATTTGCAAAAAGATTGCAAAAGATATGAACTTCCTCATAATGCCCATATTCATTTTCCAAGAACATCTTTGTTCAATACTAATCTTATAATTTTGGCATTTAAGAACCCCAGCATTAGGTGAATACATACTGCTGTCATCATAATAAAGCAGCCGCTCTATAGCTTCAGACACCACTCCTTTTAATACTGTTAACAAATATTTTAGTGTCTAAACTCAGTCTTTCTTCCAGAACATGTAGAACTATCACATGGCATGGTCTCTTTGGGACTGAATCACTTTAGATTGCTAGGAAGGCTTTGCAAGTTGGAAAGTCTTTAGGCAGCATGGGCTAGGCTAAAAATGTTCTCCCCAAGACAAAATTTCAAGCTGTAGGGAAGGTTGTTTTTGTTTTTAACAAGGGTAACTGAGCCACTAATGATCTGATTTCTAAAAATCTCTTTGTGACTCACCTCCCAGGGCAGACAGTGGGATTTCAATAAACACAACTAATGGTTACGTCCTAGATCATTGATACCAGTGAAGAGAAACTAGCCTTACCATTATAGATCGAAGACCTCTTGCACCAGTCTTGCGGTCTAAGGCCAATCTGGCTATAGCCTTTAGGGCATCCTCAGTAACATTCAATTCACACTGGAAAATGCAAGACAAAAATTACACCCGGTAGTTCCTACCTCCCTCCCTATAGAAACTCTAATTGCATTTGGACAAGCATAAATTAAATTTGGAGTCATTTTTCCTTTTGTTTTTCAGCAGGTAATGCAGTCATCATTTAATAGAGTTTTTCTAAAAATCAATCTAATGTTTTAATGTGTCCAAGAGAGAGTCCTGCTCTTTTGGAAACAAAATACCGGTAACAAGAAAGAGCCCTGAATAAGTCTCAAGTAACAAGAGAAAATCCAAACCTTGTCCATGCTGAATAATGCCTGGTATTGGGGAATCACTGCATTCCGAGGCTCGGTAAGAATCCGTACAAGGGTTTTCTCATCGAGGCTGTGCAGGGGGACCACCACTGGCAAACGCCCCACAAACTCAGGGATCATGCCAAATTCAATAAGATCTCGTGCCTCCACGTGCCGAAGCAAGCGATCTTTTTCTTCCATATCCTGCTGAGTGCTGGAATCTCCACCTACATTAGCCAGGTCTGCAGCTGCTGCAGCCCTTCGGCCCTTCCCCAGATTTGATGGAGTTCCGAAGCCAAGATACTGCAAAGACCAAAAAAAAGAGAGAAAAATATAGACTGCATTTAAGAAGAAAGTCCCAATTACATTATGTATATTTTTCTTTCACCACATCAATATGTGGTGGAACACTTGACCACCTTAGTTGGTCTCTAAGGTGCTACTGGACAGTTTTTTATTTTTTTATTTATTTTGACTTGACCACCTTGTTACCTGAACAGCATTTGAAAAATGTGAAATCTTTTCAAATGCTGTTCAGGTAACAAGATTTGAACACACAACTTGTGGGATTTGAACCCATAGCCCAATGCAGCAGTCACTATATGCACAAGTTTTTGCGGCTCTAGTTTTTCAGGCAACGATAGCACAGCTGGTCTCCTATAATGTTTAGCTTTCAATATAAAAGTATTATAATTATCAAGGACTAAAGAGTTTTATAGAACAGTAACACTTTTCATCATCTAACGTAGTTATGTCAACCAGACCACATGTTGATGCTGGAAAGTGCCCTTTGGAAGATAAGCACATGGGATCGCCAGGCTAAAAATAAAAACACAACCCTCAACACTTAGGAAAGCCAAAATATAGTCATTTATATGTTCTACAGTGGTGATAAAAAGTATAATCCAGTGTGCTAGATAAGCCAAATGGGTGGCAGCTCACCCTTGTGCCATCCTTATAGGGATAACAGCTGCAGTTGTTGAATGCCAGGTCAGCTTGGAGTTAAGATCTTCCTCAACAATGATCTGATTGTGGATGAGGAAGCAGTTCTGGTCTGTGTCACTGAGACCTGGGTGGGTGAGCAGAGTGGAGTTGGTCTCACCCAGTTGTGCCCACCGGGGTACTTGGTGCAGCCATCAGGGAAGACTTGAGGGTCAGGGAGAGGGAGCTGCTGTGATCTATAGAGATTCTCTCTCTCTCCAGGCTCTATTTTCAGTTACGGGGGTGGGAATCTGAAGTGTGTGTTCCTGACATTGGGCAATCGGGACAGATTTGGTTTTTTGTTCTTGTTTTTATTATGTCTTTTGTGTTTTTATCATGTATTTATATGTTATGAACCACCCTGAGATCTACGAATGATGGGTGGTATAAAAATTTAATAAATAAGTGAAAAAACGCTGAAAGGCAGCCACTTTGGGGCTGCAGCAACATGCCAGCCACACACGGCCTTGGGTAATGTATTTCATAGCACAATGGCTCCGATCCTTTCCAGAATAGCTACCAGCAGTTAAAACCAAGTGTACCTTGCATGACTAAAAGTAAAGGTAAAGGGACTCCTGACCATTAGGTCCAGTCGTGGCCAACTCTGGGGTTGCGGCACTCATCTCGCTTTATTGGCCGAGGGAGCCGGCATACAGCTTCCGGGTCATGTGGCCAGCATGACTAAGCCGCTTCTGGTGAACCAGAGCAGCGTACGAAAACGCCGTTTACCTTCCTGCCGGAGCGGTACCTATTTATCTACTTGCACTTTGACGTGCTTTCGAACTGCTAGGTTGGCAGGAGCAGGGATCGAGCAACGGGAGCTCACCCTGTTGCGGGGATTCGAACTGCCGACCTTCTGATTGGCAAGTCCTAGGCTCTGTGGTTTAACCCACAGCGCCACCCGCGTCCCTTTTACCTTGCATGACTAAATTGTACAATTTTAATTCCACGTCTCCTTACCTTTTCATTTTTCCTCCGGCTGATGATTCTGTCAAGACCATTAAAAGCACCAGAAGCCACAAAGAGGATGTTGGTTGTGTCAACCTGCACAGTCTCACCACGTAATTTACGGGAGTTCTTCTCTGGAACATTCACAATTGTCCCTTCCAGTAACTTTAACAAGCCCTAAGTTAAAACAGGAGAGGGTTGAGCAATGTATTCATAATGACATGGCAACCTTGTGCTCAGGGGTGATCGAGTCAACAACCTGAGCCATTTGGATATTTCCACAAGTCAGCCAGGGCTTTGAAAGAAGCACCAGTCATATCAGCTGGAAAATCCCCAAAGCTGTCTGGAAACCCATTGATCTATCAGCCTCTGAGGGCAGACCATCCTAATAAGTCCCCTGCTTCTACAGAGGGGAGAAGGCGGTGAGGAACTAAATCTCAACAGGAAGTGACCTGAGCATGGCAAGGGACTGATGTCAATACCTCCCACCCTCTTCCTGCCCAGTTGAGAAAACAATGTCCAAAGTGTGGTCTGCCAATATGTTGAGACAGCTCCATGCTTGTCATGGCAGCCATGAAGTCCTAAGCCACCCCAGAGCCAATTGCCTCAGCCTGGATGTCGAAATGCCCCCAAACTGGCAGGTGTTTGAATGCCTCAAGCAATGGGGTGGGAGTATGCCTTCAAACACTACCCCTGGAGCTTCCCCTTCAAACTCCTTGGTGAGGAGTGAGTGGGCATGGCTTCCTGATAGCCTGGCCAAATTGGAAGGCCTGGAGGGCCACATTTCGTCTGCAGATTGGAGGCTTTCCACTCTTGAAATAAAGCATGGCTTAATGTTACATGCAAATTAGGACAGTCTATCTAGAGCTTGATAGTTCCTGAAAGAGCAGCAGCAAAGCTCTCGATACTCACTTGCTGAACGCCTTCTCCTCCCACATCACGCAACTGATGAATGCCTGGCACGCTGCCAATCTTATCCACTTCATCCAAGAAAACAATTCCTGTAAATTAGAGGCAATTAATGTGAAGAGCATTTGGGTTGTGCAAGAAGGACAATCTGTACACAGTGAAGGCCATCTTTTTTAAAAATAGAACAATGTGCTGTGGCAGTGTTATGAAATTCTGCCTATTGCATAAGAAGAAGAACCCAAACATTAAAAGAACAAATTAAAAATGTATGTGAGGCTTTACTGGCACCTCCAGCGGGAAGAAGGGCCCAATTTTACCTTGCTGAGCTTTTTCTACATTGTAGTTTGCATCCTGCAGTAGTTTTGCAATAACAGACTCAATATCTTCTCCCACGTAGCCTGCTTGAGTCAAAGTGGTACAATCACAGATTGCAAAAGGGACGTCCAGGCATTTCGCCAGAGTCTGAGCCAGCAGGGTTTTACCTAGGTTAATATATATATGTTATTAACATTCACTCGAAGGCTTATTTTTATAAAATTTAATTATTTTCCACTAGGAGTCAACTACCAGTGATATTTGCTTTTGTATTAGCAGATCTAGAAATTCCGGTAACCTGGCATGCCAACCATTTTATGTCTAAAAGGTTTATTATACAACTAGCAGGCACTTAAGGAATACCATTATTCTAATCCAATAAAGTTGTGCATATTTATTTCATTTTTTGCAAAAAGGACTACAATGCTATGGTCAACTTTTTATTTAAAACACAAACACACATTTATAGTCCAAAGGAAGGGTTACAAGATTAAGTAAAGACACCATTACAATTTTCTTGCTAATATGCAGGGTACAATACCAAGTCCATTACTTTATTTACATTTTCCTTGAAATAAATAAAAATAAATAAAAGCAGCTTATGATATTATCAGCACCTAGTTTACAATATGTTTATAACACTAGATGCAGTGGTATGTGTATTACTGAATTAAAAACTTTGCCTTTAAGCTATTACAGGCATGTTGATATTTGGAGCAATCTCTGCAGCTTCTCTTGACTGCCATATTGGACAGATGGAATCTAAATGTTAATGAAATATTAAACTCAGAAAAACTGTCAGCGTAAGGATAGTTACTTCTATAAGATGTGAAGTACACGTCTTCAGGAAGAAACTGCCTTCTCTCTCTCTGTTCTTCCCTAAAAAGGAACTCAGTCAACTTAAAGGGTAGCTAGTCTTTACATGGTCCCCATGTAAAGCTCCTTCCTAGAGCTTCCTAGACCTCCTTCCTAGAATTTTGCTCAAAACTGATGTAATTTACCGTATTTTTTGCTCTATAAGATGTACTTTTTCCCTCCTAAAAAGTAAGGGGAAATGTGTGTGTGTCTTATGGAGCAAATACAGGCTGCGCAGCTATTGCTGAAGCTATTCTGAATCCCAGAAGCCAGAACAGCAAGAGGGATCGCTGCGCAGCGATCCCTCTTGCTGTTCTGGCTTCTGGGATAGCCGCACAAAGCCTCTTCAGGGCAGGTGGAGCGTTCCTCCCTCTGCCCTGTAGAGGCTTTGTGTTGCTTTCGCTGAAGCCAGAACAGCAAGAGGGATCGCTGCACAGCCATCCCTCTTGCTGTTCTGGCTTCTGGGATTCAGAATATTTTTTTTCTTGTTTTCCTCCTCCAAAAACTAGGTGCGTTTTATGGTCTGGTGCGTCTTATAGCGCGAAAAATACGGTACATAACAATCTACCTAACAACCTGAACGTTTTAACAAGGTACAACACGCCCTTACAAACCTGATCCAGTTGGTCCAAGCAGCAAAATATTACTTTTTTCAAGCTTGATGTCATCATGAGTTGAATCTAACACTTCACCTCCTCGCTTTTCCTGGGGCATCTGTTGGTTCACCTGCTGCTGCATTGACGCTCCCAAAGCATTGCCATGGGGGCTAATACCCGCAATCTGGAGAAGTTCTGAAATGTACAAGTCAAAGTAACTGAGAATCAAATTGACTCAATCTAGATTTGTTTGAGACAGCCTGCAGAACATGCACATATTTTTCCAGACAACTCCAAGTATTGTTCCATCTACCTGAAAATCAAGAGAGACCATAGCATCTGAAAACCAGATTGCAACATACATCATCATGGGAGGATTTAGATTCTAACAAATATTTTGGAATAAAGAGATCAGAAATATTCTAGTTGAAGTGGAAGTTTCTCATTTCCCATTTCCATACAAATTACTTTTAAGGCAAATTTTCTTCTGAAGGTAATCAGAAGTCCTTCAGGTGCCACAGTAATGGGAAAAATGTTAAATGTTAAATGGATAATAGAGATCCATGATAGTGACTCTGCAAAAAGTTACCCAATAAAAATATCGCAGGCAAGAATTTCTTTTAATTCAGGCCCATCAAGAAAGGAAAGAATTTGACATTTAGACATACCTCACTGGATACTTCTTTAGTTTTGTAATTTAAATTAAGTGACTCTATGCTGGAACTGCACAATAATCTAAGTTCTAAACTTCACATCACAGCCATTGTTAGTATCAAATCCACAGGAAGTTTAAGCTTTCACTCACATATCAAGTATTAAAATTATTTCTAGAAGTTCTGAGGAGGTTTTACCTGCCTTCAACACACCGTGTTGAAGTAAAGCTAAATCATCCTCATTTTAAGACACTCCCTAAATCACAGAAGAGGAACCCATTGATCTCCAGATTCTGTTGGGACTCCAACTTCCATCAGCCACAGCCAATATGACCAATCGTCAGAGATGATGGGATTTCTAGTAATCCCCCTACACCTGTAGGTTAACAGGTAACTCACTCCTGGTGGAAACACAGAGGTATTGTTTTCACAGCCAACCTGTGTCTGGACTGTACTACTGCAGATTGCAGGTGAAGGCTCACATGTCTGGATCATACTACATCAAAAAAATAATTTCTGCACCCCCAGAAAGCAATCCACCAGTACCCTTCTCCCTGACATGGTAGTTTTCTATATGTAGGTATCCTGCCCCCATAATGTTGGAGCTTTCTATCACATGGGCTTCTCTCCCACAACCCAACCTGAAGTAATACAGCTATAGCACAATGCTGACCATTTCTACTAAGCAGTAAGTCCTGCAGAATTCAATCAGGCTTAGTCCTGGGTAAAACTGCAGCTCTAGACACAGGTTTTCTACCTCAGTGAGAACTAGGCCTGAGCGGCTATTTAGAAAATGAATGCCGTCTGGATTTGCTGTATTATTTTTACAGAGTCACAATTAAAATACTGCTCATGGTTCAATTCAGGCAAGGAGATATTGCAGAGGAGGACATGAGGAAAGCCCACTTACTTGTAAATCTGTACTCATCCTCCCGTCTTCTGATTTCTAATTCTAAGAGAGAGGATGAAAACAGTAATACGATACATATATTTATATATGTATAAATGAAAAGAAAAGCATGACACTTTCTTCACCTCTTGCCCTCTTCTGAATACAGGTTTATGGAACAATTGATTTAATTTATATTGCAAGAAAACTCCTCCGCAAACATTCAGAATTTTAACAGCCTCCCTAATTTTTTATCTTAAAAAAAAAAAGGAATGGAAGTCAGTATTAAAATAGTTATGCTAAAGAGTTGATATTAGTATTTGTAATTTTAAAATGGAGTTGGGATTAAGAAAAGCAAGAGATACAAAAAATGAACACACACAAAAACTCTACACTTGCAGTGCAAATCTTATACATATGTAATCCGAAGGTGTATTATAGAAAAAGAAAGAAAAAGAAGCCTTGCTAAAATTTAACAGCATTAAATGGGTCAGACACTTCTCTTATGAGCCAGTTGGACGTTTGACTTTTTCTGGGAACAGCAGACATATTTGTCATTTTGAAACCTCGCTCAATTTCAGAGATCACACTCTTCAGCAGCCATCTATCTCCAGGTGTAAATTTGTCTGCTCCAACATGATAAGAACCCTTAATATATTTTTAGCATTCAATTACTATTTCTGGGTAGCAAGCAATGCTGGTCCTTATCAGAGTAGACTCACTGAAACCAACAGACTTAATTTACTTAAGTTCATTCATTTAAATGAGTTTACCATATGACCATCGCCTGCTGTCATATGTAATTTTAAAAGTGAACTAGGGTCCACTCTGTGATGCTGGATTAAAGTGATTTTGCCCCCTAAGCACAGGAGAGTTAAATTAGTTTTTTTGTTCCATGCATACTACCCACCATTATATTCTGGACTGTCTTTCCATGTATCTGAAATAACATTACTTTTGTTCTACATCAGGGGTGATAGTCTATATGCAAATAAATCTAGTTGTCCATTAAGAATATTCTTGCCCCAATATTCCTTTAACGAAGGCAACTTATTCAAACCTGTTACTTAAAAGGATTCTACCTTTTGATTCTCATGTGTTGAAAAAATTGAGGGAAGAATATAGTGTATGATAAGTACGTAAGCAAAAGTCAGCTTTCAAAAAGGTTCTAAGAAAGAAAAACTCTCTGTTAAACTGCAACAGTGCAAAAATTGAGGCAGAAACAATCAAATAATTTGGGTTGCCAATAATCTGTCTATCCTGTGGACAAATCACCAACACTGAAACGATAACAGAATGTGTACTGTTTAACTGCCACTTGGCACCAAGATCACACAGGGAGGAGACAGCATGACTGATGGTGCCAGACATATCTGCACATACGATGTAATATGAAAAACAAACCTCTTGGTGTTAAGGAAGTTTGCTTTTCAACTTCAGCTTGCTGCCTCAGGTTGGCAGGGATATTGTTGTAGATTCTCTTATAATGATTGTACACTGCGACCGAAAGCACCTTCTTGGCAAAACACTGGCCAACAACATACTTGTCGAGGTAGTTATAAATCTGGCCGAAAAAAGAGAAAAGAAACAGTCAACGGATCCCCTCAAGGCCAGAAGATGTTTAGTTAATAATACTGATCACTTTAAACTCACTTCCAGTGGGGTGATGGAAAATCCCACACTTAAATTCCCAATACAGTGGTACCTTGGGTTAAGTACTTAATTCGTTCCGGAGGTCCGTTCTTAACCTGAAACTGTTCTTAACCTGAAGCACCACTTTAGCAAATGGGGCCTCCTGCTGCTGCCGCGCCGCCAGAACACGATTCCTGTTCTCATCCTGAAGCAAAGTTCTTAACCCGAGGTACTATTTCTGGGTTAGCAGAGTCTGTAACCTGAAGCGTATATAATCCGAGGTACCACTGTATATATTTTGCAGGAAAATTTCTCCTTTGAAGGTAACCAAGGTCTTTGGTTTCCTCCCCAAATCCTGGGAGCATACAAACTAGGGATTTTTTATTTTATTTTTTAAAATAGTGGTGGTGGGCTTATATTGTTGAACTGCATCAAGAGCCCTGTTTTTCTTCCCAAACCCTTTAAGCAAATTTGAAGGGACAAATGAAGCTTATGGGTGATACCCAATGTAAGCCATACTTAAGAATAGTCTCCCTGAAGTCCGGTGACTTTGTTAGGTCTAATGACTAACCTTGGATATCACACTACGAAAGCACAATAAAGCAGAATTTTGTTTGGCTTTGTGAAAAAACAAGTCACAAAACTTCAAGGTAAGATAATCAAAGTCCAGTCAAAGAAAGAAGGCTCTACTTTTTTTGGTGGAGGTGGCGGCTTCTGTTGGAAGGCCAACTTCACAGCTTCGGCTGCAGATTCTGGTTCTTTAATGATGCTCTTCTTGGAATCCGCTTCTGACAACACGACGAAGAAGTGGTGGCATTTTTCACATTTCACAAAGCGGGTAGAAGCTGAAAAGGGCATAAACACAAACAAGACAATAGTTATTTAGTAACAACTGATTTATCCAGCAGTTAAGAGTGGATTAACGCAAGTAAAAACTTATGGAACAATTGGAATGCTTGAGAGTGTGGGTGGAAGACTGGCCCATGGTTTGGCTGCTCCTTCTGGCTTAAAGCCTCCCCTCCCCACTCCATTTGCAGCAATTAGGAGCTTGAAAACAACCTACCGATGGAGCAAATGGGAGGCTGTTTTTAAGCAAAACCACTGCGCAGGGAGGCACTTGAGGGGATCACTGGATACCCTTCTCCCCCTCTATGTGCTGCACCTCCCCTTCTAAAAATCTCTAGCCCACCTCATGGCAATTGAGCATGAAGATTACCTTCCAAGAAGCCCCACACCCAGCTGCAATCTTCATGAAAATCACCTGCTTCCCACTGGAAATTAGACTTTTCAAGTCTCATTACTGGGGAAGGGAGATAACAGTGACAGTCTGTGTGTGTGTGTGTGTGTGTGTGTGTGTGTGTGTGCGCGCGCACACACACACACACACACACACACACACAGATGTGTGAGAGAGCGCAAATATGAAAATGTGCGTGGTGTGCTTGCATATGTGAGTGTGCAAGGGTGTGTGCGGCCTAGTCCTACCTCTTGACAGATCTGACCATACCTGCTTTTGTTTTGGGCCACGGCCATCATTGGCATGTGGCCCATGGAAGGTTGTTCATAAAGGAATGTGGCTCCAAGCTTGAAAAGATTCCTCACCCTGGTTTATAAATTCATTTGTGTTTTTCAGTTTATCTTCCAAAGCATAGCACCAACGAACCATTTCATGCACAACAACAAAAAAAACCCTTCAATATTATAGAATTTAACCAAGGTTCTATTTTAAACTCAAATCTTGTAAGTGATTTCCAAACAACTGGCTCTGCCAGTGGGCCTGCGTTGCTCCACTTTTACCCTGCCCCACCCTGGTAAGAGGAAGTGCTACCGAGGCCAGCAAGCCACTATTATACATTGAAAAAAATTACACAGTTCACTGTCTCAAAAGAATCAAAGAACATCACCTCAGTTTTCTGCATCCAAGGAACCTTTAGCTTGGAAAACACAATACAAGACATCAGATTCTTATTCTATGTATCTGAGGGGGCTTTTGTAAAGCACCGTCTGGATGGAAAACTGTTAAGCAAATACAATAAACTAAGCTCTAAACTTGGTCTCTTCATTAGTGGGTGCTGCACTCTCAACCCAAGAAGGAAAATCTCCCCACTCGCAACTGCTCAGTCATACTAACTGTGCAGTAAACACTGTGTCCAGCATGTAGAATGGGGCCCAAACAGACTCCCAAGGCACTTATATACTGGAGGACGTTTTGGACAGGTGAAGTGTAACTAGAGCTAAGAGCCCAAGGCCTGAAACAGGAGGTCAGCAAATCCTTTCTGCTTTCCAGGAAGAAATCTTACACCAGTCATTCCTGATGTAAAACTAACTTTGTGAAGCACTAGGGACATTCTCTGAGGTCAAGAGGCTTATTATTCAGCAACACAGTTTCAAGTTGTGTTGTTTTCCCAACTGGCCTTTTCTTGACATTTTAGTGACTTAATTACTAGGATTGTTTTAACTATGTTTCCCAAAACAGACAACACTCAAGCAGGACCTGAAGCTTCCAGTTTTGTTGGGATGCAAAGCGGCTTATATTTGATAAGCATTTTTGTGTTCCAAAGTAAATGGGGAAGAGCAACAACTGCAAAGAGTTACTGGATTTTTCTTTCAAGAAGCAATAGTTACTTCCTCAAAAATGACACTTTGTTTAATGTTATGGGAGGGGTAAACATGGATATCTTATAGGAGAGGTTCCTGGACTGTGGGCTGCAAGCTTTAGTCAACATGTCTGGATTTGTAACTGAACATAGGATATAGCACATCCACCACATTAAACATTTGAACCGATCTAGATGTATTGTTATTGCTTCTTTTATTTCTTATATTTTACAATATATAGGAAATAAAAGAAGCAATCAAATTAAATCAATTTAAAATCATACAATATTTAGCACAGTGCATTAAATTGCTACAGAAGGCAGAAAAATCATAAAGTGGTCTGTCTCCCAAGACCCTCAGCAATTTTCAGGAGGTCTGTGGGAAAAATTTGGGAACCAATGTGTTAAGATCTGGTTCTAAGTAGCATCAGTTTAGCTGAAAGATGAGATAATTGATTCAGAGCAGGAAAAAAGGAGTACCTTAATACTGGGGTCTGACCCTCAGAATAAGAAATGTAGAGCAAGTGAAGCGATATATTTGATTGCATCTGCAAATATGTGATCTCATATGTACAAATGCCACGTTTAACTAGCTCTCTCTATATCACAAAGATAGGTACTGGAATTCCACAGGGTTGTAATATGATCAGGGGAAGCCAGTTCGGGCCAAGCTACACAAGATGTGGGCAACATTATTGGCTGCTCATGTGTCTGCCCCATTCACAAGCAAATTAATCACTGGTGTGCTGCCAAGCTTTCTGTGGCTGCTATGTGCATTGTTTTATCTGTTTTAATATTCTAATATATTGCTTATATGTATATTTTTAATGCTCTGTAAGTCATTTGGAGACATTCAGGTAAGAAACAACTAACAAGTCAGGTAAAAAAATAAATAGAAGCGGGGCAAAGGGGTCTAATTTTGACAACCAAGTTTGCACAGAGCTGAATCTTTCCCTGCCTGCTTGCTTCCAGCTTTAATGTGCCTGGTTCCAATTCCAAAGCGACTTGGACTTTGGGGGGGGGGAGCACCTGAAGCAATGAGGTACAGTGAGGTAAGGCAGGAGGTGGTGCAGGGTTCAGCTTCTGTCATCTCTGTGCCTTTTGATGTAGAACACAGACACACCCACACTTTATACACAAATGAGAAGAATGCAAGAAGGGATATAGGCGCCCCAGGCATGCCCAGTTTGTTTCCTGAATTATATTAATCCAATCAATCAATCAATCAATCAATCAATCAATCAATATCTGTGATAGAGTCACAGAGCACAGAATTGATGGGAGTTTCTATTTTCCCAGATACTAGATAGACAGGGACCTTGGGTCACTGCCCAAATCTCCTGTCCCTATATTTTCAACTACATAACTTTCCTCTGCTTCTTTCTTGAAGACCCATTATGAGCCTAACACGCTGCCAGAGCGCTAGAAACGGAGGGGGCACCTCTCCATGATCCTTTTCTTTCTGTGTAGGATAATCTTATTTGTGTGTCCAAGAGCACAAGTGCACAGCCATGCAAACAACAAGAGTTTTGTCATCAGGGTTGTATTTCCCATTTATGTATGCTATCACTCTGTGATCCAGAAAATAAGCATGTCTGTGTTCCACTGATGAGGAAGATTTCTCCACAGCACAGAACAAAGCAGCATGAGGATGCAGCGGACACTGTGTTAATTAGATTGCAATTAGTCGGGCCCTGCTGAGAAGATTTGTGTTCCAAAAGTCCCAGCAGGGATAAAGCCATAAATGACGAAACAAACAAAACTGTCTACTAAAGCCAATGCCTCTCTCCTCTGTATATTCTACAGAGCTCTAGCAATGCACAACCTAAGCTCCACCCAGATTCCACCTGTGGTCCTCAAATGCCCTCAAGCCCAGGAAGAGCAGCATGACCACCTCTGCGTCTAAGACCAGTCACATGAAAAATACAGTTTCAGACCTTTGTACCTTTAAAGGCCTTTTGATAACTGAGATCACATAGTCCAGTACCACAGCAAACTTGTTTTTGACCTATTGAAACCCACACAATATTTGTTGACAATGTATTTATGCTTGCTGGAGTCTAAGTCAATGAGATGACGCTATATATTTATATTTGCATAAACATGGGGGGAGGAGAAAATGTAGAGAAGGTAGAAGTCAAAGGAAAATGAAATGCAAAAAGAATTTTGAGTGAAGCAGAACTGAAAGCAGCAACAGCAGGCCCAATCAGGCCTTCCCACAGCAGTGACAGCCCTGTTGGTCCATCTCCTGCGTGCCGCCGCCCCCCGCCCCCCCACGTTGGGTGGAACCTGGCACCTGTGTTTCTGTTAGCTGTGTGGCTGCACTATTTTGCATATATTAACTGTAGGGGTTGGTGGTGAAGTATACCTGATCCCCAGAATCAGGGCTATCTGCAGGTTTATAAAATCTAGAAGTCAAAAAGGAATTAGACACAACAGTAACAACCATGTTCATTTTTGTCAGCAATGGCAGGATGGTAACAGTAATAATTTAGGGTAGAAGTTTAAATTGATTCTCTCTCCGCCCCCAACCTCAAGGCCCCTTTGCTGAGCAGTGAGAGGTTCAGCCAGCTAGCTTTTTGCACTACTTATCTTGCACTCCTGGGAGGTTTCCTTGCCTTGAGTAGCAGGAGGGAAGCAAGGTGGAGAGGATGGTGTAAAAGACTCTAGCAGCAGAAACATGCTATCAACAGAGAGAAAAATCATCCTAATGTGTCAAATGCCTGGGAGAAGATGTAAGTTGTTACCTGGCACCAAAAGGATGTTACTGATAGTACCAGATGGACTTCACTGCGGAACAGCATTCAACAAGCAGAAAGTCACAACTGAAAAGGCCCTTTCCTTTGTTGCAACCCTCTGAGCCTGCCTCAGATGGGGCTCCTGGAAGAAGGTCTCAAGTGAAGAGTGAAGGGAGATTTGTATTAGGAGAGATGCTCTGAAATATATTGTTTCATAGTGGAAACACTTGTGATTCGACATGCTTTCACATTATAAACAAACAAAATAAAGAATAGTTCTGTTGGGTGAAAATACTTCTTGGCTTTGGTATACTAATTAACATATGTAATGTGTGGTAACAAAACCATAATTTCAGTTCAAGCCACAAGTGCCTGAATTGCCAGAAAAAATTGTAATCCAGCTGGTAGGAGAACAAGACTTTCCACAGCTCCACATTCAAGGGAAGGTAAAAGGTAGACTACTGAATCACACTGAAAGATCTCAGATAAAATCTAGAGTGGAGGGAATCTTCCAATTAGATGGCTTTTTGTACTACAACCGCTAACTGTTCTTACTACTAGAACTTGTGCAGAGTCAAGAGACCATGAAAGCTCAGGCTTGTTCTGCTGCAACATTTGTCTCAACTGACACAGCGCTGGAATGACTTCTACGGAGGCATGCACAGCTGAATAGATACTTCCACATCCTGTACTGGTTTGTAAAAATATTAAACTTCTTAATTTCCTGTTTCTATTCCCCAGCTCCAGACCATGGGCCTCGGTGCATACTTTTCTAGCCCTGAATATTAAATGTTATTTCAACATCTCTACCCACTTGAGTTTTCAGGCAATATCACACAGGGAGGAGGCAGCAGAAAACAAGAAATGTGCTGACAGATCACTCTTGCAAAGTTCACATTTCAGTTCCAGATCCCTATTCCAAGGAAATGATAGGCAGACAAGCCTATCTAACAACAACAACATTGTTTTTGGATGCTATAAGCCAGCATAGGGTAGTGGATACTGTCTCACCATTCAGTCATAAACTTCAATATTCCTTAGAATGGCTTCAAAACAGCAGGCCAAACTAGCCCTGGTCCTGAGGGAAAGGGTTGCAGATCAGTGGTACAGGCATCTCCAGGCAGGGCTGGGAGAGACTCACTGGAGAGATGCTTCCAATCAGTGCAGACAACACTAGATGGACCAAAGGTCTGACTCTGTATAAAGGCAGCTTCCTGGGGGCCATTAGGAGGCTCTGACTAGCGCCTTTTTTTGTTTCTTCTGCTGTGATCATTGCTGCTGCTAACTAATATTAATTAATTAGCCAATTAAATATTTGTTATGTTTTTATATAGGTCTTAATAGTTTCCTAGTCACCTGGGAGCCTTTTAGTAAAAAAATTAAACAAACAGGCTACCAATATTCCAAACAAACTGAATACAGTGGTGCCTCGCAAGACGAAATTAATCAGTTCCGCGAGTGTCTTCGTCTAGCGGTTTTTTCGTCTTGCGAAGCAACCCTATTAGCGGCTTAGCGGATTAGCGCTATTAGCGGTTTAGCGGCTATTAAAGGCTTAGCGGCTTAGCTGCTAAAAGGCTATTAAAGGCTTAGCGGCTTAGAAAGGGGGGGGGAAGCGAAAAAAAAATCTCAAGACTCGCAAGACATTTTCGTCTTGCGAAGCAAGCCCATAGGGAAATTCGTCCTGCGAAGCAACTCAAAAACGGAAAACCCTTTCGTCTAGCGGGTTTTCCGTCTTGCGAGGCATTCGTCTTGCGGGGCACCACTGTAACTTTGGGTCACACACAGTCACTTACACACCAGTCAACTTCACTAGATTGTTGTGAAGTGAAATGGGATAGCCCCCTGCTCTGCCCCATTTACCACCCTGAACTTCAGTCAGGAAAGACAAAAAAGACATGTGAGAAATTCAACTGTCATGTGGAAACTTATCCCTTAAATCCTCCTAAAAGACACTAGCTCCTCAAGTGAGATTAAGGGTGTCAACACAAAAATAATCTTGCCTAATTCCAACCATCTTGACTACTGGGGGAAGCCCACTTATATTTCTGATGCAACATTAGCTAGAAAAAAAGAAAATTCATTCTGACTCTGCTTTCTGGGCATGTTGAAAGCTGTTAGTCACAAGAAAAAGGACTGAGTCAGTGTTTGCAGTGATAAGGTGCAACTCTCCTCTCTCAAAACCCTGGAGTGCCTTTTATCACGCCTCACCCCTTCGGTGGAGGAAAACCTGTCTATCTATCAACTGCTGCAGAGCCAAGATGATGCCAAGGAGGAAAACCCTGGGAAGCCATTAATCTTCTTGCAATTATGCCTAACAAAATCCTGCTTCTTACAACTCCACCTCACAAACATGGACCTGACACATGAGGAGAGGCACAGGCAGCAAGCAGCAGGTCCAACAGGATTCCTGAGAAGTTAGTAGGAAAGTAGGAACAGGTCAGGTGCCCAACAAGAGGTTTCTTGGATCCAGTGCTTTTTTTCTTTAAAAGATGTTTAGGGGGTACTCTCATTTTGACTCAAGAAAATCACCATTTTATAGTTCAAATCGGGAAAAATAAATACAGTAAATGGACTTAAGTACAAAGATTCACAGAATGTTTAGGGGTATGCATCCCCCCCCCCCCCAGAAAAAAGCACTGCCTGGATTCATTTTTTAACCCACTGGGAACCCGAAAATGTAGAATCAGGTTGCTGGAGAATATGAGCAGCAATTATTATTATTATTATTATTATTTTAAGATGCATACTTTGCTGTTTGCTCACCATTAAGGCTCTCTATTCAGAACTGAGCTGATCCAGCAGAACAGAAGAAACACAATACCAAGGGGCAAGGTTTATATTGGCCATACTATAAGATATTTATTCCAACTCCTGGGATGTTACCTTCAACCTATTCCAGAATCAGCTCTTACACATAGTTAAACACACACACATGCAACTTATCATTCAGAAGGAATAATTTTAAAAACCCTTAGTTATAAATAATTTTCACAAAAAATGCGAAGTCAATCTACAGAGCCCCAAAAAGCCCTGCTACAACTTACACACAAAGGTCTCCACATGTGTGCATAAGTCACCACACTTTGGGCAACGCAGCTGGTTTCCGCCTTTGCCGGAGCCTCCAGAACTTGACTTCTTGCTGTTGCCTTCACTAACAGTTTTCTAATGGAAGTAAATAAAACAGGATTTGGACTGTTAGAGCCAGGCAACAGATTTACAAACTTGTTGCACTTCACATTATTCCTCCTCGCCCCTGCTTCCATCAGCATGTTCACCCACTAGAAACAAGGTCTCTGGTTTTACCTTATCCACCCACCCATCCCTGCCTGCCCGTTTCACTCCAAAATTTCCCTGCCGTTTTCTACACAAACATGGCATCCATGTTCACCCTGCGAAGGTGTTGTGTATTCTCATATATTTCTGAGAAGCTTCTTAGCTCACTAAAATATTAATCATTCATGTGAAGAGGTTTCTCATTAATATCGATGAAAAAAAAATACAGATAAAAAAATTAAAGGAGTCTGGAACAGCAATTTGTGCAACTATAAACAGTGCCAATTCTTGATTTAGGAGAGTAGGAGAGGCTCCATGCCAGTCTCATGGCTACCCTTCTGCTTGCCCCCTCCCCCTAGGCCCAATCCTGAAACTTCCCAGAGGGGAAGCGCAAGTCACTGCTCCGTCTCCTCATTCCTGTCACTACTTACATGAACAGAGAATGCAGGTCAACTTGAAGCGACAGCAAGGAGGAGCAGGAACAGGGCCAGGAGGCTCTGGGGGTAGGCAGTGGGGCCTCAGAAGGGTGCAGGCTTTGGCAGGTGCCTGACAATAATGATCCCTGATGTAAGGTTTGTGTTTCAAAGCTAAAGAAATCTCTCTCTCTCTCTCAAAAAGGCCCTCCACAATTTAAACATGTTTTGTCAGGAAAGAAACAAAACACATACCCCAAAGTATTGAATTTAAAGAGGAACCAATTTTTATGATTTTATAACTAAGCTTCCTTGGCTCAACTCAGACATCATGTCAAACTATATATCATAGTCTAGAATCCAAATCAGGATTTGAGCGTTCACATGCACAAGCAACTTGGATTCATTCATAAGGCTATCTGTAGTGCAGCAGGGTCTTTATCCATGGTTTGGAGTTTTATGGCATCGCTACACAGTCATTCCCAATTTAGTGTTATTCAGTTGCTATACAATATATTCACTTAAATAGCAAAAGCATGGATTCAAATTGTGGCCAGAAATCATGCTGAATAATTTCTTTTCAAGTTTTTAGGAAGCTTCTAAATTTTGGTTTTTTAAAAAGAGAAAAACCTAACTACTGTGAACACTTTTTTTGGAAGAACAAGGTCTACGGAAAATGCTTGCATACCTTACTCCCATCTCCTGAACCATCTTTGCTTGCACCATCCTTTGAAGCAAAATATGCCGGTGTTTCAGAGAAAGTTCTCAAGGGAATACTTCTTAGTGACCGTGCTTCAAAAGTCCCAATTATTCCTAAAACAGGAAGGCAAGAACGGCCACATGTAATACCTGCAAAAGAAACAAATTATTTTGTTTTGCAAAACAAACTCAGCCCACATTGTAGACAATCTACCACCAATCCAGCTAAAGTCACTTATTAGGAACTTTGCTCCAATGAAGTCACTGCATCTCATTTTCACCAAAGGTTGTGACCAAAGTCCCACAAAGGACTCTTTCACCTTCCACAGCTATCAAAGAGCAAGTGTTCATCATATGGAGTGTGTTCTCATTCAATGTGCAAATTGTTTTAGGATCAGAGTGATTGCTGAGGTAGTGGGACTGGAGCAGATGTGTTGCCATATTGATAAGACCTGCTGCAGGCTCACCTATTGGTTGGAGAATAACGTTGTCATGGTGCTCCTAAATCAGATGTAAGGACATCAGTGAGACACTCCAATATGGATATGTATGCAGTTGGGTCATTATGCAGAAGATTCACAAAGAATAGAGATTCACTGCCTTTGACTATGAACAAGAAGCTAGCAGCCCCAGCCAGTATGACAAATGGCCTAGGCAGGCATGTCCAAAGTCCGTTTCGGGGGCCTAATCTGGCCCGTCAGTTGGTTTAATCCTGCCCCTGTGGCAGTTCTAAAAAAAGGTTGACAATTTTGGTCAGCCCTCATGCATGCTCACTTTATCAAAACTGGACCTCTTTGAAAAAAGTTTGGACACCCTTGGATGGGAGCTAGAGTCCAACATCTGGAGGGCCACTGATTAATCAGTGACAGTAAAGTTTAGTCAATAGGCTGAAAGTTAAGAGGTGATTAATGAAAAATAAAACCTTTTCTATTAACAATGTATGGTAACCTTTCTTTGAGAGATTCTAAGTTTACCCATTTTTCCAAATCTGAAAGAAATCATCAACATATGTACTGCACGGAATGAGTTGATTCATAGCAACTTAAAACAGTCTTCCCATGTGTTAGACAGCCCTCTTGTATAAACATAACATGTTGCTCAGACATTTATATGTCCTACCTTTTTAAATGTTAAAAATCAAGCCAAGGAATCTTACAAAAAATAAAAAACCACAACAAAATCAAACAAACTCTTAGTACAGTCAACTTGCATGTGGGTTATGTTTCAGGGATAGTCTGTAAAAACACGTATAATCAAGCCACCCCCTTGGAACCGCCCCAAGCAAACAATCTTACCTTCTAGAGCCTGTGTACCAAACAGGTATTTCACCCCAAACAAGGCAGAGCACTTTTAAGCTCTCCACCTTGCTTACTGGGCTCTGTTGTGAGAACCTCCCAGAGCCCAGTAAGCAAGGTGGAGAGCTTAAAAGCTCTTTCCAAACCAGGAAAACACAGTGCAGAAAGAGCTTGTAAGCTCTCTGCCTTCCGTAAGTTTAATTTGTGTGATTTCAGCTGGTTGGCCTTCAACAGCACAGATAAATGCTTAACACAAAATAAACTGCAGGGGGAAAGCAGCCTCACAAAAGGTGTATAAGCAACAAAGGCTAACAGTGCAATCCAAAGTACCATACATCTACTCAGAAGCAAGTGCCACTGTATTAAGTGGCACTTAAAGACGGGTAACTCTGCATGGAATTGTAGGGGTAAGGCTGCAAATACTAAATATACTTTGAAACCAATGGGAATGATGTCTGTATAAATACAACTAGAATTCTCCTTTAATTCATTTAAGGAGTTGAAAGCACTTCACAGAGGTTACCTTCAGTACTCTTAACAACTCCTCTGCTACGCAGATCAGTATTGTCACCCCTCTTATTTCAATTTACAAAGGGGGATGGGTGGATGAAGCATTTGTTGCTACTTTTTTTAAGGAAATATATTGTTGGACCCCACCTTTGGATGCTGTTTATTTTCCCTGCCTGAAAAGATACATAGACACTTCACAGGGTTACAACATATACCGAAGGCCAGCAATTAGGTAATAAACAAACTATGGACCCAGCCTAAAAGCCTCCTAGAGAATTTGTGGCAAATTTCAACCAAAATTTGAGCTTTTAATTTATTCCAGAATTTATAAACTACATTCAGGGAATACCTGAGCAGGGTATATGGAGAATAAAACAGAATAAAAATGTAAACAAGAAATAAAAATGACAGAATGAAAATAAACAGATTTGGGAAGGCCTGGGAGAAATGTTTTCAACAAATACCAAAAACAAAATGTTGGAGCTTGCTTCGCTTCTAATGCAAGAGAATTCTAGGGAACTAATGATACACCCCAACCCTTGCAAGGAAAGGCTCTCCTATTGTTTTTTATAAAGTTGCTTTGAATCTATTTTATGGTTATATTTATTTTCTCACGACCAGTTTTGGTCTTATTTCGTACACTGACTCAACGTATAATTAATGAATTATGTTTTTTAAAAACAGCTAATACACAATTTATATAATTTATATGTTTTAATCAACATTCTGGCACACTGGGCTTCAGTTCCATGAAAGCTTATGCCATAACAAATGTGTTAAAACTGCAAATCCGAACATCACTTTTCCTAGGATAAAGCCCCACTAAACTCAGAAGGACATACTTGTTGAGCAAAGATACATGGTTAGGATAGCACTGAAGGTGTCACACAATACAATCCTTGGATTGTACCCAACATTAAGTTATACCCAGAGTAGACCCACTGAGGTCAGCGGACCGGAATTAATCGTGTCCATTAACGTCAACGGGCCTACTTATGAGTGGGATTTGGATACAAACCTTGTTGTTTTGCTGCAAGACATTATTAGGACAGGTTACCCCTCTAAAAGCTGACAGATAATAATTAAATTGCATCCATCTGGAAGCCTGATGGGCTATAATAAACAAATCCTACTCCTCTGGAAACTGCTGGATACTAACAAATTAAACCCGACGCAGAAAAAAAACCGTAAATAAATGGTGTGGGGAATATTTTCGGGGGTGGGCAGGCCTAGCTTGTAAAGGGCGGGGCCAAGGCCTACCTGAGGGGACGGGAGGGGGCCGGCTCTAGGCCGCGACCAGGGTGAGCTGGGTTGGGGAGGGGGGAGAAGGGGAAAGGGCTGCCCCACCCCCGTTACCTCTGCGCGCGGACGGCAGCGAGGAGCTGAGGAGCCGCGCGGCCGCTGCGCAGGTGTTACAGGCGGCCATATCCGTGGCCCCGCTCCTCCTCCTCCTCCTTCCAGCCGGGAGAGAGCGCCTGGCGTAAACAGCTCGGCCTTCTCCACGACCCCACCGACAGCCTCCTTCTCGACGACCTGTGTGGCGTCACAGGCCCCTGAGGAACTGCGGCTCCCGGCATTCGCGGCGCCCGACCCCGGGGCGCTGGGGGCGGAAGGGAGCGCGCGGTGCTTCCTGGGACTAGTAGTCGAGAGAGCGGGGAGGCGGATACATAGGCGGGAAGTGGGGGGGGCGGAGGGAGAGAGATAGTGCATGATGGGAGTTGAAGTGCGCAGGGCGCCGTAGCCTTCGACTGGGTAGTGTATCAATGGCAGAGTAGAACGGAGTTTTCCCCAATCTCGTATAAACAGTGCTTTCCCTCCCTAAAAAATGTTTAGGGGTACTCTTATTTTGACTCAAGAAAATCACCATTTTATAGTTCAAATCGGGAAAAATAAATACAGCAAATGGACAAAAGCACAAAGATTCACAAAATGTTTAGGGGTATGCGTGCCCCTGCGTACCTCCAGAAAAAAGCACTGCATATAAAACATCATTAACCAACAGTAGTCAGGTTCAGTCTGATCTGGACAGTGGACCTCCCATCCATGGCTGCATTAGCCCATCCAATGAATAAAACACAAGCAACAAATAATTTATAAACTAAACATTTGTGTAGGGATTGTTCCTTAGTTTTTCCTCTCCTGAAGATATCTTGCAAAGCAAAGCTCCACTAATGTGGGGAGAGAAGAGAAGGAGGGGTCAGTTGATAGGCCCTCTGTTGGTTTTGCAATGTACTTTCCTGCTCTTAATACAGGCACCAATTCCAACTGATGTGTGATTGCCGACACGGGAAGAAGACAAAATGGGCAGAACAGAATGGGACGGAGCAGAATGGGAGCCGCGAAATGGTCACCATCTGCAATGAGAAAAACAGCCCGGTTTAAACTGGGCGTATCCAGATGTTTTGGGTTGCAGCTCCTTTTAACACCAACCACTACCCTTCTAACAGTTTAACGTAGTGTGGGATTATTGTTGTAAGTAGCATTCAGTTCCTTTTGTAAAAAAGAACAACTAATAGATTTAATTAATAATGATGATGATACTAATGGTTAGTGTCCGAGTAGGACCTGGGAGAACAGATTTCAAATCCTCACTTGGCCATGGAACCCACTGGGTGACCTTGGGCCAGTTACTATCTCTCAGCCCAACTTACTTCACAGAGTTGTTGTCGAGATTGAGGAGTGGGAAAACCATGTATGTCACCTCGAGCTCCTTAAAGAAAAAAGGTGGGCTATAAATGCAATAAATAAATAAATACATAATTATAGGCATACCAATTTAGGCACAGCAGTTGCTGCAGCACCAGGATCTTATGGATCCTGACAAGGATAAGGAGGCTTGTGTAAGCATCTCTTTTCCAGACTGGAGCTTGTATCTCACCTATTTGCACTACCCTGTGATGAAGCTGCAGGATTGACATTATAACAGAGTTAACAGAGTTATAACAGAGGGACCAAATACATAGAGCATGGGTGGGCCAACTAAGGCCCAGGGGCCGGATCCGGCCCAATCGCCTTCTAAATCCGGCCCGCAGACAGTCCAGGAATCAGCGTGTTTTTACATGAGTAGAATGTGTCCTTTTATTTAAAATGCATATCTGGGTTATTTGTGGGGCATAGGAATTTGTTCATTCCCCCCCTCAAAAAATATAGTCCAGCCCCCCACAAGGTCTGAGGGACAGTGGACTGGCACCCTGCTGAAAAAGTTTGCTGACCCCTAACATAGAGTAATGATTAACACGAGGATGAATTTTATTTATTTGTGTCAACTGGGATGATTCATAGGAAGAGTAGAAATTAAATTTCTCAGAGAGCATATGTTAATCTTCACCTCTGGGTGGCAGGCACCATCCAGTTTTTAGGTTAGGGTGAAGCTGGAATATTTCAGTTACAACTTCCCTTGTCTACAGTGAACTTCACACAGTCCATTTTGTAACAACAATATCCCCACAAAAATGAACAGGCCAGTTTTGTAAAAGTGCCACCCTGGAATAAGTAATTTTAAGGTTTGCAGTCATGGTTATAAAACTAGGGCCCACTACAGAGTATATAAATAACTCGGCTTCAAGTATTCCAGAAGTTTAATCCTATTAATTTGTTATAGCAAAAACAATAGAAAGTATTGTGGCACTTTAAAGCAGTTTTCTGCACAGATGTTTTGGATTATAACTTCCAAAAATCCCAGCCACCATGACCAATGGTTAGGGATTATCATCTAAAAGATCTGGGGGGGCTACTAGGGGGCGCATCGGAAGATGGCTGACAATAACATCTCTGACCCACACGAGGTAATTTGGAGGCTATGATGGGGGTAATTAGCCTCCTTACCCCCCCCAGGATGGTGGGGGGGACTGCCCTTGCCTGCTGTGCCCTACACCACCCCCGGATTTGTGGGGGTGGGGGCACTAGGCACAAAGCCCTCCTGTGGGATTCCGGCACTCCTGGACGCTGTCCCTGATCCGCGCCACTAGCTGCAAGAACTTCAAAAGAAACAATTTGAATGAAGCTAATTGCACATATTTCAAGGAAGGAGGGGGAGTAAAGACTGCTAACAGAAGAGATCTCTGATAAAACAAGACAAGAATAAATCATGAGAAGATACGCCAAGATACGGTATGGCAAATGACTGATGGGGGACGGGGAAAAAACTTTCCTTTCTTTCCTTATGTGATTTAACAAGAATCCCCTCCCCTCACGAGTCAGAAATGTCGTTTTAAGGACTTAAGCTGTGGATTTAAGACTGTGTGGAGATAAACTTTCGAACCAAGGCATGTTTTGAGAAGAGCGTGGAATGTACAAGAACTCTGGAATGACGCAGTTTAAAATGCCGTCGCCATATTGGGAAGTTCTGTCGGAGGTCTTGAGTCTGGGAGGAGAAATAGAGAAATAGAGCTGCTTTTATATTGTGGGTGAAACTCCTCAGAGGGACTTAAGAGCGACAGTTTTACGAGATAATGATGAAAAGAGCGATGTTATCTATGAAGGTGATGATATATGGAAACCATCTCGATTTGAGGATTGGAAGAACGGAAAAATTCACACAGGATTAATATTGGTGTTTATCGGCTTAAGGAGATTATCAGAAGAGATCATAAAGAAAAAAGAGAAAATATATGAACAAGATGTGATGTGGAAACAGCAAGATAAGACTGGATAGAATTATGAACTCTGTTTGGACTGATTTGGTCTGATTTGGACATTAATGCAGTAGCAAGAAGATGATCAGAATCCCCCTTCGGATCTTGAAATATGGGTCCCCCCAACAAAATTTAAAATTCGGCTTTGTAATTCGGAACTTATGTGATGTGATTTAATTTGATTTGATTGGCTGGTTAATAAAAATATATATTTTTTAAAAAAATCATCTAAAAGATCTGGAAGGCACCAGGTTGGGGAAGGTTGCCTTAAAGACTTAACCATTTTATTATGACATAAACTTTTATTGACCACAAGGCGCTTCATCAAATGTAGGAAGCATAATCCTAAATTGGCAAGCATGTACACACATGGAAAGCAAATACAAGTGTAGTACAGATGTTAATGGTTAGATAACCACACATTATGACGGCAGTCTAAAACTCACATAAAGCCCTGGATTGTGGAATATATTAACTATGCTGCATTAATGTACTGAACTCTCTTATGGTTTTGGACTAGGGCTAGCAAGAGCCATGTTAAACTCCCACTCAGCTTCAAAGCTTTCTGGGTGCCCCCGAGCCCGTCACTATCTCCCCCAGCCTAACCGGCCTCACAGGGTTTTTCGAGGAAAAAATGATTCAAGCATAACTGAGCCAGAGCGCCTACTGGGAACCCCTGGGCCATATACTATAACTACCGGTATATCTTACCCCAACCTACCTCACAGGACTGTTGTACGGATTTTAAAATAAAGGGGTGGCTGATAGAATCGTGTGTGAACACCCTGGAGAAAAGTCAGGATAGAAATGCAAGCAAGCAAGCAAGCAAGCAAGCAAGCAAGCAAATAAATAAATAAATAAATAAATATTCGGCATTTTAAATTGGGGGGGGGAGAGGTGAGAGAATACCCTGTGGCCCTGTTGCTGGACTCCAGTTCCCATCATCGCTACCTATTGGCCTTAGTGGCTGGGGCTGATGGGAGTTGTAGTTCCTCCAACCACAACGCCAGACGTTTGCTCCCTCCCCGGCCCCGTGTGCGCTTGCGCGTAAAGTGATTTCCCCCGTCCCACTCATTTCTTCAAATCACGTGACAGGAGCCCTTCCGCCTCGGTAGCTATGGTGCCTGTCGAGCTCAGGCTCCTTCCATCGGGCCCTTGCCCCTTTTAGGGGGTGTGTGACGTCGAGTGATTGGCGTGCGCCGTTGGCCCGCGCCCCGCCCGCTTGGGAGGCGGGGGCGGGGGAGCAGCGGGGTTGGCTGCTTGAGGGCGCCGCGGGACGAGGAAGAGGCGACGGCGGCGGAGGGGGCTGGGAAGATACCACTGACGTGAGAAGAGGAGGGGGGGCGGATACGATATTCGGCTATCCCTCAACACCCCCCACTCCGCCCTGTGGAAGATCCGGTAAGAAATGGAGGGGAGCAAAGGCTCGGGACCTCAGTGAGGTCGATGGGGTACAGTGAGGAGGTGCCTGTATTGCTGCTGTTACCTCCTCCTGTAGATGAGGGAAGTAAGTTTCCAAGGGGTAGTTATGGCGAATAAGCTGCTGTTAATTAACTAACTGCTGTTAATTTGAGAGTGCGCGTGGTGGAAGCGGTTAAGTGTGCGCAGGAACCACGACGGGTCCAGAAATCCCTCACCGAGCCACGAAACTCGCCTCCTCAGTCTGGACTACCTCGCAGGGCTGTTGCGAGCATGCAGGCGAAGGGAGGTGGGAGAGGGAAGTTCTCCGGAGGGAAGGGGGTGTGCGCATTTACCTAAACAGTGAGTCTCAAGTGTTCTGTGGTGGGTAGCTTGTTGCAGATAGTTGATGTGGAAATGATAATATTTATATTTTTCAGGAAGGGGAGGTTGGGAAAAGGGCTAAGCTGTGGAGAGGGGGGAGGTCCTGGGCAAAAAGGTTGCCGTGGGAAATGGGGGGATGCATTTAACTTTGCAATGTGCCTTGTAATGCCTTGTAAACATGGTTGCTTTACACTCATAAAGTTTATGATTTTTTTTACCAAGCACTTTGTTGTTGGTGTGCAGATGTAATGTATTGTGCTTTCTTTAATCAGGTGACAGTACTTAACTCTTAACATGCACTCTTTATACCAGCAAGTATCCATAGTGTTTAACAGAATAATGTAAGGAAAAACACAGGCCTCTGCCCCGAGCAGCATACAGTCTATGACTTTGAAAGAAAGGGAGGGCAGTGGAAAGAGAGAAGGGGAGGAAAAGTGAAGAATATTGAGGAGACCTGTTATTGCTGCTCTGGCTTACTTCCAGTAGGGGTTGAGGACTGTGTGTGCAATCCAAACCACACCTGCTCTGATGTAAATACATTTGAATTCAATGGGGCCTACTCTCGGATAAGCGGGGTTAAGCATTGCAACCCAATGGATTATGCCAAAGACTTGGTGGGGTAGCTATAATTGTATGTTTATGCAGAAAAGTAGCAGGTAAATATGTTTTGTCTTATACATTTATGGAAAGCAAAATCATATAACCAAGAAAACAAAAACTGGTTTTCAGTGGGAGAGTGAAAGCACCATTGAACTCTGTAAGACTTGATCCTGTGTTGCATAAATTTCTGCTTTAAATTTCTGCTTTAAAGTTCACCCAAACATTACTTGCACACCAAGCTCCCTGCACACACACAACAGTGCTACGTGTATATATGGTAAAGCACACGTGTCGTGGCAGGTTTCTGGAAGAGACCTTCCCTTTTATGTGTGAGAGAATGCCTCTCCAAAGATTGTGCTGTTTTTTTGAAGTTTAATTTATTTTTAAGTGCTCTTACTCGAAATAAACTTAAAAGTTGAAATCTGCTGCCTGGACAATCTAGGGGTGTCTTTGTTATTGGTTTTTAGTTGTTGTTTTTCCACAAAAGCTACTTAGAGCAACTTACAGAAACGAACATCAAAAACAATCTTTTTAGAGCAAACCTGAGCCAGGCAGCAGCAGGTAAAGTAGCTACTTCATCAGAAACCCTGCTGGCTTGTGCTGGCCAAGGTGGGAGAAAAGTGTTCCTCCCTCTCCCCCCAGCTCAAAGTTTGGCCTAAAAGTATTGGTCTCCTCAGAGGATCTGTGGGGCTTTGCGTCCAAAGCTGCCAGCACCCCATTTTAGGTCTTTCTGTAGGCTGCTGCCGATGGTACTTTCCTGCCTGCAGCAGGGGCTGCAGCAGCAGTACAGCCACTCCCACTCCACCAGCTGTGGTTGACAGAGGATCACCTCTAACACCAAATGATCAGGGTGTTAGGACCGTGGTGTAAGGCTGCAAACCTAAATGCACCAGAGACAGTTCCACTGAACTCAGTGAGATTTACTTCTGCGTAAATATGCGTAGGATTGTACTGTGATCAAATGAATATTTGAAGCCCAGTAAGAATGAAAAGATGGAGCTTCAGCTCACAAAGCCCAGTGATGGGAGTTCAGGGCCCAAGAAGAAGTGAGCCAGGTGTAATACCAAGGACTTTTACAAAACAAACTCTGGGCTTCCAAATGAAGTGGATTGATTTATTACATTTACGCTGTGCTTTTCAAAATTGGTGCATGATGGAAATCTATCTCATAACTTCAGTGTTATACAAAATATGTATATACCCAATACATACATGACATATTCTAGGGCCTTTCTTGGGATGAATCGGAAGGAAATATTACCTCTGTGTTGGGGGCAGGATGCCTCTGAATGCCAGCTGCTGAAACTCGCAAGTGGGGAGAGTGCTGTAGTGATGGTGGTGAAATTTGGGTTCTTTATTCCTGGATTCTAACGTAGCTGATGAGTTTGTTCAGGGTGATGTGATGATGCTGGAGAAGGCTATGATGGGTGGGAAACCTTTCTCAGGTCCTGCATTCCCTTCTGGGTAACTTTTGGGGTAGGGGGAAGCATGCCAGTTGTGGGGCAGAACAAAAGATAAAAAGTAGGTACAGCAATACATGTAAATTTTACATTTGCACTTTCAAACATACCCCCCACCCCCATTCATCTTCCGTCTAGGCAAGCAAGGGGCATAACCTTTGTTAATAGATACCTTCCAGCCAGGCAGAAACACCTGGGGTGTGAAGCAGGGTCAATGAGGGGTATGACATGGGGAGACTTCCAAGAACCAAATAGAGAGGTCTGGAGGGCTGCATTTGGCCATGGAGCCTGGGTTATGGTGGTGGAAGTGGGAGCTTATTGCCATGTACCCACGGAGTTGCCTAGGTGCACCCAATGCTGTAAATCTCTGTGTTAGAGTCTGTTCCATGCATCCCCCAGCAACAAATCAATATTTTGGTGCTATATCTGTTCAAAGCCATGTACAAAGTCCTGTGTCTTTGCGCACTATAGAGCATGTGAATGTTCTGAAGCATCTGAAATCTAATATTGAAAATCTTTCTGGTTTCGACCTTTGACTCGAGAGTATGGAATGCACGAGTAAACAAATAAAAATCCTTTGGGTCTATCCTATGATCTGGATTACAAGTCTATGCAGAGGGTTGCAGTACTTGGAGCTTAATAAGTTGTTGATGGAAGTTGGAAATAATCCCTTTTAAAACTTGGGTCAGAAACTATTCTTGAGTTGTAAGGAAGAAGGGCTGTACAGTATATGTTATAACAAGGAAGAATAGCTGACTGTGCTTCACTCCATACTTAAGTGATCAACAGAAGATTTATGGCTAAAGCAGAGGAATAAAACAATAGCACAGCCTTTTAATTGTACTGCATGCATGAAATGTTTTTCCACATAAGTATGTTCCAGTTTAGGTTTGGTACATCTGGCTTTTATAGAAAGTGATGTTTTGAATTTTACTGCTGGTTTTAATTGAGATGTTACCTAACTTCCTAAATGGTAAGGAGCAGGTGGTTTTGAGGGCTTGGTTTTGTTGAATTGTCTGACATAACATTGTCTGCACCTGTAGAAGTCTCAAGGCCCGGGGTAGCACTGAATGTTGGCGAGAAAAGTGGAGGAACTATTTGCTACGTTGTGTTCCAAGACGTCATCAGTAGTATTAAATCATAGGTGACAAAAAGAGAAACTGTGGGGTGGTTGTAGCAACAAAGTAAGGCAGCATTCACACCATACATTTAAAGCACATGGTTTCCCCCAAAGAATAATGGGAACTGTAATTTACCCTCCCACAGAGCTACAATTGCCAACACCCTTAACAAACTACAGTTCCCAAGGTTCTTTGGGGGAAGCAGTGTGCTTTAAATGTATGGTGTGTACGCTGCCTAACTCCTAACCACTGTGCAGATTCATTTTTATTGTGCCCTTAGATTGGGTAAGCAGATGCTTCCTCTTAGGCATTTTCTTGGGCCCCAGGTTTTGCGCAGGGCATATTACATGGCTGTAATACAAATATGTTCAAGGTCAGTCGTATTCATGCCTGGGAAACTTTGACCGACGAAGCTCTGCGTCCAAAGAGGCTGTTCAAGTCAACACAGCCTGTGAACAGTATTTTGCAATGTTTTGCTGAATTCACATTCTGGATTTGACGGTCGAATGTTTGCAGAATTTGGAGAGTTTGGAAAGGGGAGTGTGAGGGGGAAGTGACCTAGAGGCTGTGAGAGAGGTGCTTGGAAGCACCATCTTCTAAAACCCTGGAGAGTTTTGCAATACTGCCTGTGCATTTTTAAGCACACTTTCATAATACAAAATGCTAGTTGTGTCCTGGGAGGAGTGCTTGAGTTTGATTCTTAGGAATGTGGAATTGTGCAAGGTGCACAACTCTATTTACAATGTATAGCCAAAATACTGGTTTCATGTTAAGGTTTCTGCTGTGCCATTTTGCTTGTTAACACTCTGAAAGGCTTTGACCCATAATCCTCACCAAAATGTGCTTCATTTCCCATACTGTTTGGCCTACATGGAGCTACAACAGTGGTTCATCTTCTGTTATGCACAGTTGGTCCTTCAGCAGCAGTTGTATTTTATTTTTAGGAAGAGGCAGTTGGTCTCTCAGCTCCCTTGTGCCATCTAACTAGAAAACATGTACTAAATCGCTTCCAATTTGAACTTCCTTATCTTTTCCAGCCTTTCCAGTTCCAGAATTTTTCTTGGTGGTTTCCAGTTGTGCACAAGTAAATAAGTAAATCTGAAGGGAAGAATAATAAATTGATGGGGCCTGAAAGCAGGTTTACCCTGAAGAAATTCCCTCAAGTATATAAGTGATCCTACATTTTATTTACTTTGTCTGAAACATTTCCCCTGTTGTGTTTTCAGGTTTTTCTTTACCTTGGGTTTGTTACCACCATGGGAGAGATTAAAATCTCTCCTGACTATAACTGGTTCAGAAGTACAGTTCCTCTAAAAAAGGTAGGTCCAGTTTTTAATTCTTGCTGCCCTGGGCCTGTGCTCATTTGGGAGGAAGGATGGAATATATGATTGATTGATTGATTGATTGATTGATTGATTGATTTTCCCTCTGATCCCAAGGACATGTATATGAGGGATCTTCTAGTGCTGTTTACTTGATCCTTAATTGCAAACTCAGGGGCATAATTAGCAGGACCCTAGAACTCAAAATGTATATCAGGTCCATAGACACCTATGTTCTGTATGTCCATATTACATGTGTGGAATTTTCTGCAATGTTTGCGTATAATTTGTAGTATGTGGGCAAGCCCATAAATCCTGACCTTGCTGGGTTGACTTGCCATACAGAAAATTATTGTTGCCTTCTGGGGATTAAGAGCAGCAATTCCAGGATCGAAGCATCAACAAAATTGCATTTTTCCTTATTCCAGAAGAATCATACCATACAGAGGTAAAGAGGTCTAAGAAGTGTGTGTGTGTGTGTGTGTGTGTGTGTGTGTGTGTGTATATATATATATATATATATATATAGCCCCCCTCCTTAGAAACCAAAGATGGAGAAATTTGGTTTGTTTTGTATTTTTTTACTGTGAATCTACCCAGTTTGCCCTTCCTTTGAAATCCACATTTTGCCATACAAGTTCTCCGATCAAAAAAATGTACAGTTGCATGGATTAGACTAGAGGGAAGTATGTAAAAATACAGATATTAACAAAAAAAAATGCATACAATGCATATTGTTTGTAGCAATAGGTCTGTTGTGCATAACTTCATATAAAAAAGTGTTTGCCAAGGACAAATGTACGTTAAATTGCTGAAAAAAATTACTGAGGATTAAAAAAAGATATAAGATGGCAAACTGAAGCGGAAATGTGGCAAGCTGAATTTAAGGTTAGAAAAATAAGAAACAGTGAGGTACCAAAATTTACAGATTGGTTCAGCCCTACTAGAAACTTATGTTCCTTCCTTCTTGCAACCCAAACCAAGCTGTCTAAACTCTTTCCCTCCCACTTCATGTGGCTCTCTGGAGATCATGGTCCCATATCGTGCCTGCAAAGGCCTTATAGTGGTGCTGCAGAACTAACAGCTGTACAGACTTCCACACCACAAACAAGAAGCAAGTTAGAATCATAAAATCTTAGAGCTGGAAGGGACCCAACGGTCATCTAGTCCAACCCCCTGCAATGCAGGAATCTCTGCTAAAGCATCCATGACAGATAGCCATCCAACCTCTGTTTAAAAACCTCCAAGGAAGGAGAGTCCACCACCTCTCATGGGAGTCTGTTCCACTGCTGAACAGCTCTTACTGTCAGAAAGTTTTTCCGAATGTTTAGTCGTAATCTCCTTTCTTGCAACTTGAAGCCATTGATTCGAATCCTACCCTTTAGAGCAGGAGAAAATAATCATGCTTGCTCCCTCCTCCATGTGACAGCCCTTCAGATATTTGAAGATGGCTATCATATCTCTTCTTAGTCTCCTCTTTTCCAGGCTAAACATACCTAGTTCCTTCAAGCGCTCCTCATAAGACTTAGTTTCCAGACCCTTGATCATCTTGGTTGCCCTCCTCTGCACACATTCCAGCTTGTCAACATCCTTCTTAAATTGTGGTGCCCAGAATTGGACACAGTATTCCAAGCGTGGTCTGACCAAGGCAGAATAGTGGTATTATTACTTCCCTTGATCTGGACACTATACTTCTGTTGATGCAGCCTAGAATAGCATTACCTTTTTTTTTCTTTTTCTTTTTCTGTTGCATCACACTGTTGACTCATGTTAAGCTTTTGGCCCACCAAGACCCAAATATCCTTTTCACATGCATTGCTCGTAAGACAGGTGTCCCCCATTCTATATTTGTTCATCTAATTCTTCCTGCGTAAGTGCAGAACCTTACATTTGTCCCTACTGAAATTCATTTTGTTAAGCTTGCACCCAGTTCTCAATCTGTTAAGGTCATTTTGAATTCTGATTCTGTCTTCTGTGACATTAGCTACCCCTCCCAGTTTGGTGTCATCTGCAAATTTGATGAGCATCCCCTCAATTCCTTCATCCAAGCCATTTATAAAGATGCTGAACATCAAAGGGCCCAGGACAGAACCCTGTGGCACCCCACTTGCCACTTTTTTCCAGGATGACTAGGAACCATTAATGAGTACTCTGTGTTTGGTTAGTCAACCAGCTACAAATCCACCAACTGTTACCTCGTTCAACCCACATATTATCAGCTTCCTTGCAAGAATATCATGGGGGACTTACTGAAATCAGGATACACTACATCCACAGCATTTCCCTGATCCACCAAATTTGTTATTCCATCTAAGAAAGAAATCAGATTGGTCTGGCATGACTTATTTTTGAGAAACCCATGCTAGATCTTAGTAATCACAGCATCCTTTTCTAAATGCTCACAGACCGACTGTTGAATTATCTGTTCTGGACCTTCCCTGGTATCGATGTCAAGCTCACCAGTCAGTAGTTACCTGGGTCTTCCTTTCCCCCCTTTTTGAAGATGGGGACAATATTTTCCCACCTTCAGTCTGTAGGGTCCTCATCTACTCTCCAAGAATTCTCAAAGATAATAGACAAAGGCTCTGAAATTACATCCACAAGCTCCTTTAGTACCCTTGGGTGCAGCTCATCAGGCCCTGGAGATTTGAATTCATTTAAAGTAGCTAGGTGTTCCCTTACTACCTCTTTTCCTATCTTGGGTTGCAGCTCACTCCTTACATCATTTATTCTGTTATCACCAGGTTGGGCATCACTTTCCTTTTGGGTGAAGACAGAGGCAAAGTAAGTGTTGAGTAGTTCCACCTTTCTCTGTTGCCCAATAGCATTTCTCCATCTTCCCACTCTGAGGACCTACCACTTGCTTGTTCTTCCTCTTACTTCGGACATAGCCGAAGAAACCTTTTTATATGATCTTTAACCTCTCTTGCAAGCCTGAGCTCATTCTGTTGGACCACAACCCAACGGTTGTAAATGGTACATATTGCAGACCTACGGGAATTTTCTATGAAGCAATAGCCGTTGGTGTCTGAGGCCAATGTCTCCCTTGAGTAATGCTGTCTTTCTACAAAGCATAGCAGCCACAGAGAGGGAAGGTAGTGTGATGAGATGTGTGTGAGCATGCCTTCCCTGTGGAGAACTCTGCCCTGTGCCCACAGGAGGAGAGAGAATAAAAACGTCACAGCTGCTTCTGCTCATCACCTCAGACTGGAATTAATTTGAATGCCCTGCCCTCCCTGGCTGCAGAAAATAAAACTACAATAAGATGGAGTATTTGTTCTGTTACGAAATACCTGGCATCAGGTTGCTTTTCATCAACCTGAATCGCAGCTGTGCAAATATTATTGCTTAGCTGAATAATCACAGTAAGACTCCTTGAAAGCATGGAACCAACATTATTGTGATACCTAGAATCATAGAATTGTAGAGTTGGAAGGGACCTCAAGGTCCATCTAGTCCAACCCTCTGTAATGCAGGCAGGAATCTTATGCCCAGCGTGGGCTCAAATCCACGACCTTAAGAGACTCATGCTCTACCAACTGTGCTATTCCAGAGAGAGGTTTATTTTTCAAATCTGGGTGATGTGCTCATTGTGGGGAATTGTAGGAATCTGTGTCATATGACTCAATGGTATCAATGAGCAAATCTGTCACTTTCAGTTTTTCTCAGTTTCTCATTTTTCCATTCTTAAGTTCAGTTTTCCACATTTCTGTATCAGTTGGTGATTTTTTAAAAAGTCCTCCTGAAAATTCATCAGCATTTGAGTGTGATTTCCTGTTAATATACACTTTTTCTGCAAAACCACTTTCCCTCATATTATGCACTTTAAAAAAAAAAAAAATTATTAACCGACCAATCAAATCAAATCACATCACATAAATTCCAAATTACAAAGCCGAATTTTAAATTTTTGTTGAGGGGACCCATATTTCAAGTTCCGAAGGGGGATTCCGATCATCATCTTGCTACTGCGTTAATATCCACAAATCAGTCCAAATAATGTTCATAATTCTATCCAGTCTTATCTTGCTGTTTCCACATCTCATCTTATTCGTATATTTTTTCTTTTTTCTTTATGATCTGATAATCTCCTTAAGCAGATGAACACCAATTATAATCCTGTGTGAATTTTTCCGTTCGTCCAGTCCTCATATCAAGATGGTTTCCATATATCATCGCTTTCATAGATAACATCACTCTTTCCATCATTAATCTCTCAAATCTGTCGCTCTTAAGTCCCTCTAAGGAGTCTCACCCACAATATAAAAACAGCTCTGTTTCTCCTCCCAGACTTAAGTCCTCCGACAGAACTTGCCAACATGGCAACGGTATTTTTTACTGCGTCATTCCAAAGCTCTTATAGTTTCCACAATCTTCTTGAAACATGCTTTGGTTAGTAAATTATCTCCACACAGTCATAAATCCACAGCTTAAGTCATTTAAACGGCATTTCTAACTTTTGGGGGGGGGTGGATTCTTGGTTAATCACATAGAAAAAAGAAAGGAAAGTTTTCCCCCCCTCCCCCATCCAGTCCCTTTGCCATACCGAGCCTTGGTGGGTCTTCTCATGATTTATTCTTGTTCCTCCGACCCGTCTTGTTTATCAGAGATCTCTTCAGTTAGCAGTCTTTACTCCCCCTTCATCCTTGAAATATGTGCATTCGCTTCCTCCTAATTGTTTCTTTTGAAGTTGCTGCAAACTAGAGGCGCGGATCAGAGACAGCGTCCAGGAGCGCCGAAATCCACAGGAGGGCTTTCTGCCTAGTGCCCCCATCCCCACAAATTCGGGGGGTGGTATCGGGCACAGCAGGCAAGGGCAGTCCCCCCCACACCCATGGGGGGGTAGGGAGGCTATTTACTCCCATCACAGCCTCCTAATTACCTTGTGTGGGTCGGAGAGATGTTATCGTCAGCCATCTTCCGATGCGCCCCTAGTGGCCCCTCCCATATTATGCACTTTTTGTATGTTATTTTCGCTAATGCTAGTGGCGCTGTGGTCTAAACCACTGAGCCTCTTGGGCTTGCTGATCAGAAGGTTGGTGGTTCGAATCAGCACAATGGGGTGAGCTCCCGTTCTTCTGTCCCAGTTCCTGCCTCCCTAGCAGTTCGAAAGCATGCCAGTGCAAGTAGATAAATAGATACTGCTGTGGTGGGAAGGTAAATGGCATTTCCGTGTGCGCTGGTTTCTGTCACGGTGTTCTGTTGCACCAGAAGCAGTTTAGTCATGCTGGTCACATGACCCGGAAAGCTGTCTGTAGACAAATGCCAGCTCCCTTGGCCAAAGCGAGATGAGCGCCGCAACCCAATAGTCACCTTTGACGGGACTTGGCCGTCCAGGGGTCCTTTACCTTTACCTTTTTACCTATGCATTTATATGCATATTTTACCGTAGATATGCATTTTTGCACACGTTACTTGGCTGGAGAACTTGGAGAATTTGGAGAAATGGGGATTTCAGAAGATGATGGTTCCGTATTGCTTTGCATCCTATTTTGAAAAGTGTGGATTAGGTAGGCAGCAGTGGCTCTCTAGGATATTAGTCAGGGGTCTTTCCACACCCTACCTGAAGATGCCAAAGATTGAACATGGGAGCCTTTGCATCAAAAAGCATATGTTCAGCCACTGGGTTACGGCATGTCCGGAAAACAGCATCATGTGATGTGGTGAACTCAATATCATCTCAGCAGTGAGCATGCATTCAGAGAATCTTTTGGCTGTCTGGAATGTACAGGCTGAAATCTCTTGGGTGGTTTGTGATTAGAAAAGATAGTATGAATCAGGGCTAATATTGTATGCTGAGTAGACCTGCATTCAAGCACTTCTGTTCAGTGGGATGCACCTCTACAGGAAATTCTCTCTAATACAAAAAAAAAAAAGTGAAAAGGAGACTGGACAGGAACTTTGTTGGTATTGGATTTTTGACTTGCAGCCCTGTTTAGGATTATCTCTGAGTCTTTTTTGTTTTAGGTGAACAGTGCAAGATTTTCTAGCAACATGTGATCTTTCACATGCTTCCTCAAGTACAGCTTTTACTGCAGACCAGAGACATCTAGCTAACCAGCTCTTAAGGTTTTGCCAGCTGCTTTCCTTTCAGATGTTAATAGAGGCGTTGTGTGGTGGTGGTGGAGGAGGAACAGCTGAATTTGTGCTATTGTTTCCAGCTAGAGAAGTTCAACTAACTTGACAATGATTGAATAAACTGGACATTTTTATACACAGAAGATTTTGGTGTAATCTGCAATCAGATAAATTAATGTGGGTTTTGTAATTGACTTAAACATAGGGTGAGAGTTTCCCTTATTCATGTTATGGAATACTGTATTGAGAGTAAACACATAGGGCAGGGGTAGGCAACCTAAGGCCCAGGGGCCAGATGCAGCCCAATCACCACCTCAATCCGGCCCGCGGACGGTCTGGGAATCAGCGTGTTTTTACATGAGTATAATGTGTCCTTTTATTTATAATGCATCTCTGGGGTATTTGTGGGGCATAGGAATTCGTTCATTATTATTTTTTTCCAAAATATAGTCCGGCCCACCACATGGTCTGAGACACGGTGGACCGGACCACAGCTGAGAAAGGTTGCTGACCCCTGACATAGGGCAAGATCCAATGAAATGCCGTCTGGACACAACAAGGTTTGCCTTCCGTTCCCCTTTATCTGTTTTGGAGGATCACTGAACCCTCCAGAACAGATCTTTGGAGCATGGAGGGGACTGCAAGGAACACCACAATTGGATTTCACCCATATTTTTTTAGCCTCTTGGAAGTGAAGGGATTATTATAAAAACCTGGAGCTTATTGCACTAAACATTCCTGGATAAAGTGGACACAGAATGTACTTCAGTAAATCTTAACGAGTAAAGTTAAAGCACTTCTAATATCATGGTTAGTTTATAATTGTTACCCATCTTCAGAGCAATGTTCATATTAAAGCCAAAGCAACATTAAAAAAAAATAACTTTGGGCTGCACACTCGGGGCAAGTTCTATTGAACTTAATGGGATTTACTTCTAAGTAGACATGCAATGAATTGTGCCCATCTTTTAATTTGGGATGGCTCTCCAATGGCTCCCATCATCTTTCACCATTGGCCAGGCTAACGGGTTGATGGGAGGTGGAATTCAACATCTGGAAGGCCACAGAGCAGCCATTCCCGTTTTAATGAATGTAAATCCAGGTTGATCAAAGTGGTGCCCTATAGATATTCTTGGTCTTCCAATCCCATCAGTCATAGTCAGCATGGCCAGTGGCCAGGGATTAAGGAAAATGTAGTTTGATAACATCTGGAGGGCACCACACTGGCAACCCATGGTGTAGGTGTTTTACATGCATCCATTAACCAATTATTTTCTTATCTGAGCAACTCCTTCGTACTCAGAGTGGTTTTGGATCTGAAATGGCTGCTGAGAGAGTCTTGTTTCCTTGCTCAACCTGCAGTGTCTAAAAAAGGAAGCCAGCTGCATGTTTCTTTCCTCTGAAGCTTGAAGAGCAAAACCACTCTCTTTCCATCCCCCAATATTTTTTCAGTCTCATGATTTGGTGATGACGCGTTGGGAGAGCAGAGAAAGTCTGACTTCTGAATATTTTAGATTTGCTTACGTCTTTTCTAACTTGGATCTGTTCCAAAGCAGAATGTCCTGATGCTCACATGATTGAGTTCCATGCCTGCTCTTCTGCGTTGGCGTATCACATTTGTATTGAGCACATTAACTTTGCTTTGGCCTGTGACCGTTTTGGGGTGGGGAAGGCATATTTGGATCCACAGCAGTATTGTCTGGAGGGGTCTAAACAGTCAGAGAGAAGGGAGGGAGATCATTTTTATAAAGCTCTTTTTGAAGCCCAGTCTGGAGTGGGCATGGGAAAGCCATTAATTCTTTGCATGACAGGATCTTGCAAAGGATTGTGCATGTTACATGTGGATAATATCTTGCAGTGGCAGGTTGTGTGGCTTACACAGAATCAAAGCAAAGCAGCCAAATGGCTGGTTTCATGGAGCTGGTTGAAAAGCAACTGATTAGATTTCACAGTTACACTTCTGCCTCCAGATGTGTTTCAGTAGGCTGTGTAAACATAAGACGTGACAAGCTAAGACTACTTTGCAAGCAGCCCGTTTTTAAATGTAAGGCAGAGAAGAGATTCCTGGAATCAGAGTAGCAGAAAATTTTAGACTCTGGAGTTAATTGTCTTATTCCCTCTGTCTGTCTGTGTCCCCCCCCCCCCCCGCTTTTAGATGCTACTCTGCATTAATTTTGCTTTAGATTGTGTTAAGCCAGACCTACTGTATTTGGGGAGCTCATTCTGCTCATTTGGTGCCATGGTTATCTGCCCCCCAAATCCTGCCCCGATGATACCACCACCCAGAATTCAGTGATGGCTGTGCTGAAGGAATACAAACTATTATGTGCATTAGAAGAAGCCATTTTTACCTTCTCTGCATTTATTTTACAGATTATAGTAGATGACGATGACAGTAAAGTTTGGTCGCTCTATGATGCAGGACCCCGTAATATTCGGTGCCCCCTTATATTTCTCCCACCTGTCAGTGGAACGGCTGATGTTTTCTTCCAGCAGATTTTAGCCTTGTCTGGATGGGGTTACAGAGTCATTGCTGTAAGTCCTGAAATTCTCAGCATTTGAGCAAATGTTAAATCTGTCTTTTTATGTATGTTCTCAAAACAGTATGAAATGTACTAGATTTCAGCTACATCCGTCCAAGCCTGTCCTTTGGAATTCTGGTCATGCAGCTTTTTCATGTGCCTACATTACTTGAGTGCATATTTTGTCCCTAAAGCCTGCTCTGAAATTTGATACTAAGGGTTTTCAGATTGCATTTAACCTTGGTGGTTTTATTTAATGAGAGAACATTCCTCCAAGGCAGGATATCTCTGGGTCAACACCATCTAATCCCTTTTGGTAATTCAGATTAGAATTCCAGCCTTATAGTACAGAGAGCGTCTTAAGAGCTGAGGCTTAAAACTTAGGATATACAACTCTTGGGAGGTGCATATCTCTTCCCTGTAGTGATGGAAGATTGATCAGGGGCTCCCTCCCACTTCTCTCCCATGTGCTAATTTTATGCATGTCATCAAAGCTCTTGGAACTCCCATCCACTGGAAAATAGTGAATCTCAGGTGACATCTGGAGAGTCTAGGTTGGTTTAGCTTCTGGATTCCAGGGCTTCTTACACTCCCTGGATTGTTATAAAAAGCTTCAAGCCCTAATGATGATCACAAAGCAGAATAAACTTCCCCAACCTAGTGTCCTCTAAATAGATAGTGGCTTCCAACAGCCCCAGCTATACTGGCTGAGGCTGATGGGAATTGTAGTCCAAAGCATCTGGAAGGCACCAGCTTGAGAACATGAGTAGACTTCTTGAAAATGTAGACTATGGCTGACTTTTTCTGTAACTACATCTAATGAAATTGTTTTGAAACATAGATGGGGGTGCAAACTTGTGCATTTCCCCCCTATTAGTGCTGCCTTTCAGAGGCCAGTGGGTACAACTTTAAGAGGCTAGGGGCTAGTGCAGTGGTTCCCAACTTTCTTTGGCCATGCCCCACCTAAGCATCTCTAAAATCCTGGTGCCCCCCACATGACATATAATTCTTATTATTCAGAAAGTGAACTCCTATTCATGTGGAGGAAGACTAAAAGACCATTAACTGTTAATAACTCATTCTTGAATTGCCCCCCTTAAAAATCAAATTGCCCCGTTGGGAACCATGGGGCTAGTGGGTAAAACTAAAAATGAAAAATTGATCATCGCATATTGAAAATCCAGACTTGGATGGCAGAGAATAATGTGGGGAATAATGGGTTTTCAGTCGAGCTTGCTTTATCACAAGGGTACGGAACTTTTGGCCCTCCAGATCTTGTTGGATGGCAACTGCCATAATGCTTTACTGTTGACTGCTCTAGTTGAGACTGATGGGAACCCAACAACATCTGAAGGGCTGCAGGTTGCTTCATAGCATGCTTTGATCTCGTACAAGGTGGGCTTCTCCCCATATAACGATGCTGGTGTCTGTCTAAGTTGCTAGCTGGTTCTTAAATTATGCTTACTGGTGAAGAGGGTTAAAATGCATGTTTTTACATCTTTGTCTTTGTTCATGTCACCATTGTTAACCTACCTTTCTAATCTTAGTTGCAGTATCCAGTTTACTGGGAAATTTTTGAGTTCTGCGATGGATTCAGAAAACTATTAGACCATCTACAGCTGGATAAAGTTAGTGCCCTGAGATTGACAAATAGCCTGTGCTTACAATAGAAATGTTAGGTAAAAAGCCTAGAGTTTATTCAGAATAACCTTAATTGCTCCAACAAAGGAGAGCCCTCTCCTGTTATTTTCCAGCCCCATTGACTGATTTTTTTGTTGCTTTTTTCCAGGACCTTTTCTAAGTAAACAGCATATTCTGGGTAGGACTTGGCTGTTCTTAAATTGTAATAAATCTTCCAAAATATATTTTATCTAAAATGGTTTATAATAGCTGTTGAATGGAAGCTTGCATAAGCTGTGTGTGAAAGAGTATAAGTTATTTTTGAATTTATATACGCCCCCCCCGCCCACCTTTCGTTGAAAAGGCCCCAGGGTGATTTATAGAAAAATGGAAATACGTTTCTGTCTGGTAGACCTTACTTTATTTCTGCGAGGACCCTTGTCTATGAATGTAATTGATAAACTTTGGGAAATCCCAAATGGGGAGGATAATCTTATTTGGAACAACTTTCTCTACAAAATACCATGAGAGCGATTATAGCAGGGCCTGGGAAACGGCAGGCCCAGGAGCTGGTTGCGATGCCCCCAGATCTCTCTAGCCAGCCCTGGCACTCTCCCCAAGCCACACACTTCACTGGTCTTGCTTCACCCCTTGAGTGTTTTACTTGGCAAGAATATTTCACTGAACTGTAATAGTGCCTCTTGCTTACCTAGATGGAGGATAGAGAGGGGTGTGTGAGTGTAAAGAAACCAGGCTACTATACTGTTCTGGTTGCCCAGAAGGGAGTGCAACCCTTGGGATGAAAAAGGTTCCTCACCCCTGTGGTTTGGCGTAGTGCAAGGGCATCCAGCCTGGTGGTGCCCTCCAGATGTTGTTGGACTCCAACCTTTTACCAACTCCAGCCAGCATAGCCTGTGGTTGAGGATGATAGGAGTTGTAGTCCAACAACATCTGGAGAGCACCACATTGGCTACTCCTGGCATAGTCCTTAAGAGCAAAGTATGAACGAGAAACCACCTGGTTTAAAATGCATCTCTGTCATTGACTCTCCCCAGGTAGTCTTCGGCAAGCCAGTCTCTTTCCACTTTCCACCTGCAATACAATCATAATACTGGCCTAGCTTTCAAGTGCTTTTGAATGCAAAATGTCATACAAAATGCCTTAATAAAAACAGTTAGCCAAAGGATGTTGCTGTTATTTATTGCGGTATTTTTTACTTTTAAAATTAGGTCCACGTCTTTGGTGCTTCCTTGGGGGGCTTCCTTGCTCAGAAATTTGCTGAATACACTCACAAGTCTCCCAGAGTCCAGTCTCTGATTCTGTGCAACGCTTTCAGCGACACCTCCATTTTCAACCAGACATGGACGGCAAACAGGTGAGAGATGTATGTCGGCAAAACATATAGGTTTTGGGTTGTGCTTTACATGGGCGTAAGGGCCACTTCCTGCCTACTGTTTGTGAACTTTGGGTTAGGTAGAATTATGGCAAATACAGCTTGGCCTTTGCAAAGCAGTTTTTTAAAAAAATGAAGAACTGCTCCACTTCTTAGAATTAGCTTTTGGAGCCCATAAATGTTATGATATATATATATAGAAAAAATCCCTTCTGTTGTTGTATTAATGCAAGCAGTCACAAGTACATGCTTTAATGCCGAGGGAGTTCAGTATGTCTTGTGCTTAACGTTTGCACGGTTTATACAAAATGTTTCTCATGACAATCCAGTGCTCCTGGAGGTAGGAGAAAGTGACAAAAATTTTGACCTTTCTATAATTCTCTTTTCAGCTTTTGGCTAATGCCTGCCTTCATGCTGAAGAAAATTGTCCTTGGGAATTTTGCATCTGGTCCTGTAGATACCGAAATGGCTGATGGCATTGATTTCATGGTTGATAGGGTGAGGATTCCCAGTTGTATGACTTTACTTTAAGATTTGCATGCTGAAATCCCATCTAATATTGGTTATTTCCTTCATCCTTTCTTCCTTCAGTGCCATGTCTTTTGCACATGAAACTTTAGGCATGGTTTGTCCTTTTTAAACTTATTCTTGCTTATGACTGTTCTGGGAGCCTCTTTGGCTGTGAAGAGTGGGGCAAATGTGCTTCAAACTCCCAGATGTTGTGATAAGCTTGGTTATTTCTTTACTGCCCTGCCTTGAAACAAATTCACAACCTTCTTTTAAATTAAATTATTTTTCCTGAAAGTTGGAAAGCCTGGGTCAGAGTGAGCTCGCTTCAAGACTTACCCTCAACTGCCAAAATTCCTACGTGGAACCTCATAAAATCAGAGACATTCCTGTGACTATCATGGATGTAAGTTACCTCTTACTTAGGGTGTGGGATTGGGAGAGGAACACTTATTGAGCATCATTCTAGGAAGATGCAAGGTCCAGTTTTGGAAACAGAGAGAACATCAGCGAGAGCATGCCTATTTTTAAAACATAGCTGTGTCCCTATAGGACTACTTTCTCCAGTTATAAGAGGTGGGATAATAGTACTACTTATCAAACAACAGATGCGGTCAGGGCAGATTCATTTCATAATCTGTAGCAATTTATAGTGGGCTGTTTGCAGAGCTTTTCAGAGTAAACAAACATCTTGGAAGTGGTTGTGCCTTCAACACAGCGATGGCTCAGCACAACTCCTTCTCTGGCATCAAACGTTGTAACACATTAAAAGTGAATACAGAAGGAGAGTTTAAATAAGGTGTAGGAAGTGTGGGGCTTGAGGTCAGTTGGCATTACCTATTTTTCTTCCACTAAAAGCTGTGTGCGGATTTGCAGTTGACCTTTTTCAGCTGCAACTTTTTCATCTGGGACTCATGACCCTGAAATTAAGAGTCTCATGCTCTACTGGCTGAGCAATCAAGGAGCCTTTGACAGTCAGCAGCAGATTGAGTTGCACAGCTGAACTTCCAAAGCACAAGTGGCTAACCTGTGCCCCCACAAACGTTGCTGAACTCCAATGGCTAGTGGCAAGGGATGATGGGAGCTGTAGTTCACTGACAATGTAGAGGGCCCCCCCTGTTCTAAACAGAAAAAAATTATCTCTGTTAGAATGCATGGGATCTACAGGCAGTTCTTAGCATGGAATGCTTGTTTTTTTAGGTGTTTGACCAGAGTGCTCTTTCCACCGAAGCAAAAGAAGAGATGTATAAGCTGTACCCCAATGCTAGGAGAGCTCACCTCAAGACAGGGGGCAATTTCCCATATCTTTGCAGGAGTGCCGAAGTAAACCTCTACGTCCAAGTAAGTCTGTAGCTTTAAATTTCTCAGCTGTTGTTTGGAAACCACAGAGTTCTGCCTGCATTGCCAAAGGGGTTTATGCAAGCATTGTGGTGTTAACATTGCTGACGGATTATCAGAGGATGAGTAAAGCTGGGGGGGCAGGGGGGACCTTATTACAAATCCCCATCCGATGGAGGCAGACATGTTGCATGAAGGAGAGAAAAGGAAGGAAGGTCAAGAGGTTTCTATTATTGGGCTGCAGGAATGCTGCTATGGGTTTTAATAAAATATCCCCCCCTCCGGCTGCCGCCAAACACAGGGTAGTACAGTGGTGCCCCGCAAGACGAATGCCTCGCAAGACGAAAAACTCGCTAGACGAAAGGGTTTTGCGTTTTTTGAGTCGTTCCGCAAGACGAATTTCCCTATGGGCTTGCTTCGCAAGACGAAACGTCTTGCGAGTTCTTGCGAGTTTGTTTCCTTTTTCTTAAAGCCGCTAAGCCGTTAATAGCCGCTAATAGCCGTGCTTCGCAAGACGAAAAAACCGCAAGACGAAGAGACTTGCGGAACAGATTAATTTCGCCTTGCGAGGCACCACTGTAGAAGATTTGTGGCACTGCCAAATGTTCCTCCCCTGGAGTCATTTGGAGTTTGGGTGTTATATGGACATGCCTGGCATTGTTCAAATATGCTGCTCCATACAGCTGACTCCATTCGGCTTGTGCTGCCTCTGGAAGTGGTTCCTGCCTCTTCCTAGAAGACTGCAAACCCTTCAGATGGTGTGAAACTTGTGGAGCTTGCACCAGCAGTGGTTGTGTTTTTTGTTTTTGTAAAGTGGAACAAGCACTGTTACAGGCGCCATACAATATTTGTTCTGCATTTGTTAAGAACTAGATCTTTTAGTGCGACAGTGCCTTACACTTTGGAACTCCCTGCCTATTGACACCAGGCAAGCACCTTCACTGGGCTCTTTTCAGTGCCTACTGAAAACATTCCTGTTAAGACAAACCACCTCAGATATGTAGAATGCCGTTCAGTTCATCACTGATTCTACTTTTAAAATGTTTTAAAACTTTTTATTCTTTTCGTAAACTGCTGTGAGGTTGTTGCTTTTTATAGTTTCTATGAAACAAATCACAGAGTTTTTATAGTTTCTATGAAACAAATCTATGAAACAAGTCACAGAGTGCTGTGACTTACAGGAAAGGGTGAATATGTGCCACTTTGCCTATTTTTCCTATCCTGTAGATCCACCTACTTCAATTCCACGGTACTAGATATGCCGCAATTGACCCTTCCATGGTCAGCGCAGAAGAACTTGAAGTCCAGAAAGCCAATCTCCAGGCCAGCAGTGAGCAAGAGCAGCAGCAGCAGCAGCAGCAGCAGTCATAGTCCTTGGGACTCGCAGAATCTCTTCATCCAGAGGGTCTTATCCTTTTCTTCTTCTTTTGGAAGTCTTCCCATCCAGTTGCATCTTTTTTCAGTTTGCCTTGATTCCTTAGTACTTAACCGGTTAGAACTGTGTCCTTTAAAATAGCTTGGACTGATTTCATTAAATGAAATGCAACTACGGACACTCGGTCACATCACTGTTTAAATGAGCTGAATTCAGATTATAAAAAAAGAGTTAAGGGTATCACTTTGGATGACTTGTTTTAGAAACAACAGTCTGAGATGAACTTTTGCTACCAAAGCCTTCACGATTGTGTTCTTAAAGAGGATAATCTTATATATCCATGCAGAGAGGGGGATGTATGTATCATGAGTGAATTATGTATGTCTGCAAGTTCACTTACAATTCATAGGATATTTAGTTTAAAAAACTCTGTTGAAGTGCCAATATTGCTATTATTATTTTCTTTTTATATGGTTGCCAGTTAATGCTTTAATTTGAGATTATAACGCATTTGTTTTTTATTGTCTTGCTTTCTAATTTTTTTTGAATAAAAATTCAGTTTGGGAAAAAAGGCTCCTCTGCCATCAACAGGAGTGTGCATGGTAACTGTGCTGCCTACACAGCTATAAACATATATTTGGTACTGTGTTGGAATTTTAAATATAAGACTATCAGGCTTCATTTAACTGAGTGTTCTGCGGGTGTTTTCAACTACAACTCCCATCAGTCTTAGCCATTATGTGCTGGGGCTGATGGGAGTTACATGGAGGGCACCAGCTTCACAAAGTCTGATCTGTACCATAAATACACTTCAAATAGCCCAATTTAGTGGTTACCCCAGGATCTGATGAGATACGATGATTCTGCTTAATTTAAAAAAGAGGGGGCGGGGAATGGTTAAGGGAAAAAATAAGTTTATTTGAAAACCAGATGTTATGCTTGCACTTTTTTAAAAATACAAAACTTCATGACAAGTTTAAGAAAAGTATACTGTTGGTAAATACAAAGAGGTGACCATCCTATCTGTGCTGACGGGAATGAACCCCGGGCCTTGGTTGGCCCTGCCTGTATAGAATCACTGTATAGAATCTGAAGCTGATAGTTCCTCCTTTCAGTGAACTTGTAGCTGTTGATACGCTGAGGAGGAGCGTTTGGCTATCCAGCTTTCTTTCCATATGCATAGCTCAAAGGCAAAAGTTAGGGAACCTGTGGCCTTCCTGATTTTGTTGGACTTCAACTCCCATCAGCCAGCATGGCCCGATGGGTCAAGGACATGGGAGTTGGAGTCCATCAACTTCTGGGGGGTCTACAAAGTTCCACCTCTGCTCTAAGGTGTACAAAAATAAGAGGTTAAGCATGGATTACCAAAGTATTGGCTTTGGTTCTTAGTATGCAGTTCTAAATCAAGTCGACCCTAGTATATTTCACATGGACTGAGTCAAGCTACTCCTTCGGGGGGGGGACGGACATGGTGCAAAAAGCATGAGGTAGCTGCCCACTGTTTATTAGGCACTGAAGTCTCATGCTCCATCCAAGTTCATATGAAATCTGCTTCATGAAGAACATAAAATAAATGGCGGATTTGTCTTCTGCTGTAACACTCAAAGGGCATCCTTGTGCTTGAGAAGCATGCAGCTGGGGCATCTGTTTGCAGGTGCAGCATCTATCTGCACCATGCTTTCAGACACACAAATACTCCATAAGAGTTAAAGGAAAAGATGTGTTTTCTTCAGTAGGAGGACCCTTGCTAGAGCATCTGTCTTGCCTGCAGAAGGTCTCAGGTTCAATCTCCAGGGTGGAGGAGAGGAGAGACCCCTGTTGAAACCCTGGATAGCTCATAACTTTGCCACACACACACACACACAAAATCTTTGCACCTTTTGTGTCTAGATTTTCACTTTTTGAAATAGTGTCACACTTGGGCCTCCAGCCGGTTTTCACTTCTGGCCCTGCCTGCTGCTGGCAAAAGGGTCCCTGGAGGTTGTCCAGGAGGGAATATAGTCCTCAGACTGGAAAAAGATCAGCTAACCTAGGCCACAATCCAACCCAAAGTAAGCATGCATCTAATTGTATCTCTTGGAGTCCGTGGAACTAACAAACACTTAACTCTGGCCCAATGGTGTGCTTGGCTTTTTTCCACAGAGAGATGTCCGAGGGTGGGTGGGGCTTCTTCATAAAATTCTTGTGTTTTAAAAAAATTATGCCTGCATGGGAGAAATGTAAACAGCTTACACTGAGAAATAAACGTGGCTCGCTAGCACCAGACTGGCACAAGAGCAGAATTCTAGGCGTCTCTCTCCGTGCAGTCTCCAATGGTGGAACATGATGCCATCATTCTTTAGTGAAACTTAAATCAGTTTTTTCCCTGCAGTCGTAGCTACCCCTACCACAATGGAGGTGCGTTTAGAAAAACCGGGAGAATTGCAGATTTTTCTTATTTCACAGTGAGATTTTCCAGCTGAGAAACATTGTTATGCATGTCCCATTACACTCTTAACAGTATTTGCTGAACAGTAATTTATATTGATGGGACGCGGGTGGCGCTGTGGGTTAAACCACAGAGCCTAGGACTTGCCAGTTAGAAGGTTGGCGGTTCGAATCCCCGCGACGGGGTGAGCTCCCATTGCTCGGTCCCTGTTCCTGCCAACCTAGCAGTTCGAAAGCATGTCAAAGTGCAAATAGATAAATAGGTACCGCTCCGGCGGGAAGGTAAATGTCATTTCCGTGCGCTGCTCTGGTTCGCCAGAAGTGGCTTAGTCATGCTGGCCACATGACCCGGAAGCTGTACGCCAGCTCCCTCGGCCAATAAAGCGAGATGAGCACCGCAACCCCAGAGTTGGTCACGACTAGATCTAATGGTCAGGGGTCCCTTTACCTTTAACTTAATTTATATTGATTTAACAAGGTTTACTCGAGCAGGGCTGGCCCAGCCATGAAGACAGTTGCCTCTGATGGCCTAACTGAGATTGAAGAGCATGCTGTTCACCATTGCTGCCTCCTGCGTGGGTGTGTCTCTGCCTCCATGGTTGCCACAAACCCACCTCCTCTATCGCAGGCAGGGTACAGCTGCGGAGAGGGATTGGGTGTGGCATGGCCATGGTGACACAGCAGGCGCAGTGGCAGTGGGGAGTTTTCCTGAAGCAGCAAAACGTCCTGGGCCATCCTGGAACTTGAGATTGTAACCATAGTCTTAGATCTGGAAAATATGGTGTATATTTCACTTCCTGGTCTCCCATGTTTTGAGAATCGTGCCTTCTCTTTACTATAAAGAATGCATTGCTGTGAGCAGAGCCTGTTGATGTACCAACTTGTATTGTTACCTGATCTTGAGTGGATAGTGGATACGGTTGCCATTTGCTATGGCAAGAAGCCCTTGGAAAGAGAGTTTATGGATACCTTCCGACCAACAGTTCAGAATTGTCCATTTTGCTTGCTGTGGCTCCAGCGTGAAACTTCTGACGCAGCAAAAACAGGAGGTTTCCTGTGCTCTTACTGGTATCACATTGCGGTGCACTTCCTTGGTGAGGTGGAGTCTGCATTCGCCTGTTTCCTGATGCTTTCTGTTTGAAAACAAAATGCAGTTCTTATGTCCTTCTCATTTCTTGATAGCCATCTATGCTAAACTAGGCTTGAACAAGAAGTCTGAATTCTTTCCAAGAGGTTTTGAGTAATAGCCTTTATTTATTTCTTGCATACATAACAATACTCTTCCTCCAAGGAATTCAAGGTGGCATACGTGGTTCTCCACCCCCCCCACCGCCATTTTGTTCTCACAACAACCCTATGAGGTCAGTTATGCCGAGAGGCAGTGACTGGCCCAAGGTTGCCAGTAGGGATTTGAACCCGGATCGCACACGTCCTAGTGCAACACACTAAAAAGTACAACACATTTCCTGAACAATAAGGAACGAGGCTTAAGCATGCCTACTTTTTACAGGATAAAATTCAGCTGACACTGATAAAGATGTGTTGGATAGCCCAGCTAATTTCATGCAAAACCAGGTGACCCTTACCTGCCAAGTCTCTTCTACCGATGCCCACCAGGCCTTCATACAGTCCTTTGACTGGGTTTTCCCCTGCCATAATCACGCTATGGAGCCAAATGAGTAACATCCTATGACCATGTTCTCTGTAGCTTTTGCTGCCTAGAAAGAAGAACGGGGGATAGCAGGTGCACACACATATACAAAGACCTTTAAATGCTTCATAGTGTCTTATGGCATAAGTGTGAAGAGTGGTCAGCTGTGGACTTGTCTTGGAACAGTCACAACCAGATTCTTTGTTATAGGAAAAATGCCTACAATTTGGGACATGGCTCACCACCTTGGGAGAATACTACCTACTGTCACTAGCTGTCACTATCTCCGTGTCCTCCAGCTGTTTTGGATTACAGTGCTATCAGGCTGCGGCTGATGAGAGATGATCACCCAAAACAGCTGGAGGACAGGGCCTCATTTACACCACACATTTAAAGCAGTATGATAGCACTGTTTAGTCATGGCTTCCCCCAAAGGATCCTGGGAAGTGTAGTGTGTCAAAGGGTGCAAAGAGACCCCTATTCCCACCACAGAGCTACAATTTCCAGAGTGGTTTAACAATCACTTCAGGGAACTCTGGGACGTGTAGTTTGGTGAGGGGACTAAGGGGGTCTCCTAACAACGCTCAGCACTCTTAACAAATGGCAGCTCCCAGGATTATTTTGGGGTAGCCATGACTGTTTAAATTACCATAGTGCTTTAAGTATATATTGTGTAAATGTGGCCAAGGTTGGCAAAGACAGATCCTGGAGAGCAGTTGTCTGAGAAGGCAGGGGGGTTCCTTTCACAAACCTCCAAGCACCTCCTCCTTACTTCACAAATTTGCTTCTAATATCAGGCTATTGATTCTGTCTTTAAAAGTGTTCCTCCAACATTTTGATCGGTGAGGGGCAAAATTTTACTTTTTACACACTCAGGCACTGGGATTAAGCTGACCTCAAAGCACCACTCTCTGTGCTTTCTGCCTGAGTTGTAGCCCTCCATTGGCAGCTGGCAAGTCCACAGCAGTGACTCATGCAGAGAGGCAGCAGGGAGCCTCTCAGAAAACCCTCCTACATGCCCTCTGTGTGAGTGATCGGGGATGGGCTGTTAACTGCTTTGCACACAGAAGGTTCCTGGTTCAATCTCCAGGTAGGTAGGAGCTGGGAAACACTCTTCCTAAAAGTGCACAGGAAGGTGCTTAGTCTAAGCAGCCGACCTACCTGCCCACTGGTGCTCAATGGCTCTGATATGAGCCTCGGTGAATTTCCAGTAATGTGCCAGCTTCTTCCACTCGTTGGGTTTGAGGTATTTGGTCGCAAGCCTCCACATGACGGAGCGGATGTGCTGCGTCTCCATCCGGTGGTCCTGCTTGAAGGTTAAGTGCTTGGCTACCCAGGAGTCGGAGTCGCTGTTCAGATTATCCTACAAAAAAGTGGCAAGAGCTGATTCACTGCTAACTTGAATTTCCCCCCAAAATTTTATTTCCTCTACTACTGACAAATGTTTTCTCCAAGCTGTCTATAATGGCTCTAAGTGGGTGCAGAGTGAAGGAGGTGCCTGCCTGCTGAGTTTGCTTGCTGATCAGAAAGCCACCGGTTCGAATCCCCGTGACAGGGTGAGCTCCCGTTGCTCAGTCCCTGCTCCTGCCAACCTAGCAGTTCGAAAGCACACCAGTGCAAGTAGATAAATAGGCACCGCTGTGGCGGGAAGGTATACGGTGTTTCCGTGTGTTCTGGTTTCATTCACAGTGTTCCATTGTGCCAGAAGTGGTTTAGTCCTGCTGGCCACATGACCTGAAATAAATGCTTGAATAAATGCTGGCTCCCTATGCCTGAAAGCGAGATGACCGCCGCAACCACATAGTCGCTTTTGACTGGACTTAACCGTCCAGGGGCCTTTACCTTTTACCTGGTGCTTCTAACCATTGATGGGCAACTTCAAGGCCCCTTTTCCTTTTCTCCTGCCTTAGGGTTCTTTATCTTCACATTTGGACCGGACAGCCATTCAAATGGAAGACATCTTTAAACATAAGGCTGCCTCTGACAGATCTTCAAAAAGAGGACCATCCTCTGTAAAGCAAGGACACATGGCCACCTCATCACATGCTTCGCCCTTGCCAAGAGCACACTTTTCTTCGTCATCTCTACTCCAGCCAAACTGACCTCTCCTTTCATTCACAGCACCTGCACTGCTTATCAACATTCTGTTGCTGACACCTTTCCCTTCAGCAGCTGTATCTGTGAACATTCCATACCCACAAGCCCATAGATAGAGACACACACACACACACTCGTACCTTGGATCCCGAACGCCTTGGTACTTGGACATTTTGGCTCCCAAACACTGCAAATCTGGATGTGAGTGTTCTGGTTTGCAAATATTCTTTGGAACCCGAACTTCCAACAGGGCTTCTGCGACTTCCAATTGGTTGCAGGAGCTTCCTGCAGCCAATCAGGAGCCGCGCTTTGGTTTCCGAAGGTTTTGGAAGTTGAACGGACTTCCGGAACGAATTTTGTTCGACTTTCGAGGTACCACTGTATACATGAATGTTTGGATATTCCATAATGCCCACCTACCTTTTCCCATTTGTAAAACCTATCTGCTTTGATGATCATGTCAGCCAGGTTGATGTGGTTGCCACGGGCAGCAATATCTAGGGATGTTTTACCTTGCTGAAATCAAAGGTAAGAGCAGGAGAAGGAAAGATGATTTTATTATTCTTTAGCAAAACTTATACACCGCTTGATGGTAATAAAACCACTAAGTACTTTACAATCAATATTATGATTATCGATAAACAGCTTAAAAACAAGTAATTAAAAACATGTAAAAGATCATTAAAATAAGACAAGTTGAAAACACATCAGCCAACTATGTGTCTGGATAGGCTTTCCAAATCTCACAGCAAAAATCGCACAACAGCATTAATGCATTTATCACTTTTTTAAATGAACAAACAGTATTCAGCTCATAAAATTATATGCCACTTGATTGTAAGGAAGAAAGCTCCAAGTGGTTTGACTTCTGTCATTTTCTACTGATGAAAGATGCATAATATGATTTTGTAATATTTCTCCAGAAATTTAACATACCGTACGTGTATGTGTGTGTGTGTATGTGTGTGTGTGTGTGTGTGTGTGTGTGTGTGTGTGTGTATAGAGAGAGAGAGAGAGAGAGAGAGAGAGAGAGAGCGCAACCTGCAAGGAATTGCTTCAGGGAAGGAAATGTGTTTTTGTCCAAATTTTGAACACAGGACCAAGCAAATTTCATAAGCTCCCTGCAGCAAGTGAAAAAAGGAATCCAAGTGGAAGGAGGAGAGAGAGAAATGTTCTGTCGTTTGGGGCTTATTCACCCATGCACAATCGTATGACAACTGCCTAATGTGCTCGGTCCATTGCCGGGTCATGATATTTCTACCTTTGCAACATTGCAAAAAATGTTGCTCTGCTTTGCGGCTCCTCTGCAAGACTCTGGCAAAAACCACGGTGGGAGATTCAGGAGAGACAACAAATGAAAACATACCAACCATCCAAAGAACACAGCACTCAGCTAAACTACAGAATTCCCCACCACAAAGACATAGTGGTGGCTGCCAAGATGGATGGCTTTAAAAACGGGTGAGGTGGATACCTCAAGCATAAGGCTATCAGTGCCTACAAATCAGGATGGCATACCACTGAATTCCAGTTCCTGGGAATCACATGGGTTCTTTTCTTTATTAAAACTTCTTTTGAGTGTCATCTGCCTTCAGTTTCTTCTGAAGTCCAAAATAGTATTAATGTTTCCGTTCAAATATCTGTATGCTGATTGCTTGCATTCTATTCCAACCATGACTGAGAAGGTGCTACTTGTCTGCGATGGAATTATTACCTTGTCCGTTAGTTTTAAGTTCACCCCGGCGATAAGAATCATCTCAGCAATGTCTTGTCTCCCATGCTCTGCAGCAATATGCAGTGGGCTCTGCTGCCTCTGGGTAAAAACAGAAAATTAGGCGCTAGTATTAATGAGGGCCTATTGCTCTATGGTGGAGCACTGGTGGTCTCTTAACATTTGGGACATGTAGATCGTGTATCAATAGCATGAAACCATACAGTTTATTTCTTTAAAATAAAATAAAAGTCTTACATTATCAGGGATATCCAGGTCACATTCAACATCAATTAGGAGTTTAACGATGGCTGGGTGATTCTGTAGCACCGCAATGTGCATAGCTGATGCATTTTGCTGTAAAATGAAGCACACTGATAGTTTTGTGTACAGTTGAAGTGGGGGGAAGCCTGCCTTCTAAGGTACATCCTCTGAGCTAGAAGGTCTGTCTCTTAACATGACAGCATTACTCAATGGAACAGGTACAGAACTCTGCAGGTGTGCAAAGGCACCCATTCTGCTCTGACGCTGGAAACAGGTTTTAGGGCTAAAAGCCTGAAAGCAGAGAGGCCATCAATATATTGCCGTTCTTTAACACAGGGTTTCCCAAACTTGGGTCTCCTGCTGTTTTTGGACTACAACTCCCATTATCCCTAGCTAGCGGGACCAGTGGCCAGGGGTGATGGGAACTGTAGTCCAAAAACAGCTGGAGAGTCAAGTTTGGGAAACCTTGCTTTAACATCTTGTTTTTGCTGCAACTGACTGACATAACTATTCCCTCAGAAACTGTAGCAATGGAAAGCAGCGTTATATGAAGCTGCCTTGTATGGAGACACAGTATTTGTCCTTCTTTCTTACTTCTGTGTCTCCTTCTGGCAGCAGCATTTCCAAGTTCTCAAGAGGATGCCTTTCTTAGCCTTTGTTATCTTAGGAACATAACAAAGCTGCCTTATACTGAGTCAGACAATTGTTCCATCTAGCTCGGCATTCTCCACGTTGATGGGCAGCAGCTCTCCAGAGTTTCAGAGCTGCTTGGAGATGCTGGGGATTGAACCAGGGACCCGCATGCAAGGCAGCTGCTCTACCACTGAGCTACAGTTCACTGGAAATGTCAGGAACTGACCCTCAGACCTTTTGTTTTTTTTAATCATTTTTATTGATTTTCCAATAAAATAAATCAAATTAATATATCCAATCATAATACTCCAATTAAAATAAAAAAACCCAAATTATAGTCCAAATTATAATTATTAATTTTTTGGAGCTCCCCACGGTCTGGATCTCTGAAGCATCTCTCCACATCTCAGTCCTGCCTCTCCTCATTGTTTCCATATTTTCCACATCTCGATTTTGATGCTTTCTAATTCTCTGTCCCTGGGTCCACGATTCTCTGTCATGTCAAACGTCATATACTTTCATCTGTCGAGTACAGCTTTATTAGTATATATTTTTCCAACTGCCTTTTTGACCCTCGGACCTTTTGCATGTAAAGCCAAACATGGAGGTATAAGTCGTCCCGATTCAGTAAGAGCCAGGTGATATAGCACAGCACATTAATATCCCCCCGTTTCTTCTGCCATAAAAATGTGGTGAATATTGGGTCTCCCATCCAGCCACTTGACCAGACCTGAGACAAGCTTAGCTTCTGCTAAACAGGTGCACTTTACATCCTCCACTGTTGGAGGAAGGATGCCTTGTTCCCAGTAGCTGGAAGTTGTAAGTGGGAAGAGCATTTGTTCTGCTTGTGAGCCTCCCAGAAGTATCTTGTTGACCATGGGGAGAACAAGAAGCTGGACTACGGGGGCATCAGGATCCAGCTGCCAGGTTCTTATTATGTTCTTATATATTAAGAGCCCTCTGGTGGTGCAAAGGCCAAGAAGTTCTTGTGGGGTGGAATATCACATACTTGATTTGAACCAGATCAACCTTCCCCAATCTGGTGCACTCCAAATGCTTTGGACTACAACTCCCAGCAGCCACCAGCTGGCATGTTGACTGGGGCTGATCCAAAACATCTGGAGGGGGCAGCAAGCTGGGGGAAGGGTGTCCTAAATCAGCTTTCACTGTTGCTGACTGAAGGTTTCTGGGAGTTGTAGTCCAACAACATTTGGAGGGAGCCAGTTGGCGAAAGCTATCCTAGACAACAATGGCTTGCCTGCTGAGCTTCTTAGCCTTCTTAACTTACAGCACCACTCCTACAAAGAGAGTCCAATGATGGACTCAACAGACCCAATGGACTCTCATTCCTCCTTTCTTTGCTCAGAGGCACAAAGATGCTGTAGGTGGTACCCGACCAAATGAGCTACTTACGTAATTCAGTGTATCTGTGTGAATTCCTGCATCAATAAGGATCCTGGCCATGATCTCATAGCCATTTTGTGCAGCATAATGAAGGCAGGTCATCTTTTTCTGAGAGAAAGAAAACACTATTCAGACAATACAAGAGATTATCCATGTGGCCCACGTTTGCCTTAACTCAATCCCAATTATTTTATTGTTTATCACCTGCCCCCGATAATCCTCAGCATCCTTCAGGGGAGCTGAGATGGGTATCACCTTCCAGTGAGAACCACTGACCTGAGTTTGGATGTTGACATCACAGCCGGCTTCCAGGAGCAGCTTCATGCAGCCATGATGACCATTTTCAGCAGCCAAGTGCAGGGCGCTCAACCCTTCCTGGGAAGGGAGAAAAAGAGGAGAACCCTGATTGCACTACTAATTATTTACTATTTCATAAAATGTACATACTATTTGATAGCGCAAAACAAAAATAATTCAAAATTTGAATTCAAAATTCAAAAATAATTAAACAATGAAATGATCAGTTAAAAAAATAGTTAAAAACAACTATTTTAAACTTTCAAAAATAAATAAAACCAACAGTAAGCTAAAAACCAGATTGAAACACATCAAGATTCTGCATGTTTAAAAACAAAAATGTTTTTAGCAGGTGCCAAAAAGAGAACTCTTGTACCCTCCCTCTCTTTAGTGATCTTGCCATTCAGCTTTTTGAGCTGGGCCAAGAGGGGGCAATATATTTCCTCCAGAAACTGGTGCCACTCAATGACTGAACTCAACCTTCTCCTTCTCCGCTGTCCTCCCCACTTCCACAAATACCTTCCTGCATCTTATACCCACCAACATCCCGCAGAGGAAAACCCTGACATTTGTCTTTCAGGGCCGTGCACCCACGTGAATCATGTGACTTGCGAGAGAGCACGGCCTCCCCCAAACGTGAGTTTTTCAGGGCCGAGAGCGAGCAAGCGAGCAACTTCCCAACTCCCCTCCCCACTGACCATCACAGCGCACATGGCAGGAGCAGAGGCAGAAGGAGAAGAGCCTTGGCACCTACCCATACCATATTTTCCCTCCTCTGTTGGGGTCCACATGCTGCAGCTGACGGTTCTGTTCCTGTAGTTGGCTGCTCCTTGCTGGAGTGGCGTACCTGAGCTGTGGTGCTCAAGGGCAAGAGGAGCACCTGGGGCAACTGCTCTGTGCATCTTTCAGGGCTGCACTTTCGCGGGAGCCAGGTGAATCTCGCGAGAGCACGCCCTCCCCCCCAATGCACATCTTTCGGGGCCACACACTTTCGAAAGCCAAAACCAGACATCTCGTGATCCAATCAGAAGCTGGAGTGGCTTCTGTAATTCCAGGATGCCTTGCTTAAATCAGGACAGTTGACGGGTATGGCATCTTCATGGTGTACTCTTCCTACTGAGTGAACTATGTTCCTCAAAGGGTGGTTAGAGTGTCAGATGAGGACCCGCAAAGCCATCGGTGGTACCCCATGTTGGTTGGATCCACTGAAATCACAGGAATGTGTGTGTTGTATTTCAGTTGGTCTACTTTGAGCACACCTAAGTTCAATAGCCTACTCAGGGACAACGACCAATGGGTGGCCTTAGGCCAGCCACTATCTCCCAGCCTAACGTACCTCACAGGGTTGTTGTGAGGGTGAAATGGGGAGGACAACTATGTACCTAGAGTGCTGTAGGGATGGTCGTGGAGTGGGGAGTGGGGTCCGGAGGGAGCACACTCCTCACCCGCAGGCAGCCTCAGCCTGCCTGCATGCGTGACCTTGGGGTGCGGAGCACACATACTCCTCACAGACAAAGCCACGGCTGTCTGAACATTGTTGCCTCTGTCTAACCTTTTGCGGTCTCAGTAGTCTGCGGTGCCTTGTCTGTAACCTTTGTCTCTGAGACCTTTTGTCTCCTTCGTCATACACTGTGTAAGGGGAAAATGGCGCGGTGGAAACAGGTGCCAATATAACTTTGTACCAGCCCACTATTTCGGGACTGGAAGATGTGCAAAGGTCACAGCCCAAAATGTATCTGCCTGGTTTGCATATTTGTCTCAATAAAAGGAGGCTCCACAGGGCTGGCCGGCAGCTCGCTTTCAGCTCACCTGTGCGCAGCTCACCTGCATCATCAACTCCTGCCTCATGTACATCACCTTGAGCACCTTGAAGGAAAAGGAGGAGATAAACGTAATAAACTAGCAAAGGTCTTCTACTCACCGTATTCTTCTCATCAAGGTTCATTCCTACATCTATAAGCTTCTGCAGCACCTCTGCATGACCATTCTTGGCAGCTAGATGAAGCGCTGTGTTCTTCTCCTGCAAATCAATGTGACATCCAATTGAAATATGTGTGGGTGGTAGCCTCTCAAAGTACCAATAATTTAAGAGCCAGTCTAGATGGAGAGGGAAATAAGCAAAGCCCCAAAGGGTGAGGAAGACCCACAGACAACAGCAACTGGACTGAACGGGATGCTGATTCCTGTTCCTTTCCATACCTTGTCTTTGATTCTGCAGGCACAGCCTAAGCGAATCAGGAAGTCCACCACCTCCAGTTGCCCATTCTCAGCAGCCAGATGAAAGGCCGTCCTGTCCATCTTTAAGGAGAGAAAGGATGAGAGTCATTGTGGTATAGTGGTTATGGTGTTAGACTAGGACCTGGGAGACCAGGGTTCCAATCCACACTTGGCTATGAAGCTCACAGAGTGACTTTGGGCCAGTCACCGCCTGATAACATATTTGAAAAAGAGGAACTATTTACAAAAAAAGCCAGTGCCTTAGACTGTTCTGAAAAATTCCCACCTTGTCTTTCTTATCCAGCTGCACATCCTCGAGGTCTTCCATGATGAACTCAATGACCCTGATATGACCTCTTTGGGCTGCGCAATGCAACAAGTTGCGACCATTCTGGGAGGGGGGAAAAAAGAAATAGGATTCAGTTCCTGAGATGTGGGCCTAACACACCAACTGTTTTGAACTACAGTGGTACCTCGGGTTACATACGCTTCAGGTTACATATGCTTCAGGTTACAGACTCCGCTAACCCAGAAATAGTACCTCGGGTTAAGAACTTTGCTTCAGGATGAGAACAGATATTGTGCTCCGACGGCGCGGCAGCAGCGGGAGCCCCATTAGCTGAAGTGGTGCTTCAGGTTAAGAACAGTTTCAGGTTAAGAACGGACCTCCGGAACGAATTAAGTACTTAACCCGAGGTACCACTGTATAGCTCCCATCAGTCCAATTAAACCTAACTGCAAATTCAAATGTATCCCTATCATGTTTTATGACTTCCTTGATATTGTATGTGGGCTGGAACTGGTCTGTGACCGAAATAATAAAATTCAATTTCCTTCTATTGTTCTGGCCCCAGCCACCACTGGGTGGGTCCACCACCCAAAGCTTGCCCACAAAGAAAAGCAGCCCTTGGGCTTCCAAAGAGTTCCTCACTCCTGATCTAGTATCCCTGAGCAATATATTTTTAAGAGAGGAAGTATGACGAACTTATTGAAGATGGGAATTCCAGGAATGGAGGCGGACGAGGACAAAGCAGTCAACTCTTCCTCCTTGGAGTTGCCTGAACTTTCCCCTGAACTTTACAGCCACCACAGCCTCGTTGAGTGCCAAAAATATCCTCCATGCTTATCTTTTACAGCCATCATTTAATGCTTTACTCCTCCTAAGTTATTTATTATAAAAATATACAGGCTTGCCCTTCTGGCTATGTATGGTTCACACAGTTCCAAACTTGTCCCGCTGAGCAAACACCACCTGCCCACACAGGACGACTGGGTGCTCCCGACTAAGAGCCCCCAGCTGCTCTGAGGCTACTTTCGCAGCCACTTCCGCATGCCTTGGGAGACATGCATCTCTGAGTGGTTTCAGTTCAGGCCAAAGGAATTGCATGCATCCAATAAAGATCATCAGGTTTAAGACTGGTCATTGCAAACATCTGCATTAGGCTGGCAGGCAGTGGGGGCAGGAAGGAGAGAGGAACTTGTGGAGCAAATGATGCACCAGGCAATTTTCATCCCCCAGTTTCCAGTGCATTTCACCATTACTTTCCTCAGCACAGACAGTCCAAGGCTTTCTTGGGAAGCGTGTTTGCTATGCAAGAGCCCCAATCCACTGTAATTATACATCCCAAGGGAAGATCTACACCACACATTTAAAGCACACTCAACACACATTTAGAGCATGTGACTTCCCCCAAGGAATCATGGGAATTGTTGCTTAAGGTTGATGGGAACCATAGCTCTGTCAGGGTGAAACTACCGTTCCCATGATTCTTTGAGAGACGTCATGTGCTTTAACTGTACCATTTGGATCTTCCTTTAAATTTGCCAGTCACAGTGCAACCTGAATTTGCTGGTGTTCAAACGAATTCCGCCTGCAAATTAGTGAGGGCAGTATTCAACTGAGTTTTACTTGGAGCAGGTCCATTAATTTCCGTGGGTCTACCCTCAGAATTGATGCTTTTGAATTATGGTGCTGGAGGAGACTCTTGAGAGTCCCATGGACTGCAAGAAGATCAAACCTATCCATTCTTAAGGAAATCAGCCCTGAGTGCTCACTGGAAGGACAGATCCTGAAGCTGAGGCTCCAATACTTTGGCCACCTCATGAGAAGAGAAGACTCCCTGGAAAAGACCCTGATGTTGGGAAAGATGGAGGCCACAAGGAGAAGGGGACGACAGAGGACGAGATGGTTGGATAGTGTTCTCGAAGCTACCAGCATGAGTTTGACCAAACTGCGGGAGGCAGTGGAAGACAGGAGTGCCTGGCGTGCTCTTGTCCATGGGGTCACAAAGAGTCGGACACGACTAAACGACTAAACAACAACAACCCTCAGTAAGACTGAGTTGACTACCACTCTGACTGCCTGGAAACACCCTAAATTGCTTATTCAGATTTCAAACTTTTAAAAATTTATAGACTCTCCAATCAACCCACACACGCAGTCAAAAGGCAGTCAAAAGGAATCTCTCTCTGTGTCATACAAAGCTGTTAATACCAGGGAGCCAAGGAATGATGCCATACCTTGTTTTGGCAGTTGATTTTGGCACCAGCAGTGACAAGGATCTGAAGGACACGGAGGTGGCCAAACCAGGCGGACAAGAGGAGGGCGTTCATCCCAAACTGGGTAGCCAGAGAGAGACAGAAGAAAGGTCATCTTGGGTCTGGAATAAAATGGCAGTTAGTCCTTGCTCAATTTGCCTAGGAGAAAGTTGTGTGTTCTAGGAATGTAGGAAGCTGCCTTACACTGAGACAGACCTTTCAGTCCATCTAACTCAGTATTGTCTACACTGACTGGCAGTAGCTCGCAGGGTTTCAGACAAGGATTATTTCCTGGTCCTACCTGGAGATGGGACACGGGTGGTGCTGTGGGTTAAACCACAGAGCCTAGGGCTTGCCGATTAGAAGGCCAGCGGTTCAAATCCCCGCAGCGGGGTGAGCTCCCGTTGCTCAGTCCCTGCTCCTGCCAACCTAGCAGTTCGAAAGCACATCAAAGTGCAAGTAGATAAATAGGTACCACTCCTGCATGAAGGTAAACGGTGTTTCCGTGAGCTGCTCTGGTTCGCCAGAAGCGGCTTAGTCATGCTGGCCACATGATCCGGAGGCCGGTTCCCTCGGCCAATAAAGGAAGATGAGCACAGCAACCCCAGAGTCGTCCGCGACTGGACCTAATGGTCAGGGGTCCCTTTACCTTTACCTGGAGATGCTGGGGATTGACCCTAGGACCTGGTTGTATTTTTCTAAAAATATATCCTGGTTTAGCATATGCCTATAATAAACTGCTGCCAAAGTGATGTCACATCACATTTTAGCATTTGTGACTCGCTGCCTTGTACTTTGTATGTGGCACTTCTAAAAATACTGGTTAAGTCCATGGCAGTGAACGTCTACCATCATTGTATGCAGAAGAGCCAGTTGCCCTACTGGTGCTACTGGGAGTTGTTGCCCAAAACATTTGAAGGGCACCAGTTTCAGGAAGGCTATCCCTGAGCCTCCATCATTCACCTCTGCCTTTTGAAAAGAACCTTTATTATTTTTTATGACACATTCATTTTTCACTTCCCTGTATTTTACCACCTGTATTGGTGGCTAAACAGTCTAAACAAATAAACCAAGCAAGCTTCTTGGAGGAGGTTCTCATTCAAAGCAACCAAGGAGCTGGGTTTTAAGAGGCCAGCCGCATTTCGCACGGATGCAAGAGCTGAGATCCTCCTCAAGCTTACGTTGTCCTCGTCATTCACAGAGGCATCGTGGTCTAGGAGAAGACGGACGGCCTGTTCGTGACCAGCTCCTGCAGCCCAGTGGAGAGCGGTCCTGTCTATCTGGAAAGGAAGGACAAGGTTAAGTAGGGGGAAGAAAAGGATGCAGAACAGGTGGGTGGGTGCTGGGCAAACTGCTGTCAGTGTCCCCCAGCCACGCCTTCCCTCTGCAACTAAATATTCATTTATTTTACATTCTATCCAATCTTTCTTCCAAGGAACTAAAGGTGGTGTGGATGTGCTCCATCATCTAACTTCTCTGCAAAGAAATCAGGATGAACACTCAATAAACCTAGAAGCACCCAGTGCCAGAATTATGCATAAGCTAAACAAGCTATAGCTTAGGGCCCCACACTTTGGGGGGCCCCTAAAAATTTAAAGGGAAAAAACAACAACTGGATGTACATTTCCAAAATATAAGTTAAAAAACAAATAAAATAAAACCTACATACAGCAACAGTGCTTTGTGTTGTGTATGGACCTATTAGGTCCATAAATTACCATATAGCATATATTCAACACAAAAAACAGCGACAATTTGTTGTTGACAAAAGACAGCTGGATATATAAAGGGCCCCATTACCTTCAGTAGCTTAGGGCCTCATCAAACCTAAATCCAGCCTCAGAAGCACTCATAGTTTCTGGGTGTCCTTTTTTCCGTCTCCCTCCTAAAGCCTTTTTCTTTTGTGCCACCTCTTTCGCACTGCAAGTCTCGCAAGCTGCTCTGGGAGCTTTTGTGGCTGAAGAGTGGGATAGAAATGCTCAGTATGATAATTAAAAAATATATTTGGGGCTGATTTGGCTTTGGGGCTAGCTTAGAGCATATAGAGGGTGGGACGCAGGTGCCACTGTGGGTTAAACCACAGAGCCTAGGACTTGCCGATCAGAAGGTCGGCGGTTCGAATCCCCACGACGGGGTGAGCTCCCGTTGCTCGCTCCCTGCTCCTGCCAACCTAGCAGTTCGAAAGCACATCAAAGTGCAAGTAGATAGATAGGTACCGCTCCAGCGGGAAGGTAAACGGCGTTTCCGTGCACTGCTCTGGTTCGCCAGAAGCGGCTTAGTCATGCTGGCCACATGACCTGGAAGCTGTACGCCGGCTCCCTCGGCTAATAAAGCGAGATGAGCGCCGCAACCCCAGGGTCGGCCACGACTGGACCTAATGGTCAGGGGTCCCTTTACCTTTACTGCATATAGAACACTGGAGGGGGAGTTTGGCGACGGAAAAGATGTCCCTTTCCCTCCCAACCCCATTTCAGCTTCGCTGTTCAAGGAGATTGGAGAAAGTCTCACGACAGAGTTCTTGGATCTACAGTGGTACCTCGGGTTAAGAACTTAATTCGTTCTGGAGGTCCATTCCTAACCTGAAATTGTTCTTAACCTGTTCTTAGCTAATAGGGCCTCCCGCTGCCGCTGCACCACTGGAACACAATTTCTGTTCTCATCCTGAAGCAAAGTTCTTAACCCGAGGTACTATTTCTGGGTTAGCGGTGTCTGTAACCTGCGTCTGTAACCTGAGGTACCACTGTACTTGGTTTGGTTTTGTTCTCCTGCAACCCAAAACATCCCTGTGTTCCAACCGTGAAGGGTCTAGATAAGATGTGGCAAACCTGTGTGTCATCAAGATGTTCCCGGATAGCGTCAGTGAGCATGGCCAAGGGCAAGGGATGATGGGAGATGTAGTTCAGCAACATCCAGAGGGACACAGGTTCATCACCTCAATTCAGATTTCTGGGGAAGAGCCCGCAACATTATCTGGACCCCATCCCCTATAAGCACCTACATTATTCTTGGCCTTGACATCCACCCCTCTCTTGATCAGCTCGTTCATCCGCGCTGTGTTGTTCCGCTTTGCCGCATCGTGAAACTCTTTCTCCGAAAGAAGCACTTGGGAAGAAAAGCAGGGCACGGTGGTGTTAATGATGGTTACAGGGCAGGTTGTAAGATGGAAAAACACAGAAATTAAATCCTAGAGGGAGTTGGGTACATATTGTTGACTGCAAGGAGGTGCCTGCTGAACAGATGGAACAGATGGTCCGGCACAGTTAGCTTGGACCTCAGTCAGTCTCAGACGGTGGATCATTCTGTTATGGGCCCATGCTAGGAAGCCATCGGAAGCCTGCCTCCAGCAAAGCCTCCTTGGATAGAGCAAAGTCAGATCAGGGACTCGCACAAAGACCCAACGGGCATCCTCCAGGGCAGCAGACAGCAACACAGGGCAGAAGGTTTTTCACCCTAACATGAAGGTTGAGCACAATAAAAGCCAAATTGGAATGGAGACAGTGCCAGAATGTAGGAAACATAGGAGGGTTGCTTTAGGCATAACCAGATCATTGGTCCACCTAGCTCAGAATTATCAACATTGACTGGTTCAGAGGCAGCGAGTCCCTCTCAGCTCTATCTACAGATGCTGAGGCACCCCTCAAAAAACATATATTTATTTTTAAGACTATAAGCCATTTAATATTGAAATATCCAAGCTTTGAACAGGAATATATAAAAATACAACTAAGTATGATCCGAGGGCTTTAGAAGGAAATGCCCATCAGCAAGGTGAAACAGAGATATTTATTTACACAGGATGACTAGTACTTATAAGTTATAATAAACTAGAGGTAGTATAAACTACAGCTTTCATAATACACACACACACACACACACACACACACACTGACAGGGCAGGGGTGGATTTACACAGCACACAGGTTTCTAGAACTTTATGCCCTTGCCTTCTGGTGCTTTCAACAGCCGTGAGACAAGTATAAAGTCAACTGAAGGGAACTGTAAAAAGCATATGGGGGGAGGGGAAGGGTGGCAGAGGGAGAACTATTGTTAAATTCACAGTCATGCTTCAGGAAGAAGCAGATTTAAAGCAGTTATTAATGAAAGGAATTTGGTAAGACGTACCTATAAAACTATATAAAGATTCTCTTTTGGGATAAACAAATAGGTTGGTGCTTTATTAAGAATTATAATGAGCGAGACACCTCTTGGATAATCCACTCTTCATATTATATACAGTGATACCCTGGTCCTCAAATGCCTTGGTACTCAAACAACTTGGAACCCAAACACTGCAAACCCGGAAGTAAGCTTTTTTCAGATGCCTTAATGTGCTCCGTTTTTAGTGCTACGCTTCCTATTTGATGGCCACACTTCCGTTTTGAGTGTTACGCTGAGGTCTGTCTGTTTTTGCTATTTATTTTGTGTTTTTGTGGCTCTTTTTTTGTTTGTTTTTGTGACTGTGTGGAACCCAGTTCAGCTACTGATTGATTGATTGATTGATTGTGTGAATGCAGTACATTGTTTATTGCTTTCATTTTATGGATCAATGGTCTCGTTAGATAGTAAAATTCATGTTTAAGTGCTGTTTTAGGGATTGTTTTTAAAAGTCTGGAACGGACTAATCCATTTTGCATCACTTTCCATGGGAAAGCGCACCTTGGTTTTGGAACGGACTTCCAGAACGCATTAAGTTTGAAAAGTTAATGGGGACAAATTCCTGGGGAATAAGGCAGTCCATAGCTACTCACCACAATGGCTATTCAGTGGTACCTCGGGTTAAGAACTTAATTCGTTCTGGAGGTCTGTTCTTAACCTGAAACTGTTCCTAACCTGAAGCACCACTTTAGCTAATGGGGCCTCCCGCTGCCGCTGGAGCACAATTTCTGTTCTCATCCTGAAGCAAAGTTCTTAACCCGAGGAACTATATCTGGGTTAGCAGAGTCTGTAACCTGAAGCGTCTGTAAGTTGAAGCGTCTGTAACCCGAGGTACCACTGTGTTCTTACTTGCACAGTATGCATCTGTATTCCTGTTGCTGGGAATCACAAGCAGAGAGGTCTCTGTTGCACTCAGGTCTTGCATGTGGGCTTCCTATTGGGGCATCTGTGAGGCCACTGTGAGAACAGAATAGGGGACTGGCCATCTGTCACAAATGCTTTAGCTGAGATTCCTGTATTGAAAGGAGTTGCACCAGATAATGTTCTATGACTCAATGGGCCATTGACCTGAGCCAGCAGGGCTCTCCTGTTGTTAAAGACTGTACCTGCTGCAGATGTCATGTATCAAGGGTGGATCTTGTACATAAACTTAGATGGCTTTAGAAGGAGGCTAGACAAATTCATATAATAATAAAGCTAAACATACATACACATACTTGTGCAGCAATGAAACTGCTAGCACATTTGCAAAGCTAAGCAGGGTCCCAATATGGTTTCAGATTGGATGGGAGACCATGCGCTGAGATTGCTGCATCAAAAGCGGGGGAAGGGTTAGACTTGTTGATCCCTCAGGGTCCTTTCTAACTCTACAGGTCTTTCAATGGATATATGCTATCTCCAGTGTCAGAGACGATGCACCTCTTAATACTAACTTCTGAGAATCACAAGTGGGGACGCTGCTGTCACTCAAGTCCTGCTTTTGGGCTTCACATGGAAGCACCTGGTCAGTCACGGTGAGAACAGGAGGCTAGACCAAATGGGCCATTGTCTTGATCCAAACTATTGGTCTTACATATATATATATTTATTCCAATTTTTGGAACCAGTAAAGTATATTCCAAATTTTAAAAGAGGTCTGACACCCATGTTATACTTTGTATAAGTTGTATGGAATAAATATAAATATAAACATAAATTATATATATATATATATATAGTATGTGTGTGTGTATATATGTAAAATAATAATAATATAAGTACATAAATATAAATAAATAGGTAGGTTTCCTAACATCTCTTGGCACCCTTAAGAAGCAACAGCTCGCATAAATATTTGGGGGAAGCTATAGCTGTGGGTTAAACCACAGAGCCTAGGACTTGCCGATCAGGAGGTCAGCGGTTCGAAGCCCCACGATGGGGTGAGCTCCCGTTGCTCGGTCCCTGCTCCTGCCAACCTAGCAGTTCGAAACCACGTCAAAGTGCAAGTAGATAAATAGGTACCGTTCTGGCGGGAAGGTAAACGGCATTTCCATGCACTGCTCTGGTTCGCCAGAAGCGGCTTAGTCCTGCTGGCCACATGACCCGGAAGCTGTACGCTGGCTCCCTTGGCCAATAAAGCGAGATGAGCGCCGCAACCCCAGAGTCAGGCACGACTAGACCTAATGGTCAGGGGTCCCCTTACCTTTATAGCTGTTTAAAGTGGTATCACAGTGCTTTTAAATGGAAGCGGCCACAGACACCCAATTAATTAGCTAACCAACGCCAGGGTATCTTGTGCAATAATCACCAACAACTGTTTTTTGAACAGGCCGCCAGAGTAGCCAATGCAGTAACATTCAGATGTTGTTGGGCATCAGCTCACATCACTCCTTGAGAGCAAAGACAAAGTTCAGGGATGATGGGAAATGTAGTCCAACACCAGCTTGTTATTGAAATAGCTATTTTCTCTCTGTGTGCGCACGTCCATGGGTGTGTAATCAGGATTGGGACCTCAGCATGCAGATAGATAGGCCTTTTTTTAACCTTCTGTGGTCCTGATGAAAATCAACCCCCTGCACACTTGCGATTTACTCTGGAAGGGAAGCTTCCGTTCACGTCGCTGGGCAGCTGGGTAGCTCTTGGGGCGGAAGAGGGTGGGTGGCATCGGGGTGTAAGGTTTCAACTCTCCCCACCCCACCTGCACCATGCTCCACATCCTGGAGCTCCTCCTCCAAAACTCAAAAGGTGCAGTTACACGTGTACGCCAGGGGGACCAGCAGGCGCGCGCCCACTTCGTGCATCGGCTCCAATGCAGGCGACTAAATCCTCTCTCAAAGAACCACCCCACAAAAGCCCCAACTCTCAGATGTGGAGTCTTAGAGAGAAAGCACAAATAGCTGGAATGCAAGCGCCCCGGCTCAACGGGCTCGAGGACCGGGCTAGGGGGCGAATTCCTGCCCATTTGGGTTAGATCATCATCCCCGAGGAGCGCGCCGAGGAAGCTTTCAGCAGAGGCCGGGAAGAACTCTTCTCCTTCCCCGCCGAAGCCTGCTGCTCCCCGCTCCCCCTTTCCGACGGAACAATCCTCCCCCCACACCTCGAAGCCCTAGTTATCCAGTGTCACTCCCCCCCATTCCCAACCCTAACCCCTTTCACTTCGCCTCTCTCCCTTCCGATTGCAACCCCGATTGCACGCTCCTCGGGGCGGGAACTTAAACCTTCGACCGCAGTGGCTCTGCCAGCACCGGCCACATTATACAGAGCGACGCCCCACGCGCGAGGAAGTCGGTGGGAAGTCCAAGAGGAGCCCTCGGTTCTTCCTCCACTTTTGCCTCGGACCCCCCCCCCCATCCCCACCCCGCTTCGTCTCTCCCCCCTCCACAGCCCGCACCCCTTTCACTTACGGGTGTCATCCTCGGAAGCCAAGTCGTCCTCCATGGCCCCTGCAAGCTCCTCACGGCCAGAGCATCCCCGCTGTAGCCCGGCCTCCGCTTTCGGAGGCAGGAGAAGCCTGCCTGCCTCTCCTTTGGCTAAACGCAGCAGCAGCAGCAGGCGCCAAGATTTGAACGCGCATCCCTTAAGCCCTGGGCATGGGGCGCGCTCTCCGCCCCGCGGCCCAGCTGTGCAGGCTGCGGCGGATAAGATGGTGTCAAATTACTCCATCCGTGGCGGTATCTCCTTCTTCTGCTGCTCCTGCTGCTGCTTTTTCCCTTCTTCTCCTCCTAGCGGGGCTTGTGGGAAATGTGCTTAAAATAGCCTATGAGCCATTGCACAGAAAGGGAGCTCAGCTCCCCTTGGACTTGTCATGGGCGAAGCTGCATTCACACGTGCGCCCTGTCTCCCACTCCACGTCGGTGTCTGGATGGGTGCAGGCTGGGCCCAGCCTCTGGAGAGAGAGGAATTGGCACGTGTGTGTCTAAATATTGAGCAAAGGGGATGCATGAAGAGGTGTGTCTGCCTTCAACTGTCTGGAGAGGTTTCGATTCATCTGTTAATATTGACCTTTCTGTACCTGCTCCGCTCTTGACACGGAAGGTGACACAGGGAGGTTTACACAGAAGGAAAAAGCAAGCACTATTAAAATGCACACATACACACAATGCAAAAGACTTCTTAAAAACGCAGCACAAAATAATCTGGAGGATTTACCCCCTTGCAGAACTACAATTCCCAGCACCCTTAATAAACTACAGTTCCCAGGATTCTTTGAGGCCATGTGCTTTAAATAGGTGTTTGTGCACCCTCATTTTTCACTTTTCATGTCTTGGATTTATTTATTAAATCTCACATGCCTTCGCATACATACACACTAACCTTTTCACACTTTTCTAATCATAGCTAACATGCAATCACACAGATGATTTATGGAATATACTTTACATTCTCCATGTTGCAAAACAGATGCAAAAATCAATTCATCTACACATCAGACAGACACCATTTCTGTTGTCTTCTCAGCCCCTATCGAATAACTCCCTTTTCATCAAGATTTCTAAGTGGAGATCTTTACATCAGTCTGTATCTGTACTGGATTTGAAAAGGGCTTTTTAATATATGGACTTGTTTTTCACTGTATTTATTGTTGATGTTTTTACTGCAAAATCACTTCTAGATATTTTTATGGGAAGTGATTCATAAGTGGACAAACAAACAAATAAAATATCTCTTTCATAATTTATAGTAATCAAGATGTCTTCAGCTCTATGTGTCTTAAATTCTATTTGTTTATGTGATTTAATTTAGGGGATCTATATCTTACTCCACAGCGGGCTGCCTCCCAGAGTGCCTAACATGACATTTTAATTAGAGATAATTAAATGCAAAAAAGAGATTCATATCAAAACAGCATAAATCCGTAGCTGCAGAAGAAACTTCTAGCCAAATAAATGATACAAACCCAGCAATATTATTCTAGATGTACTTATTAAGAGCTTTCTAGGTAACATAACCATTAAATCAGAATCAAGGAATAGGTACTAGCTTCTAGACTTCTTCTTTTTTTTATAAGATATTTATTGAAATTTTCAAAGTGTTACAAAATAAAATAGAAGCAGAAGAAAGTACAAAATAAAAATAGTTAACAAAGTAGAAAAAGAAAAAAAACAAACCCCTTCCAACCATATGAATACAAATTCAAAAATAAGAAAGAGTGACAGAAAAAAAAATACATCGCAAACAATTAAAAACATTTAAAAACAAATTCATTATTTTCAAATCCTCAACTGTCATTGCCTTCTTTCTTTGACCTCCTCCTCCTCCCTTTCTTTGTATCCTAGTTATTAATTATCCCAGCAAATCCTTTCCATATTTCATAATATTCTGTCATTACATTATCCTAAACTGTTTTAATCTTATCTTTCTATAATAAAATAAACCTTAAAGCTTAAAACTTAAATCTTATCCTTACCAACTTCTCATAACCATAATATTCTTTCATAATTCTTTAAACATCTTTACTAAAGCCAAGTAATTTCATTCCAACATTTTTCTGACATTCATCAATTTTATAAAACAGTTCTAATGGTAGAGAAAAGAGATACAAACAGATCCAATCTTCATCCAACGTCCCTTCCTCCTGGTTCCGGGTTTTGTCAGTCCTTATTATCCCGTCGATCTAGCCCATTAACCTGGCAACCTTATATCCGAGGCCCTCAAGTCTCTTCCATGTCCCTTCCGCAGCTCTTCTTCATATTTGTAACTGTATTTTCCCTTGTCTCCTGCTCGTGGTAACTCCAGCTTGGCAATGTTTTTAGCCCTTCTCGACAGATCAGCCCCTTTTCCATATTCAACACTGAATTCCATATGATATTTCAAAGCATGTTTCAAAGACCCTCCAAAATTAAGAGCCCCCACAATCCCAAACATCTCACGGCCCATTGCCATATTTGAAAAGTCCAAACATCCCAGCATAGGGGGGTCAATCCAGCCCCCCATTTCCAAACCAAACCAAACTTTTTCTTTCCAAATCTGGCTTTTTCCAAGTTCATTTGTCAAATCCGAAAACTCATATTCCTGTTGGGCCTGTTCTGTCAGGACACACTCCTGATTTAATTCCTGAGTGGGCTCCACATATTTTCCCACTGTCTGTTCAAAATTTCCCACTGCCTGTTCAAAATTTCTAGTCGAAGTCGCCATCCAATTCACCTTCTCATGTAACTGTTCCAGTAGGGCATTTGTTTTATAGAAAGCACACAACAAAGCTTCTGAATACATTGTCCTGCAAGGTCAGATGCCTGTTCCCACGATTGTAATCTGTAACAGCTGCCGGCTCCCTGGAGTTGGTTACAGTTTCACAGTCTCCCTCTAGGGGGAAAACTTCTATTTGTTCTTACAACAAAGTTTCCCTTTTTGAGATACTTTGTCAATATTTAAAATGCGAAGGGGAACAGTGGAATCACTATGTTTCTCTTCTTTTAGCTGTCACATGTCAAAAACGCTTGTCTCTGGTCAATGAACTTCAAACGTCAGTCCTGACACCCCGCTCCAGGATCAGGACGGAGGAAAGTTACTTTACTTTAAACTCACTTTAAACAGTCCGAAAAAGATCCCCCCCCCTTCTCCTGCTGTCGAAGGGGGGTTCCACAATTTTAAATGATGAAATCCAATCCTTTAAAGGCGATTTTCTGAGCTCTAGTTTACGTTGTCTTTGCTTTATTCTGTTTACAAAAGAACGGAAGGCTGACTTCCTGTTTAGACCTTCCCGTTCCGTACCAAATTAAAATAAGTTTTTTAAGATCCAATTCTTTTCTGCTCGCAAGTCCTTATTTAATGTCCAGTTGTTCAAAGTCTAAGTACTCACGGGTGCTTATTTTAGAGTCCAAATTGTCCCAGGAAAAAGGCAGCGCTCTCCGGCAACGGCTATGCGGCTTCGCTCCACGGAAATAGCAGTTGACTCACAGCACCGCGCCACTCCCCCTCTTCACTTCGGAGCCCGTTAGTGGGTTCCTTAGCGAGTTGGGGGGGCGCTAAAGGTGCCCGCCGAGTCCCATGGTCACAGGCTTCATCTGCCTGTGATTTTTAAGAGGGTCCCCGCTTCGCCGTAGCGGAGAAGACCCATTTCCCGCGGAGCTAGTCCCTCCAGTTCAGAGGGAGTCCGCCATTGCCGATGGCGCCACCCCGGAAGTCCGGTACTAGCTTCTAGACTTCTTGTCGTCCAGCTTTATCTAGCTGGACAACAATTTCCATCAGTCCTGATTTTTCTAGACTACTGACTATGCATGCACAAGCATTATTTCATCTTTAAAATTTCTTATTACATGTATAGGAGCTTGAGGTGGCAACTCTCTGTGGTCCTGATGATATGTGTTTCAGTCCACGTACCACTTTGGAAAATATGAATTGGGTAGGTTTGCCACACCCCTAATATTGTGGTCTAACCACTGAGCCTCTTGGGCTTGCTGATCAGAAGGTCGGTGGTTTGAATCCCTGCAACAGAGTGAGCTCCCATTGCTCTGTCCCAGCTCCTGCCAACCTAGCAGTTCGAAAGCACACCAGTGCAAGTAGATAAATAGGTACCTGCTGTGGCAGGAAGGTAATCGGCATTTCCGTGTGTTCTGGTTTCCATCACAGTGTTCTGTTGCACCAGAAGCGGTTTAGTCCTGCTGGCCACATGACCCGGAAAGCTGCCTGTGGACAAACGCCAGCTCCCTCGGCCTGAAAGCGAGAGGAGTGCCTCAACCCCATAGTTGCCTTTGACTGGACTTAACCATCCAGGGGTCCTTTACCTTTCACCTTTTTTATTGCCACATGTACTGGCTCCACTTGAGACCTTCACATATTCCATGCAAAGGTCTAAAGTTCTTCTGATCCCATCTGGCTGAAGCCTCACCACAACTGGGAACAGTGGTAAGACACTCAACATGCAAAGGTCTGAAGTGGGAGTGTGCAGGGACAGTGGGACAGACCTGGTGAACATGCACCCTTCCTAGTTTAAGCTCCATATGTTCACACATGCTTGACCAAGGCTATTCTCTGTGGATGCTTATGTAACAAACCAGGGGCTACACCTCTGCTTGTTTCATTCACCAGTCCCCTACTCCACACCCCATCAACCACTCTTGCCAAAGCCACCCACCCCTCCCCTTATTCATTTTATTCATGCCATTAAAACTGTATACACTACTTGACTGTAAAAAACAAACAAAAAACCAACATCAAAAGCTGCTTACAAAGAGAGGTCATAAAACCGCCCCTTGCTTGTCTCTGTCTTTGGTTTCCCCCTCCTCACGCTCCAAAGCTGCTGCGATGTGAGAACCCAGTCCAGTCTGTCATCATGCCATAGTTTGCAGTGTCCCCTGTCAATGGCCAAGCCAACTGCTGCGTGACGACACCCTTTCAAGTTTATTGTATGTAAAATATGGCACCATGAGTTCACAAGAGAGGGAGGCGTCAGCAAGCTTGTGGGAACCTATAGGTTTGCAAAAATAAATAAATAGAAG